GTGATGACGAAGGTGCTGACGATGGTGCCGGTTGGGAGACGCTGTGCGAGGTATGAGGCAGGCCACTCGGCGACAAGGTACGCAAAGTAGAAGATGGACGCCATCCAGGAGTATTCGTCTGAAGTCATGCCTGTCGTTGAGAAGAGGTCGAACACGGCGGAGTAGCCCAGTGCTTGCTTATCGACATATTGGAGGAGATAAGTTCCGCAGAGGAGCGGCATGAGTGACCAGTCGACTTTCTTACGGAGTTTCTTGAGGGCGTCCTCATCGGCCATGAGCTCGCTTAGGCGCGAGTGAGCGATGCCATGTTGCTGGAGGAACAGTTCTGCCTCGTCGAGGTCAGTGATGGTGCCGTTCTTGATATCAGCCTCGACGTCGTCGTGGTCAAGGGGGATGATCTTCTTGTCCACCTCGATATCGTTCTTAGTCTCAGCCATGATGGATATTGCAATTTATGATCAGAGAGGAGATGGGGCCTCATCCTGCTGAACAGCGACAGCGCGCCCTTTTTGAACCCGGGGGCGATTATACGATTCATGATCTGGGGTATCAGTGGAGCAAGTTGCGATAAGTTGGGTGGAGGTGCTGAGATACCGCTAGCCAGGGGTGCATCCACTGTTCTGAGATAGGTAAGTTAACTAAAAAATAACTGGGATGCGGGGGAATGGCCTGAGATGGGAGATGTTTTCCCGCGGAAAACAAAAAAGAGGGCGGTGGAGAAAACGGAGGCTAGAATTGGGAGCGAGAGAGGAGATAGGATGTTAGGTTTGGAGATATCGTGGGTAGAGAGATAAACTTGGCGTGTTGTATATCTGATAGACGCGAGATGGTCTGATTCTGATGATGGTTGTGATATGAAGAGCTGAGTGCGTCATTGATCAAGGCAGCGAGAGAGTGGTGTTGGATCTAGGATGGAGATGGCCAAGAGATGCGTGAACGTAGTTGAACAGTAGACATTGAACATTTACACTAACATTCGATATAACATGGCAGGGATTTAGCCAGAGTATCAGTTCTCACCGTACTCGATTCGCCCAACAGTCTCAAAGATCACCCATTTCATCGCCTACCTCATTTTATAACTCCCATCCCAAAACCTCAACCCACCACCAACACCATGCTCACTCACAATCAACCCCCAAGACTCCAAACCCTCTTCCCAGCAAACCACGTCTCCCTAATCTCCGCCTTCAACAACGTCCTACTATCCCACTCCATATCCGCCACAACCAGATCCGCAAACTTACCCACCTCCAGCGTCCCAACCCTCCCATCCTGAAAAACACTCCTCGCCGCGCCCTGCGAGCCCGCAACAACAGCCTCGCAGACACCCAGCTTGAAATGCTCATTCACCACCTCCTCACACTCTGGCTCCCTCGCTGAACGTCGCGTCGCCGCTACGTACACGTTGTGCAGGGGGTTCCACGGTGCCGTGGGACTGTCGCTGCCGAGCGCGAGGAGGGCGCCTGAGTCGGCGAATTCACGGTATGCGAAGGCGCGGTCGCGACGGGCGCCGATGAGGCGTGGCCATGCGCGTAGAATGGCTGGGTCGGCGTGGACGGGCTGGATGGAGGCTGTGTGGCCGAGTTTGCCGAGACGTTGGGCGTCTTCGGGGGATGAGACCTCGAGATGTTCGATTCGATGGCGGGATCCTGGCTTGCCGTACTTCTCGAGCATGTCGACCGCCATGTGAATCGCTGCATCGCCGATGGCATGAAGCGCTATTTGGATTCCTGCATCAGCGGCTTGTTTGACAACAGGTTCAAGATCGTCGCTTGACCAGAACGGCGGCGGTGATGCGACTGAAGCGTATGGCTCTGAGAGATATGCCGTGCAGGCGTCGATGATGCCGTCGCAGATGATCTTGATTCCCGCGATGCGAAGATCAGGCGATATCTCCAGACTATACTGCTTCGCAAGCTCAATCGCCCTGTCAACCTGCCTCGTGCGTTCTTCAACTGTATCAGCAGGCTTGACGATCCAATACGCCGTAACACGCATCGCCACATCGGGATGTCTCCTCTTCAGCTCAACAAGACTCTCCCAGCTATATTCATCCATCGCCATCTCGATGATCCCGGTGTATCCTGACGCATGGTACGCTTTGAACGCAGCGAGCATACACTCAATACGCTCCTCATTCGACGCAAGCTGCGCAAGTGTAGGCCAGACAATCGACAGGATGGACGCTTCGCTGAGAACACCAGATGGTTTACCGTTCTCATCCCTCTCGATGATACCACCCGGCGGGTCCTCCAGATCAGCGACCTTCATCTCCTCCAAGCCCGCTGAGTTGCACCACGTCGAGTGCATGTCCTTTGTATCAACATAAATCGGCCTCTCATCAATCTCATCCAGAATCTTGGCCGTCACTCCATCCGGCGTCATGGAGTGCATCCATCCCTTTGCCATGATCCGCGGAACATCCGGATTCGCCTTTGCATACGTGCGCAGCTCATGAAGAATATCCTCCAGATTCTTACACCCCTCCAGCGCAATCTTCCTCAGCGACTGGCCCAGTAGCAAGAGATGCATATGCCCATCTACAAACCCCGGCAGAACCGTCTTCCCCTCGAGATCCTGCGTGACAACATCATCCCCCGTGACTTTGGCCTGCACTTCATCCTTTGTACCGACGGCTTGAATGATGCCGTCTTTTATGTACATGCTCTCAGCAAAGGTGGGTTCGTCGGCCAAACTGGCGACAGTCCTCGAGAGGATCTTGCCATTGATGAAAAGAGTCATACTGCTTGCGGTAAATTCTGGGTGATCAGAACAGGTTTTTTTTGTGGCAGCGCCTTGGGTAGGTAGGCACTTTATATAACCACGGGCCTTGTTGATTTGGGCCGCGTCCATGCGGGAGCCACTCAACAAGTGGGCTAGATGTGCCTATCACCAAATTTGGGGCTTGATGGTGGGGTGAAGAACCGTCCAATGTGAGATGCGCTGTGAGACGAATGCATGCAGTTTGATATGGCATTTCCTGATAGGTCCTTTACACACGTGTCTTTTCTCTTCTCTCTGCAGAGATCTTCATCACAACACAATTACAACGCATCCTCATGTCTGAGATTATTGTACATTTACAGTACAACCTCGGCATCGTCATGTCCGGCACCGGCCTTGAACTCGTGGGGACCCTTGATTTTAACCTGTCATGGCGTACATGTCTAATTGGCTGCTTTCCATGTAACAACGGGTCCGTGAAAATCGCTCACCGAGATGATCTTATCAGATGGAACGTCATCTGATCTGATCTAATGCACGTAATTCGCAACAGGTTTTCCAAGACCGAGGTCTGGGTATTTCGCCTCCACCGTTTGTCTTACTTCTGTGACGCGTTCGGAGTGCGCAGCTTGAGAAGGTGGCGGTCACACGCGATGCTAGACGTATCAAGGCTTTTGGAGGGGCCGTTCAAACTTGGAGAGCGATGTTGCTTTTGAGGGCTAATTGGGTGGTAGAGAAGTTGGGAAGCTGATTATTACGTGTTTGTTGCTATGTAAATGGCTGGAGGCTCGGGAGGCTTAAAATTAATATCGTGGGTGAGCTTGTTGCCGTGTTAAGTTTGCTTCACGAACTCTGTGATGATCACGCAACAAGTCGACTAATTCTTTAATGCGGGGTTCTTTATATAGATACTTGTAACTACACCACTTTTGTGCTGGGAAAGATGTCAAATTGACCTCAAAGAAGTCACATGGTCGTTTTGTCTGAACAAAGAACATCGTGGGTTGACAACAACCTCGAATGCGGAGATGGGCTTTGCAATGACCTGACAACGGACACATCACGTTATACAGACAGACGATGTCGACAAAACAGTGACATCTATTGTTGCTGTATAATTCCGGCGATCCTTCCAGGTTGAGAGATGCCAGTGGCCCCTATTCCTCGTTGACCATTGCAGCTTGAAGTACAGCCTTCGATCTTCGTCATTACGTCAAACCCTGTAAGTTCTCTACCTCTCATCATCTCAGATTGTAACTAACAACACAAGCCCGACTTCCAAAATGACTGTCGAGTTCTAATGCGGCTTCAGCGTCTATCCTCCTCTCCCCCCAACACCCTCCAACCAATCCCTCTACGCTCTCTTCCTCGCCCGTCTCAGAACAAAATTCCCCTCCCAGGTTCAACCCTCTACCTCCAGACCGCTCCTCATCACCAACGCCGACAACGCCTTCTAATACTTCACGTTCCCCAAGCATCCCAAAATCCCCGCCAATCCTGAGCACTGCAACTACTTCCTGAGTTTCCGCCTCAGCTTCGGAAGCGGTGGTCTACCACGAGAAGTCGCTGTTACTCATGTCCTCGAGGTATTCGTTGTTGCGAAGGAGTATTTTGGGGAGAGGGTTAGATACTGGAATGGGATGCATAGGATGCGGTGTAATAAGCAGTGGGGGTACTATACACTTGCAGATGTTGAGGAGGCGGAGGCGGAGGTCAGGAAGTTATGCAGGAGTATGGACTTTAAGGTTACGGTGATGAAGACAGTGGTGGAAACTCTGGACGAAAATCACGTTGTAGAAGTTGGACCGCCAGCTCTGCTTACCTAGCTAGGTCTTCTTGTCTACATTTGCACTGGAAATATGTCTCAGTTACCTTCGATCACACGTCCCACAGCTACACCCATATTCCGATAAGCGTTAATTTGCAACTTTGCCTTCGAGATGAGGTTAAGTCGTCGGGTGCCCTCTCAATGATAGCAAGCTACAGACGGAACTTAGTCGTACTGTAGACAGTGTCAAGTTGCTGCAGTGGGGTGGTGCTTTACATGTCCTTCCTATTACTACTGAAACAGTCAGCAGAGATGTGGGGCACGCCTGCCGCGACACGAGGGTGTATTTATTAAACTCCTTCTCCTCTTCCTCTCCTCATTTCAACTTTACAACTACACCACCATAGCATTCCCACATTTCAACTTTATAACTACACTACTACAGCATTCCCAAGTTGTCCAGTCTACTAGGCATCATTTTATCTATCGACACAACAATATCAAAATGCTTCCAAGATTCTCTCGCTCGATTTTTACTATACTTTCTCGGCGTTCTCCAGCCCCAAAGGCCCCAAAGCAGCTGGCAGCACCAAGTTCCCCTAAACCTCAGACCCAGGAACCCTCCGACAGGGAGATGCAGCGATACTTGTACCAGAGAGCGAAGGCTGAAGATGATGCTAGTAAGTACTCTCCCTTACTATAGGACGCCAGTTACTTACTATTTTTAGTCGCTAAGTCATGGTTGCGAAGAATGTTTCGTCGTCCTACCTAGGAGATACTCCAAAATACCGGATCAGCATGTGGTTTCTGGGTAAGTTTACTGGTTTAGACATATTAAAATGATTCTAATTTTTATTTCAGGCGACTTATATAGCTATTCAGGAACCCGCGACAGCGAAGGTCTTACAAGCCTGGGAGTTCATAACTAGCTATTTCTAGCATCCCAAGGACACACTACTCCTTATATCGTTAAATACAAGCGCTACTACGACACACCAGCGTGTTACTATCAAAGCGTCTTTTTCTCTCTGGCAACTCCGTCTATATGGTCGGCCTACGCCTCCTTGCACGAAATAGCCGGGACCACGTCAGTCAGACTTGGGCGTAACGCTCTGGTGAAGCTCAAAGATCCTGAAGGATGATGGACGGTAACATTGGGGTGTCAGCAATTGTGCGCTACTGTTTACTTCATCGTGTTGGAGCCACCCGACGATTTCCTGTCTACTTCTCATGCAAGTCCCAGTCACAGGCAACCTGATGATTCAGCTGTACTTTACACCCACATCACTTCTTTTATGAGCTTTAATAATGCTGAGCTAACCGTATATATCATTCTTGCCTCTATTGTCTGCGAATATGCGATCATACGTTTGTGCACCTCGCAAGCAGTTCGGATTTCGGATGCACATATTTCGTGATAACTTCATTTGCCGTCATGCATCATTGCAAACAAACGGGATGCAAATAACTGACGCAGCATTGCATCTGCAGTTTATCAAGTAGAAAGGGGGAGAGTTAGTTCAGCGACTTGATCACACATGTCGGCCTCTTAATGGATGCGAAGGTTTGTTCATGATCCTTAATTTATGGTTCATCTTGTGAAGCAAGATTTGTAGATTAGAGTGTCGCAAGTTTGTCCAATTCAGCGACATGCTTGTTCAAGCCTCGACACTAAGAGCAAAGTGTGCATAAATATAAAAGCTGGAGCAAACAGCTTCGCAGTTGCCAGCGCCAGGCAGGAGCGCAAAGCAAAGCTGCTCAACCATCAACTTCCATCTCCCTCAACTCCATCTCAGCTCTCCATCCTCATCCTCATCCTGATCCTCACTCTCATAAACACATTCCTTCACCCCAACAACCACAGTCATCATGTCTTTCGAGTGCGGCTTCGATATCTTCCCCGTCCTCGCCCCTACCGCGGAGAACAAAATCCGCTACGCCGAATTCCTCGACGACATAACTGCCGTCTACAAGACCGACGAAGAACCCCGCCTGCTCATCCTCCCCTCCGACGCTGACTTCCCCAAATTCCTCGACAAGTGCTTCGTCCACTTCGTGCTCACCAACAACCCGCGCATCCCCGCCGACCCCAACAACTGCGACCTGTTCTTCAGCCTGCGCACCTCGAGCGTCTTCGACGCCGGCGTCTTCGACACCATACACGAGATCGCCAGCATCGCGCAGCACCATTTTGGAAACCGTGTACACTTCTGGACCGATAAAAGCGTCATCTACACTAGCGGCGAGGTCACCCGCTCCGAGTGGGAGGTGTCCAAGAGAAAGGATGACTCGGACTGGAAGGGGAAGTGAGACGCGCGCTTATTCTTACCCCGACACTTCCGATTACGATACGCTACTGGAGAGTCTATACGCCCGCATCTGCCGATATTGCGCGGCAGTCATGGCATGGGCTTACTTTTATGGTTTGGGGCTGACGTTGGGACCGAAGGAATGGGAATAAGCACCAGCGTGTGTTATTTTATTAGATCATAAGGCAAAAAGCGACAGATCAGTTCATTCTGATACAGGGATATCATCTCCAGCCAACAACAAGAAAGAAAAAGACAAGTTCAACCATAGCGTGCTCCCATGCGTCCAAATCTCTAGCCAAAATTCACGGTGTCATTTAGAGCAGTGCTACTGGGAACGCATTAGCTTTGGCATTTGGGTGAAAGTGAATGTCTCGCTGACCTGATCGAGCTTCCCATGACTTGTAGGGGTCGGCTGGCTTTTTGGTAGGGTCGACTGAGCCTGCAAGCTTCCTCTGGATCTTTTCCTTGAGTGAAGGTTTATGAGGTGCTGTTTCAAGACCTGGTTTCTTAGTGAGAGTGATTGAGAGGATGTGAATGAGACATACCAGGCTTGGTACTTGTTGAAGGCTTTGTTGTGTCAACGAGAGTTGTCTCGGAGACGTTGGCGTTCTTGTATGTAGGGTTCGACATGTTGAAGATGTTGAGTGTTGTTTTATAAGTGTGTACACAGTAATGTAGAGTGCTTCTTTGAGTGTAGTGTAAATGTCTTGTAGACTGTAAACTGTATGATGCTGTTGTATCTTGATCTGATGCCTCGGATCTCGGGGACACAGCTTCTACTTATACTCGAGACAGAACAATCGATTGAGTCACAAACGTTAAAAAATGACATCTCAGCGCCCTTGAGATGGATCACATCTTGTCAGCCCTGCATGCTTGAACGCTTCGATCCGACTCCGAGTGACACATTCCGTTCCGCACTCTGTATCGCATCACCCACTCGGCGTGCCAAAAGTAGTATAAACCCCTGTAAGCCGAGCTGAACCAAGTGGGGACCGAGCCCGACTCTCCATTATTCTCGAGCCGAGTCCCTCGAGTTCGAGCCGAAGCCACTCATTGTCAAGCCGAGTCCACCAAGTCAAGCCGAGTACTCTATTGTCAGGCCGAACCCCACACTCTATTTTCCAACCCCGACATCCAAAGCAACACACACACAATATTGAGGCCGATATCTCAAGCCGAGAATCTAAGATTTATCATCATCGGATTCATCAGCATTTCAATGGCGCCATGTCAACGGCCCCTCTCCTCCTACGCCTAAACGGTCGCCCGCAAGCCTGCGATCCATGTCGAGCGCGGAAAGTAGCCTGCGACCACGGCCAGCCAACCTGTTCACGCTGCAGAAAGCGGAACGAGACCTGCGTCTACACTGTTTCGGGCGCCACTGTCAAGAAGCAGCGGCTTCGGTCCCCCGTCCGCGCCGAGCATCAACCTCCACCAGCAGCACCAGCACCAAGCACTGACTCAACGCCTTCACCCGCCGTGGCTCCTGGCTATCTCGGCTTCACCAGTCACAATGCTGTCTTTGAAGAAACGCGCAACAGCCTCTCGCTCGTCCACGGGCCCCCGGTCGAGGTTGTTGAGCCGAGGGCCCCGAGGGGTAGAAGTGTGATTGACCTCCCGCCTCACTTGAGGGAGATGAGTCTTTACGTTCTTCGGTGTTTACCTCAATCTCAACATGATGTTATGGCGCATAGACTTCACTGTCTCACAGACGGATGGATCTTCAGAGCCATTCAGGAGATTATAGACACGCTTCACAGAGACTGGGGACGGTATCTCACATCGCGAGATGATGCGGACTTGGATGTCGTGGCGCGTCATGTAAGCCATAACACGGCACGGCCTTTGCGCGATGAACATTCGAGTGCAAAGGCTTGGACTGATCAGTTCACGGGGAGCAATATTCGGTGGGAGTCGGTTGGGCTGATCTGGACATACTGGGATGGCTCGCCGAGTTTTGATGCGCCAGTTGTGGTCAAGTGTTTGGGGTATTGCATTGAGCTGGCGAGACATTTCACACCTGGGAATGACATTATGCTATATCTTTGCTACCGACGAGTCACCACTGAATCTCTCGTCTCAGGCGACGCAGGTGAGTCAATGTGCATACCATGAGTTGAGTCTCACTGACAATCGCAGGCTTGACATGCTGGCGCTACTTTGCAGAGACCGTCGCACTTCTCACATTTCTTGGTCGACACGTCGGATCAGAAGACACAAGCTACATCCCCTCTCTCTGCTCCGAACACAGACGTCGCATCACCGCCCGTGTCTTCAACATCGACAAGGTCCTCGTCTCCTTTACAGGCCGTCCACCGCTGCTCAGCCGTCGCTTCTTCTCATCCCCTCTGCCACTCGACCTGACAGACTTGGACCTTGAGTCCGGCCAAGCTACCATACGACATGCGGTGCACGAGTTGGATGCCAATGGCTTTCGTCATATTGGTGATCTGAAGGGATCGTCTATGGTTAGGGCGCGGTCGCAGATTGCTTACATTAAGGATGAGCTTCTTGAGATTGCGCTTGCGAATAGTGTCAAAGTCACTTTCGAGAGTCTAACGTACGTCACTCTCATGTTTTCGGGTTCTGTGCTGATAAGGGTAGCGAGATCAAGGCTCGCGCTGAGAGGACGTATGAGAGCTTCCCGGCCAATCTCATCCATCGACCCGACGAACTCGACGATCCAGACTGCGATGTCCAGAAAGTATACTCACGAATTCTTATTCGACTAGAACATATGCAGAATCTCTTCTTTGTAGAGAGACTGTTGCTCCGTCTCGGCCACATTGATGAGAACCGGTTACTCCCAATTAGCTTTGAGATGGTCACCTTGACACTTCTCTTCTGGACACACCAAGATCGCTTCTCCGGCATGAGACGAGACTTTGAATGGCTTGTAAGTCAAATTCACATCTACACTCCCTTGTATCTCTAACACCTCCAGCTCATGGCCTTTGCCGCTCCGGGCGGCGGTATCCTCTGTCTCGAACTCCTCCGCCCAACATTCCGCGGCACCCATCCCGACTGCCCCAAACTCAGCCGCTCCGCCATAATCCAAAAGCTCAGTCTTCTAATAGGATTCCTCGACTGGGTCCGACCTCCCGCCCCCAACGCCGATCTCTGCGCAGACTGCAAAGCTGTTATACAGGGTGTGCTAGACCACAACCTCAATGCGCCTATTGCAGGTGGAGGAGCGCTGGATACACTGGATTGGGATATCCCGACGCAGTTGGACTTTAATTTCGATCTTTTGGATACGTTTGATTGGTTGAGGCCTGAGCAGCTAAGTCTCCCTGCGTGAGGTGAGGAAGTTTTGGATTGTGGTGTTGGTCTCGGAGGGAGCTTGGATATGGATCCAGTGGTTGGTGTTTAGCTTGACGGTTTGAAGATTGGTGGACCAGGATGATATCATTTGCTGCTGTTGAGCGGCGGATTGTTCGGGCTCTGATGGGACGATGAAGAGGACGGGCTGTGAGATGTGAAATTCTTCAAAGCCTTGTTCATCAGGGGCGAAGAGGTTATCCTTCCACATGCGATACCATCGACACACGCCTTTGTACCCATCAGTCGAACCGAATGCCTTGAGATGTGCTTTCTGCAAATCTTGGGTATACCACGATGCGATGGGAAGTCTGCGGTTTTGACGCACAAACTCCTCCATTTTGCCAAGAGGATGAAACCACGCCTCCCACTCTTCCCGATCGCGACAAAACATCAGACTCATCACCGCTTCGGCATTCTTCTCGAGAATTTCCTGTGAACGGAAGTCGGCTAGCCATGGGATGTATCCGAGCATCTCATACCCGAGGAACTGCTTGGTCATGGTATTGATCATGTCAACGTCGAACGGCGTCCCCAGCTTCGGCGGTCCAACGGCCAGAAATACGAGAGCTTCCCAGCGCGAGGGGTGATAAGCCGCCATTCTCGATAAAAGCGTCGCGCCGAAATCATGGCCGATTCCAACGATGGTTTTGAGGTTCAGATGGTCGAGCAGTTCGATGACTTCATCGCCCATCGGCTTGAGGCGGTACGCGTTCACATCTGTTGGTTTGCTACTTTCACCGTAGCCCAGAAGATCCAGAGCTACGACGCCGTAACCCTCGGATGAGAAATGACAGATTTGATGGACCCAGTCTGTAAGGCTTGATGGGAAGCCGTGAAGAAAGAGAAGGGTTGTGGATTGGGAGGTTGGAGGGATGAAGATGTATGAGTACACATTGCCGCTGGGGGCTGTAAAAGTCTGTCGCGCGGGTAATTCTGGTGCCATCTTGGTATCCTATTAAACATAAATTGATACAGCGTAAAATTGAAGCAATTGAACGGAGTGACGATGTCTCAGAGCTTTATACGCTCGCGGAAAGTTCTCGGACACTTCCTTACAACCCCACGTCATCCTCACGAATCCTCAATATACCTCTCATAAACCTCCCCATAAAACCTCCTCCCAATCTCCCTATGGCTTCTAACCTTTGTCCTCAACTGTGTCTCCCCCCAAGTATCGTACAACCCCCTCACAAATGGATTATCCACCGCTCCCGCCTCACCCGCCTCCTCACCCTCTCCCCACCGTTCAAAATGCTCCTTCAACGAAGTCATCGCCTCATCCCTCGTCAAATCACGTCGCACCCCTTGGAAAAACGGAATGCTGAACCGTTCTTTTGGGGAGGATAGTACGCGGTGCGTTGTCGCTTTGCATACACCGTTGGTGACGACTTCAAATGCTTGGCCGATGTTGACGACGAAAGTGTCCGGGATGGCGGGTACGTCGATCCATGAGCCGGATTTGTTGAGGACTTGGAGACCGTTTACTTCGGGGGATGCTTGGAGGAGGAAGGTCCACCATCCTGATGAATCTTTGTGAGGACCGACGCCCTGGGATGACGTTGTTGATGCAGGGTAGTGAACCAATTTAAGACGATGTTGGTCGGATAAGTACGAGAAGAAGATGTCATCCGGAAGATCAAGAGCTCGCGCAACAAGTCTCAAAAATCGTTCCCCTAGTAGTGTAAGTTCCTCAATATACCGCGTAACAACACCCTTTAACTCCGGAAGCGCATTTGGCCATTGATTCGGACCCCTCAACCCATCGTACAGCGGCGCACCATCAGGCGCTCTCTCAAGTTCCGTCGCAAGCTCAACCTGTTCTCTCAGATCCGTTTTCCCAGCTGTAGTTTCCGTCCCAGCAGCGCTGTATCCTAAAAAGTGCGGTGACTTTTCCAAGGCGATTTCTTGTTTTGCTTCTGGGGAGAGGGCGAAGAGATCTGGGAGGATGTCGATGAGGGATGTTATTGTGGAGGGGGGGACGGAGTGGTTGGAGATGTAGAGGAAGCCGATGTCTGTGAGGGCGGTGCGGAGATTAGAGAGGGTTTGGGGGGTGGGGGATGAGATGTCGATGATGGGGATTTGGGTGAAGTCTTGGGAGTGCATTTTGATGATGATTGTTGAGCTGTGAGTGAGTATCTGTGTGTAGTGAGTGGTTTGTTACAGTGTATGTGATGTTTGGTAGATCACGCAATGAGGGGTTCACTGATGCGATGTCGGCAGACGATTCTAAAGCCACTGAACAATACATCATTTCTCAAAACATCCTCAATCAACCTTTCTCCCATTCAATTGTTCAAATTAATGTTCAACGGAACATACCGTCCCAACATCACCAACTACCCTAAACCATCTCACCAAAGTCCCAATTCCATCCCCGTCTCATTATCTTAACCGCCCCAGACAGAAACGGCGATAAGATAAGATTAGCCCACCACTTAAGATAAAACGTGGGGCGCTAGCAAGATCTGGGTCACAGGTGCAGAGAGTTAATCTGGACACGTTAATTTTTCGCCACAGGATTGGACACCCAGTCCTACGGAGTTGCAGGCACATTAATCTCTCACAGGGGCAACAGAGCCAATAAAGCTTAGCTCACTGAAGCCAAGACTGCAGTAACCCCTTTCTTGCAGCTTGTGGCGAAAAAGGGCGCAAGGTTAATTACTGAGTGAGGTAGGTAGGTGGCTGCGCCGTTTACGAAAAACAGGTTCTTATTCTCTCTCTTCGCGTTAGCCAAGGTTTTTCCTGTTAACATTCGTGTGGTTCGATTCATGGCATGTTGTCATGAGCACGTAGCTACACAGTACACTAAGATTGGCCCCCCTTTTTGAAGCTAGAGATACCTTACTCAAGATGGTTTCGTGTAGAACATGACAAGCTTCCAACAGAGTTACCACGTGCAACGCATCGTAGGTACGTAACACGCAACAAATGCCGAGACAGACCCTGTAGTAAATATACTTTTGAAAAGATAAAGACCCTTACGTGCCTATTCTAGAACATTGCGCGCGCCCCTTTTCGTTTTTGACCCCTCGGTATCGTTTATTTCGTTTACGCGTACGGACCAGCGCCGATACCAACTCAATACGGGCACCCGCGGGAGGACCCAGATCCCCTAAAAAAGTAAAACGAGAGAGAGGAAAAATTCAGGGTCTCTGCACTGTAACGCCCCCCCCACTAGCTTAACAGGGGAGGGGAGTGGGGTGGAGGCGCAGGACCCAGAACGCGTGTTGTTTTCCGACGGTGGAGGAGGGATTTTCGTATCCATACTCGGACGGAGCAAGCCCAGAGAATGAGCTATTCCTGGAGGGGGAGGTATCCGATTACGCGTTAGAGAGAAAAACGAGGAGAACGAGAGCGAGACGAGAGTGGTCCGTACGGTACGGGCACGGAAAGTGTTTTGAGTAGTTGGTATCTGTTACGCGTAATTGGAGACCGACGGAACATGCGATACGTGTATCTATCTCGTCTCCTTTCTCAGCTGTTTCTGTCAAACGTTCACAATCACGTTGCTATCCCTAGACGAGGCAGGGTGAAGAAAAATAAGCTATGTTTCTAGAACGCGTCCCGTCACTGTCACCATCCAAAGCCACACTCGGGTCTAGATCTATCCCCCTACGCAGCAACTTAACTGACCTACCAGGGGTCAGGGCCACTTCACTCTCTTCGACTCTTGTTTCACAAGCCCATCTCCACCCTCGGTCTTTCTAGTCCCAACAACCCCAAGACCAGTTTTAATATGTGGTCCTTGCACCCGAAAAGACTTGGCTACAACAGGGTTCTGGGGATGTGGTCAATCTCCTTTGAGCTAACCCCAGCGACGCTATCTTTTTTGGCTATTGGCATGAGTGAGGAGGGGAGGGGGGGGGGGCGAATATGCGCCCATTGGGGTACGGAGTACGTACGTTGTGAAATAATAAATGGATATGGTAGCTCTTTCGAAGGCTGTGCCCCTGATTGTGTGAGAGAGGCGAGCAAGTACTTATCTCGTTGTGCTGCCTCGGCTGCTTGCTGCTGCGATTCCCCGTCCTGCTCTGTTTGCTCTTCATTCATATCCACTCTCTCTCTTCCTACAGTGACACTTGATTCACTGTTCCTCTCCTTCTTCCATTTCTCTTTTTCTCTCTCTCAATTGTCTCTCCTTTCATTTTGACATTCCTTATATACCAAAGAACCACACCCCGAAATGAACCGCGACAAGATCTTGACCGCTGCGGCGGTTGAGAGGATGATCGCAGCTGGTCAAACAATCGTCGTCTTTGAAGACTCAGTTCTCAAGCTCGATGGCTGGATGGATAGACATCCCGGTGGAAGATTAGCAGTTCTTCACATGGTGGGCAGAGATGCGACCGACGAGATGAAGGCGTAAGTCACGATGCTTTTTTTATGGTGTTGAGGTTGAGCGTTGGACGGGTGCACTACACCAAAAAGAGAAACACACTACACCACCACATTACCCAATTGGTCTCTACATGTCAACATGACAGGTACAGCGCATTTGTGTGGGGGGGGGGGGCAAGATACAGATGAGATCAGATTAGATCATGCTTAAGCTAACACCTTTTTCTTCTTTGGGATAGTTATCACTCGGAAGCGACCTTACGAACAATGAAGGCCTATCGGATCGGTCGGAAGCAAGGATCCTGGGTGAACCGCACACCACCAATTAGAGGCGGCATCTTCCGCCTCGACGCCCAAGAGATTGATCTCTCGGACTCGAGCACATCCTCCGACACCGACGACAACACGAGTCTCGACGACGCCGTTAGTTCCGCCTCGTCATCGCCCAGCGTGGTCGACGTCAAAGATGAACCCGAAGGTCTCCGCCAGCGGACAGTGAAGACGGCAGATGATTCGCGAAAGCGCACTGCCACGCTGCGAGTGGCCAATGCAGGAGTTGCCCGGGAGATTCAGAACGATATTGAGACGTACCCGTCGCTGGATACAAGGGTGCAGGATGAGATTGCGAGGAAGTACCAGCTTCTTCACCAGAGGGTTCACGATGAGGGTCTCTATCAGTGTCCGTACGTTGAGTATGGGAAGGAGATGATGCGGTACACCACGCTGTTTGCGCTCTTTGGTGTGTTGTTCTACAACCAGTGGTACATCACTTCTGCTGTCTTCCTGGGATTGTTCTGGGTATGTCGCTTCTTGTCGTGTTGAAGCTTTTGACTAACCTGGGTAGCATCAAATCATGTTCAGCGCGCATGATGCTGGCCATCTTGCGATTACGTCTAATTTTGTGGTCGACACACTCATTGGCATGTTTATTGCTGATTTCTGCTGTGGCCTGTCGATTGGATGGTGGAAGAGCAGTCACAACGTGCACCATCTTGTGACAAACATGCCTGTAAGACACTCACTCGCCCTCATCAAACACTGCTCAATACTGACCCTTTTAGGAACACGATCCTGATATTCAGAACGTTCCTCTCTTTGCGACATGCCCCTCATTCTTCAAGTCCCTTCGCTCAACTTACTACAACTTCACTTTCGTCTGGGACGCCGCAGCCGATTTCCTCGTTCCCTTCCAGCGCTGGACTTACTACCCCGTCATGGGCATCGCTCGTTTCAACCTTTACCTCCTCTCCTGGCTCCACGTCCTCTCTGAGAAGTCCTCACAGCTCGGAAAGAGCCGCGCCTGGTGGATTCGACCTACCGAGATCACCTTCATGGCCTGCTACTGGTTCCTCTTCGGCTACTGCCTCCTCTGGCGTGGTATCCCCGACTGGACCACCCGCGTCATCTTCGTCCTGGTCTCCCACATTATCACCATGCCGCTCCACGTTCAGATCACCCTCTCCCACTGGGGAATGTCGACCGTCGACCTCGGCGAGACCGAGTCCTTTGCGCAGCGCCAGCTCCGCACCACCATGGACGTCGACTGCCCTGCGTGGATGGACTTTGTGCACGGCGGTCTTCAGTTCCAGGCCGTTCACCACCTGTTCCCTCGTGTGCCGCGCCATAACCTGCGCAAGGTGCAGTCCATGATCCGAGAGTTTTGCAACGACACCGGTGTGCCGTACTCGATCCTCAACTTCACCGATGGCAACAGAAAGGTGTTGGGGCGGTTGAAGGATGTTAGCGATCAGTTGGATATCATGATCAAGTGCCAGCAGCACATGGCGAGGACGGGAGAGAGTGGATTGCATTAGATTTTCATAGACTAGACTTGCGAGAGCGCGTGCGATTTGTTTTTTTGCGAGACAGTACAAGCAATATATTTCTGTCAACTTCATTTACAGTGTCCATCGACTTCCTCCAAAAATACAACATATCCTCGTGATCATACGTAAAATCCTGCAAGAAGATACCGAGCGGAGATGACAGTTAAACGCCATATGGGTATCACATCCATCCTTGCATACGCCTAGACCGTCCAACGCCATGTGAGTCCTTGTTACCTCACTACCCTGTACCCGGTCAATCCCTCACTTCGCTCCATCCACTACTCAGCGTTTCCATGCCAGGAATACTCGTGAATAAGAGCGTACAGGGGATACGATGTTGACATGTAAAAGAAAAAGCGAAAAAGACAAGTCGAAACGCAAAAGAAAGTCGTTCGGTGCGGTGAGGCGCGAGTGTCTCGACAGCTTCGATGCTCATAGCCCAAACAACCAGCAACAAGTGAACGCTGTTGCCATTCAAATCTGCCAAACCAAACTCATGTAGGAACGGTCATTGTACATAGCCTCAATCTCCATAGCCGTACCTAGTTCGACCTCACTCAGGTCAGCGCCAGCCTCGAGGAGAAGGAAAAGAATCGATCGGCAAGCAACCCCATTCTCCCAATACCCTGCACCAAGACGGAACGCAAGACCAAGCGGGGACGCACGGGACGACATGAGAACGGCCTCCATGAGCGTCTCATCCGGGTCAGCGCCATGTTCAAGGAGCCAGTCCACAGCCACGATCTGTCGAGACGAGATAGCCTGGCGGAGAGGACGCCAGCCCATGGTGAGGAAGAGGCGCTGGCCATGTCCAAAGCTCAGAGCCGAGTTGCGGAGCCAGTGGGTGTCGGCCGCGGCGCCGAGCTCGAAGCAGCGCTCAAAGACTGCGATGTTGCTGGTGGCGGCTGCGAAGAAGAGAGGGTACCAGTGGTCATGCTTGCCTGAGAGCTTGTAGATCTCCTTGTTGAGGACTCGGTAGAGATACTTTGAGGTTCGGGCGAGGCGGGAGGCGCCGCGGAAGATGAGGAGCTTGTTGATGTGGAGGAGGACTTCCTGGGGGAGACGCTCGAGGGTGGAGGGGTTAGGGGCCATGGTGGTGGTGGGGATGAGAGCAGTGGAGGGTGCGTTGCTCTGGGAGGCGGCGGTGATGTTGGGGGAGGTGTTGGCTGCGGACGACATGACGGAGAGTCGCTGGTGAATGAGGAGCAAGGCAAAGGGTTTGTGGTGGTTATGGGAAATGAAATGTGAAGGAGGGGGAAAAGATGAGACGCGTTGGTACTTTGTGAGCTGTGATGGCTTTGATATCAAGTAGTGACCAGCCGCGAATACGACTGATACGAGATATGAAGGAGAGCAAGTTGAGTTGCGTTCGGCGTTTTGTGAGATGTTAAGGATCAAGCTGTGGTCAGCCGCCTTGTTGAAAGGAGAGGAGATGTAAAGAGGGGGAAGAAGATGAGACGCGTTTGTGCTTCGTGAGCTTTTATGGTTGTGGTATCGAGTAGTGACCTGTTGCGATGGCTAAGAGATGAGAGACGAAGCGTCAAGAAGAGGGCAAGATGAGTTGCGCTCGATATTTTGTGACTTGTTGAAAATCGAGTTGCGGCCAGCTGTTTTGGTGAAAGGAGGGGAGATGTGAGAGTTGGGAGAAGCTCGAGCGAGTTGATATGGAGGAGAAATCTGACAGTGCCAGCACCAGCGCCGAAACCGTTCGCGCAGCTCCAGCACCTTTGGTTACGTCTTAAGCGCTGTTGAGCCTAGAACACAATTTTTCGATGGAACAGAGTGCCTCTTGGTCTGGGGAAAGTACACTGATAATCTGAACAATGACGGGCAAGGAGATGTGGAAGAGATGGTTGTTGATATGGTGAGAGGAGAAATGCTGGTTGAGAGGGAGGCCGGGGCTCGAGACTGGCTAGATTTCTCGTCTGAACTCTTTGGCGAGCAGGACGGCCACAGTGCGGAAATGGACCCTAGCGTTGAGGAGTGAAATGGAAAAGTCACTGCGGTGCAAAGGAAATCATCTCAACTCAAGCGGCAAGGCTACTGTGTGCACAAGCCGTTCAGCCAGCCCAGCGGCCAGCATCTCTCATGCCCTTCTCACGTCCTCCGACCAACAGGAAGTTTAGCAAAGTTGACTTGCTTTATCGCCAGGAACAGAATTAGGAGTGTCTGCATGCCATGATACTGTCTACCCTGATTTTGGACGAAAGGGGTAGAGCAGCTCAACGAGGATAGCTACTTGTAGGATCTCTTGCCTCTAGAGTTAGACAATCCCAGTTATGACCACAGTAATGGGATGGCCCATTCAAAGAAGACTGGAAGTGTATTGCACAGTAGTTGCATCAGGGGAGTTATCTACATCACAGCCTTACCAGCTGTGTCTTTCTCAAGACAACCGAGTATGATGCGTTTAGGCCTTCAAATGCAATTTTTGCAATAAATCAACCTGGGTCGCTTTGAATTGTGATACCTAGTCTCAAGCCCATCATGATTTCAGAGTGAAGTGTTTCTCGAGATACTAAAAAGAATCCTCCAGACGACAATGCTACTTGCATAGACTCAAAGACCTTTTCTCCTTTCCGCAAAGACAAAAACAAATCCACACCAGCCTCAAAGATGACGATGCCATAAATCCTTATCAAAACATATCCCTGAATCAAAGCTGCAAAACTAAAGCATAACACACTCAAATCCGATCATGGGCCTCAAGAGAAGCCACCCACCGCTCATTCCCAGCATTATACCTAGGCGGAGGAATCCGGTGCTCATGATGACCCTCATCCCATCATGGCAAGTCATTCGTCTTTGTGATATCAACAAGATCCATTAATCGAGATCTCTGACCACAGCACTTCCAATATTCCAGAACTTTGGCATGATGTCCTGGTCGATGTAAAACCGGTGCGGACGACGCGTCCACTCGGGATCCTCAGATTCGCTCCAATCATCTTCATCCCAATCGCTCGCGAGCTCAGGCGAAGTTGCGGAATCTCGAATTGCCTTGCGGAATTCGCCCCAACGTAGCTTTAGGGCGACGTCATCGGTGCCCGGGGCCATTCTGGCGACCTTTCGAAGAGCTTTGAGAGTTCCCTCGAATAAAGACTGCTCATCCTCGTCGATGGCGTTGTAGCGCAAGAGCAAGTCCATCTTGGCTTCCCAGATGTCGGCTGTTTGTCCTTGATACTCCTCTTCCCAGCCGGTAAGAGGTTCCGTGAGATCAGCGTACAGACTAGTGATTACAAGGGCAAAGTCTGTCTCGATGAACCAAGGCTTGTAAAGCCGCCTGTGATCGTGGGGCGACATGCGAATAAAGGAAGGTTCCTGGGCTTCGTGCCAATCCTCCATTTCTGGCGGGGCTTCCCAAGTATCCAGTTCGAAATCTGTGAGGAAAATGCCGCGCTTGGTGTACTCTTGGAGAAGGACTTCCAGGACGACGGGAGGGCAGTGGGATCGAAGGGCAATGGACATGGTAGTTTCGTGCCATACATGAAGCCCGGGGGGGCCGCATGTAGAACAGTGGCAGTTCGATGGGCTTTCTTTTCGTGCTCTGGCTTTGTGGTCGGGAGATCGCTGGGGATTGAGCCGGAGGGGAATGGGGAAGCCCTGGCTACTGAGGAACTTGATCATTCCGCAGATGCTATTAACCTTTTCTTGGTCGTTGATACCTCTCTGGAACAGCTGCACAAGGACTTCTGGCATCATGTTGACCATGGACTCAAGGGAGTGATGGTCTGCAGGCCAGTGTTGGACCGGAAATCCCTTTGAATATAGCCACACAAGGGCATTCGCGAAACTGGGGTTCCAGGGTCCTTTGATGATTCCAAACAACAGTACATCAACTGGACTGTGCTTGCGATGATGCGCAAGCTTATTCAAGCATTTGCACCGAATATGTCTCTTCTCCCAGGCGACCGAGACATCAAGACCGCCGAACTGGTGGTTACGCTCCATTCTGGCGACATCGGCAGTCTTGAGTGCTTCCCGGAAGTCTTCGAAGTGGCCTGAACGGTAGTATAAGGGACGGATGGCGTTGAAGAGTCCAGCTGAAGATAAGGCTAGGGATCGGAGGTCTTTAGTACTGGGCTCGGGGATGTTCTTGGCTATCATGTGCATCAGCTCGGCAGGGAGACGCGCGAGAGCTCCTGTTTGCTGAGGTCGGGTGTCAGAGGGCTTCACGATGAAGGAAGTGCTTCCTGACCCGAGAGGGAGCAGGGAGCCCATGATGAGAGGTTCCTCGATGGGATGGTAGTGGGGGATGAAAGGAGAGGAGATTGGAAGAGGGGAAGAAGATAAGACGCGTTTGTGCTTCGTGGGCTTTTATGGTTGTGATATCGAGTAGTGCGCTGTAGTTTCTGAGTTGATGATTTTGTGGAAGTTTAGTGTGAGGAAAGCTGAGAAGAGTAAACAAAACCTGTAACGTTGCGGTTTGAAAACTAGCAGTGAAGCAGTGGGGTGAAGAAGAGTGGGCATGCCACTGCTACAGTATCAATCTGCCACTGCCAGGTTTCGACCTGAGGAGAACCAGAGCATGCCCGTTCAGGCTGAAGAGTGAACACCAGTGACACTCAAAGCGCAACAGTCATGAAGAAGAAGAGGTCTTGATTGTTATCAGGGGCAAAGAAAGAAAAAGGATTTCGGCACGTAACTCGGAGTTTTATCATCTACGAGCCTTTCCAGTGTACGTGCTCCAGATGTAAGCTCTCTAGAGAACCCCTCTTTATATGGGATACACTTGTAATTGCCTTTGCGAAGTTTTGGTAGTGAATATGGGAGGCTTATATGTATTGAAAACCTTGATACGAGATACTTGGCCAGTGGCGCTGGCATGCAAGTCGCAAGTGATCTGTTTACATTTGTCAAGGAGGTGGGCCAGGAAAGTATATAGAGAAATGAGCCTCGTTCGTTAATTGTGATGCAAAAATATTTGTAATTCAGAGTTTTATCATCTACAGTGCAAACATCCCTCAAAAGTTCCAGTATAAATCTTTGCAACAATCGTGATTCCTCAAATACAGTGATAATATCTAAAATTGATCTCGTTCGGCTGCCCACAGAACTTCTGCCCTTCTATCAACGACATAGAAAACGTACAAATGAGATATTCAAGCACAGAGAAAAGGAAAGGAACAAGAAAGCCAAAATAAAGAAACCCAAAGATTCGCACAACTCTTTCATCTTCTGTAGGAGCTACTTGAACAAGGGCTCATAACATCTGCCATGTATACAAGTGCTGTTCCACTGAGGACAGGAACTACCAGCTGAGTTAGACCGTAAACCAACAATGGAAGTCAAGATTTCAGAGCGCCCCTCAATGATACGGCCGTATATCGAGCCAAAGCTTTACCAGAGACTTCCTTGTCGGCACGCGATCTTGATACCCTTGTCGAAGTACTGGCCAACACCTGGGACGAAGCTAGCCAGCACCTCAGCAATGGCGCCGGCTTTTCCGCAACCGCTCTCACCCCTCAAGGTCTGAGCGCCGATTTTGATCTGATACATGTCCGCACGGAGAGACCCATCCTTGTTGTAGACGTTGATGCGGACCTGGGACGGAAGCTTGCGGCCCCAGCTGAACTGCTGGCACTCTACCATGTACTCGCAGGGGCAGTAGATATTCTTCGTGGTAGCCCGACCACAAGCAGCATTTGGATTTCTCGGGGTGGATTCCTGCCAGGTAAAGCCACTGCAGTCTGTGTAGACGGGGTACTGGTTCTGCTGACCAGCTGCCTGAACAGTTGCCCACATAGATTGGATGAGAGCATCTCGCATCTGCCAGCCGCTGACTCTGCCGACTACTCCCCATTGGCCATCGAGCTGGACTCGGACAGATGTCTTGGGCTTGTCGTACTTGGAATTGCAGCTGCCGGTGTACTGCCAGGTGGTGTGGTCGGAGAGACCGCCATTGTTGTCGGACACATCGTACATGCGGTTCCAGACGCTCCAGAAGGAATCAAGATTGCCCACGTTGACCAACTCATCCGTGTAGGTTGCATGGAGGTTGAAATCAGCAGCAAGTCCCAGCCCAACGGCGAGGGTGCTAACAATGATGGAAGAGAACTTCATTGGGATTGGGGGTAGAAAGAATGAGAAGGAGGGGTTGTCAAGGACCGCGTATTGCTTTTGCTTCGTTGAAGCTGTGTTATTCTGTTGTTGGTTATGTTCAGCCTTGGATCTTTATCATACGAACATAACCTTCTTATACTCGGGTTCAGCTTATTAGTTAGCTTTGACGACAAGATACTCACCCGCGCCCCCGTTCAGGACACCGAGATCTGCACAGAACTCTCTCAAGCAAACTCTATAATTGTATTTTAAGTTTTACCTGAGCTAGAGGCTTGTCCTCAAACGCCGAGTATGTAGTCCTGAACTTAGAAACAGGTTTCCAAATAACAAAATCTATACGGTGGTTTCTTGGAAACATCCGTGCAATAGTCTGCCGGGCTTCATAGCCAATAGAATACACCACGAGGCCTTCCAGAAATGGCCCTTCTATCTCGTATAGCTTTGAGAAAGCTCTGACTGCAAACCTCTACATTCATGCTCATAACAACCGTGCTGAAATTGCAGATACGTGGAACCAGTCAGGCACAGGAAAGCCTATCGTGGACTCTCAAGAAAGCAGCGGGTTTCTCCTGAGGACACCGGGCACCAGCTGATTCGAACTTTACCTTGATACAAATCAACCGAAAAGTTCAGCCGCATGCTAGGTCTCGGTGTCATAAAGGGGTAAGTGAATAATCGGTGGACGGTAAAAGTCTGATCTATCTTTAGGGCAAAGAATATCAAGTCTGAATGATACATATATCAGCTGGTGCCCGCTCGTCTGACTTGGCCAGTATCATCGACTATCAATACCATCTACAAGACTTGATTGCTCCTCACAACTCTCTACGTTACATCTCAAATTTGACCAAATTCTTTCGTGTAAATAACCCTTTCTCCAACATCACTATGTTTTCACTCATTCCTCTCCTGAGTCTCCTCATCGTTGGCTCTCATGCAAACCCCTTCCTCGACGCACGAGGCGTCGCAAGCGCTGAGCTGCCCGCCAAACTCAGCGCCATCAAGTTCGACCCAGCCAACAAAGACAGTGTGACTTTCCACATCACTGCCGCCGGCGTTGACACTCAGTGTTTCCCACCTGCCAAAGATGCTGTCGCTGCAGGCAGAATCTACAAGTGCGGCGAGAACGCTGCTGTCACCTTCAGCTACACCGGCGAGGATGGCAAACTTAGCGTTTGGCTGAGCAATGAGAATGGATCCTTTGCTGGCTCTACCCTCGTCTCTGGCCCCGTTTCGGGTGAGGTTGCCATTGACCTCGCCAGCCTCAACGGTTGAAGATTGTTGGATGCAGGGGGTTAGCATTGGGCGAGTTAGGTTGTTAGATAGATTGTGAATCAGGGGCAGTGTGTGTGGGGAATAGAGACGGAGGAACCGGCAGTGTGTTGTGTACTTAAATCCATTCAAGGACAGTCGCATCTCTTTGCGTACTGCACTTTGAAGGGATACATTTCTTAGAGTAGTAGTGTGATGCAATATTTGACTTTTATACACCATGCGGTAGATTACACTAGCACGCTCGGGCCAAGCCGTGAAATCTCCCTCTTAACAGCCATAAGTGCCTTAGCCTTGCCTTTTCTAGCGTATTTTCGAAGGGGCAATTGTTCTAGGTCGGAAGATTTGTAGCTGATCTCAGTTCCTGCGCGTTCTAGAATTACCTGAAACCTGTTCTATCGAATACAAGTAAGCTGTCTTTTTAGGGGCAATTGAGTAGTGCGGCCCGATCCTAACTTCAAGTTGTGCACGTGGGGTTTCTCTCGCTTTTCGTTCGTGAGATCTGATAGCCTAAACTTCAGGTCAGTACAATGTCAAAGCGTTCATGGACTCAGTAATATGGGGTCAGGCATCCTTAATAAAGAACCCGTAAGCTTTTAACGTTTTCTCTGCCTAAGATTGGTCAGGGGTAGCCTGAAAGCTCAGCAAACGTGTAGAGGCTAGAGGATATGCTTGGTTGTTTCTCTTGACCGAGAACCAGAACCTGCTGTGGCTTTAGCTGAAACAAACTATAGACTGCTGAACCTAAAATGAACCAAGTATAGCTGATGCCCAAGTGTTATACGATGATATGGCTCTGACCTTATGGCTTCTCTTGTATTCGACCTCGTATTCCCAAGGACAGATACTGCCAGCTCAGCCCGCTACCCATCTTAGTCATCAGAGATTTCGCACCTATTTGAGCTCTGTGCTTGTATATAAGCCGGTTCCACAACGATGCCTTCTTCTAAAAAACAATTTCTTCTCTTCAGATTCCAAACAAAGCTGCAGTATGTTCATTCCTCATGCGCTGTTACTTCTCACATATAGCACCTTTGTCTGGACTCATTCAGTCTCCGACCTTGGCGAAGATGACTTCTTCGACCTTGTACATTCAGACAACTTTGCTCTTGTGCTATTTGTTACCCCTGGTTGTGTGAAGTGCGACGAGATTACTACTCAGTTCGAGCAGGCCTCAGACCAATCCCCCAAGGCCAACCTCGTACGGGTAGATTGTTCCACTAACGGTAAAGTCTGCGATGATGTCGGAGTTCTCCATGTTCCAGAGGTCAGGCTTTCCAGAGGTCGTGGCCGACTTACCGTTTACCGCGGCGACTTAGACCCTTCAGCGTACGATAACCCCCTTTCTCTTAACAAGTTTTCCACTAAGCATCTTGTTTACTCTAGACTATTGTCATTCATCGAACGACAACATGGCCCAGCTGTTATGGAACTAACTGATGCCAATTATCACGAGTTTTTGAGTACTGATTACGTTTCAATCGTCGCCTTCATTGATGATCAAGATAAAAACTTGGTCGAACTATATTCGCAGGTGGCTGAGCAACTTCGGGGTGAATACTCTTTTGCAATCTCCCATAATTCTAGTCGAGCGAATGATGAAGGTGTCGCTCGACCAGGTATTTTGCTCCTCAGTACATTTGACGAGCGTCGCAGCAGCTACGAAGGGCCTTTTGACCATGATACACTCCAGCTCTTTATCAGGAAATACGGGACGCCCTTGATTGGAGAGCTTCACCCGGAGGTTTACGCTTCCTTTGCCAAGGTATTCCAACCTATTCGTACACTTAGATGAAATCCGACAGCTGATAAATACTGTTAGACCAACTTGCCACTAGCACAGATTTTAGTAGCTTCTCCAACAGAGCGCGATCATCTTGTTGACTTGCTCTATCCACTGGCTCGAAGACTCAGCAGCGTCTTGACATTTGTTACCGTCGATTTAAACAGGTACCCCCAGCGGGCGGCACTACTCAATCTCGCCGACGGCACCAAATTGGGTTTCGCAATTGAGAATGTCACCTCAACGGAGAAATTTCCATTGAAAGCCAGGTCGGTCAATGCCGAAAGTATCACAGACTTTGTCCAAGATTTTGTGGCTGGCAAGTTGAAACCAGAAGTCCGATCTCAGCCTATACCAGTAGAGCAACAAGGCCTCTGCGTCGAACTAGTTGGACACACCTTTAGAGAAACAGCCTTTGATGAAACTCGAGATGTCCTTGTGGAGTTCTACACCCCATGGTGTGATTACTGCCTTGAGTAAGTCTGTCTGCTTCTCACCTGGTGGAAGTCGACTCTAATTAGCACGCTAGGTCACATGATGTACTCGAAGAGCTCGCTGAACACTATCGCGATGTAGGACTCAGTGACAAGATATCCGTCGCCAAAATCGACGTGAGCAATAACGATGTCCCTGAATTGATTACAGGTTACCCAACGCTGAAGCTATACCCAGCTGGTGGACACCCCCCGGTTACATTTCAAGGCAACTACCACGAGCCCATTCCTCTAGCGACGTTGATTTCTTTCATTCACGATCATGGTAGGAATCAGCAAGAGGCTAGGTCTTTGCAGTACTCAGATCCGTCAATAGTGTCTGAACCCATGATTCCACTTGAGGCAGGACAGGCTGAATTGGCAAGTAAGAGCTCGAACAAACCCATTTTAAGCCAGCAGCACGAAGAATTATAAATAGATTCTAGAGAAATATAATAGAGGATGTTGGGGGAAGAAAGAAAAACTCTTATTTGTGCTTGCTATGTTTTTATGCCGTCTATGATAAACCCGATCTAAACAAATACCCCAAAACAGTAAAGACAGTATCGCTCATCTATCCCAATACCCTGATGTAACAAAACAGCCCAACACAAGAAGCACCGTCCAGCGTGTGCTTGTCGATAGTTCAACATCAAATCAGATGACAGCAAGATGCATGTCTTCCTCGCGTGGCTATCAAGGAACGTAGTGAAGGATGCGTGCTAGATTGAAGTTCTGAATGATCCAGTCTGCGTCTGCGTTGTCGTATTCAAGGTATGCATCATAGGCTGTCATGAGAATGCCTCCCTGCGGGATGCCATGTTCTTGCTCATATCGCAACACGACGTCAAGGATGGCTAGTGCACAATCCGACTGAGAAATAATTAGCCGTGTCTTTCTAGATGAAGGGAGAAAGGAGCTTTGTTAGCCTTGCTTGAGGAGTCGAGATAGGCAAAGGGGACCCGCAGCCGGGAGCAAGACAACAGATGTTGCCAGAGACGCTTGTGGTGTCGACGTTGTCAGAACTGGTTGCGAAGTAGTCGAAAGAGCTTCTCGTGAGCTTGCAGCCCTTGCGAGGGCAAGTGAAGTGGGCGGCGTTGTTGAAAATGACCCTAAAGACCGTTGAGTAGGTCTACTTCGGTCACAAAGGGTCCAGCCGGCGCAGCCATGGTAATGACGGGCAAAATCAAGCAATGAGGTAATGTAGAGTTGGTGGCGTATTAAAAGATTTATGTGCAAATAGAGACGACCTTTTGACCAGCAAAGATGTCAAGTAGTTGTGGAAGTGAAAAGGGACAAGGGAATGTTCAGAACTTGAAGCAGAGGAGGATCAGAGAATGTTGGAAAGGATCAGGTATTTATGATAGAATTCACAGCTTACGTACGAAGGAATGGTCAACCCTCATGGCCAGCATGGCTAGCGGATTGAAACGCGCCCGATACTGTTCTCTGAGGTTCTCACGGTCCATGGCAGAGTCATAGCTTGGGAACCCGGTAGCCTGCTCCAATGAGAAAAAGAAATAAGCGTGCTGGTCAGCCTTCGCAGTATGTAAACACTCAGGTACAGGGGCAACGAATTTGATACATCATGAAAAGTTGCCTGCTAATGGAACTAATGACATCAAGGTTAAGAATAGACATATTGTCCACCAGAATGAGTCAACGTAAAGAAATTATGAGACGGTTTAAGCGAAAGAACAATCAAGTGATGCCACGCTAAAGATCAATAGCTGAAATCTCAGGAACGCCGCTTCTAGAAGACTGCCATATTTGGTTGCCACATGAAAGTCCTAGATCAAGGCGTAAGCAGGCAGTCCTTTTCGGAACATGAGGGCTGACCTATTTTGGACCCCTACCTCCTTAATGATATACTCTGTCCAAATAAGCTGCTGATCCAGCCTGCATTATCGTGCGAACTGCCTTGATCCAAAAAGGCTGATTGGTTCGATCGCGATTGAGATAACCAAGCTTTTGGTAAACAGCATCATTGGTCAAATGAGCAGGGAGCCCTGGATGGATCAATAAGCGCCACTCAGTTCCTTACGCAGAAACACCAAGCTAAAACATGAAAAGCAAAAGTAAAGACCCCTGTTTCTCCTTGGAGCATGAGCGCAACAACAAGCTCATCAACACCCTTCCCGCAATTCCTAGGTAATACAACTGCGCAGTGGTTCAGTACTTAGTCACTGGCAAGTTTCAATAGCGCTTTATAATATCAGTAGTTTTTGCACCAATAGAATGAAATATGACATGCTAAAGTAAGGTACTGGAGTTACCCAAGAACTGGCAATCGGGCTACGGAGCAGGAGCATCATGATGAACCACTTGTCCATTTAAAGAGCCCCTGGGCGCAGCTCCCGTGCCCACGGCCTTGGCGCAAGTTGTTGAGTAAATAAACGAGCGTGACTGGTCAACTCACCGAGGTGGCTTGTATTGATCGGTGCAACCAGGTTCCGTGAGTTGGTTAGTGCAATATCCGGGAGCAAGGCGGCCCAGATGGGACGCAGTGCAGTTTCCGTGGTTGATTGAGATGATAGCTAACTACCTGTAAGACAGAACTGGGTGTAATAAACATTGAAGCGCGCTGTAGGTTAGTCGCGAGAGTTGAGTTGATGTTGAGCGCATCAGGATCCGCCTTAGCAATGCTTTGGGATAACCACGCAGAGACCTGAGTGTACGAAGATGAATGCGAACAAGCTTTCATTAAAATGTGCAGCCCAAGCTGAAATCTGTTTTTATCAGCCAAGCAATTGATGGGAGGTGCCGGGCTTTCCGGTTTGTAATATATCACATTGATAGTGAGTAGTTGTACCACCATAACAATTTCCCAACTTGAGCAAAAAGGAGAGTTTCAAGTAAAGTCACCGTCAGCTACAGCTTGGCAGGCCAAGCCTGGCTTTGCACTTCTATATTGGCAACTATCCAAGGTACTCACTTATTTTAACAAGCTGTAGTCTTTTGGGTTGAGCTTTAAACAATGTGTCAAAAGATTATCCCGATACACTGAGCAATTGTAAAAAACCAAGAAATATAATTCTAACGAAACAAAAGAGATATAACTAAAAGTGCAAAAGGAAACAGAAAACGGTTATAAGTCAGTAGCAAACTCAAAAAATCGCAAAGAAGAAAATTGTAGAGAGAAAGAATGAATAAAAGTGCAAGCCAGCCTGTCAAGTTCAAACACGCGGATGCAACAATCAAAGCCAGTGCCTTTACCTCCGTTGGTACCAGAGACGGGGTTTGTGTTGAGAACAGCAGAATGTTCCAGCTTCGATGGAATCTAGATGTAACCGTTCAGTATCTCCAAGAGGCTGCTCGTCAGCACCTGCCTGGCGGAGGGCCTTGATGATCTCGCGACTGTTTCGCTGATGGCATTTGTAGGATGGAATCTTGATGCCCTGGCGTTTCCATCGACGAGGTATATGATTGTGGAGAATTCCGGGTCTTATGGCGTATCCAACAGCCAGTGCAAGAGGGCATGGAGCCTCCAAGGCTTTATCGTCATAACCCGCACTATTCGGGTTTGCCCCACGGTTAAGAAGCCACTTGACAGTGCGAGGACGAGAGAGCGTGATAGCTGTTACTAGAGGCCGGAAAAGGCGCTTCGGAGGTCGATAATCAATAGGTGCACCAGCTTCGATGCATCTGGCAAGAGTGCGCCAATTGCCATCCTCTGCGGCTGTCGTCATAATTTCCCAATGGAACTTTTTACCTGCTTCGCAGTACATATCTAGGATTAGGAGATCATACAGTTTCCTGCATGTACTGGCGAGTCTGACTTTGTCCGCAAACCTTTTAGGTGCCTTGAGAATCTCTAATAGTATTTCTGTAGGGAGGCGACAAAGTTTGCTTTGAGTCTGATTGGAGGAATGGGAATCCATCGTGAAGAAAGTAGAAGAATGATGTGCAGCGTTTTTGCTGGTAAACTGAGAGATTCTGTAGGAGTAGTATTGAAAAGAGTGTGAATACCGGGTTTGTTTTTTAGCAACATCTCGAACTCAAGGTTAATTGAACGTACTTTATACGTCCAAGTCTTTCACTGAAAAATTCTCCTAGTCTTTGTAGTTGGTGTCTTGTCCTTTGCTTCTATTTTTGGGCTCTGTCTTGATGGGACCAAGTTCTCTCTGCTGATTTAAGCTCTCAGCCACAAGTCTCAACTGCAGATGGACAAAGGGAATTAGAACTGTGTATTGAGTTTGCAGCAAAACCCATGCTCTTCTGAAATGATGAGAACAAAAATGAACGTAGTCTTGTTTCGAAACTTTACTGTAGAAAATCGATACTGAAACATACCGTTTCGCTCTCTTGGTAACATCAGTACCCAGCTCATAAACCCGCTTTACACGCTCTGAACCGGTTTTCCATAAAATACTCATGCAATATAAGCTATAAAATTTATTTTCTCTAATATGTAAGATTGAAAGCTCATTAATCGCCTTTGCCCCAATCATGAGTGGCAGTTAACATCTGTAGGATTACGTTCGGGACCCTACCCCAGGATAATGAAATACGAGTAATAACAAACGGCATTCTACAGTGTTAAATTATTTAATCGCTTGTACAGAATATGTATGTTAAGGCGACTCGAAGATCAGTGTTCCTCTCAGGCTTAGACGGGTGCTTTGTTAAGACTCGCATGAATAACAAAGACGCGAGTCTGGCTTTGGTTCATGCCAGACTTGGCCTCGGATATCCCGTGCTTTGAATCGAGATTTGTTCAACATACTAACTTAGAGCAATTTACTCGAGATTCGGGTCCTTTGTTAACATTACTGCCGTTGTTTCCACTCATCTGCGTAGACATCGTTTGCCTCCGTAGACCAGAAGACAATTTGATTGAAGACAAGCAAAGATCCCTGCTGTTTCATGGGCGTTGAGTCATGAAAGCTGAAAGAAAGGGAGACCGGAAAACAATGAAAAGTGCGCTTTCCTTTTAAGAACAGCGAGCCATGAAAGGGTTGGCCCGGGTACGCTTGCTTTGTATCTCGACACCGAATTTATCATGTATGAGACTGGATCCAGCAAAGCTGATTCAACTCGAGTATAAGTACAGGTCGCATTCACCCAAAAACAATAAGCTATAATCCATCTAACACTTTATTACGATAAGAACTACAACAAAACTTTAACATAAACTCACACAATTGCATGACGCAAATATGTCAAACCAGAAACTTGAAGATGCTGTCACTTATCCATCTGTGGAGATGAACCCTTCAAGACCTCAACAACGAGGAAGACTGCTTCTACTCCCTACCGAAATCCTTCTCCAGATCACTAGCGATCCCGATCGAGATGGAGGGACTATACCTTACAAAGATCTCAAGCGTTTGGCACTAAGCTGCTCCAGACTCTTCTATCTCATTCGCCCGATATACTACTTCGCCGATAACTTCGCCGTCTTTCACTCTGCTGTTGCACATAGAGACCTAGAGGTTATCCAAAGATGCATTCAATTCCGATCCGTACCTCGTACGGTGACGCAACTTCCCCACGGCTGCACATGTCCATCGGAAATGCCACATGAGAAGCACAGCCCTCTTGATTCCCTTCTAGAGTGCTTTGTTTACGGCTCTTTCCCCATCGGTAAGTCCCTAGACGCATTGAAATGGTTGCTCGATGAAGACACAAAAGGATATAACCCGACGGACCAGCCATGGCACAAGGATCATTGCTTGGACGATTACCATCATATACCTGAGCTTTTGGTCACTTTTTTGGGCCAGAATACTGACAGAGCTCGAACAAAAGAGACTATCGAGATGATTGAAGCCTTGCGGAGCTATGGATTCTGCTTACCTTACCAGGTAAACGAGAAAGTACACGTGGAACTCTATCTTGATGAAAGAGATGTCAAGCGCCTCGCCTATACGCCCTTTGATGTGGCTTTACGACCGCACTGCCCCGCAAACTTCCTTGGAATCATGCTCGAGGAATATAAACGGCGCGGATTATCTATCAAGGCCGCATGCAGCACACGACCCTTCCAAGTCGAAAGTTGGGCAGGTGAATGCTGGCCTCGCGTAAATGGCTGGTGGCGTCATAGAACTAATATAGGGAATGTGGCATGGGGTTTGTTTCTAGGACTCATGGATGCTTCATTGATCTGGAAGGAATCGTACTTGGGCGAAGTCACCCATGGATTCCAAGAAAAAGTCCAGCTACTGGTGGATTATGAGGCAGTCGACTCCGATGAGCTGCTCGCTTTGCAGTGCATACTGGAAGCCCTGGAAAGTATCACCTCAGATGCTCAAAGGCTTGGGGGGTTTGATGAGGAGCGCGACGGGAAGGCATGCTGGCTCAGGCTATGTGAAGCTGTGAGCCGCTCGGCATGCCATCTTGACCTACCAAGAAATACTCACTCCCCTCTCCATAGCTTTACCCTGGTAAAGCGGTGGAACCCATGGAACTTATGGTATAACTATCAGCTACAGAATCCTAAGTTCAGGGCCGATATGTCGTTTTCCTGGATGCAAGAGGACGGGTGGGATCTGAGACAGAATGAGAAAGGGATGTGGTATGACCGCATGTGGGACCGCTTTCAGAATCCTGAACTTTGTCTTCTCATTCTGCCCAAATGGCAGCCCGTGACATTTGAAGAGTACGTGGCCTTAGTGGAGAAAGAGTACCTGAGGGTCAAACGTCGTTTTTCGCTGTCAGGACTCAGGGGGTAAGATGTAAGAAGTATTTAACCCCAGAAGGCTGACTCAACAGTCTTGGACAGGCGAGGTTCAATTTGGAAGCTGGTTTAGAAGATTTATCGACGGGTGTCACGGATGTATGTTAGTTACAGGTTTCGAGTGCTGTTCCATTATAGATACTACCTTTTCGATTTCAGAGAGTGCCTTTTCCCGCCTTTGATAAGTTTCCTATATCAGGTTGTTACTAATAGTCGCCGTCATTTAATTACTGTACGGTCTCTAGTGACTGCTTCTACTATGAAAGTAATAGGAGTTCGACAATCAAATAAGTCAGAGATCAGCCAGCTTGCACGAATAAAATAGATGTAGTGACATGTTCGCTTGAGACTACTTGCCTCTACGTTCTTGTTGACACCTGTCGTTACATGCAAATAAGCGTTACTATAGCTAAAAGATATAAGACTTCCATTTAGAGGCTGGAACGATGTTATAGAACTTTAGGTTACTTGATAGCGATGAAAATTGATACGGGAATATCACAAGCTGATGGCCGAATTCTAGGATTGCTTCCTTTGTTCAAATGGCCCCAAAGATCGAGCCCTGGCCTTTATAAGGTACCTGTTCATAATTGGCATTTGTAATAAAGTACATGGAGTACTGCTCAGGTTTTTGATCCTTTGTTCTCGTTGCTGCCAAAGAAGGGCCTGAGTACAACAGATGCTATCGATCAACTGTCCGTTGAGATGTTCCCACGTTCATTGAAAGTGCAAAAGGCTAGGGACAAAAGAACACATGCCCTATTCTTTAATGAACAGTAAGTAAATTCGACTTCAGCTTAAAATTGCAGTAATAGAAAGCACCTAGCATTCCGATATCAGGATTGTTCTGTGTTACACAAGTACCAAATTCAAGAATTGGACATATCGAACAGGTTCACGTTGAGTATAAATGTCGGCAATATTATCCCTAAGCTATACACCTTTCTATCAGTATCAAGTATTTAATACAAACCACAATATACACCATACACCATAACACGCATTTTCGCACGAAATCACAGAAAGTCAACATGTCGAACCACCATATCGAGGACCTTCCACTTTCTTCTTCATCCAAACAGATGACTTCTTCACGACCTCAACACCAAGAAAAGCCGGCCCAGCAAGAGGGAAGTCAGGCTTCCCTCCCCGTTGAAGCTCTGCCAAACATCTCAGGTGAGCCTGGGAAGGATAAGCAGGCCCAAGTCCTATCGCTTAATGGCCTCCAGAGCTGGGAAGAAAGCTCTGGGGTAAACGTTCGCGAGCTAGGTCAAGCATATTATTGTGTCGACAACTTCGCTGTCTTTCACTCCGCCCTCAGGTGCGCGGACATGGAAGTAATGGAGCGATGCTATCAAATGGCAAAGCTACCTTTGCATCTAGAGTGGAAAGTATCCTGCCAATGCCCGTCCGACAGGGCTCACAAGCATCACAGGCCCATTGACGATGTACTTGAATGCCTTGCAATTGGCTCTGTACCTGTTGACAAGTGTATTAAAGCGATTAGATGGCTCTTAAGCAAGGGATACGAAGCAAACGAACAGAAGGATCAAGTTTGGTATCGGGACAATCGTCAGTGTGGACATATGCCCGAGCTCCTGATTGACCTCTTGGACAAAGCGTCTGACATGATTCGCGTAGAGGGGATCTATGAGATAATTTCTACACTACACAAGCATGGATACGCTCTGCCATACAACATGAACCTTCACAGGTATCACATCACGCGCAATGACCAAAAGAGCAAACCAGACCTGATACGTAAGCCAATAGACGTGGCTCTAAGGTCTCACTGTCCCACATCATTCCTTGAGTTACTTCTAAAGGGGTACGAGAGCCATGGGGTAAAATTAGCAACCGCTCGTTACCTCTGCCCATCTGAAATAGGACGTTGGGTGGGAAAGTGGATGCATACCCAGTGCTGGTCTCAGAGCACAAACCTCGGCAATTTGCTCTGGGGTCTATTCCTCGACATTGCAGATCAATCAACTGGTTGGAAAGAATCATATCAAGGCGAGGCAGCTAGTATACTCGAGAGAAAGATCCAGGTCCTTATCGAGTATGAGGCTGTTACCTCAAGCGAGGTGGTAGCATTGCAGAGCATTGTCGCAGCCTTGCGTGACAATCCCCTCGAATTCAAACTCATTGATGGGGAAAACGACGGAAAGGAATACTGGGAGACACTATGCAACACCCTGCATCCGTTTTCGAGAGATGAGAATTTCCTGGCGAACAATTTGTTGCTCGGGCTGAAGCGCGATACAGAACGCCGTCAACGACTTCACTCCTTTATCGTCGAGGCTGATTGGAATCCATGGATGGTGTGGCATGACTACAAGATGCAATGTCCGAAGCACAGGGCCAATCTATCTCATCCTTGGATGAAGCACTGGACATGGAAGATGTTCCAGCGGAGAAATGGAAAATGGTATGATTCTGAGTGGGTTACTTTCGTCGAGGTACGTTACCGCCACTGGCTAGACTCAAAGCTACTACCGAAATGGGACCAGGTAAACTACGATGAGTTTGTGGCTGCTGCTGAGAGCCTATGGCTGGCGGAGAGGATCTCGGGCCGTGAATCGCAGGTGAAAGACGAGACGACGGAGAATTCGACAGAAGATGATTCGCGGTCAGAGAAACTAATTGAGGAATTTGAGAGGAGGTGTGCGGAGATACGAGCCGAACTCCAGCAGATTGTGGGAGATTCACAGAGGAAAAGGGAGATCCAGAAGGAGGTTTGAAAGATCTGTTATGTCCCGGTATTGGGAGAGTGTTTATAGCAGTATGGTTGAGAGGATAAATTGATGTTCTGGTTAGTATAGTTCCTTGTATTTATAGAACATTTTGACTTTTGTCACACTGCGTATTCCAGCCATGCTTAGCAGTAGTATATATATAAACACTTTCGCTATCACGGTAGGCTTTCAATATTTTTGAAGTAGTTGTCAACCAGTTTTCTAACAAGATACTACGTAGGTACGAACAAGAAACGATGAAAGCCATGTTCGCCAAAATATCCCAAACAGGCTCCATCTTTCGAGGCTGATGTTACTGCAATACCCCATTCAACGCTTCCGGACATTTAGACGAGGTATTTCCCCACGGCTAACACTCCAAAAGCAACATCCTAGCCTGGATCACGCAAGTCGCATCCTAACAGCAGGCCTTGGCCCAAACATCCCCACCTATCAACAACCCTGTCTAGTGCTTACGACACACGCGTAATATGGATCTCCTCCATCCAATTCTTCCCATCTCCTCACTGAAACGGATAAGCAGATTAATAAACCACACACAAGCCATGGCCGGTCACGCCACTGACGAAACAAAGGGCAAAGGAAAAGTCCGACAGCGGCGCGCCCACACGCGAAGCCGCACTGGCTGCTCAGAGTGCCGTAGTCGCAGGGTGCGGTGTGGCGAGGAGCGTCCCACATGGTGAGAGATCCCCCAGCCCCAAAACAAAGCCAGGCTGTTTCGGGAGAAAAAAGGCTGACTGTGCAAATTGGCAGTGAGAACTGCGTCAATAGTAAGAGAACGTGCGAATATCCACCTGTCAAGATACCGCTGAGGGAAAGACGGGCGCTGGAGAAGGCTGGGACGACTCAGCCTTGGGAGCATGTTCCCTGGGAGGCTCCGAGTTCTTCCAAGGGACCAGAGGTGCCCAACACCCAGGCTCTGGTCCGTCAGCTTATTTTGTCGAGCTCTGCAACGACGTTGGACTGCGTGGCCATTGATATGCCCCTCAAATCACATGAACTCTTCAATTACTGTAGGTTCTCATCATCCATACGCAACGATCGATTACTAACAGGCCTTCTGTCTACGGTGAAACCCTTGTCACATCTGTCACAAATCATAACAAGGATTGGTACGTCTAAAAAGCTCGTCTCACTAACCAGTGCTGATATTTATAGCATGTCATATACCATATCAGACCCTGAAGCCCTCCGCAATGCAATTTTGATGGCAGCTACTCATTTCACTTTCAAGGTCGGCAGCCTCGAAGCATTTGAGCATACATTCCTCTTTCATAGAATTGAGACTGTGCGATTGGTGAAAAAATGGCTTTCCAGTGGAGATCTCACGCTCTCAGCTGCCATCACCAAACAGATCGCCACCTTGGCATATACAGAGGTATGCAGGTGAACGTCGCTCATTGTTTCAGATGTACTAAGCCACTATTAGTTCTGCAGTGGTAACATGCAAATGGCAGAAAAGCACTTAAACGTCATCTACGCTCTGCCATGCCAGACAACAAACCCGTCGAATAGCAATGGCAAGTCTCGTGACCAAGAGCTCTCTGATCGCTATTTTGTGTTGTGAGTATTTGTCACTCAGACTAAACCTGGTGTCAGCTAACGTCCTAGAACCTCCACCTTCATCCACGGCGTACAGACCGTTCTCCATGGCATTCTCCGCGCCGAAGACTCAACCGAGAATAACAAAAGCCTCTCAGTCTCCCATCCCATGCGTCTCATGCACAAATGGTACAAGTCGGAGGGCCAGTACCTACACTGTCTCAAACTCAAAGCCATCCGCCTCTTCTCAACATTCTTCATACTGCCTGACATCGGCGCAAGGCTCTCTGATGTCTACAGCGCGTCAATAGTGAACAGTCTTCGTCAAGTCACCGACGAGTTCTACAATCTCACAGAAGCTCAAAAGATACACGATGATTTTTGGAGAACCGGTGCAGCTGCTCGAGTTTACGACGCAGTTCTTGAATCGCACCAAACCTCAATTACACCTACCGATCAACAACATGAAGAGACTTTAGAGACTGAGCAAAAGACTTCATGGTGCGGATTGGTCATCGCAGCAGAGTTATTTCTTGAGCAAGTAGTTGTGCTCTGGCGCCCTTTCACAAGGGAGATATACCTCTGTAGCATGAGGATATTCCAACGCGATCTGACTTTTGCTCTTCAGAAGACAAATACGCTAGAGATTGCAGAGCTGTTATTCTGGGAGTCGTTTCTAGGATTGATGAGTATTTACTTCCATGAGAAACTAGGGGATATGGAGCGAGAACCTGGCTTAAGACTGTTTTTTGAGAGGATTGTAAAGGAACAGAGTCAAGATATGCGTTTGGAGAAGTGGGAGGATGCAAGGAGGGTGCTGTTGAACATTGCATGGCCGTTGGACTTTTCTGAGAATGATTATGCGAAAGGAATATGGGAGGCTGTAGTGGCTGACTAGGTACTGAAGAAAGAACCCATTATCATTCCAAGTTAAAGTGTTATCTTTAAGTGGGACGGTGGTTAGCGACACGGATACAAACCGCGTTGAAGCCTTTGTCAGAGCATTGAAGTTGCTTACAGGTCGTACATGCCTTTGCAATCCTCGGGATCCAGTAGGAACTTGAGTTATAGATCCGCATTTGATGCAACTGGAAAGATAAACTCTCTTAGCCTCGCCATCCCCATCCGATCTCCTTCCATGGTCTCCACTACCTCTTTATCAACCCAGCCCCGAGTATAGCCTCCACCGAAATCTGTGACCCACGCATTATTATCCTGATCTATCAAGACATTCTCTGCCTTGATATCCCCCCAGACTATATCGGCTCTATGCAAAGCAGAAACAGCAGCCTCAATCTGGTCCATCCATCGTTGCCTCACTTCATGTGGAGGATCATCTGGTTCCCCGGGAGCAATCTTAGTCGACAACGGACAACCTCGTGTATCAACATGAGTTAACAAAACCCCAAGAATAAACTCATACTCATCCAACACAATGCCGTAAACGCGACACAGGTTAAACTGCGAAACCAAACCAGCTGTGTGGATCATTCTATACGTCTCGAGCTCGCGTTTAGTCTGAACGCCGGAGTAGCACGGCTTGAAGAAACATTCGGTCTTACAGTTGTCGATGAGGACTTTATTTGGCAGCTTAAATAGTGCATCTTCGGGACTGTCGAAGCTTAAAACTATTCCGGCAGGATCGTAGAAGGCAGTCCAGGTCTCCAAGTCATCGAGAAAGTCATCGTCAAAGCGTAGAAAAGAAGGACGTACAGGGGACTCATCCGCTACAACACGTCGAGGACATAGCTTTTCGTCGATGATGTGAAGTTCAAAGACAAAGAATTCGGGAAATAGATGTTTTTCCAGGGTGATTCTGATGTCTTTGGAGTCACATTCTGGTGGAGGCGCAAGCTCAACAAGCAGTGGCTTAAACGGGGTCGTGACCCATTCATAGACGTCGGTATCATAGATATCGCCGATGACCTCCTCACCCGACTTGAGGACTTGGAGATATGACATGTATTTCTCTGTCATGTTGGGAGAGTTGATAAAATGGGTAGGCGAGATGTTTATGTAGAACATCTTGCCATTCCGGCGGACGGAGAATCGTGCATTGTGATTATCGCTCCGAATGTTGGTGAGAATGCCTTCGATTGTATCTCGGTGTTGTAGCCATCTCAAAAGCCGACCCAATATCAAGTCGACGCAAAGGTGAAGGGCGCTGAAGTGGAGAGAGAGCGGTGAACTGCGGGGTTTGACGTGTCACAATTCATTGGCGGGATACCTTGCACTACAGCTGACTACCCTTATCTTGGAAAGGCTTCCGTTATCCCGGTGAGGGGCGATAAGAAACCCCAGGACATTTATTCAAAAGCAATTGTAAGAGTCCGGGATCAGTTTACTGTGGAATCAATGGGCAGTAGACCAGGTACTTCTTTGGCACCTCGTCTCGAGGCCAGAAGCGTTCTTTCTCCCTGCGGCCTGATTCTAGAACACCATGCGATGTTCACTACAGTCACGCGACAATTCTCCATGTTCAAGTTGGAAAGCCAGCGCGAGAATGAACATCTTTTGAGTTCACTCCTTACTGAATTAGTGCTTGTAGATAACGAGTCTACCCCAGATACTGTTTAGGAAGCAGTTCGCATATGGCTGGCCCCACTCTGCCGAGATAGGCATGCATCCGCGAAGTGACCAATCACAAATGACTAGTTACAATACAGCAGGATAAATACCTATCACTTAAATTCGGCGTTCTCTAAGCTACAGGTCAATTATCATAACCTTTGTGGTCTTCTCGAAGGATCTGTAGAATTACATAATTTTCAAAATGACAAATACCGTTGTTGTTATCGGGTAAGATATTCATTCAATAACTGAAACTTTAGCTAACGATATCTAGTGCTGGTGTAATTGGTCTCACTTCAGCGTTGTTGCTGGCCAAGGAGGGTAACAAAGTCACTGTTGTTGGGAAACATATGCCCGGTGACTATGACGCCGAGTATGCCTCGCCGTGGGCCGGAGCCAATGTCATTCCGTAAGCCAAGCACTGCATCACTTTTAAGATCATTATACTAATACTCTCAAGCTTATCGCCTAAAGACGCAAGTCGATGGGAACGACGAACATGGATCGCTCTGAAGAAACTTGTCGAGGAAACACCTGAAGCAGGCGTTCATTTCCAGAGTACGTCTTCGTAATCATTGTTGAGATTGAAGTAGCTGACATTTTCAGCAACACACGTCCTTCGTCGGAATAAAGACACAGAGTCCGCCAAATCAGGCTTCTCAGCCCATTTCTACGCCGACAACCCATGGTTCAAAGAAATCTTCAACGACTTCCGAAACAACCATCCTTCCGAAGTCGCAACCGGCTACGACTCTGGTTTCCAATACCAAGGAGTTTGCATCAACACCGCCATCTACCTCCCCTGGCTTCTCGGCCAATGCCTCAAATACGGCGTCGTCGTAAAGCGCGCAGTTCTCACTCACATCAATGAAGCCAAGTATCTCAGCCACACTGGTCAAAAGGCTAACATCATCGTCAACGCCACTGGTCTTGGATCTCTTAAGCTCGGAGGCGTGCAAGACACAACCGTCGCACCAGCACGAGGTCAAATCATCCTCGTTCGTAACGAAACACCCAAGAACCTACCGCTCTTTATGTGTTCTAGCGCCCTTGATGAAAGCGGTGAGGAGATCTATGCTATGCAGAGAGCGGCTGGCGGTGGTACGGTTATTGGCGGGACGTATCAGATTGGGAATTGGGATCCACAGCCTGATCCGAATACCGCGAATAGAATCATGCAGAGAATTGTTGATCTTTGTCCAGACATTGCTGGTGGGAAGGGAATTACTGGTTTGAGTATTATCCGGCATGGTGTTGGGTTTAGACCTTACAGAAAGGGGGGGCTAAGGCTGGAGGAGGAGAAGCTGGATGATGAGACTTGGGTTATTCATAACTATGGGCATTCGGGATGGGGGTATATGGGGTCTTATGGGTGTGCTGAGGGGGTGGTTGAGCTTGTTGACAAGGTCACTGATAAGACTCGGGCGAAGCTGTGAGGTTAACTTCAAGTACTGTTATTCAGCATGTTATTTGCAATCACATTTCTCATGAAAGCCTTTGCGATTCAGCCTTGGTTATTAAAGCTACATTATCAAATGCTTGTCTGGATACACCTTCCAATAACCAACCATAATTCAAGACTGCAAGAGACTTTGTGGGAGAAGATTAAATCTCAGACCTGCACGCAAATGGCAAAAGACCCTACGTTTATCGCTTCATTATATTAGAAATACCACTTATAATCAAATCTTATGCTATAATATGCCATAATTATCTTTCTAGAGTAGAAACCCAGTGGGAAAAGGATCCTCCGGGTCAAGATGAACATTCTTCTCCCCCGTAATCCAAGCCCTCCCCTTAACAGTCGGTAGCACCGCATCCAACTCCCCAACCTTTGTCGTCCCTCTAATCCTCCCCACAAACTCCGTATTAATAATGCTCCTAAACTTGACCGACTCTCCCTCCTCAATAAGGCCCCTGGCATGTAGAATAGCCAGGCGTGACGAACTCCCCGTTCCACAAGGACTTCTATCCAATCTTCCTGGTGTGACAACAACAGTGTGCTTAACAGTCTTGCCTTCTTGCCCGTCCTCCAAAGGCTCTGTGATGATGACGTTGTTGATACCGCAAATAGCTGGGTTCTCAGGGTGCGTGGGCATGCAGTTCGCCAAGACTGCTTGTTTCAATCTCTTGCCGAAATCAATGAGACGATCTGCATTGACTGTTTCCACCCGAAGACCCAGCGCTTCTGCTTTGACGAGCACGTACCACTGTCCTCCGTATGCAATATCTACCACCACAGTTCCCAGCCCAGGAACGTCAATCTCTTTATCGAGAGCATAAACAAACGCCGGGACGTTATCAAACGACACAGATCTGCACTTCCCGTTCTCACACTCCGCCGTCGCAACCACTAACCCTGCAGCTGTGTCCAACCTCACAGTACTAACAGGCTCAACCATGGGAACGATGCCTGTCTCGAGAAGAACAGTCGTTGTGCAGACACAATTCGAGCCAGACATGGGGACCCAATCTCCCGGCGCCATGATAAGAAAGCCAGCATCTGCATCAGGCCGACAAGGCGGGACGATTAAATTAACGCTCATCTCTAGGCGTCCTCTGGGTTCTTGGAGGAGTAGTCGTCGAAGACCATCGCGCTCAGCCATGTAGTATGTGAGCTTATCGTGCATTGTTTTGGCTGGTACGTCGAGGACGCCGCCAATGATGACATCGCCGACTTCGCCTTCTGCGTGGCATGTGACGATTGAGATAACTCGTTTTGAGCGCATGATGAATTATGTGAGAATAATTATGATTGAGGTATTTGATCTTTGAGTGAGAGCGAAGGGGGGGTTCAATTGGTCTGCTTTTATGTATAGTCTTTAGTCTGATTCACTTGATTGGCGTCTTTGTGGAGGGGTTGGACTGATTTGGGCGAGGGGCGGAAAACTACCCATTTTAGAACGCCCGTGTTGAACGCGGCTAGAGATCCCGAGCAGCCACGCAAAACGGGAATGAATTGATACGAATGGCCTAAGATATCGGATGACAAGTCAGGTGCTAAAGAATAACCAATAGTAGCTTAAACTCTCATTACTAACTGCAGGACCATCACTTGCTAGTGAGTTCCAACCTCAACGCCTGTGCGAGAACGATGATCAATATACGGAATGAAATGTCGTTGGAAAAGACTCAGGTTTATTCACAAGTAACTATGTACAAGCTTTGAAAGATATGTTGTCCCTAGCCAATATACCTCAACTAGAGCTAGTAGCTTGACAAGTCCAATCACGAACCACCAACCTAAGCACGAACAACACGAGCCTTGGACTTCCATCCCCAAGCCGAAACATCCCGCTTGTTCATAACAGCCACACTCTCATTGTAATCACTAGTACCATTCTCCGGATCAGCATCCTTAGCCTCACAAGTCGGTCCCGCATCAGGCGCCCCAAGCGCGCCCTCAACAGCACTAAACTTCTGCTTCTCCATCGTAGTAGCAACCATGTTCTTAGCCGCCTCCTCAGTCCAGCCGTTGATGAAATCACCATGCGAGCAGAACGCATTTCCGCACGCAAGCTTGAAGGGAGCCTCGCCGCTCCAGCCATTGGGGAGGACCTTGCGCAGATCGTAGCGGATGCTGAAGCGCAGCTGGGGCATGGACTTGCTGCCCTCGGGACACCAGTTGGCGGTGCCGTAGTCGCGTGACTTGTAGGCTGTTTCGAGGGTTTGTTCGTTGACGCACTGGGGGAAGTAGAGGAGTTGTTGGAGGTGGGTTGCGCAGGTTGACGTGGGGAAACCGTTTGCGCCGAGGGGGATGGGCTCACTTTCGCAAGTCCACTCCGCTTTGGCATCGGCGGGCATATCGGCTTTAGTCTGAGCATTGGCATCACCAGCGACCATCTTCAAGTTCTGAGGAATGGGAACCTCTGCGGGTGTTTCGCCAAGGTTGTAATAGGCGCTGAAGCGCATGACAGGGATGGGTTCGTAGTTCGTTCCATCAGCAGTGTAGAGCGGCGTAGGGATCCAGTAGACCGAGAGATCGTTGGGGTTTTCGGCATTGGTGCAGCCCTTCTGCAGTTCCGCGCTCGTCTTCGTGTTCACGGTGACGGCATCGGACCCGAAGAACGAGTGAAGATGAGACTTGCTGTACTCTCCGGGAAAGACAATGGGGTCGATGTTCTTGAGCATAAAGGGAGAAGCAACGTTGACCTGTGTGTAGGCCTGAGCGGCGCCGACAAGAAGGCCGGCAGCGAAAAGAATGGAGGAAGACATCTTGCGTCTAGCAGATTATAAAGGAATCAGATAAGATAAATGAGTAAAAGGTACAAGAAATGTAGTGACAGTCAATGTCTAACGAATGAAAAAAAGAACGAGTGTAGTTTGAACCAAGAACAGCTGCACAGATCACGACCAAACACTTGGGTTTTAATACCAACGCCAAGCTCCCTTCTCGCATCTTGAAAAACCATCCCGCGTACCCCCGCCAATGTTTCGTCAAGATATGCTTAACAGAGATGAAAGACTCGGAATATTATTAGCGGAAGAATTCACACCTGTAACAAGGAGTTAAGTGCAATTGGTCGATTGTATGGCGCTTGGAAACATTGGAAACGCTGGGCCTTGTAATGTCCGTTTTGAAACAGGGAGAGCTTCTCTATTTGGCTGTTCCCGCGTTTCAGTGTTAGGGCGGTCTTGCTAAGCGACGGTGGCTTTCGGAGCTGAGGCTTGGCTTTGTGTTCTATACGCGTATAATCCTATGGGTGTTTTTAAAGGTTGTTTACCCTGTGGCATCGACCTTTGAGGTAGGATTTGGCAGATGCGGCTATAAAGAGGGACGCATCCCGCTCCAGCATACCCATTATAAGACGCGATAACCTCTGCATCATCGCAGCCCGAAATTTCTCGCGCAACATACAGACATTTGTTATTGCATCAGACAAAAAGCACATCGCTCTTAGGTGTTTATTTGTGCTTTGTACCTTCGTGGTGGGGCTGAAGTCTTTTTTTGGGCTCTCAACCATAGGTAGCATAGCTGTAACATCGATGCCTACTGAAGATAGAATGATTTTTGAACGATAGCTTTGCTCTTCAAGTGTGTGCCATTTGCTCAAAGCTGGGCAGCAATCAACCGTTTTATATGGCAAGCCCAGAACTTGGCGCCGTTGGCCTTTGTCAAGCCGTCCCGATAAGCGAGGTCAACTGACTCGCGCGTGTGTCATCTTCACTTAGGCAATCAATAAACCCATACACCGGTAGAACGTGTGAAACTGTCCGAAAGGCCAATCGCAACATGCGTGATCTGCGCTTTACTGCATATGACTGTCCTTGGAAGCATTTCTCTTCTAGTGGGTCGTCAGTTTTGGAACTTCTCCAGTATTCCACCTTTTTAAGATTAAGGTAAGGAAAAAGCTTACGCGCCATCCTTATCTAATGTCAGAGACAGATTGTTATTCCCGGCCCGGTTTTTAGATGAAACACCTCGTGAAACTGGGATGCTTTGTGCTCATACATGCAGCCTTATGCCATAGTTATGACAGCGATAGAGTTATCCACTTATACTGAAAGTCATATCATGGAAAGGAATGATAGATAATGTGACGAGTGCCCCAAAAAGGATGCATCCTTCGAACCAAGCGAGATAGGATTGTGACTGTGAACCTGCATTTCGGGACTTCGGCTAATGCTGACAGGTCCTCTTTGAGCATACATTTCCGACTTGTCAGTAAGTGATGGTGTGAAGCTATGCCCTTCTTCCACCGGGTGGTGGGGGGGGGGGCAAAAAATCTCAGAACTGAATATGGGGTATTAAAAATAAACTCAGTAAAAGATATCCTAAACTTAGTAAAATTACACTAAATTTATAATAAGCTACCTAAGTCCTTTTATCACCTAGGACCAAGGTCCTGAGTATTCTTTCCTCCCCTAGCCTCTCTGCGAATGACAACCTACAACTAACATCACATCATAATCATGGACCAATCCAAAGTCCCCTCATTCCAAGCCTCCTCAGGCCACCCCTGTCCAAAGACGTTGGCAAAAGCTTGAAAAGTCTTTTTATGGATCTCCAACATGACGAATCTCCTGATGATCTGCAACCCACTCATGCTGCAAACGGTTGCATCTTTCATATTGTCTCCACATATCACTTCATCAGCAGTAAGCTTTCCATTTCCACAATGTAATCAGGAGACATTTCCCTCAAGCTCGAATCTGCCCAGGAGATCATCTTCTCTATCTCGTGCCTACTGTGTTCCACTTGGTTCAAAAGTAAAAACTCTATCGGAGGATGTTCGTAACTGTAGGGCTGGTCCCGGGATTTGTAAGTTCTGACACCGGCATCTAAAAACTAGGGGTCTCGCCAAGCCTGGGAACACTTAAGCTGAAATGTAGTGGGTGCTTCCATCAATCTGTGTTCAACCAACAGGTCCTAAGCACAGCCCAGTACAGACACAGTCCGCGAATCCTTTGAGATGACGGGGCATGGATGTTCAGGAGTTTCTGCGGGCCACTTTATCCGGTTCTCCTTAAGAGTGACAGTACATCATCCCAGACTTTGACTGTGATCTTGTCTTGTTCTTCTTCCCTTTCTCACGCGATCATGGCTGTCGCGGCAAGTCTACCGTCGCGCCCTGCGCTACGAGTTGGGATCGTCACTGCACTGGGCATTTTCTTCTTTGTCGTTCTTTCTACTTTTTATTCTGATACTGTACGGTCGCCTGTTGAGTTTGCGCATCGAAAGGCACAACAGTTCTGTGACTCGTCGCAAACGACGTGAGTGTTGCATCTGCCCTGTTGAATCTATGTTAACAGTATAGAAGCATTCCCTCTTTTACACCTACACCTACACCGGTAGCAACAGTCACTCCTGAACCTACACCAGAACCTACACGTAATTGCGAAGATCCGTATCGTCGACCGGGATACCTTTACACACCCAAAGAGCCGAAAGCTTATAGAGAAACGCAATGGATTCCTTTCACGGAGGATTACCTTAATTCGGAACCACCCGAGTACGCAGCTTATCCACCGAAGCACGAGATCATCTTCAATGATACAGCTGTTGAACCAGAGTATCTCAATGCCCCTGGTAATCCTCAACAATGGATGCGCATGGCTGTCGTTGAGAGTCGACGCCGTCGCAAAGTAGTAGAAGCTACTGTCCCATCGACGATGAACACAACAGTCAATGACTTTGTCAACATGAAAGATGATAATGACCTCGGCTGGCTGTGGGGTCGCCGTGTCGTTATGTTCGGAGACTCGGTCGATCGCTACATGACACAATTCTTCTGCGAAGAGTTCGGCAGCAAGATGTATCTTCCTATCCAGGACAAAACAGGCCGTCAAGCAAAAGGCATTTGCGAAGTACCCGCATTCAACCTTACGCTCGTCTACCTCCACTCTGTCGGCTCCTTCACCTACCGCCCCGACTGGTGGTGGATCGAAAACCTGAAGAACGTGGCCTGGGAAGAACGCTGGAACATCTTCTGGAAACCCCACGAAGCACCTATCCAAGGCCCCTCCGGCCGTCCAGATCTAATTCTCTGGCAGAACGGTCTTTGGGACCAGCGTGCTTTCTGGGAGGGTGGTGCGGCGATGCATAATGAGGGGGACAAGTCTATGACCTTGAAAAACAGGCAGATGGCTTGGGAGGAGGTCCGTTTTGTGACTGCGCGCATAAAGAAGATCGCCAAGAGGCTAAATCATGAGTTTGGGGAAGATGTCCCGATTATGTTTAGGGCCTTGACGGTTCACAGGGAGAGTGGTATGGGCGATGCTATAATGATGGAGATGGATCGTTTGGGGAGGGCTGTGGCGGAACAGGCCAGCCATGAGATGTTTGAGTGGGCTAAGTTGATTCATCTTCTTGGGAATCTATATCAGGATGGCTTGCATCCTGGTAAGGGAGCGGCGAGTTGGCTCTGGGGGAATATGGTATTGGAATACCTCGCGAGGTCTGCCGGTTCTGAGGTTGGTGGTGAGGCTAGATCACCTTACTTTACTGGATGGGATGCATGTCACAAGGAGTTAGTAGGCTGGGGAGGAAGATGAGAAGAAATCATCCTCTTACATAGAGTATTTTCCTCTAGCGTTCTACCTTCGAGCCTAGCAACCTAGGTAGCCACAGGTCTGAACTGCAAATGGTTAAAACTCAGACATTATACCATAATGCGTAACTAATGGCTATAGAATAAATTCTGACAAGAAAATAATTTGAAAAACGACTGTTTCCCCTAACCCCTTGCCCCCGGCCCCTTCTTTAGTACCTCATGCGCTTAGAAATGCTCGCTAGCCACTTCGCGACCCTGTTTGTTGACTCTGGGGCTTGTACCTCGTCCATGTGTGCCGGCCGAGGGGGCTGCATCCCAGGTAGAACACATTGATCCAGGTTAAGAGATTCAGTGAAAACCTCGCTGTGGCGTCTTAGCCCCAGTGCCTCAAATGCATATGAATGCTTGATAGCCACTTCGCGAATCCGCTTTGTGACTCTAAAGTTCGTTCCTCTTTTGTTAAGAAGTGCCATGAAGGCCTCAGGGCCACATTGGATTGCGCTTATCGCAACCTCATCACTGACGTCTTTCTCCCTTTTTCGTATTCTAGATATCATAGGTAGAATTATACCGAGTTTGTCCTGCTTAGCCAGCGACATCAACTCGTCTGTGATCTGCAGCTTGTACTCTGTGGAGCCATGAAGAGAGTTAAAGAACCCCGAACTATGTGAATCTATCCCATGTTCGCAAATTCTTATAATAGAGGAAGCAGCAGAGGATTCTGTAACTGTTAATTTGTAAGATGACTCCGGGAAGAGGTAGGACAGTATTTCAACACCCGCTTCAACAGCTTGTCCATACACCTTTTTCGTTACATTAAAGGGCCTTGTACAGCCTGCGAGTATACACTTGAGAGTGCGTGGACCGTAGTTGATTGATGTGATAAAGAGATCTTCTTCTAGTTCGAATGTGCCTTTCATGGCCAATATAGCGGACCGAAGAGCAACTGGCCGCCATCTTAGTATGGCCCGTAACAAGGCATCGTGCCTCAATTGTACTGGATCGGAATGCGATTTAACGAGCCGCTCGAAAAGCTGAGGTCGACATTGTATAGCTCGAGCGACGAATCTCGGCATATTCTCAAAGTTACAGTCAGGTCTTCGCAGCAGGACCTCAAATACATCAGGGAACCTTTGAAGGCACTCCAAACCAAGGTCTAAAGAGATATCAGGCAGAGGTGTACTCTTATCCAACAGCGCTTGCATGACACTGCTTCCATGGTGCATAGCGTTGAAGAGATAGTCATCGGTCATCATTGATATCAAGCTTTGGCGGCACAAAAAATGCTCCAGCAGATCTGTTCGAAAGGTGCTCTGGAGCATTTGCTGAAGCTTTCGCCTGGACATGTCTGGGAGTTTTTGCTGCAAATCCTGAATATTCGATGCTGGTGAATCATAAACTGGCCACTCTCCTCCTAGGATGTAAGCATACAAGTCCTTCATCACCATATGCTCCTCCTTAGCGTAATCAGGTTGAATGGCGCTTTCTTTCCTATCGGTCGCCATGCCGAGTAATGCGTATACTCTGTCTCGCGGATCTGTGGCTTTGCACCCTCTAAACTTCCACAGCAAGTTGCTGAGGTTTCTGGTTTCTTTGCGCGATGCTGAGGGTGTCAATGGATGAGGCATAATATCCAAGACAGCTTGAAATTGTTCAGTAACCTTGACCTCCATAGCATGTGGAAGTAGGGCAAAAATCCACCCCGGTATTTCCCCCAGATTACATGTCACGATAATCTTTTTCGCGTTGGCCACTTCCTGCAAGATCCAAACTCTTGAAAACCATGGCTTTTCCATAAAGCTTTCAAGGCCATCCACCAACTTATCGCGACAAAAAGGTCCGAGGTTGTCTTCAATCTGTCTCCACTGTGACTTCCATCGGGGGTCTTCACGAGGCCATCCTCGAGCGACGCCTGGCAGTTGCGCAACTTGCGCTTCGAGCATGGTGATGGCAGATTTTAGCTGTGTGGCATTGCCACTCAGATATCCAAGCCAGACGATCACTTTGTCGGCTTTCTTGTAGATCTCTCCCATGCGATTGACTTGGTGACCGCGCTCCTTGATATTGGTCTGGTCAATGCACAGAGCATCAATCCAAAGCATCCGGTCCGCGTCAGGTCTCCTCAAGTGACAGAGAGCTTCGTACAGGCTTTCAGTGATTGGCAATATCTTTTCATCTACTATGATCTCATGTGGTGTACTCTGACTTTCCCAGGTATAAGACAGTGCTTCATAGGGGATTATGTCGTTGTCATTGAGGTACGCTTGCCAAAGTTGGCACCGCAATTGTGATCGAACGCCCTTTTTAAGTAGTACCAATCGAAATCCAGCACTCTCCAAATCAAACGGCTCGTATTGATATCTGTCTGTAAAGGCATACTCGTCTTCCAATTTGGCGGTACTGATATGATGAGAGACAAACATAGTATAAATGACTGTGGCCATTTTGATTTGACGTAACGCAGATTCACCCAATTTTGGAGAACAGGAATCTGTAGAGCTAACTATGCCACAGATAGTTAATATTGGGAATCTTGATTTGATAGTGGCAGCGGCCCGTTCGAAGCACATGATCTTGTTGTCGCATCCGATCTTGTTGGCTAAATCACAATCAGAGAGGAGACGAGTAGATGATGCTACTTTTCCCCTTAGAACTTTGTTGGCTTTATCGGTATTTCGTTCCGGCGGCTGCAGATCCTTTGTGGAGGCAACCTCTGCTCGAGGTGATTGATGTTGCAGATATTGTCCCCAGTGCTGGCGACCCTCCGGAAATTGGATGATGTTGATAACAGATTTGATATAGGAAGATGGATGGCTCATTTCAAAAGTCGTTGAGATGTGATTCGAAGCAATTGTGTCACTGACGTCGAACTGAACTTGCCCAGGTTGAGAGCCTTGCGGAAATGCCACGACGATATCGCCAACTTTGGCAGGGCTCTCTTCGGGTACTGTGCCATCGACCCCGATTAGAAAGCCAGCTCGAATAAACGGGAAAACTTCGAGTAAAGCGTCGACAGTGTCTTTGACGAAGACAGAGACATCAGCCATGTCCTCCGCTTTCCCTACCAGGACAACATTGTGAGGGCCGACTTTTCCAAGCGAGCATGCAGCTCCCGAGCTTGTCAGATAATATTCTGGATCAGGTTCGTCCAATAAGGCTCTGGCCGTCTCGTAGTCTTCCGGCGACGGCGCCACGATTGTGATATGGTAATTATTCAGATTTGACCTATCCATGACCGGTGGGCAAAGAAAGTTCATGCAACTGTATGACGAATTGAAAAGGTTGCAGTTAAGAGAGCTGACAGGAAATTATAATTTAGAAAGAAAGGGAAATGCGAAGAGCATATCCTTAATTGACTGTCAGATCCAGACGCGGCGAGGCTTCATGCCACGTCAGAACTGCATTGAGGCTTGGCAAGCCACCATGTTGATCAAACACAGGCCGCCTATCAACTGGCTGATACAGCCTGCAGGGATGGTTACACAAAAAGCAAGTTACAATCAAAGTGGAAAAACATTGCAACAATGCCCTCAATCGCCATCACATCAAGTATGCCTTGGCTAAAACACAAGAAACTACATTATTGCAGATCAAAAAGACTATAATAGTAATCGATAGGGTATAACCTCTAAGTATATTCTATCCTTGACTAAGAATACTGCTTCTATCTTATCTAAGCGCCATGATCGGCACGCTTCTTGCTCTCAAGTTCCGCCCAACGGTCACATACAGCCTTGTCGATATCCGCGAAGCTAGCCCCCTTGGTCCAATGCGGTAATCTCCAATAAGGGTAGTTCTCCCCTCCCGGACTTCCAAGGCCTGTGCCATCATTGCTATGAAACACACGCCTCCACTCGCGATCTACCCACTTTCCGTCTTCTCGCTTCGAAACTCCCTCGGTACCCCATGGACGATTCAAGGTCGGTCTACTCTGGTCATTCTGCATCTGATAGTCGTGATACATCTTGTAAACATTGTACTCGGGGTCAACGTGGAAACGATGGCATGATATGGGGAATCCATATCTAATGAGAGGATCAATGAGATCCCAACTATCCAAAATCCAGTAATCTTCGATAGGCCTGAAAGGGATGATCGCACTGTACAGTGCGTCCCAGCAGCGCTGAGAGTCCGAATCACTGACAACACCATTACTGCTAACTTTGGTAGGAGTAGTCATGGATCGCATAGCCTGCACGATGCCCCTCAGCATTCCCTCTTCATCCTGGTTGAGCACTTGGTACTCGATGAGAATCTCAATCTTCTTCTCAAACACATCTGCGGCTTCACCAGGATACTCCTCCGCCCAGGCCGTAGAGCTATCCATCAGATCCAGGAAGAGCCCCCAGGTAGTGTACAGTAAATTGGTGAGTTGCCACCACGACACGTCGGCTGTTTCCACCACTCCTCCTCCAAATTGTAAGTCGAAGGGCTCGTCAAAGCGATACTTCCCTGCCCATCTTTGCATGAGAGGTTGGGAGGGCTCTTCATAGATAACTTCGAAACCTACAAGGCGTCGCACATAATCTCGGAGGACAAGCTCAAGAAGGTCAGGTGGGCAATGGGAGCGTAGAGCCACGTCAAGAGGCCCCGTGATAAATCGTACAGTTCCATGATCTTCCCAGCTCTGGCACCGATCCATGAAAGATGCAAAATTCATGTGCAAAGGGAGTGAGTAACCGTGGCTGTGCAGCATCTTGATCATCTGGCAAATGCCTTCTGTGCGGACACGATCAGGACTCTTGCTCAGGATCGTAACCAGAAATTCAGGGACATGATCGCAATAGTCGTTTGCTATATACCACGGCTGGTCTTGCTGCTCTCTCATGTCAAACTTTCTCTCCAGCAGCCACTCCAAAGCGTCGACGCACTGGTCAATGGGGGTTTCGCCCAGGTAAAGGCACTCCAGTAGCTCATCTATAGGCCTGTGGTGGGTATGCTGACGCTCAGAAATGCATTGACAACCGTCAGACTCAGGCAGTTCCCATCTCGTGTCAGCTACAGCTCCAAACTGAGCGCATCGATCCATCGCCCTGATATTAGCGCTTCTAACTGCCTGACGAAACGCGCTGCAGTTATCCCCAAGATAGTAAGATTTGAGGTACACTTGGCTGAGAGGAGGACTGAGCAAGCATAAACTCTTGAACTCCTCAGCGGAGATGGTGTCTTGGTCTTTTCCGGGTTCACCTGAAATCTGGAGAAGAACTTCAGTGGGGAGAAGGTCCAGTGTAACTGGTTGAGATTCTTGAGAGGTCTCCGTATCAGAAGACAGGGACTCAGGGTCTTGATCAGGGTTCTTATCAGAGGACATGTTTTGGGTTTTCGTTGTGTGGGCTGGTATTTGTTGTAGTAGTTAGTAATTGAGCTCGTTGTTGAGAATGATAGATCCAAAGCCTACGATTCGAATAGATCACTACTTATACATAGGCTGAAGATTAACTTGACTGAACTTCAAATATTTCATGTTCTGATTGAGATCCTGTTACATCTGAACATTTCTTTCAGCCTTCGTTTCGACGCATGGACAAAGAATCACACAACGAATTGTTTTGTTCACTGCGTCAGGGACTTGTTGAACAAGCAGCCAGCGATCAAAAACGTTGACCTAACACCGCCAATTTGGACCTTTTCTTGGTGAATCTTGAAAACACAAGCTTGGGAGGGATTCCACACGGGACTTTCGCACCACCTCTCCATCAACAAAGCAAGTGACCATCCTTGTTAGACACATACTCGTGTGCCACCGCCGCTTCTATTAGTCTCAATCAGCTATAATCTCACAATAATCTCGCCTCAGGTCAACTCACCGATAGGAACAGCGACCTTTTCACTCTGCCCTTCACAAGTGCACCTAATCCAGTACTCTGCACCACCGTACCATGGATCAGGCGCTACAAACATCTCACACCCGTGACAGCTTTCAGCAAAGTTTCCATGATAAGTTGGCTAACATATTCCTCAGCTTTCATGAATCGAAATGCTTTCACGAGCACGACTCACTGTAATGGTGCTGCCGTCGTAGCCAAAACAGTCGTTGAGGTCCAGCTCAGACGGGATGTAGCCTGAGTTGTCGCGGGGCTGACATTTACCCGATAATGTGTTTGTTTCGGAGTTGAAGGCGATGTCGATACAGGTTCTGTCGATCTGAGCGAAGGCAGTGCCCAGAAGGGTCATTAGAACTGTGACTACTTTGGTCATTTTGGGGTGTGTCACTGGCCGAACAAGCTTATCTTCACTGGCATAACGTGGCTTACTGCCGGACTTGGCGGGGAATATATGTCTTTATGTGAGGGTTCCAAAGAGGTGCTATGCAGTGATCCTGCCACTCGGTTAAATGAGCACTGATCCTGACTGCTTCAACTACAGCACGTGAATCCTTCGCTCGCGTCTAGTGTCAGAAACATATGACCCGAGGGTGAGTTGGTGTTGAGATACTGAACCCCAATAGGCTCTTCTGTAATAGGCAACTCTAATGCAGTAATATCGGAACTTCAATGCATTACTTACCTACTCAAATCAGCTCAAGCTGCATATCCCGCGGATCCTCCGGGAATAATCCTTCGGAGAAGCTTCTTTCTCCGTCTTACATTCCCCGTAAGCTGAAATCCGGGCTGCACTAGATACGGCAGTGGGTGAAGGTTCATGTTCGACTACGATGCTTTCAATGTGACACGGAATTCCGTCTTCGCCAACTCACCCCTGCGATGATAAGATCCGCCGACTAATCCATAGTATCGTTCGGTTGAGCGGTGTCTTCTTGACCAGAACACGATTCGAGTTCTGTTAGCACACTCCCAGTTGAAGACGACTCGTCTTCAGCCACAAGCGCAGCTGTAGCTTGGAGCTGACTACGCCAGACATCAACAGGTTCAATTTCCTCCCGGAACTGTTTCACATCCTGAATCAATTATTAAATCTATCGTAAGTATCATATCACCGTCTAATAATTCGTTCTACTCTGATCCCCATACCCCTCCATCAAAAACTCCATATCATGCCACCCCGTCATCTCCATCTCACTCCCCGGCACATACTGCGCCAAAGATCCCTCAGCCATCCCAAACCCCGGAAACGGCAAAAAGTCCAACAGTCCCTCCATCGACCCCAGCGCCACCCCTTGACCCTGCTGCACTTGCACTTGTTCAGCTGACCAACCGGCCGGATACGGCAGATTGTTCATGTTGATCCCTTGCGGGGGTAAATTCGCTGTACCCGGAGGATCAGTCGGATTGTTGGCGCACTCTGAGAAGGTATCAACGACCTGAGCTAATCGCTTCATTGAGCCGCATTTATCCGTGTGGTTGATGACGTTTCGTAAGGTAGCGACGAGACGACGGACTTTGTTCTGGAGCATTACTTCATCTGGTCCGATGCTCTCTGCACCTTCGCCAGGGCGTAATCGTAATAACCACAGGATTAGGATCATAGCAGAGCAGTAGGCGTAAAAGATATCGAGGCCAGAAAGACCATTGATCACATCAAAGTGATCTAGGAGTATCATAAGGTAACTCAGTTGACACGCGTGCTTAACACATAGAGCTGCACGTGTAGGAACCGGAGTTTTCGGTGCATCTTCTTTCCGTGCTGCTGCTACGTCGCGAAGGAGAAGGGGACGTGTAGCCACGATGGCGATGTAATGGAAGTGAATATGTAGAAGCAAAACGGCGCGAAGTTGAGCTCGTGTCTTCCATGCCAAAGAGACTTTCAGTTCCTCCATATCAACAGCTCCTTCATGATCGATAGATTCCAGGGCCGGCCCCTCCATTTTAATCCACGACACGTCGAGACCGGGTGCTTTTCCAATATCCTTCTTCCAACCATTCAACGCGTTCAAGATCTCATCCAGCGTCGGCCCTGAGCTTTGACTGATACCAACGTGCAAGAGTCTTGTTCGCGCAAGAATGGCTTGAAGTTTGACAGACCATGATACAAGTCTTGCATCAGTCCCTATACCTCCTTCTACGAAGTCTTCTCGTGGTGGAACGACTTCGACGTCGAGTTCTTGGAGACCACTGGGTCGGCCAAGACTTGAAGCAAGGAATTGTTCGAAAGAGTAGAGTGTACAAAAGACCCATTTTCGAACTTCCCTTTCTAATGGCCTGAATGAGGCACCCATGTCTGAGCGATGAAGACCAAGAGCAAAGGAGATCCGAGTGGCTGTTCCTGCGATGTTCCACGCAGCATTTCTTTCATTATTGTTGTGCAAAAATAATGAAAGAAGCAGTAGAACTCGAACATTCGTAAGTGAGCACTTCGAGATGAACTGAGGGAGCAAGCCCCTAGCAACAGCAATAGATCTTCTTCGAAGAGCAGAATGATCAACGTTGGGTATCGACCTATCAGCGATAGATCCAAATACCACAATCATATGAAGACAGCCTATCCATCCCCAGTCTGGTAATCGAAGCGGTCTCGAAGGGAGTCGAGAATTGCTCCGAGCTTCAACGATGAAGCTTTCGTACTCTTCCTCAAAAGTCGCTCTGTGAAAAAGAGGAAAGTCATCATGGGCATTCTTGAAGTACGACTGGATGAGTAGATCAAGGACTTCATTTGAGGGAAATTGGCCGAGTATTTCATCCATATCTGCTGTTGGTAGGCGGGTAAAGTCGCGTGCGATAGCGGAGGTGATGGATCCAGGAGATGGTCCATCTTGAGGTGTTGCTGCAGTACGTGGTGGTTGATCATCGTCGTCTTGGCCATCAGCTTCTAAAAGCCGACTTGTATTATCCTGCGTGAACTTGGTGACTCCTTCACGGCCAGGTGATGGATAAGGGCTATTATTCGAATCCACCAGATTCCGAAGTTGATTCCAGAAGTTGAGAGTCCCTGAAGGTCCGATATAGTGCTCATGACCAGAGTTATCCTTCACAAGCGACGATTGTGGTTCCTCACTAGGTGACTTTGAACTCCTCGGCGACGTATCAGCTTTCGAACCCCCCGTGATGATATCTGGCCCCGTACTCGGAGTCTGCTCTGTACTGGAAGGATTCTGCACTAGATCCTCGACTCTCATATGTGTTCTATTGGGGTCAGAAACATCAGGCATCTTATACCCCATCTTCTGGCCCAATTGTGTAAGATCACTAACATGATCAAGAGTCTCATTCGGAAAAGCGCCTCTGACAATAGCTTCGAGACATCGATACCTAGTGGTGTCAACGACGTTACACAAGATATGCAGAACTGAGACAGACCTATCACTCAAATCATCCACACTCCCATAGAAGCGCGTCTTTCGTGGCGCCGTATACGAGCAAGTGACGTTATGTTCAAGACAATTCACACAGCCTGCACCCGAAGGATCAGGTACACATTTGCACCGCCTCTACACCAAGTCAACACCAACCCATCACCCATGAACTTTACAGCAGATACTCACCTTTCGGCAACGATCACAGCTTTGGGCATTCCGTTTACGGGATTCGTCAGGGATGCGCCGCAGACGACGCTTTGCATGCGCAGATTCAGACATGGTTTATAGGGAGGGAAAAGGACTCATCGAATCGATGCTTCCCGGATCTGGGGTTCCTTTTCCCGCGGGACGGATGCATGCTTCCGATGGGATACGTAGATGGCGTGGAAATAAGACGCTAATGGAATGTTACGCTGAAGGTTTGGGGATGGAGAAACTAAAGACCGCTGACTACCCTACGCCTCGAGGTTGGACCAACATGACAACAGCTCAGCAGTACAACGTAGGCATTTGACATGTTTCGTCGTCTTATCAATTCGTCGTTTGTCCACCATAAAACTCACCTTATCGCAAGAAATAACATCAGGATGGCTAGCTCTTTGACACTCCCAGACTCCAGAACGCTGGCCTACGCTTTGGACTCCTCACCAAAAGAAGGACCCCTCATCATACTGTCAAACTCCCTCACTGCACCTCTATCAGTATGGGATCACGTCGTCAAGGTCCTCAACAGGAATGGTTATCGCACTCTACGTTACGATCAGCCCGGCCATGGGGGATCATCCGCACCAAAAGACCTAAGCCCTACGTTTGACTCTATGGCCCAAGACGTCCATCATCTCCTCAAGAAGCTCGAGATCAACAAGGTCTACTCATGGATCGGAGTATCAATGGGCGCATCAGCAGGCGTCTAGTTCACCACCAAGTATCCCAACGTCGTAAGCAAACTCGCCATCTGCGACACCATCTCTTCATCGCCCATCAACGCCGGCACGGAAGATGCCTTTGGTCCTCGTGTCGCAGCAGCCCGAGAAGCAGGTAATCTCGACTCAACTATCCAAGGCACTCTAGAGCGATGGTTTGGTAAAGAGTGGCTTGAGAACAACCCTCAGGAAACACAGCGTATGCGAACTGTCATGTCTGGAACTACGGTCGATGGTTTCGAAGCATGCTGCAACGCATTGAGAAGCGAGACTTTTGATCTTCGACCGAGGTTTGCTAAGATTGGATCGAGTGTTGATGATGCGATTTGTATCGTTGGCGAGAAGGATGCGAATCTACCGGAGACTATGAAAGAGATGAGAGATAAGATCCAGGAGGGATTTGAAGTAGCGGGTAAGAGCAACAAGATCGATTTGGTGATTATCAAGAATGCTGGTCATGTTTCGTTTGTGGATGGTTTTGAGCAGTTCACCGCTGAGGTGCTGAAGTGGTTGAAAGCTTGATATCGCGTAGCATTCTCTACCAGGAATCGTATAATCAGACGAATTTCTCTCTTCAATACAAGGATAATGTCGTATCAGTTCAACTCCCGCTGCAAGGTCGGTAAGCCGAGGATATCACCAACTCCCCAACCCCGCACCATGAAATGTCGGTATCTCACCAATGACACTTTCCAAGTAAGTTTGCACGCAAAGTAAGAATCTGATGCAAGATAGGTATTCAATTCGGGGAACTTGACTTGATCATCACCTCGAAACGAAGGGAAAAACATAATTATCACAAGATCCTAGTCGATAGCATCGGCGAACGTTAAAGGTGGAGTAGTGCCGAGACTAGCCATGACCCCCCGACTCGCCGATCGGATATTCAGCCACCAAATTCTGTCGTGCATGATGCATTCAGTGTTGGCCGATGGTGCAGATTCTATGCCATGGGCTTGCATGAGATTTCGATAGTTTGAAAACCAAGAAACTTGGCCGAATCTATTGAAAGCCACTTTTGACAGGTAATTAGATCGCCGTGTATCCTTGTCCGGGTCACTGTGGTGCAACATCAGTAAAAAGGGCAATTTACTCCGTACATATGATTTGATTCAGTTGGTCATTACTCATTATGATAGAACAGACTGCACTTTAATATCCAATTATACTCTCCGACTTTTCAAGATTCACCCCTTGGGACTGTCGTGATAGGTGGTTCAAGAACAACCGTTCTTCCATGCTTGATCAGCTCTGTAGCTTGCATAAAGAACGACTCTATCCTCAGAATAACAGGTCGCAAGAAGACCCTGGCAGCTATATCATCTGTAGCACCGAGTGTCTGTAGCGACCCATGAAACTTTTCCAACAACCGATAAGCAAACTCGACATCTCGTGGATCACTCGCCAGCAGGAACAGATAGATCAGAAAGTTTCCGCACAGGATAAGCTGCGTTCGGGCAACTGCACTCACTGCATTAGTTACTGTTTCAGAGTGACATCTTTGATCGGCAAACTTACATCTTCCCCAGAAGCTCGTTAGTTCCTCCTCGGTGATGTACGCCATGAATGTCGTGAAGAGCTCGAACTCTGCTAGTGCGGTGGAGAGCCATCGCTGAAGATTAGAGCCCGGCGTGACCTTTGCGGCTCTCGTGGCTGGAAACATTAGACCTCGGAAGAGCAGCACCTGCGTAGCGAAGAAGGATATGTGAAGGGGTCCTAGTTCATGTTTAGACATCGGCGAATTCTAGAGATACGTGTCACATACCGTTGTGGGCGTAGGGTCTCACGGCCAAACAGCTCGGGATGAGACTCGGCCATTCCTTGAGGGTGTCTCGGATAGGAATCAATTGGGTACGCGTCTGCTGAGTTGATCGTACACCGCTGCATCATGTAAGTTGTTGTGGCCTTTACTACGCCGATGGTTGGGTTACTTACTAGCTGCAGTCAAGGATGGCACGCATCTCCCGAGACACAGTGATCATTTCGAGGAAGCGTGCACCGTCAGAGATGCGGAACGTGGCATCCTCGGGATCGATCATATGGCGAAGATCGTCAGGGATATCCTCGCCAGACCGCAGATCATCCATGTCCGGGGGTGGAGTCGTAAAGGACTCGTAGCTTATATGCGGGGGGTTACCGTGGCTTACAGCAGACCAGCAGTCCGTGTAGAAGACCGCCCACCAGAGCTTCTTGCGCAACCTCTTCTCCCACGGTGCAATATTCCACTTGTCAGGATCTTGGTGCAGGCCGAGCATCTGCGCTATTGCTGTGGCTTGACAGGCCATCACCCAGATATACGGTGTCTCGACGCTGTCAATGTCCGGGGGTACCATGTGCATCAGCAACAGGGCTGACATTAGTCTCGAGAGGTTAGGGGCTTCAAGTTCACGCCTCAATGCTTCTTGCGCATGGTTGGTTAGTTCATGCTGCTGGAACGGACAAGGAATTCTGGCAAGCGTTGCATCTTGCTTCCAGAACACACACGCCAAGGCATAAACGGCGCCCCGTAGCGACGTGGGTATGTCTAGCTTGGCGGTCGCGTATTGCCGAAGGAAGCGAGTCTTGTGGATGACGGGGAATCCTACATGGACGTGCCGGAAATAAAGACGGACGAGGGCCGGGCCGTGGGGCCAGACGATGCGCTCTATCGCATCGGACGCCATTTGCCTAGCCTCGTTCCTGTGATCGGGGAACTCATCGAGCAGCAGGAGGAAGTGCATCGGGCAATCATCCACATCAGGCCCGCCGTGGTAGACCTGCACAAAGTTGGCGTCAATGCCCTCGCGGTCGCTGAGAAGCACGGATCTGAAGGCGTCGAGGAAGTAAGGGTCCTGCTCCGAGCCTAACGCCATGGCGTGCGCCGTACGGCCTGGGACATCTTCAAGAGCGTAGGCGACTTCTTGATTGGGCTCGAGGCGCGGTGGATCTAGGCTGATGCTTGGATCCAGGGAACCTTCTCCAGGAACTGGCACGGGATGGCGCACGAGACCGTTGTGGACAACGGCTGCGGACTCGGATCTGTGCCGAGTAGCTTCAGATGGCGCCGAGGGCGAGATGGCCGATGCGCCAGAGGCAGAGACAGAAGCAGATGCCGACGCCGGGCTTAGTGCATCGTGGCTTCTGGAGGACTCGGGCCCAGGGCCGGATGTAGGCCGGTGGGCTAGAGGGTCAGTATCGGAGAGGGACTGGCATACCAAGCCTCTGCTTTTACAGAAAAGGCCTGAATTACAGATCGATGCAACGGTCAGTATAAGCAATTGAAGAATGACTAGCGGGAAGTGTCAAGTGGAGTTTTGTGTGACGGTGAACCACTGGAATGGTACTGATAGGTAGTACTGTAGTGAGTGGGTGGGGAGATCTGGGGAGGGCGCCTCACAAGGGGGTTCAGAGGTGATGACACAAGCAGTCTTCCTCCTCCGACAGGCGTCGCAGGGTCTGTTTTTGCGGCTCCGTGGCTGCCGAGCTTTACCAAAGTTACTGCGAATGCTGAACTTGCGGGGCGTAGCAGTAGACGATGAAGAAGTTGCCCGTTCCCGATCGCTAGCCTCAGCCTGCGAGTGATCCATCTGATCTGAACTGATACTTCGGAGGAGGCGGGCCCAGGTACCCGTTAACGGTAATACGCTCCACGCGCGTTTTCGAGGGAGAGTGTGTGAGAACAAAACGAGCGAGCCAGGCTGCGGGAACGAAGGAGGGAGAGAAAGAGGCGAAGGAGATGTCGGCGAAAATCGCGTGATGGAGGGGGGGACGGAAAGATAAGTTGGCCGACAAGGGAGGCTTTGACACTAAAGAAACAAGCGGAGTTGGCCGAGTGAGTTCTTTTTAGGGGGCGTTTCTACTTGCGTACTAGTGTCTCGGAAAATGAGATTAGTGTGAAATTACAGAGGGCACGGGAGCTAAAAAGAAAAGTGTCAAGCGTGTTCAAGTGCCGTAGCTTCAGAACATGTTCGCGTTCTAGCCTGTCATGACGCGATTTCAAGATGCGACAATTAAAACAAGTGGATGATCTCCAATCTCAATCTCAATCTCAATCAGGGTCTACCGAGGTAACGTTGCTAAAATCACAAGATAAAGTGATGAATTTTTATCCAGAATCCCCGCTATGTCTGATATGGTAAATAATAATTAAAAATGGTCTCAGTGTAGATAAAGTAGCAGATAACAGGCTTGCAATCTCGAAAAGAAACATCGCCAACGTGAATCTCGTAATCAAACAGACGTGGTCAGGGAGTGGGGGCCCTTGTTTCGCTGAAAGGAGTGCTCCTCAGTCGATCCAGGCTCACTCTCGGAGTAAGTCATGTCCCAGCGCTCATCATAAACAGCTTGGACCTCCTTGGCAGTTGTACCATCCTTGATGAAGGCGTCTAACTTCTTGTCGGGGACTACAATGTGAAGTCCGTAGTAAACAGCAGCGCTAACGATGAACCCAAAGAGGTAGTTGAGCTGGTAGAGGTTCTTTGCGCCATCTGAGACTTTAGCATTGAGGTTGACAGCAGCGATGAAGCCCGGCATTGTAGGCGCGACACCAACAATCCACTAAACAAACGAGTCAGTTATTTCTCCAGCGCAATAAAAGCAAGCAATGTGGAACTTACTGCGACGAAAGCACGCCAATTGACACCAAAGTTGTACCAGTAAATGCTATCCCTGTTACCCACAAAAAGATCGTCAACATTGACCTTGGCCTTTGCCACCAAGTTATAGTGAGCCACCATGAGACCAGTCATGGGTGCCAAGAAGACACTGTAGCCCGAGAGCACAGTGAGGAAGACGGTGGCTGTGTTGACGAGACGCCACGGGTTGACGATCGGGCTAAGAAGGGCCATGAGATAGGCACCGCGTCGGATGTTGATGTACTTGGGGAACACGGATGCGAGATCGATACCGCCTGCGAGAGCGTTGCCAGGAACATTGCTGCCCATCTGGGAGATGGATAGGGCGAGACCAGCGAAGAAGATGGCGGCGCGGGTACCTGCGGTTGGATCCTTGGCCAGAAGAGCGGCGAGGAGGGTGGGAGGGTTCCAGATAGCCTCGCCCATGCGCTTCTGTGTCGCAGCAGTGACGAGAATACCAATGACAGACGCTCCAATACTGTAGAGCGGGAACGCAACAGTCTGGCCCCAAATAGCATCACCGGGCTTCTTCGACAGACGCGCATAATCGTTCTGATTAAGAATACCCGCTGCAATACCACCAATCGTCGACATGATTCCCGAGATGGTAAGCCACGTAACACTCTGCGGACCACCAGTGACCGGAAGAGGTGTACTATCAGCGAGGGTATCTCCAAAGCCATCCGATCCCATAGTCGCCAGCGCCCAGATCAGAAGAACCAGGAAGAAGACGAGGGTGACGGAGCTGGCAAAGTAGAAGAAGTTTTGTATTCGATGCGGTTTTATCCACAGGAACGGGAGCGTGACGACGCAGAAGATGACGTAGGAGACGAACTGCGCGGAAGTCATGCCGGTCGACGCGGGGATCGTGTTGTGGATGTGTTTCTCGAGGTTGGGATCCCATGATAGAAGCATGAGATACGTGCATTGTCCACCGACCCAAGACTGGAAGCCATACCAGACTTTCGATACGTTAGTACAGCCCAAACATTGGGAGAGGAGGAGGAGGTGAACTTACCGAGGGAGAGAAAGATGCGGTTCCAGATGACGAACTGCGATCCCCAGATTCCCCATACCGCTCGACTAAAGACAGGGAAGCCCACTGCAAAGCGTGAGCCAATTGACCTGACCCATCACGAAGGATTCGGGAGTGGATAACGTACCGTGGTAATAAGCTCCAGCAAGCGAAGCAAGAATCAGGGCAGCAGTCGCGAGGATGTTTCCGAGGATGATGGCGATGATGGCCTGCCACCACGTCAAGCCAAGAGGAATCAGCGCGCTGCCAGTCAGATACGTCGCAATGTTGCAGTTGATCAACAGCCCTGTAGGATTACCCGCTGGTTAGATGTGCGATGCGCTTATGCAGTGTGATTCCATCTCGGCAAATGACAATCACAAACAGCGAATGAAAACGTACAGAAGTTGTGATACGTTAGAAACGTCCATGTTCGTCGCTCAGTCCCAACAGGTCTGACATCTTCATTCTGCAGCGGAGCAAATTAGGGGGTTGTGTGTGACGCGTGTTGAAAGGAGAGTTTGCGTACGATGAAGCGCGAGCCGCGCGGTAGCTCAATGCGCTTGACGAGATTCGCAACGGCCATTGTTGAGGAATTGCGAATAGCTTCAGTCAGAATATTATTTCCCGAAGCCTCCGGATCGAATCGATAGTGTGTGCAGTAGCTTGAGGGGGGCTGCTGCTGTCACTGTGGGAGAGATTTTAGGGGAGGACAGAAACTATAAGGGTCCGCCGCTGGGACGGGGGGGGCAGTTCGCTGGCGTGACTGGCGTTCGATCTGGTACAAAGTCTAATCCTCAGCCTTATCTTGTGATTGACTGAGCCACAGACTGACTGGAATTCGGAGGAGAACACACACACAGAGAGCACAGAGAGAGAGATACGTACCCCGGATTGAGGCGTCGGCCAAGAGACAGACAGTCACAATCTGCACGACATTGATTGTCCAATGATATGATAAGCAGATCGGCAGTTCAGAGAGATAGGATGCTGAACTGAAAGGAGAAGAGGTTCCGCTGCAGTTCGGGGAAGCTTTGTTCCCTGTCTCCTCTTTTCTCTTCTGGCGTCGGCCAACTTGCTCCATCCGTTCCTCGCCGCCCCCCTCCCCTCTCGCATGATCCAGTCTCAGCGAGGAAAACATTGGCGAGGAGTTATTTTCTTCCTCACTAATTGAAATCTAGAAAAAACAAATGCAGTCAGTGCCTAGATCCTGACCTTGACCTGAAAGCCATGGACTGAATCCTCTGACTTATAAAGTGATACCTCTCTCCCCCCCTCTGCCGCCCCCACCGTAATATTATGCTTTCAGGCACCTCCAGGGTATCATCCTCCCAACCAACAGGCTCAGCACACTTGTCTACTGCCAACATGTCCCTGTACCGAATCGGAGTAGACGTCGGAGGTACCAACACGGACGCGGCCATTCTCGACATCCGAGCTGCTGCCACATCAACCCCTGGCCGTGGCGTCCTCGCCTCCCACAAGGCCTCTACCACGCGAGACATCACCAGCGGTATTGAGGCTGCCATAAGAGCCGTGCTGCGCGACTCAGCCGTTGACCAGAGCGGTGTTTTGAGCGTTACCATCGGCACAACGCACTTTATCAACGCGCTTGTCGAGGCTGATGCGCGCAGATTAGATCGTGTCGCGGTGGTGAGGCTGTGCGGGCCGTTTACTAGACAATTACCCCCGTTTTCGGATTTCCCTGTGGGATTGAGGAGTATTCTCGACGGAGGCGTTTACTACCTCGATGGAGGTCTTGAGATTGACGGGAGGGAGATTGAGCCGTTGGATCATGAGCAGATAAGACAGACTGCGCGTGATGTCGTCGCAAAAGGTATCAATGTCGTCGCTCTGGTGGGCGTCTTCTCACCACTTGACCACGACGGCAAACACGAGGAAGAGTGCAGACGGATTCTTCTCCAAGAAGCACCGTCTCTGCAGGTCGTATGCTCCCACGACATCGGCCCAACAGGCTTCCTAGAACGAGAAAATGCCACCATTCTCAACGCCTCCATCCTACGGACAGGACATCGCGTCAAGAAGGGCTTCAAGCGCGCCATGCACAGGCTGCAGCTCACATGTCCCCTCTTTTTATCGCAGAACGACGGCACGCTTATTGATGCAGATACAGCCGCTGAGTTCCCCATCAAGACTTTTGCAAGCGGTCCTACGAATAGCATGACTGGTGCTGCGTATCTCGCTGGGCTGGATCATAAGCGGGAGCACGTCGCGGATGATGAGGAGCCGCAGGTTTTGGTCGTGGATATCGGCGGGACTACGACTGATGTCTGCGCACTTCTTCCATCGGGTTTTCCACGACAAGCACCTGGTTTCGTAGAAGTCGGCGGCGTGCGCACTGCCTTCTCCATGCCAGAGGTTGTGTCAATCGGTCTCGGCGGCGGAAGCAAAGTGCACGTCGACCCTACCACACAAAACGTGACTGTCGGTCCTGGATCAGTCGGGCATTTACTCCAGCAGGAAGCAAAAGTCTTTGGAGGTCAGACGTTGACGGCGAGCGATATCGTCGTCGCGCTGGGTAAAGCCAAGCTAGGAGACCCCGAGCTCGTCAAAGACGTCCCAGCACAGATCATCGAAAGCGGCCGTAAAGAGCTCAAGAAAATGCTCGAGAGCGTCGTCGAGCAAATGAAGGTATCCTCCGCGCCCGTGCACGTTCTCCTCGTCGGTGGCGGTGCGCTCCTTGTGACAGAAAACCTCGCGGGCGTGGACAAGTGCATAGTGCCCATCCACCAAGGCGCCGCCAACGCCGTGGGCGCAGCAATCGCCAAGGTCTCCGGCGAGATCGACATCGTGGAGATTCCCGAGGGCCGCTCTGAAAAGACCATCGTGGACGCTGCGTGCGCGAAAGCGATTGACATGGCCATCTCCAAGGGCGCAGCAGCGAACGACGTCAAGATTGTTGAGATCACAAAGACGCCGCTTCAGTACATGTCTAACGGCGCTATGCGACTGCAGGTTCGTGCGGTGGGACACCTTGCTATTCCTGAAGAACTCACGCCGCCGCCTTCACCGCCCGTGATAAGCGTGCAGAAGACAGAGGACGATGAGGGTGAGAAGGTCAGCGTTCCTGATGCCCTTACCCCAACGTACAAGCCCTCTCTCCACGTTGATCTCGACGCCTATCGCCCTGATGTCCAGAATGGTACGTGGTATCTTTCTGAAGTTGATCTTGAGATGATCGCGACAGGATGTGGTGTTCTGGGCACAGGCGGTGGAGGACCGACACATCACGAGTACCTCAAGGGCTTAGATGCGCTGCGGAATAATCCCAAGGGGAGATTGAGGGTTATTTCACCGAAGGCGCTCAAGGACGATGCTATGATCTGCTTTGGTTCGTGGTATGGTAGTCCGAGTGTGATTAATGAGCGTATCGCGGGCGGGAATGAGATTGTTACTGGTATCAATGCTGTGAACAAGGTTGTCGGGAACAAGACCTTTGATGGCATGTACATTGATGAGATGTAGGTCAAGTTCATGTTTCTGTTTGAGAGAACATTGCTAATGAGGACAGTGGTGGTGGAAATGGTATGAGTGCTTTCCCGCCGGCTGTTCACTTCGACGTCCCCGTCGTCGATGGCGATGCCATGGGTCGAGCCTATCCCACCATGTATCACGGTACGTTTTCCAATACTCATTCAATTGAACTCATCTAACTTCCATAGCTACGTTCAGTGTATACGGCCACTCCCTCACACCCTGCGTTCTCTCCGACGCCCGTGGAAACACCAGTGTCGTCATGGTAAGCATCACCATCACCGATACCTTGACAATCCACTAACAGCAACAGAGCACCGACAACCCAATCCGTCTTGAGAGTCTCCTTCGGACAACAGTAATTGAACTCGGTCTCGGCTGCGCAGTCTGTGCCAATCCCCTTCCCGGCTCCGTCATCAAATCTCACGGCGTTCCCAACACCGTATCTCAAGCGTGGTATCTCGGTCGCGCGGTGCACAATGCTCGTCGCAAAAAGACCAGCTACGTTGACGCAATCGTAAGTTGACCCTCTACTTAATTGAGCACTACTGTTGGAGTGAGCATCTGCTAACTGGTCAGTTTGACGTCTGCGCTGGAAAACTCCTCTTCACCGGCAAGATCGTCGATGTCCGTCGCTACATCGGCGGCGGCTACACAATGGGCTCCGTCGTCATCGCGCCCCTCAGCGAAGACGAGCGCGAATCCCACAAGCAAGACGTCCCCAGCGACCGACACATGGTGATCCCCTTCCAAAACGAATATCTCTACGCCGCCCTCTGCGACTCCGACGGGTCAGAGGCTTCACAGCAGGTCGTGTGCACCGTTCCCGACCTGATCTCCATTCTCGGTCAAGACGGCGAAGGCATTGGTTCTCAGGACTTGAGGTACGGACTGCGTGTTAATGTTGTTGCGCTGCCGGCGCATCCGCTGTGGAAGACGGATAAGGGCATGAAGGTCGGTGGACCTGAAGGCTTTGGGTTGAAGATTCCGTATACGGGTGTTGATAATGATTTTGTGGAGGGGAGGAGTGTGATTGAGGAGTTTGGGGCATAGCGAGCGGGAGCATGACGGTGAGATTTTGGCTGGGCTTTTTTTTTAAAAAAGCATTTGAGGAGTTTGGCGTTGGAGTGGGCATTGCATGCATGAGAACGAGCGATGAGTGCTCGTCTATGAGATTAATACCGTTAGCATTTATGATTCTAATGACGAAATTGACATCTATGATTGAGATGACGTGGTAGTTGGTGAGAGCCAGCGTTTGTGATGAGGCTCAACAGGATGATGCTTGAAAGAGGATACGTCGGCGTGTGGATCAGTAGCTCTGCGACATGCGGCACGGCACGGCGCGCCAAGCGCAATGGTATTGGGTCTGTTGACTACATCGCTATCAATCACCAAGAGCACTCTCTGAGAAATAGAACCACTCGAATATCTGCAGCAGAATATTTGATAGAATATTCGGATGATGGTACAAGAATGCGGAAGGGAATCGCCTCGGTGCATGTGTCTCTCCTCACTCAAGAAACGCGACATCGTAACGCGTCTTAGTGGTGTAGGTAACATGTCTTCAAGGCCCGGATTCGCTCACATTCATTGAGGCAGATGCGAGCAATGGAGAGCTTCAATTTTGTAGTCAAGACCTGCAGAAAAATAGGCAAAGCCAAGATTATAGTGACTGTTCAATGACTTGCTGGCAATTGCTGGTGAAATGATATGATACTCAGCTCCCAGCAGTTTGGACCAGCCCACCAAACGCACATGACTATCAAGCTCTTCCAAAAGCACAAGACAATAGCCAGGATAGGAGAGGCTGAAGAGCAACAAAAAGCATCAGGTTCAATTTAGCCAGAATCCAAACAATGCCATTCTCGCATCTCTCATCACAAGATCCATGGTATCACCAACCCTCGCCTGTCAAAACGCCCCCAAACATGTGACTCCATTCTCTCCCCAAACTCTTGGGTCTCATTGCAGCGCTTATCGCCTTTGCATTCGGACCTATTCCCACAGTGGAGATCCGGGGGAAACCACCTAGGGGAGGAAAGAAAACACAAAACCTTGACCCTAAGCGATAAAAATATTTAGGTAAATTTAGCCTAAGTTTAGGGGATCTTTAATAAGTTTATTTTGGCACCCTAGGTCAAGGTCCAGTGTTTTCTTGCTCCCCGAGGACCATACCATTTTTCTTTCTTTCTCGGATCCGAAATGATCAGCCCGCTGAGCTTACCGGTTTTAAGCAATTTACGCGTTTAAACCCCTTGCTTTACGGGATATTTTCTTGATCCAAGTGACATGATCGACAATGACACCACTAAATGCTCCGCGGTGAGTGAGCAGAACGGCCAAATGCTCGGTGGTAAAGATGTAACGTAACGGATGAAAAATATCCACTGGAAAAGTGGTCATGATTGTTTTTCGTATGGAGATGGAGAATATGGGGATAGAGTTGGGAGTTGACTTTATCTCAGTGCAATGATCTAGTAACTGAAGCTGTAGCAAGTTGAGGAGCCTGGACTGAGATCATCATCAATGGATTATTTGGGGATAGCACAATAATTGACTGATACCCAAAAGCTGGAAGGATCTGGCAATACGTCATATCACAAACGATTCCATGCTCTACCCGCCTCCATCAACCCCAGAACATCATCCCCGTGCCCAGTGGAGAAGCTCCCAACAGCAAGGATCTCCAGCATCAGGAGCTCAAACTGTATGTAACCGTAGGACAAAGCAGAATCCTTCTGCGTCCACATCAACGGGACACATTACCCCGAGGCCATCGTGTAACCAGCATAACAGCTATAAAACACATCCCCCGCTCTAGTTGCACCGTTGGTCTTGGACTACAGCTCAGTTACTTACAGACTGGTTTGACTACAGCTCAGTCACTTACAGGCTGGTTTGACTACAATATGCCTATTGGCAACATCTACGTGATCGCCGGTGTCTCCGTCGTAGGCGGTGCACTCTTCGGCTTTGACATTTCTTCTATTTCTGCTCAATTGGGCGAGAACTCTTATAAATGTTATTTTAACCAGGGTCCTAAGGGCCCGCCATTTGATGATGATGAGGATTGCAGTGGACCTACCTCGTTAAATCAGGGTGGTATAACGGCGAGCATGGCTGCTGGCTCGTGGCTGGGTGCTTTGGTATCAGGCATTCTCAGTGATCGTCTTGGAAGGAAGTATTCCATCATGGTTGGGTGTATCATTTGGTAAGTCGTCAACACGTTAGTACAAAGGCCACATAGTAACATCGACAGGATCATCGGGTCTATCATCTCCTGCGCCTCCCAAAACATCGGCATGCTCGTCGTCGGCCGCATCATAAACGGCTTCGCAGTCGGCATAGAATCCGCCCAAGTCCCCGTTTACATCGCCGAGATCTCCCCCCCTTCTAAGCGCGGTCGCTTCATCGGCATGCAGCAGTGGGCCATAACATGGGGTATCCTGATCATGTACTACATCTCCTACGGGTGCGCCATGATCGGCGGCCGTCACTCCTCAGACTACTCCACCGCTGCGTTCCGCGTGCCGTGGGGTCTTCAGATGATCCCGGCGGTGTTCCTCTTCTTCATGATGATGTTGCTACCGGAGTCTCCGCGCTGGCTGGCGAGGAAGGATCGCTGGGATGAGTGTCATGGTGTACTTACGCTTGTGCATGGACATGGAGATCCTGATCATCCGTTTGTGGCGCTGGAGTTGCAGGATATCAAGGATATGTGTGCTTTTGAAGCGTCGATTGCGGATGTTACGTACCTTGATCTCTTCAAGCCCAACATGATCAACAGGACTGTCATTGGCATCTTTACTCAGATCTGGTCTCAGCTTACTGGCATGAATGTCATGAGTAAGTTTCATCCTCCTTCTCTTGAAGACTAATTTTAACAACGCCCAGTGTACTACATCTCTTACGTCTTCTCAATGGCTGGGTACAAGGGCAACGCCAACCTTCTCGCTTCATCTATCCAGTACATCATCAACGTCTTGATGACCATTCCAGCCCTTCTATGGATGGACAGATGGGGACGTCGACCTACATTCCTCATCGGCGCTACTCTCATGTGCACTTGGATGTTTGCCAACGCCGGTATCTTGGCTGCCCACGGCACCGAGATTCCCAAGGATGAGCGTGACTCTCCTCAAGTTTCCATGAGTGTTGGTGGAGGTGCTGCAAAGGGTCTTATCGCCTGCACTTATCTCTTCGTCGCATCTTACGCACCAACATGGGGCCCGGCCTCGTGGACATACCCCCCTGAGCTCTTCCCTCTCCGTCTTCGAGGAAAGGGTGTCGCATTTGCTACCTCATCTAATTGGGCCTTCAACACTGCTCTTGGGCTGTTCACGCCAGTTGCCTTTGAGAACATCACCTGGAAGAGCTACATCATCTTTGGTGTCTTCAACGTTGCCATGTTCATCCACGTCTTCTTTATGTTCCCCGAGACAGCTGGAAAGACACTCGAGGAGACTGCAGAGATGTTTGAGGATCCTAATGGTATCAAGTACATCGGCACTCCAGCTTGGAAGACTCACGTCGCAACTCATCTTACTACCAAGGCGGAGAAGGGTGATGTTGAGGCTAAGCTTGGTGCTGCACATGAGGAGGATGCTCAGCATTCAGTTGGTACACCTGAGAAGTAAAGAGTGCATAATGGCTAAATATGAGGGTTGATATTGGAAGAGATAATGGGAGCGAAAGAGTATGACCTAACAAAACGAGAAAAAACATTCAATTTCAACGCCATTTGCTGAATTGAGAAAATTTAACATATTATGAGGTCCTGCCTTTCCTTGTGATTGATTATGAAACGCGGAATAATGGAAGCTATGACTTCGATGCTGGCCTATGAAAACAGGTTACCTAAGCCAACATGTGACTCCGCGTTTCCAGCGAGTGAGTGTCCCGCCCTGCCATAACCGAATCTGTCGATTTATAACGTTAACACTACATCCACCAGATCTCCTGGCACCCAATGAAGAATAATATCTTCCTCCAAACCTCAGAAAAACCGCGTCTCCCCTTCAATTCGCATCGGTACAGTGGCCAGACAGCGCCATCACTCACTATAGTGGTATCTCCTAATCCGTCGTCGCTAGGTCAACTGTCCTGCAGCCACAAGAAGCGAGTCTAGAACGACGTACAAGGGCGCCTGAAGCGATTGTTGACGGAAGGATCGAATAGCGGAAATGGCCGTGTCTGCGTTATTTGCTGATCAGGGCGTCACCATCGACCTTAGCCACAATAACCTCTCAGAACTATCCGCTGATACCATCAAGAACCTCAATCCCAACGTCGAACGGTCCGTACTTCCATCATTCACGCTTATTTCCACCTACTAACCGAGTTCACCAACAGGCTAGCCTTATCTCACAACCGTCTTTCAACCATCCCGACATGTCTGTCTCTGTTTACATTTTTGCGCTACCTTAACATCCGGAGCAATTGTATCCATGTTTTCCCTCCCGTGGTAGATATCACCCTAGCCGTGATATGCACACTTCAGAAGGCTAACACTAAGGTAGCTCTTGGAGTTGAGTCATCTCGAGATCCTCGATCTAAGCAGAAACAAGATTGAATGCCTCCCAGACGACATCGCAAAGATGGCATCGCTCAAGGTCCTGGCAGTCCAAAAGAACAAGATTCAGCGTCTACCATTCTGTATCTCTGAAATGACTGTGCTACTCGCCCTTAAGATCGACGGCAACCCGTTGACTCCGATGCTGAGTCGTATTGTCGAGGCACAGTCCCTTGGTGCTGCTTCCAAAAGTGCTCGAGACAACGAAAACAATGATATGGCTGTTACGGCTCAGATAAAACAAGTCTTGAAACACGAGGCTAGGTCTACTGCAAGCCGGTCTGTATCGCAGACAGCGCTGGGCTCAAATCAACAGTTCGAACCGCGCCAACACTCTTCAAAGCGAAGCCGTGCTGGGCGGTTCCCTGTTAAAGTCGATGGAGCCGATCTTCCAACCTCACGTCCATCACTGCTCTCGCCCAAGTCACACTCAAAAGCTCCGTCAATGCATAGCAAAGCGCTCTGGAGCCCCAGTACATCTTACCAGAAACAAGATGAGGGAGAGCATTCATCAAACAACCCTGACGGCCTTCAGACACCCGATCCACAGAATGTCCGTGCCTGCAAAGATCCGTCAGTGACCCACGTGAATAAGAGGTTCGGGTTGCAACAGATCCCCCAATTGCCCTCCACAGACCGACTGAGTCAGCATCTTCGTGGACTCAGTCTCAACACTGCCATATACCCAAGAGTCCAGTCACAAGAGCCGAAAGACTATTCATCCCCATCGACAGGTGAACTCCTCAACATCGTTCCTATTTCCCGGTCTAATACACGCGATCCCCTATTGGAGATGGCACGAACAGTATTTTTCTCCATCCATCGAATACACTGGCTCATCGAAGTTCTATCAGACCTCACAAGCGACGGAGGCTCTAAACGATCAAGTCTTCAGATGGTAGCATATAACGCAAGGCTCCACCTGGGCGAACTTGGAGAGCAGATTCAGACTCACGTCGCCCAGGCTGGTGACATCTCGAAGATGAAACAAAGCATGAGCCAGATTAGACGCGCTTGCGGTGTTCTAACGAAGGCGTATCTTCCCATCTGTTCGCAAGTCTGTCGAAATATTGAAGTTCTTGTTGAACGGGCAGAGGGGCGCTTTGTTAGCGACTTGATCTACAGCCTTTATGCTAGTATCATGGGACTACGAGCCGAGTTTCTTTGTTTCCAGAAACAAGCTACTCTCCAGCTGAACACTGAGCCTGGCTCCGCAACAGGGCAACCACAAGAAAATTCAAATGGCAAATCAAGTCTATCTATTCCAACAACTCATACTAGACGCTCCTCAAACGAAGATGCAGCACCTCAAGGGAATCCATGGACACCTCCACCGCCAGCACGTACATTGACGTTAGATGGGGAACCTGAGGTTCTTCATCAGTTATACTTAGCTCTCCGCCGACTATGCAAGCTCATTCCAGAGAATCTACCATCTACCGGCCGCAAGTTCCAAACCCAGATACAGGATGTAAAGAGACAACAGTCTGCACTGGATGCCTGCTCAAGAGTCCTCAGGCTATCAGAAGCTATCAAGCAAAGCCTTGCACCCGTCCATATGAAGTTGAGCGCTCCACTCCGCAACCTCTATTATCAACTCGTTGATGCCTGGGCTACCTTCGGTGGTATTGTGAAATCGCTCAACAGCCAACTGGGTCTTGAACCAGATTCAAGAAAGAGACTTCAACAAATACAGCAACTTGTCAAAGAAGTGATGCAGTGCTTAAGAGTTCTGCCAATAAACACAAACGCCAACACAGCGTTCAATGATAGTCTTCCGCTGACTCCACAGCAGGCATCGCTGGGACCGGCAGTCCAAGCGACAATCTCACTTTCGCCATAATCCATCACTGCTTACGGTTTGTGGCACAAAGCCTGTAGAAAAACAGCTCTATATAACACGCCTTGTGTCGAAAGGTAGGGTTGATATGATTGGCTTGCTTCACCGTTAGTCACCTAAAGGTCCCTTGGTACTAGGTTTACTCTGCTGATTTATGCTCTCAGCCACGAGTATCAACTGCAAACAACAAAATTTCCTTGGAGATCAAAATGAAAGTGTTGTATTGAATAGCTGGAGGTTGTAAAGGTTGGTGGGTACTATGCAATTAGGGAAGAGTCATGAGTGAGTGATTTGCGCCCATAGACCGACCCAACTGTCAGAAATCCCTCATTCTCTCGTCGAACCAATTTCACGGCATCTTGAAGAGTGTGAAGGTCGACATCTGCGTTGATGTGGATAAATCTAGTTCAATGTCGTATGCATCGGAAGCTCCAAAATCACGGGTAGTTGGTCAAACTGACTAATCACCGGGACTTCCCTTCCAAACAACACTTTCGATGAGCTTTTTAAAGAAGGAGAGTATAGGATAGGCGTTATTCCTGCATCGAGAGCACCCTTGATATCAGCTTCGACAGAATCGCCAACCATATACGCGTTATCTGGTTCCACCCCCAGCTTTTCTAACGCATGGTGGAAGATGCTGACATCAGGCTTAGGATGGCCAGCCTCTTCCGATGTGATGACGCACTCAACGAGATCAAAGACACGAATGGCTTTGGCCTTTTCTATTTGGCTCTCGGTCGGGCCATTCGTGATGATAGCGGTGCGATAACCATTCTTCCGAAGACTAGTTAGGATCTGTATGCTTCCTGGCATAGCGCTTCGTTGCATTCTGTATCCCGCTTTGTACACACTCCGAAAATGCGCAATACGTTTGGCGTCTGGTTCTTCGAGGCCTAGACTCTTGAAGAAGAGCTTGACCTTTTCTGAATCTTGGTCCTCGTGTGCTATCTCATTTCGGAGATAGCGCCCGTAAACAACATTGAGGGCTTCGTTGTACTTCTCGGTAAGCACGTCCTCCGGGGTTCCACGAAGAAGCGGGAATACCGTTTGTACGGTGAGTAAGGCATTGCGAAGAGACTTTTGGTGATCGAACAATGTGTTGTCAAGATCGAAGAAAACCATTGTGCGAAGAGGCAGAGACACCATTGTGAAGATGGCATCTGGGAATGGGAGTGACATGACGGCGGGTGCTGAGTTTGCCGAAAGACAGATCGAATAAGTGATGGAAATATGGAGAAGAGGAAAATTACGAGAGGTTTAGGTTAGACTTATATACCTATAAAATGATTATTAAGGTTGCGCTCAAAGAAACTTTGTAGCTGGGGTTTGTGGCTAAGAGCTTAAATCAGCACATAGAACTTAGATCTCCCTCCCACGTCAACCAGGCGTCTTCATTTGTGCCAAAGCATACCATATTGTACCCTCCCAGTCCTGCAGCGAGCTCCGCAACGGCGGCGGTTGCACTGCTCGCGTAACATCGGAGCTCTTTGCCGTGAAAGCCGCCAGAATCTGGCGCATCCCCTCTGTTTCGTATGCTCTGGAGTAAAGGTTCACTTTGTAAAGATTCCCACATTTCACTTCCTCGGCGATGAGATATGACACGTACAGCTGAATCAAGCCAGCTGTTGCAGCCATGATGGGAGCTGCGAAAGACGTTCCCCACCGAAAGCCATAACCGCAGGGAACTCCCTGTGCAAGAGTTCCGAAATGAGGGGGAAAGCTCTTTGATTCGTTCGGGTTGTACTCTTTGGGAAATTCACCCTGTGATGTGGTTCCCCTGACAGATATAACTTCTGGCCAACAAGCCGGAGCTAGTTCTGGCGAGAGGCCGCCGTCATTGCTGGCAGCGGCTAACATGATGAGCTTTGGATGAAGGAGTCCATTTCTCCTGTCCTTTATGGCGTCTTCAATGGCTACCCTCAAGACAGTCGGTTCTGTAATGTAGCCAAAGGACATGGAGATGATGTCAACCATCCACACAGTTGCAGCATGGTGTATGGCCTAACAGATGATCTGTAAGCACGATTTCTGGGTAGATAAAAACATTGTGCATAGCGCAGGGATACAGTTGGGTTGACTCACCCGTCTAATACTATCCAAAACTCCGTCATATGTCTCAAGGTCAACCATGTCTCTCTTGTGGGGGGCTATGCGGGCAACATAGATGTTGGCTCGCGGAAGCAACATTAGCAGAAGGGTGGTGATGCTTGTGCCGTGCTTCCCGTTTGAGCCCAAGTTGCGAGCTCCTACACCATCTTCGTCAATCATGTCCGTGCTTTTCGGAGTGGCGAAGTCTCGCCAAATTATTCTCTTCAGGTCATCAGGGTCACCCAGGCGTTCTCTTTTGAAAAAGTTGCAGTCTGGGTCGCATCCAGTATCCAGAATGCAAATCTTTGGCTGTTTCCCCTTCGTATTAACACGCTCGTGGACAGCACCACTAAGGTCCAGAAAGCTTGATATCCATTCAATACCGTTGTCCGCCCTAAGGTGATCAAACAAATCAGACAAGCCAACAACAGAGGGAATGCTGCTAATTAAGTCAGCCACCTACACATCTTTTTTGGCCCCCTTGGGCTTTTCCAGGAAAGTCATAAAGCTCTTGTACTGATCAATCTTGTTCGAGGTACTAACATAGCCTTGGCTAGGGTAGCTTATTTGTCCAACCTGTAAAGTTGGCAGCGCTAACGTGTCGGAATGGAATGTGGACAGATAAAGGAGCCTTAATGGATGCACGACATTGCGTAGGAGCCAGTCTCGTTTCTCTATCACACGCGCATTGGTCTTCTCTGCATTGTGAGCGAAAAGCCTAACGTCCAAGCAATTCACGATTGCTTGTTGGATCTGTTGATGGCCTTCAAACTGTAACCGGGCATATCCCGCGTACTGAGCTCGTCGCACGTGTGCCTCTGACCACGTCAAGTCATTTGTTAGTCCTGAATCCTCCCAAATATCGAGAAGCAAAAGGCCAAGAGAGATCGGACCTGGGTAGAACCTGGCACCTCTATGATCTTGGTGGAAGTCCATTCCCAAGTCGCTGTCATAAGCTTGTCTGAGTTCATCTTCTGTCTTGAAATTGATACTAACGTAAGGATGCCGATGCGAGAAGAGCGACAGGCCATTAGTCGTGTCAGTAGCAGGCCGCGACGGATCCTCTGTGTCGGGAATCGTGGACAGGCTTTTGAGCGTCCACAGTTGCTGGGCTGTGAGTCGAGTATTGTAGTATTGGCTCACGGACCTACCGACGACATAGGCCAAAAAAACCTTGTCATGTGCCGACATTCTCGAGACATCTCGTTCTAGTAGCCGAGGCGCTTCTCTGTTGCCTGCAAGGCATGTTTGGCGACGTGTATTGGGGACTAGCGAATGACCACCAAGCATATGCGCTCCAAGCGCCTTGGTCGTACCAGCCGTAGCATAAAGAATGGGTTTCGCGTCTTCCGACTCTGAGGATAGTAGGCAAAGACGGCATCCGTGACTGGGAGAAATATAGCTCTGACAAAGCGTGCCTTCCAAGATTTCCTCCACAGCCTTTCCTGATTGCATCCTTCGGCTCATTTCGGCCCTGAAGTGTATCAATACATGAAGTCCTATTTCAGATTTCCATGGCCTGGGGGACAGATAAATACCTGCTGATGACATTGACTTCTGCTTCATGATAGCACTTTGTGCTGCCCCCTTTTGTGCATCCGTGTTTGGTGCTTTCGGGCATGGAAGCGCTGAAAATAGCCTCGTACATCCAGGTACCATCTGGGTGTGGAGGTACCTTTGGGTCGTCAAGTCGTAGGTGAAAGGTTCTGAGATGGTTTTCCTGCGGCCGAAATGCATGGCATAAGATCTGGGGGTTCAAGGCAGAGTATAGTACATCTTCCTCCCACTGAGACTCCTTTTCCGATGGGAGACTGTGCTTGGGAACAAGTGTTTGGGAATCGTGTGAGGAGCGTCGCCTCTTGTCAGGTTTGTTTGTTTCGGCCTCGTCGCTCGGGCGCTTAAGTCCATCTGAAACCGGTCCATCGCGATAGTCGAGCGCGTCATTATGAATCTGGTTCTGTGCCGCATTTGGAGGCACTTGTCCAGCCAGTGATCCATCCCTCGAAGCACAAGCTTGGTTAATGAGGTCGTCGACCCCAACGGAGAAGCTGCACTTAATCGCCTGCTGGATAGAAAATTGGAGTTCAGCATTAGCTATGCCTTTTTGGATCCGAGCAACGGAACACAGCTTGGGATAAATCGTCGGTGTTGGCTCAAAGTCAGACAAATCGCTAGGGTATGTGTTCTAAACGTCTGGTTAGCGACATAAAAAATGTACAAATCGCGATTGGTGACCCATACAAGACACGTTTCTTCCAGGAACTGCAACAAAGTGTCGAGTTCTGGGGTGTTGGCAGGCGAGGGAAATGACAGTCGTTTCAATCCAACGAGGCTCAGTAGGCGCAAACTCCCCTCACCACTGGCACTGGGGACCATGAGTCTGGAGCTCTCCTCCGCGATACGCGCCAAGGCCTCAGCCACCACTGGACGTTCCAGTGACTGCACATCCATCAACATCAACGAAACGAAGGATGTAATTGAGATTGAAACATACTACACTTTGGACTGAACTGCACGGGTGGGATGGGATGGGATGGGATGGGATAGCTGCCATTAAGTTCTCACACGGGATAACGCTCCCCTGTAAGCGCCGGGGTCTCTGCAGACCAGCCAACCAGAGAGAGGCCTGAAGAACTCGCGAGACGAACTGGTCACAAGAGAACTCAAGGTGCAGTGCAAGTACAGTAGAGCATGCCTGACCCCCACTGCGGTAACTCAATCGGTTCCAGAACTGATATCTCGTTTATGGACCCGATAATTCTACATGACTACGCCGACTGCTGGTCCCCGTAAGCTTGATTAGGTCCGTGCCGTTACTCTTCACTTTGGAAAAGCACAATCATCCGCCTACTTTGACACTTGGCTATGCCAGATTTAATGAGCTCATTATAGCCGGGCGCTCGGCCCCGTCCGCGACTGGTAGAGTCCCTTGGATCCCAAAATGAGGCGTCCGTCTGGGCCCTCTGTGGCTGGCTAGCTGAAAAACCGCTTCTGTCATCACGCATAAAAGCGATGCGATAGTGCGGCGACTTGCTTACCCCTCTAGCCCCTCCTTGCTAAGCAGGTGTTCTTTCAGCGCCACCAATCCCTCCAAGGCATGCTCTGCCTATCATGACGCTCTGGTTAATGACTAGAAACAAGGCAACCAAAGAGGCAGCGAGGCCACAAGAATCACGTGGACGTATCAGCATCGCACTTCTGCCTGCAGAAAACAACGCATCCTCACGAGCCGCGATATGAGAGTATGAAAGACCGCCACCCGCTATCGTAGATGCTCTCTTCTTGGCGAAGCCATCGCACAGTCCCCAACGCGGGATCACGGAAGCATTGGCGGCCCCACAAAGATGAGTGAGCGCATCACGACATCAAACAAGCTAGATCCAGCGGCTGCGCTCCTTTGGAATCCGCCAGGGGACAAAATTGCCTTTCTTGACGAATTTCCTTTCCCTCGTCTCCGTAGCCCAATCCTGGACGCGACGTTGGCCTGTCGACACAGCTTTAGGAGCATCTGCTTCACGAAACACAGCAAATCGAGATGGGCAGAGGAGAATCTGGTAAGCTTTAACGCTTGGTCCGTCTCCTCGGGAGCTGGTGTTTGGGGAGAGTTTAGCTTGGACGACAAACTCGTGACGAGGAGGCAGGACAGCTGCATCCTGCGAAATCTTTTGTGGATGCTTGATGACTTTGTCAACGCTGTCGGCCGAATAGGCAAGTATATCTATACCTTGAGCTCTAATATACATTCACATATTCGGTGACTAATAACGTCTTATTTCTTTTCAATACAGGTGGACCTGCCCAAGAATTCAACGTCCAAGGAGCAGAATCAGTGCTTAAGCAACTTTTCACTCTTACAACTAACTTTATTCGGTCTCTTCCATTTACCCGCCTCTGGGACTCTGAGTCATCTTTTGGAGATGAAGCAGATGAGGACTTGGTGTTGTTTAAAGCAACCCTCCTCTCCGAGTATGATCCTTTCATGGTCAACGCAGACGAAGGCCGTGTCCAGAGTATCACAGCTGTACGGGATCGACTGATTCAAGCAAACTCAAAACGACGTGTTCGTCTTCAAAAAGCCCGGAAGCGCAGAGCTGAACCCAGATCAGACATTTCGCCCCAGCCGCCACAGGATCAAGGCCCTTACCCTGTCTTGCCACCTCCAGTGGCCGCTGGTAGCAAGGTCTTTGAATGTCCTCACTGTTTCGAGAACCTGCCGGTATATCTAGCTCGCGCAGGCCATTGGAGGTGAAGTTGATATTCTAGTTTTCTTATCAGCGCAATGCCTAACAGATCTTATAGAGAGCACGTCATGGCTGATCTTGCACCATTTACGTGTGTGGTATCGGAATGCCAGCATCCGAACTTGTTCTTCACTTCAGAGTTTGACTGGAGATCGCATGTGGAACGTGTACACGGCGTGCAGCGGTGGACATGCTATTACTGCGAGCCGTCTATTTGGTTCGACAGTCTTGGAACCCTAAGAGCACATCTGGAGGCGAAAAGAGCCGACAGGGTGCATTCTACCGCTCTCGAGCTCGGGGACTCTGAAATTTCGGCCGAGACGGCTAGTTGGCAGATTGACAAGCCTTTAGAATGCCCGTTTTGTCCCGAACTCGCCCTGAGGGATCGTTCTCTAGATCACATCGCCAAATGCTTGATTGGTTTCGCCATGAAGGCACTGCTATATAATGATACGTATGTTCTGCAATTCACGTCCGCTTTTGAAGGAAACCAGACTGATCATTTGAATAGAGACATCCGTAGGGCAACGACGGCAGTGCCGGTGTTACCCGTCGAAGCGTCGGATGCAGTGGTCACCGTTGGTTTAGCCATGCCTGTAGAGAGCATAGCCATGCCAATTGATCTGCTGGGTACCGAAGGTCAACCTGTTTCGGATCGTCCGCAAGTCATCAGCCCCAAGAATCTGCGACAGACTTCGACTGGGTCTAAACGATCCTCAAAGACTAGGCCAAAGCCTGACGGCTATCACAGCCGTGGTAGCGCTGCTAGGATAACTCTTCCTTTGGTGGTTCCGCAAGCTGTTGCACAGGGATCAGCGCTGCCTCCAGAGTCAGTGGTGATGAGCGGTGGCCCTCCGACAAAGCGGCGGAAGCTGAGTGAAGATGACTTGAATACTCGGATCTCCTATACATCCTCAGTCTTGGCAACTATCAACGGATCTGGGCTCTCAGGCTCCACTGGTCGTATTGTGGCGAGCGGAAATACTACAATGAGAACGCAGTGGGTTAGTGAGTGGGATTCCGAAGGGTTGCCCTGGGAGGGATGGGAAAGTTGCTATCCCGGCTACACCGGCAAGAAAACCCATAAACGACAATCCATGGTTGAAATGGAGAAGTTTGAAAGAGTCGAGAAGCGCATTTCTACTTGAGACCACGCGATGCGGGTGCAGAGTGGAACAAATTCACAAGCACTGGTAAGCATTACCAAATGGTGGTTGCATACCATGAGGAATGTGCAGTATGGTTCGCCCAGGCATACTCATTCGAGTTTAGACAGCCGGATTATGCACCTCATCATGTGAGGCGAGCAGTCGGGGCTCTCCGTTTTCCAATAGAACTGATATGCGGCCCTCCATGTCCCTCGGCGGTAAGGCGTGCTTCGCCGCCTTTGGTATACATGTAGCTCTCCCATTCAGCCCGGGCGTTATCACTCAGCATAAATTCTTTCCCTTCCCCTCTCCGTTAATCCCCTCCAGACCAGCTAAGCTAGTATTCCACTTTCAACCTCAGCGCCGCTTCACCTTCTCCCAGGCCATCCGTTGGCAAACCAAATACTCATACCCAGGCGCTCCTACATCATCCCACCATGGCCTCGGAGCACAGTTACATTCTTGTCCCGGAACCCGGCCAGCCCACTTCGCAGATCGCCATTGGCAATATCTTCAGAGACCGCAGAAAGGTCGATCAGCAGCCATTCGCCGGACCCGGGTCGGGCGTTCTCACGCAGCTCCATGCAACCGAGCATGATGTAAACCTCACCTTCAACATCAGCAAGCGCTTGGCTGCCGGCCTTAAAGCAAAGCTGTGTTCTTTCCTTGGCATCAGCGCGAGCTTTGACTCTTCCGAGGAGGGGGATGTTGCCTTGAAAATTGGCAAGGTCGAAACATACCGGATCGCCATGGAGGGTGATATCCTTCATCGGTATGTTAAAAGGCGGCTCGAGGAGCTGGACCAGGATGCAGAGGGACTGAGAAAGCTCAGGCTTGATCCTGATAAGTCAGGACGACTATTCATGATCACGGGCGTCAAGGTCGCCACAGATATGGTAAGATATGTTGCAGAGAAACGCCAGCGCGGAGGAAACATCGATGCCGGATTTCCTCTGGATCCGCACCAAGCGGCAGGTCTGCAAGCTTCTGGCGTCATGAGTAAAAACAGGAATTGGTCGATTTCTGGGAAAATGGATGGGCCTGTTGTGATTGCCTATCAGTTGTATTATGTGCCATGGAAGAATGACAAGGCTCGAATCCAGAAGAATTTGAAGTACGGGATGTTGGGTGATGAGAAGGACAACGATAAAGATGAAGAAGAAGAAGAAGATGATGATGATGATGAAGAGAACGAGGAGCTAGAGGACGAGTGGGGTTGGTTCATGCAGCTTGGAAGCTAATCAAAGGTAGCTACCTGTATACAAGTCTGCAATAACAATGGCTAGGTACACTGAGAGTTAAGGAGAGGCAGTCCCATTACTCAAACACGGTGCGCGATATTCACGTTAACAATAGAAGCCCTATGAGCTATCAAAACTTGGTGTGTACATAAACTTCCTGAGTCGAGGTCGTTCCAGTCACTACGAACCGGCCCTTTGTGGAAGCTAAGTTCCGCGTGGTGATAATAATTGACTGTGGCTAGCTGAAAAATGAGGGGTTGCTGAAATAGTCTAAACTGGGCTGGCTGAGCGGAGTCGCCCGGAACTTATCATATTACTCCTATTGGTCTGTTGGAAAGATGGCGACGTCTAGACCAGACTATTGATCTGCCCGTATTCACTAGCGGCGGGAGCCAAGATTTCATATAGAGGCAAACCCTCGCAAGAGCGGCTACATAGTGTCGTTCGTATGGATAGATGCTGAGACATTGGCTGTGATATATGCAATGGAATGTGATAGATGCAACAGTCGTTGCGTAGTTCATGAAGGGGTTAGCGTTGGGTATGCCTGCAGAGCGCTACTCATCCTTCCCAATCATCTATAAAAGCTCATCTTTGAGTCGCCTTGAATCCAAGGAGCCAGACACTGATATTCCACCTCATCTAAAAATACGTTTTCAAGCACACTTTTCTCTTTCTTGCACTACAACCAGACACAATGGCCTCTCAAAGACCTGGGCTACCTCAGATGACGGAGGAGGAGAAAGAGAGACAGAGACGTCTCCTTGAGCTTTGCATGCAACAGGTGGGATTCTTCAGGGGAAAGAAAATCCCAGTCTACACTCCTGGAGAGCTTGAGTACGAGAAATCTGTCGCGAACTCGAACCTCCTCTACCGCTTCGAAAGACCAGGTTGTGTCACCCAACCTGAGCATGAATCCCACGTTCGCATCATTGTTAAACGAGCTAAGGAGGTAGGCCTACCTATTCGAGTCAAGAATGGAGGTCACTCGTATGCAGGATTCTCTGCTATCAACAATGGAATTTCGATTGATCTGGTCAATATGAAACGTGTCGACCTCGACAAGGATAACATGACCATCACAATGGAAGCCGGCGCACTTTGGGCTCATGCTTATCACGAACTGATCAACGACCATCACGATAAACTGGTTATCAATGGAGGGCGTTGCCCTAGTGTCGGAGTCAGTGGTTTCACTCTGGGTGGAGGTCTCGCGCCCTTTACTCGAAGCTTCGGTCTGGGAAGTGATACACTCCTTGAGGTTCGCATTGTGACTGCAGACCATGAAAGCATCAAAGTCAGCCCAAAGGACAAAAAATCTGAAAAGGCAGATCTCTTCTGGGCTCTTTGTGGTGCTGGCGGCAATAATTTTGGGGTAGTCACTGAGCTCAAGATGAAGGTTCAAGAACTGCACCACGATTATGTTGTTGCTGGAGTCTATACCTGGGCACCGGCTCATGACGCTGCATCTCAGATGGCTTTTGAAGAAGCCATGATAAAGTTCTATAGTGCTGACTGGAGCAACGAGATGACGATTGACACCAGTTGGTTGATGGACCTGAAAGATACCCGCGAAGATCCTTCGGTTCGATTTTTGGTCTACTATAATGGATTGGAGAAAGACTTTGACAAAGAGGTTGATGAGAAGCTCGGAAATTGCGGCAAGGTTAACGACAAAGACAAGCCCGATGACACAGACAAGGTTGACAGCAAAGACAAGGTTAGCGACAAAAATAAATCACTGGCACAACAGCTCAAGGATCGAACCCTGCCGGAGAATTCAACACTCTTTCTCCACGAGACTCTTGTAGCTCAGTGGTCAGAAGAAACCCAGAAGGCTTTGCCTTCGAACGCCATGTTCCGGATCTACACCTCCTTCTCTTTCACAAAGGCCACCGTCAAACAGAATATTTCTGAAATAACCAAGACGCTGAAAAAACACTTGGTAGCTTTTAAAGAAGATTTCAAAGGCGAAGAAGGCTCAATCAGAGTGTCTTGGATTCATTCCGGTGGTGAAGCCAGCAAAAAGAGCCCTGACTACTCTGCTTATCCCTGGCGTGCATGTGAATATCACACCTACATCATGATTGAGTGGAAGGATAAGTGGTTAGAGACAAAGATGAGAGGCGTCCTCACAGATCTTAACAAGGAGTTGAGAAAATATTCTATGGACGGGCTTGGTGTGTATATCAATTTCCCGGATGCTACACTCGACAAGGACACATACGAAAAGGCATACTATGGTGACAACTGGGAAAAGTTACAGAGCATCAAGGCACACTGGGATAAGGACAACATCTTCCAGTGGCCTCATGGAGTTCAAGTTGGACCCCACGTTGACTCTGAGGGCACGACGATGGAATTTGCATCTCCGCCTTTACCTCCCAGCAGTAGACCTGTCGTCAAGGGGTTTGCCAATGCAGGGGATGCTGCGGGCGCCTCGGTCGGCAAAACCTGGGACACCTGTAACCTGGCTAGCGGCAGCCCTATAGTCGGTCTAGGTAATTGAGCTAGCTAGTTGGGAGTGTCAAAATTAGTTTTGAGCTTGCAGGTTCAGAACAATCAGTTAATACGATTCTGGTTACATTCTGTGGCTTAAGATGGCTCAATAGCTCCTTTGACCTGCTTCGCAAAACGACTATCGCTGAAGTGCTTATCCAAACTTAAACGCCCTGACTCATGCATCGATAGCACATCCTTCTTTTCAAACGCCTTCCAGATTGTGTTCGTGTCCGTCGCGCTCGTGAAAAGAACCTTGACATGCGTCTTTACCCTTGGGTCAACCGTCAACTGCAGTATCTCGAACAGTACCTTCTCCACACACATGCTTTGCAACATATCTTCATTTTCGTAGACATTCACACTGTCTATCACACAAAAGAGTGTTGTATCGTTGCGTAAGCGACGGGCGAGGACGGTGAACAGCTGGCATAGTTCCTCAATATCCTCAACTCCTCTCTTTAGAAGAGGTAGATTCACCTCTTGGGCGACTTTGTCAAGATCTGCGTCATCAAAGCCATGCTGACGAAGAAGCTGTGTCGTGAGGCTCTTGATGAGTCCGAGGCCGCCGAGCAGTGGATCATCGTGGTCGGTGTGCTGTCCGCAAAAGAACGCAACAGCACAGAAACTATCCACCTGGCGCAAGTTTCGCACGATAGCTGCACTGAACAACGATAAAGGCGTGACACTCGTTCGACTTGGCTTCATGTGTCCGTGAACTAGAAGTTCAGTGGAATTCGTTCTGACAACCCATTGCTTGAACTGTGCGTTCTCCACCAGATGCTCAGCTCTACCTTGATCACGACGATTCACGAGGGCAGCTGAGTCTGAGATCTCAGCCATATCGACCTTATCAACAGCAGAGAGGTCGAAGTCCACGTTCATGTTGAGAATTAGTAGAAGCTGAGCTTGTGATACACGTGCTGGTCCAACCCAAGGTCGTCAGTCTCGACTGCGTGATCGCTCCGCTTCGAGCTGTGTGTGGAGGCGTGTGTATTTGACCGCAAGCCTTGCATTTTGTCTTTTTTGTTCTAGATGTATATGTCGGTGAATCTTTTTAATACGGCGCCGAGATGAACACGAACCGTTGAAAGCAGTCAGGTTGGTGAGGTACTCCTGGGATAGCCTCATAAATGCATTCATCGCATTAGATGCAGTTGTAGCATTAGCCATGTTAGCTGCAGCGTTTTGTTCATTAGCAGTAGCATTGCGTTCGTTGGCTGAAGCCAGTCTTCGTTGTTCGGCTGCCACTTTACGACCGGATTTGTTTATCTCTGACGGGGCGTCTGCGAGTCTAGTTTGTTCTCTCGTGATCGCCCTTTGGTGTAGTGGTTAAGCATCTAGGCAAGCCCCCTGCAGTAATGCAGAAGGCAGTAGGTTTAAGACCTATAAAGGGTATAAAAAGACCCCTTATTAAGGCAGGCTTTTAAGGTAAGCCTAGCGTGCTAACTAAGGCTAAGGTAAGCCTATTACTAGATATAGTAACTATAGAAGCTAAAGATTATAGAAAGTCTATTAGCTTTAGCTAATTAGTAGGCTAGTTATAGTAAGTTAAGGATAAAAAAAAGCTATAATTAGTCTGAATTAAATAAAGCCTAATTTTCCTTACTTTAGAAATTAAATAGTAATAATATAAGGAGGTAATAAGGAATTAGGCTAGATTAAATTATAAAGGGTAGTAACCCTAGATAACTGCAGGCAGCTTAATAAGACTCTAATTCACAGTTCTCTTGTGATCTTGATATGATCTAGTTGGAGCTGTTTCAACTTGTCGATTCCTAGCAGCATAGTTAGCGATGTAGATTCAAATCGACGTTGATGGGCAGCTCACCTTCTGATGCCTTAATACTCACTGATCGAAGCTCACGGAAACTCCCTATATAGGCTTTCTCCATCAGTCTTGAGCTGCTGGAATTGAGTTCCTCTAAGCAGCCCGTTAGATCAGCTTTGTAGCTATCTGCTTGCCACATCGACAGTAGCATCTTCTTCCCTACAGGTGGATCAGTTGATCGTAGATAGAGGAAGTGAATAAGAATCACCCTTTTTTGCTTTCTTTTTCGTAAACAGCCACTATGCTCTCGACATCCTCCAACTTCTCCCGGAACTGACGAAGGCTTGACTCAATCTCCTCTCGAATTTTGGCTGTTCTCTTAGCTGCCTGTCTTACGTTAGCTACTGAGAGATACCAAGAGGTATAGGGCTTCTGAGCTTACGTCAAAAACAATGTCAAACACACAGTGGATTACTGAAGAGTAGTCTGTGTTTGGTAGGAGGGAGAGCAGTCTCTTTCCTTCGTCAACGTTGTCTGTCATTTTGTGCGCTGACCGTTACCAGAACCCGATAAACCCTGAGTAGTCGTAGTAATTCGCTCTGGCCTTTTCGAGGACATTTACAACGTCCTCGAATCTCTCCATCGTGCCTTTACGACGGGCAAAGACCTGCAACTTAAAGGAGACTTTGATCAAGCGTGGGTCCACGTTTATTGAAGCCTGTGATCCACAGCGCCGAGGTATCCCAATGCACTACTCTGGCCTCTCCTTGGAAACACAGGAAGAAATCGACAGCCAGGTTGTGATCGACTTCGAAGAAGCTTTCGCCACTAATGACGTCGGAGGCAAAACTAAGCCATCAGGCTGGACAATCGAAAAGCTGGTCCTCGAGTGCTTTGCCGGCAGTATAAAAGATGAGATGCAACTCTACCTGCACGACGTGCAAACAAAGTGGAAACCCGAGCTCAAAGACATCGACCCAGGTGGTGACTCTGAGGCAGACTACACATCTGACACTTCAGACACGGGAGGTCGCCGACGCCGGACACAGATGAATCGGACTTGTCTTCCAGAGTGTTGTTCCAATGAGAATGTTCACGACGATGTTTTCGTGGAGCATAATAGAAGCAGTGAATTTGTGCAGAGTCAGGTCTGGGAGGACGATATGAACGAGGGGATGCCGTCTTTGACTATCGCGGCGAGATCGTTGAGAGAGGCGATGGAGGATGAGGAGTACATCACTGATGATGACAAGTTGATAACGAACTACGGGGTGTTTGGGTTCATTATGAGGAGTAGAAAGTGGGGTGAGTATATTTCTGGCATTACACCCGGTGTCTTCATGGAGGAGTTAAGTTGTAATTAGACGCTGAACTGACATGAACTACTTACAGCTAAGCTCGACTTGACATATCTCGGGCCCATGAAGGGGCAGAACACTTTCGACTTACTCGTACTTCCACCTGGTCACAGAGAAATGGTGGAAAGTTTGGTGACACAGCATTTCTTGGACAAGACGTCTGCTTACGATGAGACGGATGAAGTTGATATCGTCCGGGGGAAAGGTTCGTAGTGTCAATCCCAAAGCCGTTGACAACTACTGACAGGCAGCGCAGGAAAGGGCTTGATTCTGCTTCTGCATGGGGCACCTGGAGTCGGAAAGACAACTACAGCAGGTAAGTTCATTTATGCTTATGGATGTAGAAATGGTCGACTGACATGGACAGAATGCGTTGCAACCTACTTCCACAAACCTCTCTTCCAAATAACTTGCGGTAGGCGCGGCACTCTCTTTCAACCTTGGTGCATGGTAGCTGACCAGAAGTTGTAGGAGATTTGGGGTCTACAGCAGACGTCGTCGAGAGTCGCTTGGAGAAGAACTTTGCCCTCGCAAGTCGATGGGGCTGCATTCTGCTCATCGATGAAGCAGATGTCTTCCTTGAGGCTCGACAGACAGAAAACTTTGATCGTAACAGTCTTGTCGCTGGTAAGAGAAAGAGTCCCTAAAATATTGTAGTGTGCTGACCGTAGTCCCTCACATCACAGTCTTCCTTCGGACGCTAGAGTACTATACCGGTATTCTCTTCCTCACCACCAACCGTGTCGGCACCTTTGACGAAGCTTTCACGTCACGCATCCACATCAGTCTATACTACCCTCCTCTCAACCTAGAATCCACAGTCGCCGTCTTCAAGGTGAATCTCACTCGCATCAAAGCCCGCTTCGAGAAGAAAAAAGAGAGAGGGGAAGCGGAGCTTGAGCTAGATGAAATGTCAATCGCTACATTTATCCATCGGTATTTTGAGAAGAATAAGGACGCTCGCTGGAACGGTCGTCAGATCCGTAATGCTTGTCAGACAGCGTTAGCCCTTGCTGAATTTGAGGGCCAAAAGCTAGCCAACCCAGCGGCGAGCGGCGGGCGCAACGTCATGGAGTTCGCAGCCATGTCAAAGAAGATGATCAAGGTCAAACTGGCAGAAAAGCACTTCCAAGACGTTGCCAAGGCTTATCTGGCATTCATAAAGTATCTTCGAGAGGTACACGGCGTCAGTGCAGCGCAACAAGCTAAGAACTACCGTCTGCGTCATGATCGATGGGGTCTTGGTGAGTCAGCTAGTCTACTTGCTTCCAGACAAAGGGATTATAGAGAAGAGAGCAAGCCAGAATATGGGCAGCGGTATGGTCCGAGACCAAGCGGGAGAGGAGACCAGCAAACACGAGGGCCACGGTATCGACAAGAACAGAACCTGGATGATGAGAACATCGCAGAAGATTACGGATACACCAATGAATACCACGGGTATGAGGATGACCAGGGGCTGATGCAGGATGACGACGATGGTAGGGACTTTGAGAATGGACCGTCGTTCGACGAGGAAGTTGACTATGCCGAAGGCTATGAAGAGCGCCCTGCTGCACGGGGCAAGCAACCGGCGCAGAAATATGATGAAGATAACGAGTACTACCCAGATGATCAGCAGGAAACTGCCAAGTATCGACCAGGTCCGTCACAGCCAGAGCGACACATAGCCCGTGGTGGAAGTTGTGGAAGAGGCGCCGGACGCAGCCAGCAAGTGTCGCGAAGAGGTGATCACGCCCACAAGAGGAGAGCGATGCCAGGGGCAAATAGAAGGATACCTCATGATGAATCTGATTGAATGGGGTGTTCAGGAAATGTTACATTTTGAGAGAATGCTAGGCATTGATGAACTATGTGATAGTTGAGCATTACATAAAGATTAGAAACCTAACAGCATGTTTATTACAAGGATAGCGGGAGGCTAGCTATTAAGTTCGCTATATTATATCTACAGTATATAGCCACTAGACTGTGTTCTATATTGCTATTGTATACAGTTTTATCAGCTCTGCTTCTGGCTTCTTCCTAGAGCGACTCTGTTGTCTGTGTGAATTTAGATGAGTACGATAGCAATTTTGCGAGAACCTCCTCATTACCTGAGTCAATTATAGTAGTTGGGAACAAAGACTCTTCTTTTTATGAACAACTCTATGGCGATAAGGATACATCCATTTCTTGTGCTTTTACTTGTTCATACCTGTTACATCTCGCGGGGATTTGGGGACGTCATCTAGACCATACCATCATCATTTCGGCCTTTTTCACCTTGTCAGAGCCAATAAGTCAAATAATTAGGGAGAAAAAAGAAACAAGTCTGCTCGTGGAATGGTAAACAGAAACATATAATCTGGATATATGTTTTGCTTTCAGCTAATATCTAACTCTCAGAACTATGACAATCTTTTAACTAATTTCCATCTGTCAGTTTCGCATCAGCGCGTATTAATTCCTTCAACATCAGATTTGTCTTGACCGTATCGACATGGTCTTTTCCTAGAAGCTGTGTTTGCGTCTTTAGTGTTTCTTGAAAAAGCTTCTTCGCTTTTACAGACTGCCCCTGCAATCTCAGATTCAAGGCTAGACTGCACGCGGTTCGCAATAGAGCTGGATCATCGGGGTCAAGTAGACTTCTCTGCGCGTCAAGAATACGATGCAGGTCTTTCCCTGCAACGTCAATCGATCCATGTTCTTGTAGCAAAAGAGCAGCGCTATGCCTTGTTACGAGTGTGTCTGGATGATCCCATCCTAGGATCTCCATCTGTTCTGGCAAAAGAGTCTGCAGCACTTCTTGGGTGTCCTCTAGTCGTCCTTGACGACCGTAGGAGCAGACAAGGTTACCAAGGATTCGGAATCGCAATACCAGTGCTTCGCGAGTCTGTTCTTTCAGTCCATCGGTAAGGGCGCAATGATATAGCTTCTCAGCTTTATCGAACTCTCCTTTACTGTCGTATGCCAACGCCAGGTTATACTGGTGACGGGCTGTGCCTATATGGTCGGCCTTTCTTTTGGATTGGTGCCAGTCCAAGACACGCTTATATAGGTCGACCGTGTTGCTGGAGCCTTTTTTCTGGCGCTGCGCCAGTTGCATGCCGGCAAGTTCGCTTACACGACCAATAGTCTTTTCATGGTCTTTACCGTAATCGTTGCTCTTGCTCAGCTTATCGACGTCAGCTTGTGTGGTGGTGAGGCTTCTTGCGCCGGGTTCTTGGGTCATCATTTGAGGCTCCCTTTTCAGGGCCTTTTTGACATGCTCAACGTCCTTCTTGGTCTGTGACATGATATTCTCCCTATTCTTGATAGTGGTATCGGCCTCCAGTATTTTGATGCACTTTTGGAGTTGTGCCAGAGCACGAGAAAATTGCTTCGAGCGATCGTAGTGCTCGAAGACGGCACGATGTAGCTTGACCATGTTTTCCCTCATGACGCTAGAGTGAGATTCGCACTTCAAGAGGGCTAATGCACAAGACAAAAGACCCTCGCTTGTCTCGGGCGTCAGTCTTTCGCACATTACCGAAAGTGCAAGCTCCTCAATCGCGATCTTTTGGTCAGGATGCTTAGTCAACCAGTCCCGAACACACACCCTGATGGCACTTGTGATGTGATAGATTCGCTTATCCGTTGAAGGCTCGACAATGCCGTATTTCACCAGGATAGGTATTTGTTTTGAGATCTGAGCCCGGTCCAAGAGTGTTCCCGGAACACTCTGTAGGTCGATTGCACCCATCATAAGCATTAGATCCACAGACTCTGGGTGTTCTTTCTTCATAAGGTCCAGGAGCAAGTTCCACGCTCTTGCAGTCGGACGCTTCTCTTCAGCCTGCGCTTTAACGGCTTTCAAGACGTCTTGGCGTTTCATCGATGACCGAACTTGCTCTTGGTAGATTTGTAACAAGACGAAGCCGATAGGGAGATTGTCCACTGCCTTGGCAATCTCCTGAATCCATCTGTTTCGGTCTGCATCTTTGGTAATTCTACCGATCATGAGTATTGAGGCGTCTTTCTCATCCAGTTTTGGCATTTCGGTTGAGTTATCAGATAGTTTTCCCACCTGACGCAAGGATAAACTCTTGGACTGTGTTGTGATAAGAACACTTGAGTGGACACTGTCGGGGATGAAACCAAGCAAAGACCTTCCGGTGTGCTGCGCACTTGTGGCCTGCAGCAAAGCTTCGTCTTCCAAACCATCCAGAATCATAAGCCAATGGCCGCTCGACTCGTAGCGGAGAAATTTCCAGACCGTCTCAAGTATCATGCTCATGTCCATACCGTCTCTGACGAGCCGGCGGTCTTCGGCAATGCGTTTGTAAGAGCATTCGAACTGCTCCGCCGATCCAGCGTTGACCCAAAGGATGTGGGAAGCGGGGTATTGTCTCCGATACCTATATGCGTATTCCACGGCTACATGAGATTTTCTGGAAGCTCTCAGTCACTAGATATAACGAATATGACCACGCTAGACAACTCACCCAGTTCCCGCTAGCCCATAAAGAGCGACGCGTCCGCTGGACTCGAACTTTTGCGCAATCTTGTCAAGCAACCCACCGCGCGGTGCGAATTTATCTTCGGTCGCGATGGGGGCAGGGAGAGTGGGAATCAGGCGCCCTCGGTCAAGTTTAGCTCCAGCAGAGCTTACTTCTACCAAATCAAGATGTTAGACAAACTTTCATGTAGTAGTTCAAAGCAGATAAAGTCTCATTCATGTCTATCTCATCTTCTTCTCCCATCATGTCGACATTCTTTCTCAGCGAAACCTAGGGGAGAGTTGAAAGACACGACCGGGAAATACATCAGTGCTGTATTCAAACCCTCTTATGTCGCTTTCATATGGGAGTAGCATTTTGGGCTCTGCCTTACCTCTGATACCCATTTCTATACTCTTTTGCGCCATCCGAACAACCTCTCTGCTTACGCTTTGGTAGTTGTTGTCCTGCTCATTCTCAAACTTGTTCATTGAGAAATGGTCGAGGGGAAGCTCTTCTTTCTGATGACCGCTCAGTGTGCCTGATGTTTCATCGACAAGGAATGCCTATTCGGATGAATCAGTCTGCGAATCGCGAGAAGTCTCTAGGTTAACATACCGGTGCTTTCAAGCCCACGATTGCTCCGACGTTGGTGATTCTTTGCTCATAGAAGCAGAATATCTCGGGACGTCTGGAAATGTTATGAACACGTCGGGTAAAGTTGTGTACTACACTCTTCAGAACATCACTGTTGCGTTCGACTGAACCAAGAATGTTGGGCTCAACGTGGAGTTTGCTGGCAAGGATACTCTGATAGATCTGTCCCTGCGTTGAGAGGACACCATCTGCGACACCATGATGAGGTGTGCCGAGAAAGACCATCCCGTTGACATTGTCTGTGGAAAGATTGGACCAGTCCTCCGGCTGTAAATGGAGACTGAGATACGCCTACAGAGTGTTAGCACATATTGTTCCATGACTCAGCATCAAGACTTACCTGCTGCATCACGAGGCCACCAAGGCAATGTCCAATGAATATGACCGGGCGCTCGGGGCATTTCTGGGTCACAGTTACATTAGTATCAGCAGAACAAGTTACTTGTAACTTTCTTAAATACCTTTCTCTCATGGCCAAGGCTTCTCAAAAGTTTCGCTGCCACACCTTCGAGGCTGGATTTCACGGCGCTATCCCCGATCCACTGCGAGTTGTAGCAGTAGCTCATAATTCGAGCATCTGGGAGCTCCGATGGTAGCATGTCTTTGTCGCTCAACCAATTACGTTTTGACGCATGGTGGTTCCACGTATCACTCGGGTTCACGCCTAGACCGTGAACAGCTACAATACTGCAAGGTGATGAGCGACTGTTGTGAACAAAAGGATTGGGGGGGGGGGGCTGTCCTTGTGGTGGTGTGTAGTATGTTTTCAACCCCTCATCCTGCGGTCTGATCTTAACCAAGCCGGCGATCATCTGCTGCGTCTTGGATGGCTTGCTTTGGACGTCTTGGTTTGCTGATGCAGGTGTTTTTTCGACTTGAGTCTTTTCAGAGGCCATGCTATCAACACTTGGCTTGGAGGGAAGCGCTTCGTGTGCTTTCTCCGAACCAGGTTGAGGTTCGTCCACGGTCAATTCGGGTTGGAAACTCATGTTTTTGGGAAATTAAGACCTAGGTCCGTTGAGCAAACCTCGAGTCTCAATACAAAGCTAGGGATGAATGAGAATTGATGCTTGGCATAAATAGATTATGAACCAAGCGCAATCACTTTGGGTAGTAGTAGTACAATCGTGGGATGGCGCCCTATAATTCTGAAGTATGAGTATAGGCTATCGTGCTTAAATTACGGAAGAGCTGCGACTTTAACAATAATCGAAGCTAATCCTTGAAATTGGCACTCTAAGATAACGTTCTATAATCAGATGGCTATCTTTCAGCCGCTCGACCGAAAAGACACCTGAGCAAGGGCTGCGCCGTGCTGACTGCAGACCCCGCCCCCAAACATCCCGTCGATTACACCGAATGAGCAAGTGATAAGCACAGCCTGATTTTTTCAATATTGGTTTTCATGCAATCCAGTGTGCGATATCAAAACTTTCACTGTATACATAACAAGGAGTAGTATTCACTGATCTCCACTCACATGATGCTAACAGACCGGGCAACCATCTGCTACACCAATAAGGAAGCAATACAAACGCACGGCGCTCCTTGTTACAACCTCGCTTACGATAATTCCTAGACAAGGTGACCTCTGCGAGGCAAAATGCACCTTACAATAGTTCCTTGGTGCGTTGGCATTTCCCTCAGCCTGATTGGGGTCACAGAATTGTCCTCACCGCATGGACAGTTATTTCGGTGCCTATTGACGTCTGTAATTATCTATACCGCATTTCGCTATCTGGTGCGACGCTGTTACCCTCGCTCACAACACAGACTTTCCTCCGAGCATCATTTTCAACCATGGATGTTCATCCTCCTTTCAGGCTGGACGAGAACGTGATCCTCGGTCCCGATGCTGCCATGCCTGTTCCGGGCCATCCCACTGTCACTCTCGCTGACTCGCACGAGGCAGCCCTTTTCCTAAAGCGGGAGCTGTCGACCGAGAGGCTGAGACAACTGTATAGGCTCTTGTTTTTTGTTTCCCGCCCCCGAAACATCAGCTCCCTGTCCCAACAGATTGTCAAGGGCCGAGAGATTTGCATTTCCGAGCTCCCAGACCACCACCTCGTCTGGCACCACAAGCGTGTTTTCATCAAGCCTGTGCCAAAGTTCCTCCTTAGCCATGCCTTCTGGGCCACGCACCTCCGGCCCAACTTGGAGGCTGAGTACCACTTCCGACTCGAAGCCTTGGGCTTCCTTCGGACTTACTCGGCACTAATCCTGCATGAGTCAGACTTCGAACTGGCCCTGCAGTTGAGGCTGGTGCCAAAGACTTTTACATGGGAGACTTGGTGCATCTTCATCGCAGCGTTCAAAAACATGAGCGACAAGGCTGTGTCCAAGCGGTATCACTATGGGGAGATTCGCCTGACACGTCTCAATTTCTGGCACAGTCTTATTCTGGGCACAAGTTTTCTGGAGATCAATGGTCATTATGGCCGTTATTTTGCAGGCATTGGTGGACCTATGCTGTTCACCCTTGCAGCGATCACTGTGATTTTGGGCGCAATGCAAATTGGGTTGGAGACGGATGGCCACTATTACCGAACACTAGGTACAACCGTGGTTCCTTTGGTGGTTGTGGCAACTGTGGTGTCTTTGGCCTTCTTCCCTTTGCTCTATATATTCTTCTTGCTACGGGAGCTGTACTTCTTCATCTTTCACTTTCGAAAGCTAGAGTAGGGTGAGGACTTCAACAAAAAATTACAATCTACTATTTGTCCAGTAACAATCCGTTTCTTCTTTATTAGTAGTAATCCAGATGTATATATGAAATAAGCGTGTTCTCTTCCTTGCTTGATGCCTTCATATCTCTGCTCATTATCGCCTTAGCTTTTGCTTAGCTCGTGCCTCTTCCATTTTCATTTTGTGTTCCCTGGCTTTCAACGCATGGGCAGACCGATCACTAGCCGCTTTGAGGGCTTGCTCTTGTTTCTGGCCTGCGAGCTTAGAAGACTGGGCCTCGGATGCGAGAACATTCTGCATCTTTTGCTGGCCTATCTTGGACTTGGCCTGTTGCTCTTGGAAGCTGAGTTTCAGCTGCTGCTGCGTCTGCTGTGTGGTCACGTCAATATACGCATTGCGTGCCTTGTGTTGTTCGACTTGTTGCTGACCAGCCGCCACGAGAGCGTTCTTTCGTTCAAGCGCGCTTTGCTGTAGCTCCGTCTTCTCGGTCTGATTGACGATGTCAACCTGGTGAGTTCGGTAGCTGTGCTCCAGCTTCTGACTAATATGCATGTCCTGAATATATCCCTTGTGGAGAGCCTCTTCATGCATGAAGCGCAATTTCGTCTGGTGGTCCTGTTCGCGCTTTTCTCGAAGCTCTTTGTCTACTAATCGTTTTGCATTCCTGTCCAGGATATGTTGAGGGGCGCCCACGACGTCTTCAGGGAGAAGTTGATGGCCTTCGCCAGGGCCATACTCGGGGAACTTCCGATCTTGGCATTGGGCCATGTAAAGCATGGTCCTCAGTTCTTCCACTTGACGATGGTCACCAGCGAAGCAGCTGCTGATGAGGTACATGGTCGGAGAAAAGTACCATTTAGTCCCAGATTCCAGGTGTTGAATATAGACATTGTCAGGGTGATTGATTTGCGCCCACATAGCAACTTTCATCAGTGCCCTGGTGACGGAGATGGGCTGAGGGTTTTCCAAAGCAAGAAAAAGGGAGTTCTTTCTACCACTAGGGATGTGTGGTAGTAAAAGGTCTGCTTTCGACTCTGCTAGGGTACGTATTGTCTGCTCCAATCGAAGCATGTCCCCCATATCTTGAACATGGGACGCGAGCTCTTGGATGGCTGTCCTTCCGTTGTGCCGCTTTGTGTGGCTCGGATAGTTTGCGTTATGCTTGCCTTTCAGTAAGGCCGCAACAACTTCGTGATGCAAGTTGCGAGAAGCTTCGTGAAGACTGCCATCATCGGTACTGGACTTGGCCTTGATCAGAGTCTTGACGGAAGCTAAATCCCCTGCCCTTGATGCAAATAGCAGCGCGGTGTCCTCGTTGCAGTCGCGGTTTAAAGGGCTAGCATTGGCCTTGAGCAGTAGTTCTACTACGTCGTGTCGTTGGGCTTTGGCTGCTAGCATTAATGCCGTCAATTTCGACTTGGGTGCGATATAGTCAACATTTGCTGCTTTCGAGTTAAAAAATGCTCTTTTTTTCTTAAGGAAGCGGAGAGGGGTCTGGTCTAACTTACCTTGAGCTTTCACCAAAACCTTCAGAACGTCAATAGATATGGCATTGCTTTGGGCTAGCACCCACAGTAATGCTGTAGTCGACTCTTCGCCAAATTCGGGACTCAATGATGCCAGGAATTGCTTGTCTGGGCTGCAACTGAGTTTCAGCAACCGCTTGATCAGACGCACAGATTGAGAGTGAACAGATATGCAGGCAGCCACTGAAGAGAGGCCGGATAGTGGCAAGGACATCTCCAAGTCTATCTTGTTTCCCAGAGGTTTGGCGGCCTCTAGAATCGTCTCTATCAACTCGAGAGCGACAGGTTCTTCGATTGGCGTCGCCAGCACCGTCGCGAAAGATCTAGAGAGTGTATCGCTATTTAAGTGGTACTCTACCAACTTCTTCAAGAGAGTCACATCACCAGCTCGGACGGCAATATTGGCAGCCTCTCCATGCTTGAAGTTGACGTCGGCATATTCAAGTAGAGTATCGACCAAATCTTCTGACGCTCTCTTGTTGACATATGAGTTCAAGGCTGATATGAGCGCTGCACTGACTGGGTCACCACTACAGCCCGCCTCGAGGATCGAGTTGACAGCCTCCAAGTTCTCATCAGACGGCCAAGTTGCGCATCCTGTGGTCATGGCTTGAAAGGCGCCCGGTAGGGCATCGCGGTTGACCATAGGTAACAGCAGATGGAATGCCTCGAGGCAACATTGACCGGCCGCTGTGCAGAAAGCATTATCGACATGTTGTCCCGAAGCGCCACGTCGCAGCAGAGCCTGTATGGTAGGTAGACCGCGTCGACTTGGCCAGGCACTATTCGATGTCGCTGAAACAAAGGCTTCGATAATGAGGGTTTGTGGAGAATGGGAAATGGGAGCCAAGAACTCAAGCAGGTCCAAGTGCAGTTCCTTTGCAGCTGCGATGATAGCAATGCGCTCCAAACGGTTCTTAGAGCCAGATTTCCCGGCTCCCAGGAGTAATCTCGTGATTTGTAGTCTTGTTTCGGAATCTTGAATTCTGACGGCATGTTTCAAGCCATTTTCCAGCGCTTCAGGTGAAGGTTGGCATTGCAACAATAGACCAACTGCACTAGTTTGCTGAGACAGCACCGCTGTGATGACTGCTTGGCCTCGGTTCCAGTTGATATCTGCCGCTCCTTTGAGAAGAAGCAGACGAGCAAGTTCCAAGCGCCGACGGTCGTCCCCTAACATTTTGGTTCTGTCTAACACTCCGACTAGAGCTTGGGAGACGCAATCGCCACGAAGCCCCGCAACAAGAAGTTGATCAATCATTTGGTACGCAAGTTCGACATCTTGAAGCTGCGTGACCTGCACCATAGCCTGCATGGCAACTTGTGGCGGGGGTTTGTAACGAAGCACAAGTGCGAGCATAGCGGGATCCCTCGTGCGTACCGCAGCTGTGATTGCAGCCCCGTTATCAGTGGCGATGTCGGCACCATGCTTGAGCAGGCTGTTCACCACTTTGGGCTGTATGCTCGAAACTGCATTGACTAGAGTGGCATTGGTGTTGGGTCCTTTCGCTCCTGCAGAAGCACAGGCCAGCAGAGCTTCGAACTGCTTGTGACTGTATGCCAATCCCAAAGTCTTGTCTAAGAATGCTGGAGATAGCCTACTCTGTCTGACAGACACCGCAAGAATTGCGACTTGTTCCAGTCCGGCTTGGATGGCTGACTGCACAACCGCCCCGTCGTTGGCAGTTGGGTCTGCTCCTTTGTTAAGTAATACAGTTGCCTTTGGAGAACTCCCAACGACAATCGCTTTTGCCAGGCCCTGATTACGGCATACTTGGCATGCCCCATTGGTATCTCGGAGAAGCATCTCTACCAGGTCAACTGGACCAGTCTCAACAGCCCTGAGAAAGGCGTCACAAAGAGGTGATGCATCGCCACCACGAGCCAACAGTATGTATGTCTTGTTGGCATCACCCGAAGCTATTGCTACGGGCAATGCTTCCTTGACAGCCTCGCCATCGGCCTTTTGGGCTAGGATGTAGAAAATTTCTCCGGAGCAGTTCTTCACTGCGTCCCGGAGGACATGGTTTCGCACGTCCTGTTGGTTGACATCCTGGAGTTTCTTGAAGACGCTGGTGCTTTTGTACCGCTCAATATTGACGTCTGCTCCGGCCTCTAACAAGGCACAGACGAGTCCAGGAGTCGCATCAGGAACCCCACCGCGACAAATAGTGGCGAGTACCGGATTGGCGTCTTTGATGGTGAATGGGAGTGATTGACTCTTATTATTTCTGATTCTGTGTTGCGACATGAGCTGATAGCAGCGTTCAGTGTCACTTGTAGTCGGTCTTGTCAGTGTGAACTGCATTGAAGTCACCCGACGAGACATAGACTCGCTGAGGGGTGGGGAGGAAGGCGGCGTCATCATGGTGAAGGAGAATTCGATAGGACAAGCAAGCCTGGAAAGTCTCAGAATGATGGAAGGTTTTGAGAAGTTAAGAGGCAGGCCATATGATGGACGCACCACAAGATCAGATAGGAGATGATAAGAAGAACTTCAAGAAATAGAAGCGATCTTTCTCGCATTGGTCAGACTATTTTTGGCACGATTGGAAACACAAAGACATGGCTCGTATTTGCCGCAGTTCCAAAACAGGCATCAGCTGGTCTGACCAATTCAACCCTCCCGGACCAGATTGTCCGATCCTTTTGCGTCAGGCCAGTTGAACAATGAAAATAGCTATAGAGGTTGTCTAGAGCGCTTCTCGCTACAGTTTCGGCCCCCATTGTATCCCTCAACTCAACCTTGAGTTGGTACATTAACGAGAGAGCCTTACGCCAAGACAGTTCAGCCGCAAAACCAAGCTCAATGCGCGTATGCAATGAATCGGTCATCGGGCCTCATATTGTTACTCCTTGCTGTTTTGGGAAGGTGCTTAAAGCATGACTCGTATGGTCAACTGATGTGATGTACCTTTGAGGCTGAGAGTGCGAGCCTGATCTTGGTGGACTGTGCGATGAGTCTTTGCGTGCTTAGTGTTGGCGGGCCGTCCGTTCCCGCATATGCACGAATTCAATAGTTTGCCAAGTCTGTACACCAACTTATATCTTAGTGCTTATAGCTGCGGCAGCCTGATGCCACTTCGGTTAAGCATATCATGTGAAGTTGATAAAATTAGTCCAACGGTTGGCCGATCGGGCAAGTCGATAACACGGGCTGCGCGAAACTTCATACATATCCATCTCTGGAATAATTGGTATGCCACATGTCATTCAATTTTTCCAACCATCACCATACCACAATAAAACCACTTTACCTCAGCGAGTGCTCAGTATGAGCCAGTACATCGTCCCCGGCTCCGCAGAGCATGTCTCCTCCTTGCTCTCAGGATATGGTTTAGGCTGTCCGCACCACCTGGTCTGTTCCTCGGGAGTTTCACAGGCCTGGCATTATCCGAAGCGTCTGGGTTTCTTTTCAGCACACAGCCCAGATTTGATCATCTTTTACGTTGACACAAAGAATATTTGCTCAGACTGCATGAAGCTATTTGTCCCTTCTGGCTTCAACTTCTGGTCTTCCCTGCCTGACCCCAATGGAGGAGGTGAAAATTTGGATAGTCCTCCCCGGAAATGGCTTTTCCCGAATGGGCAAGCAGAACATTTCATCAATCTGCGAAAAATCGGAGGTGGTGCCTCTGAGCTCGCTATTGTTCCGCTGCCATCATCTCCAGTGGCTGCGGATGCATGGGAATGGATCAAATCACAGAAAAAGCCATTCTATATAGATCAACTACATCTAGCTCCCAGATGGTCTCCCGTCAATGAGCGGAATGCCTTGGCCGACGCGGCTACTGGCTGGCAATACGGCATTGCTATTCCGGCACCAACCGTTGAAACAATCTCTGCTCCCACAAACAACAAGAAAACGGTGGCAAAAGCTCCGCAACCAAGTTCCAGCAAAGGACCGCCCTCAAAACCCAAGACGTCGGCGGATGCGGTAGATATGCCAGAGAGGAGGAAAGTTCGGAAGTCAAAGGATCCAGAAGACACCACAGGCGCACAGGCCGTATCTTTGAGCACGAAAGAAAATGTTGACGAAACAGTGAGTGTTTCTAAGCCTGTATGCGAAGTTGAACCCGGTGCAAAACAAAATGGTCAGGGGCCAACAAGCTCCAAGGAACATATTGGTCCCCGCCACAAAGAAAAGGTTAAATCCAGAACTACTCCAGCACCTGAAGGGGAATCTAAGCCTGTGAGAGCTGGAGGTTCGTCAAAAATGGCTTCTACTCCGGCCTCTCAGTATACTCTTTCGGCTACGGAAGATTCGAAGCCACAACGAGAACAAGAAAGGCCATATTCGGCTTCTCCAGCAGTACATGGCGCTCCAATTCGCAGAAAGGCTGTTGGTGCTATGAACAAGACAAGCAATACTGCTGTTGAAATCACTAAAGTCGACATTCAAGAAATTGACTCCATGGTGAAGCCGAACGCCAACAGTCGCGGCAAGGAAACAGTCAGCGTTAAGTCCAAGAGTACCATTACAACCAAAGATGTGCATGCAAAGCTGAAGGCTGCAGAACCATCGAAGGAAGCATTGAAGAAGAAGTCATCCAAGGCCAAACCTGTTGACATAACGAATGAAATGCCGACCTTGATGAAGACTGTAGAACAGCCCAAGGGATTTTCTTCCCAAACTACAGTTGCTTCAACCTACACAAGGAGCTGGTACAACTATGATCCATTTTCCTTCGATGGTGCTATGACTCTCTCCGAACTTTCGGACTACAAGCGACGAGCTCGAACAGTCGACAATCACGCCGAGAGAGCACCTGAACTTCCACTGGAGACCTTTCTTCGGGAGACACAGCCGCTTGATAAGTCAGAAACTCTTTCGGGCTTGAAAACTAAAAAGACGCTGAAGAAGGAAGATCCCTTCACAGCTTTGGTCTCGCCAGCTGCTAAAGACAAAAGGCCATCTAAACTACCTCTTGGCTCGGCGTTGGGTATGCAGGCCGTCCTGGAAGCCGAGTCTTCCTCGGGAAAGAAATCCAAGCCGCCTTCAGTAGAAGGTCCTGTGAAGACCAGATCTGACAAAGTATCCTCAACAAAGCCCATGGGAGAAACTTTGTCAGAGTGGAGTAAAGAGGTTCAGAAAGTTGCAAAGAAAGGCAAGACTGAACATTCCGGTAGATCTCTAAAGGACAAACTCTCAAAGGCCGTGAAGAAAGAAGGAAAGGCTGCCAGCTCACAGCCTGGAACGAAAACTGGCAGTAGAAGTTTTCATTCGAAGGACAAATCGTCCCACGGAGGCCACCAGTCTTCCACGACTGTCACCAATGACGAGCACATTCACCATAGGCAGCCCAAGAAGAAGATTAATGACCTTAAAGGTGGCAAACCTAAAAGGAAACCGAGCACAAAGCCAGAAAGCAATCTACATACAGATAAACATGACGAGCATGAAGATGATACACACGGGTCAGATGGTCACAGTTCAGCAGGCGAGCAATCAAGTGAGCCTCAGCAGCCAGGGGAGCAACCACAACAGTCCGGTGAGCAGCCAGGCGAGCATGGCCAACCAGGTGAACCAGAGAAACCAGGTGAACCAGAGAAACCAGGTGAACCAGGTGAACCAGAGAAACCAGTTGAACCAGTTGAACCAGTTGAACCAGAGAAACTAAACGACCATCAACCGCCAGGCGAGAACGAGCGACCAAGCAAGCATCAACAAGAACTAGGCGAACATAAACAGCCAGGTGAGCCTGAGAAACCAAATGACCACGAGCAACCAGGAGAGCACAAGCAACAATCAAGCGAGCATTCAGGAGTTGGTGCAAATAATATCGACCCAACAGAGTCTACCCAATCCGCCGCTCAACCTATCAAAAACAGCGCTACGCCGAATAGTCCTGTTGAAAGTAACACAGCAGGGACTGACTTGAAACGCAAAGTCTCCTGCGCACCTCAGCCGGCCTCATCAGCGCAACAGTCGATGGATTCATCAGTTGAGCCAAATGCACGAGACCCTTCTTCTGCTGGGAACCCTGGTGATGTACAAAGCCAACCTGATACAGAACCAGCTAGTGCTCCTCCACAAGCTCTTGGAACAAGAAATATCCAAGACACCATCTCAGGAACCGAGAGTTCCCCAACTGGGGCCACGACAACTGCTGATGTTGCAGTGGCGGTAACCTTGGGAACTTCTTTGTGCGACACAAAACCTAATCCGAGCTCTTTGAAAGAAAGTAAAACGGACCCACCGTCAACGATATCCTCCAACGGTTCTCAAGAAACCACCGTGGCAGGGCCCGGGTCTGCTCAAGGATACTATGAACAGTCTACATCACAATCAGTACAAAATGTGCAAGCCCAGGTAAACTTTATCTCAGACCCCATCCAAGGATCCAGAGGTGGGCTGGGCGGAAGCGGGGAATCTACTTCTGGGGAACAAAGGCCTTCCACTCCATCGTCGAAGTTGCCGTCCGGCACCGCATTCATAGCCGGGACTGTCATTGCAGGCGCAGCCGTTTTGACTGGCCACCTTGCAGCCACCAGTGCGAGTTCGTCCTCTAATTCAAACGATGCAGATGGTGTCCATTCCAATAGCAGTCGTGAAGATCTAGCGGCGCACTGGGACGATGATTTCGATAGGGTATCTAGCGATCATCAACAACCTGAGCCTGACAACAGCGACATCGATGGCGTCCACGGTGCCCGCTCTGTCACAAGTGATGACGAGGAAGCTTCTGAACACGTAGCTGAAGATGACAACATGTCGCAGCCAGATAGTTTCATCCATCACAGGGAGGTTGAGGGTGATCTTTTCAGCTCATTCGACGTTCAAAATGACCCGCATGAACAGCAATTTCAAAGTTATGGGAACTCGGACAATGAATCATTACACGAGGCTACGGAAGGTCATTTCTACAAGCCAAGCTCTGAAGATGGTGAGAACGACGAGCAAAGATCTCAACAGCATGATATCGAAAGTCAAGAGGGATTCTCCGACAATAGTGAAGAGTCCAGATCAGATGATGGACAGTCTACCAGCGCAGACTTTCCAGAGCAGAGCGACAACAATCAGCAAGGCGACTTTTCCCTGGATAGCTATTCAGACGTAAACTCACATCATAGCGCGGAAGATGAGATGCTTAGCCAGAACGAAGACCAAGACCAAGACAGTAACAGCTCAGATGACGGGTTTGGCAACGAATCAGACAATGAAGGCTCGGATCAAGGCTCCAGTACAGATTCTGAACAGAGTATACAAGACGATGCCGAGGATGATTTAGATCCTGGATCCAGTCAAGAGGACTCGGGAGAAGGCGACAGCGAGGCGGCTGGAGATTCGGATCAGAGCGGGGACGATGGCTCAGACCACAGTTCAAACGATGATGATGGATCAGATTCCCAAGCAAGCCAATCATCTGAGGATGATCCCGATGACAGCTCAGAGGGGGAAGATGACGAGAGCATAGAAGAAGAGTATTCAGATCCAGAACCTGACGACTCAGAACCAGAGTCAGTGGATGTGTCTGAGCCTGAACAAGTAATGGACTCCGATAGTGAAGGGGACGGCAGTGCTTATTATTCAGACTAGGTTATCTTTAATGAATAGATTGTATGCTATACAGTACCTAGTGGTAATACTCACCTCGGTCGACATTGTAAAGATACCTCCTGCTGAAGCTGATTGAATGGGGTGTTCAGGGAAATAAATGTTGTATTCTGAGAGATTATTGTGCATTGAGTAATGGTCGATCATTGCACACAGATTAGAGACCGGACAGCATCTCAGTTACAAGTACGACTGGAGGTTGGCCATTGAGTCACCTGTAGTACATGCACGGTCCATGAATATAAAGCCTGAATCTGCCATCTCCTCATACTCGCCAGCATCGGCGCAAGCATATGAAATGTATTGAAAACTATAGTCAGAGCCCATGCATATTAGCTGTAATACACCTTCCACTGGTACATACGACCACAGGTAGTGTAGAACACGGGATCCCGTCCGCTCTCCCTTAGTTAAGCCACTAACCGGCGGATTAGTAGTTGGGTCGGTGACGACCAGCGAATCCCCGCTGTTGTATGTTTTTGCCAATCTCAGCAGTGTATCAATTTTTGCAAAACCTACCTCCAGACGGCTATTACCTACTTTTCTTTATACGTTGTTTTACATCGAGAAGGTTTTCAGTAGATATAGGCCAGCTAATCTTTGTACTAAAATCTCTATCTTTTTAAATAAGAGTTAATGTAAACTAGTATAATTTGTCTCTATAGGCCTTCTGTCTTAGATAAATGTGAATTGACCTTGCCTGCTAGATTGTATACCGAAAGAATGTTGCATTGTCACCTTTCTCTCTCTCAGCCTGCTTTTCATCTTCCGTATATAAGCTAGGGTCCTTATGTGTACCGTCCCGGCGAGCATTCTCACGGCGTAGGTAAATAGCCATCCAGATAGACAAGATCAGAGCCATCACCTGGCAGCCCAAGAGAGTGCCGAAACCTGGGAAATATCTTGGAGCATCTTTTTTCAGGAACAAATAGGATGCAATAATGCCGCCAAGGTTACCACAGCTCACATTCATCGCAATGCCGACGCCTCGCTTGAGTGATCCACCGATGTTATTACTGTTCCAGGCGATTCCTTGGGGAACAGATGGGAATATGCCCGAGGCGAGGAGGAAGCAGCCGAAGTAGCGAACTCCAGAATGGCGAACCGCCATGAGAAGAATGAGGCCGAGTCCACTGGTAGGTTGTCAGCAAGCGGCTACAAGTATCAAGGTCCAATGGTTACTAACGCCATGGTGATGAATACGATCATGAATATTCCTCTCTGTTGGATCTTGTCTGCCCACCATCCAGCCCCAACGCAAACAATGCAAGCGACTAAGTAAGGAGGAGTGCTCATAAGCTGGGCCGTTGTACTGGAATACCCGAGGTCGCGAATGATGGTCGGTAGAAAGAGAGAGTAGGAGTAGACCCCGGTAAATGTACCGGTTGCGATAAGCATGTGTACCCAGATCTTCCAGTCTTTGAACGCATCCCAGACGTATTTCATTTCGAACTCTTCGGCTAGTCCTGATCGATCAAGCATCAAGCGTTCTTGGATGTGTTTCCTCTCTACGTTTGTTATAAATTTGGCTCGGTCAGGATAATCGGCCATCAGCTTGAATGAAGCCAGGGCTGTAGGTCAGAACTGTTAGCATCAATGTCAAGCGGGCACATCAAATGGAGCACTTACCGACTGCTACAGTGAGAAGACCTTCGATGATAAAGATCCATTGCCAGCCAGCCAAGCCAGCCAGACCTCGCATCTCCATAATACCACGGGCGAGAAAACCGCCAAATACACCAGCGGCCGTCGCAGCAGAGAAGAAAATCGCCATGCGAAAGCCACACTCGTGACGGCGATACCACATCGTGATACTGAAAATGTTAGCCGAAGATGCAAGAGTTTCTCGATCGACAAGAGACGTACTAGTAAGCAATTCCCGGAAACAAACCGCCCTCTGCTAGACCAAGGAAGCTTCGTGCAGCCAACAGGCCAGCGTAGTTATGGACTATACCCATCAGGGTGCAACAAATACCCCAGACGACCATCATAGAGGGGATCCAGATCCAGGGCCTGAACCGCTTCATGCCCATGTTGGATGGGATTTCAGCTATGATGTAGAAGGGGAAGAATATGGCGAGTGCATGGTTGTACATTAGGCCTGACATGTTGAGGTCTAACTCGAGGGTATCCAGACGAGCATTGCCGATGTTGGTTCGGTCGAGGAACGAGAGGAGGTAGAGTAGAGAGACGAATGGAATAATGGACCAGTCGATTTTGCGGATCAGTCTTTTGGTGTCGGCTTCGGTGAAACCTGCGCCCTCAGCCAAGGACACTTTCGCATTGTCAGTCTTATCAGCAATATGAACACTCCCTTTGTCACTCATAGCAGCGGTTTGGTCAGAGAAAAATTGGAATAGTGGATGTATGGAATAAAGCAGCAGTTTGGATGCTGGTCTGTTCTCCTTCGGTGAGTCTTCTTGGGTTGTATTTATACCCAATGTAAGGCATGCTCGCAGACATCAATACGAGCTCCTCTCCTCCAAGACTGACGATCTGATCCCCCACAGTCTAGATCATCTTGATAAGGCTAGACAGCTCTTGGCGGTCTGGGGTAATTGCAAAGAGGGGATATCCTGATTCGCCATAACTAGAAAGCTTGGATTTAGACTTAAATTAGACTATCTTCGTCCTGTTTTCCCCGCACGAAGCTAAGTACAGGTATAGCAGGTGCAGTGGTAACCATTTGAAAACGCGGCTCGAAAAGACGGCTTGCACGGCCCGAGCACGGTCCGAGGAACGAGGTAATAGCCGAGCATACTATCCTTGAGCCAATACGAGCTTCTGGCAGCTGGTATCAAAGTTTTGACGTCACTGATGATAACAATTCGATCTTACTGAATTGTGGCATGAATCTAAGTATGACGAACATGTGTCTCAGTTTAAGACCAAGCAATACCGCTGAACCCTCGACTGCCTACAATTTGTAGCTCCAGTCTTAAAGATTCCTTTGAGCTATTCTCCTTTTGACTTACACCTCCGCAGGAGCATGGATACTACAATAATAGCATTATCGCCAAGAACACACTTCCCCTTATCCTATTGCCGAATAGGGAAACATGAAAAGGGAGGAAGACTTTGTCGTGATGTAAGTATGCAGATAGAGGGACTAAAGACTCTGTTCACCTAGCCGTTGTAAGAAATGATGTTGCATTTTCCCTCAGCAATCGAAGGACATGATACCCTTAACTACTTAATAAGTCTCCTACAGGTAGATCTTTCACTATACCATCCTCATAGTGTTTGTCGACCTTCTTCATCATAGCAGTGACAACGAGAGGGTCTTGGGTATCCTTCCAAAGGTTTATCAAACGCCATGCCCCATATTTTGCTAAAATCACTTCCTAGATGACAGATCTCATCTCGTGTCCAAAGACGTCCTGGCCGGCTCCATTCGAATTTCTCTGTCGTAAGTGACGCATGGTACTTGTATTTCTGTACCATCGGGGGTTCTTTTGCGCCTTGAAGTTAGTAGAGATCCTCTCCCGCAAAATTATATTATTGAATGAAAATCGCTTACCAACTCCCGGGTCCAGTTCAAGTTTATCAACTATCTTAAACCGGTCTTTTGTCTGCCGTTTTGCATCCATTTTTCGACCAGCTGGTCGATTTCTCGACGTGGCAGTGTAACTTGAGATAGTAATGTCTGATGAGAAATTCATCATGTCGCCAGATGAGTTCGACAACAGGTTGTCGAAAGCCTCGTCCGCCGTGAATAGCCACATCACCCACGTCCACAGAATCTATGCCAAGTCAGCGTAATGACTGCTAGATGATGAAAAGAAGCTATTATGTGGAATATAGAATAAGAAACTGAAGTCACTTGCCTTCTATGTCAATATCCGGCCTTCCGAGACCTAATACGCGTGTTGCATCATAAACAAACTCCAGAATCGCAGGATGATCCGGTTCTGGAAGAGGTATCCCCCCCTGGTGCAGTCAGATTCAGGTTCTTAGTCGTCAAGAGATGTGACTTACCCGAAAAACAATCCATCCAGTTCCCAGTTATGGAGCGCTCCATTCTCCCGAAGGAACTTATAACACGCACTCGCCGCCTCAGATAACGATGCCTTTTTACTGGTCTCTGATAGACTACCTAAGAGGCTTTTCCCTTTGAGACCAAATGTTGCATGGTCAAGTAAAGTGCTTCCTTCAGCAATCAGGTTCCATGGAAATGGTTTGTCGGGGAAGTGGTGTTTCATATGGCCTTTTATCATTTTCAGGGCCGTAGTATTCCCCCACATAGCAGCAATGTGTGTTGTAGATTGACCTGGGTTGCCAGTAACACTTACGAAATTTTTATAGGCGGGATATTTCGTAAATAGTAGCTTGGCTATCTGATGGCACGGAAGATGATATGAATCAGGAACTTCATTTGTGTTAGTATATGGAACCATAAAATAACAGTAACTCACATCCGGCAAACTGTGCGATCGCTCAAATGAACAAATTGTTGCCCGAATTATCGGCAATAAAGTCTGGGAGTGGGTTTAGACTGAACAGGTACTCGATATGTTCCATCATGATGCGACCGGTGCCAGCAGCCTGTTCAACCATATATGATCCGAAGGTCACCCATTCGCCTGGCTCATGTATTGTGGCATCATGTATCTTGTGTTCGTGCTGCAGACTGTATTTCTGACGAATAGATTCTGCGAGTTGGCGTTCTGCATCGTATCCCATGATGAGGAGTATATCGAAAGTAGTAACTCCACGCTCGTCCTCATCCTCTAGTATCTCGGTAATACTCTTCCCTTGACGCTCATCTGGCGCTAAGTTTTCAACAATTGCGATGAAGTCAGGGAGGATCTCCGGGAAGTACTGCGCCGCTACATGAAGAGCATTACGCCCAAATTGTCCCTCGGTGAGAACGTATGCTCCATGCTCGATAAGAGCGCTTATAGATTCACGACTTTGCCTCTCAATGGCTAGATGAAGGAAGGTCCACGGCAAGGTGAGTGACGGATCCTCGACTATGACCTGGGGGTGGGCTTTGAGAATTGGCTTCGTGAACAGGCCGGACCCAACGCAGGTGGTTGATAAGCGTAGAAGCGGGTCCACTGGATACATGGACATAGGCATTTGACTGCTTGTACTGAGGAAGGTCGCCCATCTGGAGGCTACTTGTTCGTCCGCCAGTAGTAAGATAATGTTTTCAATACTTTCCCTATACCCTTTCCCTCCGACACACATGTAGTGTAAGGGTGTCCGAATCATCAGAGCTTCAAAAGCCTGAGCTTTGGCATCAACAAGTCGTCGTTTTGCGTATGGTCCAACGCTATGGAGTACCAGGCTTTCCGCCGCAGCCAACACCTTGCGGAGTAGATCAACCCTGAGATCGCGAGCGGCAAGACCCATAGACGTAGCAAATCCAAGCACTCCGGCCCCTAGTCCCCCGTACACCTTCCTAGTAGGATCTGCGCCGAATTGGAGTAGCAGTTGGGCTGCAAGGCCTCCGGAATAGTCCCGACCTGAAAGCGAGGTGAAGAGAGGCGTATGTCCATTCTCGAGAGGACTATTGATATCCACATCGGCTGACAAAGCGACGTCAAGAATAAATTCACATTGATCCCTTTCGGTGAGGCGATGTATGAAATGAAGAATCGTTGCGCCATCATATAACCCTTGATCCTAGGGCTGGCTCCGTTTTCAATCAACCACTTGGCCATAGCAAAGTGACCAAGATGGCAGCTCAGCAGCAATGGTGTCCAAGCGGGAGTATTTCCGTAACTATCAATGGGAACACCAAGCTCTGTAACTAGAACCTTTGCCAACTCCAGGTCATCCTTAACGGCGGCAATTTGCAGCAGTGTAAAACTCGACAGTTCATCGCATGCGTGTGCACATCGGAGTCGAATCACCTCCCGCTTGAACGCTTCCTTGTTGCGCTGGTTAAGCCTCTGAGAGGTGCGAGTTTCATAAGATGTCAGTAACTTGAAATCAAAGACCAAATGCCCATTAGGGTAAAGTGCGAATTCGTCTTTGTGACTCTTTGGCGCCATGTCATAGGCTATTTGTCTTGCTGACAAGAACTCATAGTACCATTGAGATAATCCGGATGCCCATGTCTTTGACGTGGTCTCGTCAGAGACAAGAAGATGCGCCGGCGTGTGATCAAACAGATTTGCCTGACTTTCCCAGATAACTTCGCTCACATGATTCTGGACCATTGCTAGCAGTTCATCTCGGGCATCTTCTGGTAATGGAGTGTCACAGGCCTCAAAAGCATTTCGTAGAATAGCTATGGCTTCTGGACTTTTTCTCATAGCAGCAGCAGCTAAATGCTTGAGGCCCATATCTGTCCACGGTTGGATGCTTGTACTCAGTGGTGGACCAGTCGTCCAATCGAACACCTGCGCATTGAGGTAAGCCCCAGCGATTTCATAGATAGAGTCAGGATCGCCGTCGAGTTCCAGTTTGCAGGCGCTTTTAGGTCATGAAAGACCTCTTTTCGAGCAGCTCTTGGAAGTAAAGACGGTTTCAGTCCATTTTCGAACGCAAACTGTGGCTGTTTAGCTGCGAGACTACTGAAATGACACGCTCTACTTACGTCTGGGACCCTGCGTAACGCAATTGGCTTCCAAGCGAGGTCAAGCGATCCAAGAGTAGATGGCTTGGGCCTATTATCCTCATAAATATATGTGAGTCCGCTTTTCAACTGTTGATCATTTGTGCCGGCGAGTCGTAGCAGTGCTTCTACCGTCATCCTTGTCTTGGAAATTGTTAGTATTGTTCTTCAAATCATCATTTCTGTGTCTTATACTTCTTGTTTTGACAGCGCGGATCTATGAGCCCGGTCGAGCTTTGCTAGGATACCTCTACACAATTAGTATGATTTAGTACTGGAAGATCAACATACAAATACCCTCTGACAGGCTCATATAACTGAGGTCGAAGGAAACTGAGTGGCGTCACTGGTCCGCCAGGATCAAGGTCATGCCTTGATCCGAGGAAACAATATTTCCGTATAGCTGCGAAGGATGCTCTGTTCTGCGGCGAAGGGTCGCAAGCCCCCATGAGAAGTGCGCGAATAAAATCCTGCTCATGTTCGCTGAGCACTACTTGACCCTTTAGGTTTCCCATTAATATATTAACGGCAGAATCTGGGTCCTCTGAGCGTCTGGTTTTTAATCCCAGGATTTTCTCGGGGGCGGTACCGGCAAATGGCACATGGCAGTTCATAACAATGCTGGCGATCAGGAGGCCAAACGAGTAAACATCTGACTTATGCAGATAACATAACTCGATGGGTTCTCCTCCATCTAGTTCTGGGGACATCCAGGGATTGCTACCAAGTCTTGCCTGGAACCTTTCCTGGGAGCCGTAGTCCTTAAGAATGACGGCATATCCAAAATCGCAGATCTTTGCCGTGACTGGCAGGAGTCTCTTGCTGTCAACCGCCATATCATCCGAAGCAAAGTCATTCACCTTGCGAGAGAAGATAAGGATGTTTGCCGGCTTTATATCAGCATGGACGATTTGTTCTGCGTATAGGAACTCAAGTCCATCTGCAATTTGTACTGTTATCTCCATTTTCGACTGAAAATTAATCTCAGTTGAAGATAGGTATTGCTTCAAGTTCCCCTGATCAGCAGTCTCAAGCAGGACCTGGGGCCAAACCCGACCAAGGCTGAGATCTTCGCTCCATGATATAGCCAGCAAGGATACAATAGAGTCGCAATCTCGGATTCTCTTATTCGACAGGACTCTTAGTTCATTGATCGCAGCTGAGAGTTGCTGAGAATCATCTGTGTAGCCTAATTGTTGAGATGGTTTGATCTTTTTCGTGACGTAATGGTGAAATTTATTCTTGGCTTTATTCTCGTCGAACCATCTTTTTGCTCCGAGAGTTGGATTGAGAATATCTCCGTCTTTACTAAAGCTGAGTGCCTCTGTGGATGACAATGCGGTAAAAGAAGCCACCTCACCAACGTGCACCTTGTTTATACCAGTGAAGACATTGGTTTGCGCACTGATGATTGGTACCTGTAAGTGAGCGGCAAGAGTAAGGAACTCGACTTGGCTTTTGACAACAAATGTCTTGTCAGGGCGTTGATCCAAATCAGACGATGAAGGTGGAGCAGTGTAAGTGGAAAATGACTGAAAAAGATCCATGATAACTCTAGGCGTTGGTTGTAATGGCGGAAATTGTTCCTTGGAAGATATGTATATGTTTCTGATTCTGTTGGAAGACAGAGGGAGGGTTCGATAGCCACACTATGGTGAGCCTTCACTATTGATGCCTAATGTGTAACAATGGGCTGAAACTCGGTCAGTCATGAAATGCAGCCACAACAACGATGATTCGGAAGCGCTAGCGCTGCGGACATCCATCGATGTTCCACTAATGTTGCTGTGGTGAGACACGGTAGAAAGACCTAATTCTCCGTTGCCCCTTTAAAGTCAAAGACTGGTATGAAAACTGGGTAGAGTATCGGGGTCTATTGGATGAGCACATCGAGGCTTCTGAGGCTGAAAGGGTAAAAGAAAGAGTCGAGACGGCTTCCAATTGGGCTAAGGAGACTACGAGCTGGTTGAAGAGGTAAGAAATGGTGAATATAGTTGCTATAAATTTGTTACACCAAATAAGGGTCCTTTTCCAGTACATAATTAGCCATGATGTTATTCGATAGCTCCACCTTGTCCAATCGCCGGCTGAGGAAGGTTGAGTGAACTGAAGATATTGGCGCAAATGTGATTGAGCTTATCAGGCAGCAAGAGCCTTTGTTCTCAGCCGTGGTAGGGAATGATGTTGCATTGGCTCCCAGAAACCGAAGGACAATAATATGTAACTGCCTGTTGTAAGGATTAGCATTGACTTCCTGAATATGGCTTCGATTGTTGGAGAGCTCACGTTATTCCGGATGTAGCTGTTCCAAGCACAGCCACTGCAGCAATTGAGATTAGAAGCCGGCAGCGAGCCCCCGATCGTGCCATCCGGCTGGCATGCCGATGCAACTGAGGCTAGAGATGCCGAAGCAACGGCGGCGATGAGAGAAGTGAATCGCATTTTTGGGTTGGTTTAGAATAAGAACTTTAGGTGTTTAGCACTTTCAAGAGATGATATGAGTAGTGATTGATGTGATATATATACACAGTCCTGCAAGGATGACCCACATCCTTGAGTTGCAGATTTTCCTGGGATTATGGCGGTGATGAACTCTGTTATACAGCAGACTTGATATTAATGGCGGTTTATGGGCCCATCAATATATGTAACTTTCGTAGCTCCGCGGACGACGTACGATGATCCACCGACGTTCCGCTGATGCTGCCGTGGCAAGACATGGTGGAAATTCCGCCGTTGTGTCTTCCGAGGTTAAAACTGGCTTCGATTACTGACTTATGTAACAAAGGTTTAGGATACCTTTTGCGGAGTGGAATCCAAGCAGCTAGTTAGAAGTCCTAAAAGGGGCTCATAGGTGATAGCGCAAGTCAATAGACACCCATTCAAAATAAATCGCTGACTCATTCTTCCAGGTACCGAACTACAGTCACCGACTACATAATGCCATATCACAAATGGAAAAAGCAAGGATCAATGGTCTCTGACAACTGATGATCATGCATTTATCGGCAATTATGTAGGCGCAGAGACTAACTTGATACGTGGCACCTGGATAGTACTAGGTCACAAACAGAAGACTATAAAAGGTACAGAGAACAACACCACAAGGCCTGGAAGGGCTGGCCTTGGCTTAATAGCCGAGTCGAGGTGCCGCTTCGGCTCTTTGCCGGCCGTGTTAGCCGACAAGGTTTTCGTTTATGGAGGTCAGCCTTGCAACCGAGCAGCACTAAGCCATCTCATGCCAATCAAGGCTGGCCAGTGGGGAAGCAAACGAGAGATTACTACTATGGCATTCGACGTCTACTAAATATCCTAGAATGGTTACACCGCTATATTTTGAATCCGTTTTCCTTCAACAGGGCGTCAACTGACTCCGTAATATCCCGTAGTGAAAAGTCAGTCCGATTGCCCGCCATCGCAGGGTTAACCTTGTTGTCGTAAAACAAAGTGCTCGAATAAATGCGATCGCCAAGCTCATGCGCAGAAGCCAGACTCATAGCCACAGAAGCAGGTTCCGACTTTCTGTCAACACTCTCAATAAAGCCCAAGAACCTGGCACTTTTCCAGTTATCCTTGGAGATGAACACAGAGACCCCAGTTGTATTGCTGGCAGTAACATCTTCTGCCATCAGCAAAACCTTTCCGCCGTGCCGGTGAGGTACGCTTACGGAACCTGCACCGGAGAAATTGTGATAGTTTGTCTGTGGGATAACAACTGGTGAGTGATGGCCGCTGTGAATAGCGAATTTGACGAGCTGATGTTTAGTGTTATCGCTGGCGATGAGAGTGTCACCGACGCGAACGACTCCTCCAAACCCAAAAGAGCGTGGAGGGGTGGTTGGTTGGCGGATGTAAAAAGGCGAGACTTTATCCTCGCAGTCAGCGGTGAAGAATACGGCTTGATGCTCTTTTAGACATTGATGAAAGGGTCTGCCCTATTGCCATGAACACGTCTCCATTTTCACTTCTCCTACCAGCTACAAAGACTTTACAAGCTCCCGCATATCACTCACAGCTTCCAGCTCCCAGCACCGTTGGCTCACTGCCTCAGCGTCACGTATCGAAACGCTGTTACATCCATCAACAAACTTCTCCCGCAGCTTCTCGTCGCTCAGAGGATTCGCGCGACTGCCAATAGCATGCTCGACATACTTCGTAAACACCTCTCCGCTTTGAAGTACAACGCTAATCTTGGCCGAGTCTGCTGCGATACTTGTATCGATATTGGCTGTAATGCGATCGCGGATGGTAATGACGGCTGGATCGAGTACAACATTGTCTTCATACTCTGACGGCGTGGCTCTGCCGAGGAGGAGACCGCACGCGCCGCTATGGTAGACGCTGAACTTTGCCTCTAAACCGTCCTTTGGAGTCTTCTTCCCAGTGAGTTCCAGGACGAGAGGGTGGACTTGTGCCGTGACAGACTCGATCTGCGCTGGGTTGTGTCCCTCTCTGATCAGTGCCTCGTGCAACTGTATGCATGCGTCGATGATAGGATGTATAACAATCCCACAGGGGAAAGGCTTGAAGCTATTCCTCACAATCTCCCAACGGCCGTTATCTCCACCAGCTAAGCCATCCTCATTATCAGTACCGAGCCAACGATCTAGAGCTTGGAGCACGTCTGGCTTGTTTGTGCCGACGACTGTAGCCCAGCCACGTTTGGCTTCCAGTGCGCCTTCACTGCTAGTGTAGCCTCCTTCAGCCATGACAGCAGCTAGCAGGCCGTTTTGAGCAGCGCGGCCAACGTGAAATGATTTGCAGTGTGAACCAAACATCTCTCGAAGGCCAGTGACTTGAGTCGCTGCGAGACCAATTGCATGGGTAGTCTTTGTTGGAGATAGTCCCAGGACCTTCGAGACTGCAACTGCCGCGCCAATTGACCCGACGATGGAAGTTATATGCCTTGAGGGATGTTAGTTGGTGTAATAGACATGCAGATGCATACACTTACCAGCCAATATCGTAGTGTTCTGGCCAGACAGCGAGTCCAGCCTTGCATTCAGCTTCTATACCAGCCATGAGAGCTGTGATAAACTTCTTTCCTGAGATACCGCCTCTCCACTCTGCAACAGAAAGAAGAGCGCTTGCAACTGGTCCTGTCGGATGGATGATGGTGTCGAGGTGCGTGTCGTCATAATCATGGACATGCGATGCTATACCATTGATCAACGCCGCGTGCTGAGCATCTAAACGCGAGGCTCCATTGTGCCCGAGTAGAGACGCTGTAGGTGGGCCGAAGAAGGGAGATAATGTTTGGTGCTGCAGGCAAGATACCCTCTGTTAGCTACCGTTTGGATGGGCAAGCGTTGATCTTACGGCGATCTTTGTAGCTTCATGATGACTTCCTGCTATGGTGCAGCCAACCCAGTTGTAGAAGCTTCGACTAGCTGCACGGATTACATCTTCCGGAAGGTCCGAGTATTGGAGGTTGTGCGACCAGATGGCGAGGCGTCGAGTAGCCATTGCGGCATTACAGTTAAAAATCTTGCTTGGTGTCAAAATAACCGATAATTCTAACTGCAGAAATATCCCTCCATGGAAGTTTGTAGGAATAGAACATTTAATGTTTATATGGCCTTGATGGGTGGCTCGTTGGCTGTTCCGACATCATCGGCTCTTCCGTCGGCTGAGCCGATCTTGCGGGGGCCGATCGAGCCGCAACAACCTCTGTCGGTTGAACCGATTGACTAACATGACTACCAATACGCTATGGCTAATATAGTACTGGAGACTGTGCAGACACCCAAACAGTGATAAGTCTACGACAAACTACATCGAACCCTTGCTAAGATAAAAGGCGATCCCTTTCCTCAGATCCCCAAATTCTGACAAGCATCTCTCGTCCTTTACTTTATCCCCATACTCTAGCTCTTCATCCCCAGGTCAACTAAACTTGCAAGCATTTACTGTCAGTAAGAAAGATGGGTTTCTTTGGATTCCGACGGAGGAAACTCCAAATGGCCCAGATCTGGGCCGTCATTTTGCCGTGCTATCTTTTGTAAGTCAGCCAAGATCCTGAATGAACATGGGGGAGTTCGCAAGAGTATGATAAAAGCTAACTAGTGATACTACTATGCAGTTCGGCTACAACAACTCTATCGCCGGAGGTTTTCTCAGTCTTCCGTCGTGGGTAGAAACCTTTCCTGCCCTCGACACCGTACACACCAAAGGAGCCGCCAAAGACCATAACTCGACCCTTCAAGTAAGCTCTTCAACTTCCTCCATTTTTGAACCAGTTTCTGACTGCAGTTCTGGACAGGGAACTGTCGTGGCCATGTACACTCTGGGCTGTCTCTATGGCTGCCTCAGTTGTATCTGGCTAGGCGACAAGCTCGGCCGGAAGAAGACCATCATCTTTGGCGCCTTGATCAACACGATAGGTGCAGCTCTTCAAGCATCCTCGTACTCACTGCCGCAGCTCATAGTCGGTCGACTGGTTTCTGGATACGGCTTTGGACACATTACAGACACTGCTCCCAATTGGCAGGCAGAGTGTTCTGGCGCTGCTCATAGGGGTGCTGCGGTCATGCTCGAAGGGTTGTTCATCTCTCTTGGCTTGGCCATCGGAGGCTGGACGAATCTTTGCATGTCCTTCCACCACGGCTCTGTTACCTTCCGGTTCCCCATGGCCCTATCGGCTGTGTTCTCTATCATCATCATGCTTACTACACCACTGTTACCAGAGTCTCCCCGCTGGCTGACAAAGAAAGGCCGTATCGATCGTGCAAGAGAGGTTCTGGCTGACTTGACAAACACTGACGCCAACTCCACAGAGGTACGTGAAGCAATCCGCGAAATCGAGACATCTCTGGCCCTCGCTGGAGAAGCCAAACTCAAGGATATCTTCACCAACGGCCCTCTCCGCCTCTTACACCGCATGTGCCTCGCCTGCGCGGCGCAATGCTTCCAGCAAATGAGCGGCATCAACGCCCTCGCTTTCTACCAGGCCAAGATCTTTGAGGACTACCTGGGCCAAACACCCAGGGCGGCAAAGATCATCGCTGCTTCTGTGTTCACGTGGCAGACTATCTGCTCGCCCATTGGAGTTCTGACGGTGGACAGGTTTGGACGTCGCAAGCTGATGATGGTCTCGTCTTTGGGGATGGGTGTTTGTATGGCTGTTGTTGCGGGAGGGTCGTCGCAGCCGGGAGATACGGCGTCAGTGGGAGTTGCGGCGGCTTTCATCTTCCTTTTCTCACTATTCTTCCCTACTGGGTTTCTTGGACTGACGTTTCTGTTTGCCGCGGAGATATCACCCCTTAGCCATCGAGTGCCCATCACAGCCATGTCAACTGGTAGGTTACCGTTTCTCAACTTGTCCGGGATACTTCGCTAACTAGTAATAGCCACCGCCTGGCTGTTTAACTTTGTAAGTCTGAATACCTGCATGTGATGGACCGAGCTCTAACTTCAGGGTTCAAAGGTCGTCGCCGAAATCACTCCCATTGGACTAGCTACCCTCAAGTACAAATACTACATCATCTACGCCGCCATCAACATCTGTCTAACTTTTCCGTGTGAGTGCATTTCCTCATGTTTTAGATGGCCGCAGTAATCTCTGATGGTTCATATTAGGCGTGTACTTCTTCCCTGAAACCAGCGGTCTTCACCTGGAGGAGGTCGACGCCATCTTCTTGGACAGTAGGAATATTTTTGATACTGTTTCTATTGCTAGACATAGTCGACAAATTAATCAAAGGGGTAATCCTGACAAGGGGCGCGAAGAGAAGCAGGAAGTGGCACAGATCGAGAAGGGAACACCAGCACATTAAAGCATTGAGGAGTTCAATGTATCGCAATACGTGTTTATTAGGTTGGAGTTTCTGTAGAATTGTAAATATAGCAAGTTATGCCAGGCGTTACATTTAAGGCTGCCCTTTCGGCAATTGCGAGTCCTTAGACATGGCCATATATCCGATTGAACCAACTGTGCGTTCACCGACTACCCTGTCATCATCCAATCCTGTCAGTATCCATCAACAATGGCCTTTTCATACTACACAACAAAATATAGACTACACCTGAAACATAATAGCGGTGCCTTAGGGTGCAATTAGTTACTAAGCCCGCTCAGCTCGCCTACAGCGCCATCGCTTTAGAGGTGGGGTAACTTGAATCTCTCAACCTCTCTCACCAATAGATGCATTACTAATGTCCCAATCACAAACCGAATCGTCAAGCGCGATACCTGTCCGTCGTCGCCCTCGAGGTCTGGTCGCATGTCGTCGGTGCAAGAGCCGCAAGCAGCGCTGCGATAACGAGTTCCCAGCCTGCTCGAATTGCCTCGGTGCGGGAGAGAAGTGCTCCTATGGCGCCAAGCAAGCTTATCCAGCAGAGTACGTGAAGTCGCTCGAGCGCCAAATTTCAAGGTTACAAGATGAGATAGCCTCGCCGCGACAAGATGTTGTCATTCCAACCAATTGGCAACAGACGCTATCGATGGTTGACACCCAATCTGGGATAAATGAGACTGAGCCCTCAAGCTTGACAGAGACAGCGACTTCCGACTTGGAAGCCAGCGCTGGGATCGTTGCTCCCTCGCCTGACTCCTTCTTGGGAACTTCAAGCGGATATCCTCTTACGAAGCTACTGCGATCAGCATTGCCCTCCTCAGTACATGCACGCCAAAGCCATCAAGCTGGAACTTCCCACCAAATAAATCTCGCCGCACGCTCATTAATAGGCGTGCCTGCCAGTACAGGGCTGCAGGTTCAGAGCCAAAAGATATCTGACGGCTCACATTTGCCCAGCAAAGAAGTCGGCGACAAGCTCATTGAAGCTTACTATACAAGAGTGCACCCCAAGCATCCCTTCCTGCCCCGAAAAAGAGTCCAGTCATTGCACGAGGCGAGGCTCGAGCTCGTCCGGCACATAAAGCTGTCCATTCAGAGGGTGTGGCGAAAGGATGCGACTACGCGACGTTGCAACTGGTGTATGCCATCGGGGCACGTTACCTGCAGCTGAGCAACGACGATGATCATTATTCATCTCCAAAGGTTAGGCTCTATCCCAAAAGAGGATCTACATGTCTAAGTTGATAAATCCAGCGACACTATGCCCGTGCAATGGCAGATGCAGACAGTATCTTTGCGACAGGCAAGCTCGAGAGCTTGGAAGCGATGCTTCTGCTCACGATATACCAATTAAGGTCGCCGACAGGCCCTGGCGTTTGGTAAGCAGCCACCGCACACTTGAAGAGCATTGCAGAATGAGCAATCTAACGGCAAACAGGTGGATGATCGAGACAAAAATGCGGTGTTGCATCGATAACGGCCTTCACCGACAAGTCCCAAACCTCCCTCCATCTATCGACGAGAGACGGAAAAGGATTTTCTGGACGGCATACATGTTGGAGAGATCAGTTGCCCGGACTATGGGTCGACCTCACTCTATTTCCGATAGAGATATTGACGTCGCGCTTCCAGCCAATATTGACGATGAATTAGATACAGACGAAGCCATTGTCGCAGCCGTTGTTGAGTCAAGTCAACATCCTGCTCAGATCACCGCGCTCACGCCAGCCATTCACATATTCCGGCTACAACAAATAGATTCCAAGATTTCATACACGGTATGTCGCGTGGACAAGGATGTGTCCGAGATAAAACCACACAAAGTCACACGTCTTCGACAAGCTTTGGAAGAGTGGAAGGCTGCAATTCCTCAGACCGATCCTGAGAATAGACCACATCCTTACCTCACGACAGATTATCACATGATTCAATACCACAAAGCCATTATACTCCTGAACCTCCCATTCTTACCCACCCTCACCCCGCAGAGCCCAACCTTCCATGAGATCGTCCACTCCGCCGGCCAGGTCTGCTCCCTGTCGAAACGCCTTCACGACCAACAGACATGTATCTCCTTCTCTCTACTCTCACTCCACGCCAACTTCGTCGCCGGCTTGGTCATGGTATACTGCTTCTGTCTAGACTCGTCAATCTTCAGTCCCAAATTCAGCAGGAGCGTACGAGCGTGCAGCACGATGCTATACATCATTTCCGAGAGCTGGCCGAGAGCGGTTCAGGCTCGAAACGCATTTGATCGCCTTGTCGCTGCTACCATAGAAAGTGAACACGATGAAAACAACGGCCTTTTCAGGACTGAGGATGATATACATGTGTCGCAGGACGGTTTTGCGGCAGACGAGTCGGGTCATCTAGAGGTTTGGAATAGCTTTGAGTCGATACCTGGGGATCATCAGATTGATCTGGGGACTTGGATGCATGATAGCATTTTTGATACGATGGGTATGTTTCAGCCAATGGATTCGGCGGAGTAGGTTGCCGACGAGTTTACTCGTGCCATTACAACATTTGCTTAATTATATAGTAAATTACCATATGCCTCGTCTTATCATGCATTCGAGGATCCACAGCTCAGTCTCGCTACAATTATTGTTCCGAGCCGATCCCTCGCGAGAACCAACAGCCGCAGTCATGCATGATGCTACTTTACTCTCATGCAAATCAAGTCCCAAAAATGGCACCAAGTTCGTCCGCTTCAGGCCCGACGATTTCTTTATCTTCTCTTCCCTCAAACCCAACTGTTGTCTTTCAAGACTCTAGTTTCTTCTCTCGAAATAATGGACAGTCGCTCCCCACCTTATCGGAAGTCTTAGCAAAAAGCGTGGCCCAAAATACCTCCCAAGATCATGAGAAAGCCAGGCGGGGGGCTGTGTTTTTCGAGTCTCTAGGCCTCGCGGTCAAATTTGGCCGGGACGAAACTGTCAATATCTCTGAAGGTCAATGCCTCTGGGCCCTTAGGCGAGTTCTTCCACAAGTCCCGGTTCCGGAAATATACGGCTGGTCCACAGAGGATGGCTACGTGCTGCTTTATATGGAGATGGTGAACGGCGTCACCGTCGAGGAACGTTGGCCATCGATGACCGAGGATGAGAAGACGGGTTTCTGGGGCGCACTGAGATCTATGGTCTCGAGTCTACGGACACTGTCTCAAGACCCCAATGATCAGTTTCTTGGTGAGTGAGATGACAGGATGCGTGGCGTATCGCTTGAACTAATGATTACAAGGCCGAATGGATCGTAGCCCTTATTATGACATCTCTATCACCAATTCTAACAGGCCCCCAGCTGGTCCTTTCACCACTGTCAAAGGTTTCCATGACTGGATCTCACTAGTGCTTAGGCAGGCCGTTAAAGATCATTGGCCAGGAATGAAGCCAGAAGAGATCCCTGATCCCTATCGTGAAATGCTCCCAGATGACGGCCAGGTTGTCTTCACCCTCGCCGATCTCCATCCGAGCAATATTATGGTCAGCCCAGACTCCCCATCTACGATCGTGGCACTTATCGACTGGGAACAATCCGGATGGTATCCTGACTATTGGGAGTTCTGTAAGGCTGAGTATACAGCCGAATTTGGTTCAGAATGGCATGGATATATGCTGAGATTCTTGGAAGAACCTAAAGCGATAGATGGATTTCTCGAGTATACTAGAGCACTGGGTCATTGAGCATTGATTTACTTTTAAATATTACAGTTGGCGGAACAATTAGCGCCGTTTGCTATGTCATTGTGATAATTGGTAACTGGACCAAGAGATGAAAACTTCTTGACTAGAAGCTATCAAGGCTCTTTTTTTCTTGTGCTTACACATAGCCTGTGGAAAATCAAATGCAAGAAGATTAGATACAAGAGAATCCCATAGCAAGCACGGGTATGTAATTGTGTTGAACTAGGATCGCTTCACTCCTGACGCCGCCATCCCTGAAACTTGTACTATATAGACTCTCGTATAAAATGGTCAGGAAGACCAGTGACGGCAACAAGTAATGGATGAGTCTATGCTCCATATGCAAAGCGTACGCTGATTTCAAGGTTGCTGTATTCACCGAGACTTGGGCATCATTACGAGTAAGCCACTGCGGCAGATTTAGCAGCTCTTTATGCATGCAAAACAATAAAACTTGACTAAAGAATGCTAGCTTTTGCACCATTGTAGGTGGATCCTAATCAAGCTCACGAAGTACTATGTCTTTCATGAAGAACGTCACACATTTAGCCAAGCAGTACAGAGAGAGTCATACTTTTTGCCATGCCGTTAAGATGTGTTTTACCTCGATACGCATATGAATTAATATTAAATATATAATATAAATAGATTCAAAAGGTAACCGATCTCTGGAACTGATAACTTTCAGATACACGTATTCTCCTGTAAGAGGATGGTATCTACACCTACACCTTAACAACCATACTAGCTGCACTATCAAAAGTATCCAAACAATCCAGCAATCATCACCACAAGCAGAGGAGGGAACACCCAATGCTGCGTCTCCCCACCGCCGATGATAATCCTGCTCACAAACCCATCGGTGATTGGCATAGCCAGCGCTGCACTCAAAGCCTTAGCCATCAGCTTCTCGTCTCCCGTGTTCCAAATGATGGAAATCAACACGCCGACAGTGATGTTGCGAATGCCCCAGATCCTCATTAGGGCGAGACTGAACTTTTTTGCGAGAGGTTCAGTGGGGATGGGAAATTCTAGGTTTTGGAGATGGTTGTTTGGGCGGAGGGTTGCGTTGAGACCGAGGCCGACTAGCATGAGGCCTAGACCGAGACTGCCGTTGAAGATGATTGGGTGGGACATTTTGATCGTTGGGATCACGAGGTCTTGTTTAAATATTTATGTATTGAGTTTGAAGTGGTAGAATTGGAGTTTGAGAGTTTGGGATATTTTGTGTTGAGAAGTCAATGTTATCAGGAGGGCATTGACCAGTCCTTTTATATTAATTTGTTCTACTCTTGCTCCTACCAGTTTCCATTACTCTCTTATTTATAAGTCAGTCGCTGCTAATGCAAGCTCGCGGCAGTGCTCATCATGAATCCTTCAAGTCAGATCTTAGCCTCGATAAAAGTTGCTTCAGGTGGGGCGCGTTTGTCAGTTAACCAATGATATCTCGGCGCAGATGCTCCACATTCCTTGCTGATAAATTTCCGGATTTCGCGTTTCGGCTTCGGAGCCAGAGACTGACTGACTGGCTATTTCTACTTAACTCCATGCCTACACATGACAAGCTGCAATTTGCAGCCTTGTTGTGATTTTCTTGTACATTTACTTATCAAGGAGGAAGTCAAGGTTTCATGTGAATCCAATTAACTTTCGTTTAATATATAAGGATTGGTGATTTATGATGAAGAACAATAAGATTCTCACAATGCGTGCCTCCAACTACCTAAGGTACCTGACCCGAGATAGTTTTCAGTAGCGCTCATGTACGGTTCCTCAGTTGGTCTGTAACTTTCAACGGTGCCCAAAGCTTAACCTCCTTATACACGATCAACTACACAGTTGTATAGCCAGCACGAAGTTAAGTACCCAAGTCAGAATTAAAGCTTGACCAATAAAAATAATGTCCGTCATAGCACTGAAGAGTAGTTACTTATTCTCGATTTATCTACCAAATTCTATTCAAAACTTCATACCCCCCACTAGAATATCGTAAACTTCCACTATCATTAAGCTTTGCCAAATAACATTGACACTCTTTATAATTCAGTTCCGAAAGGTAAACACTTAGAAAGTTCTCTCCTTTATTCTCTTATCTATAAATTCTGTCCCTCTCCCATTCCGCCATTTTCTTTCCTCTTTTGTCCTCTACTCAAGCTCCCCGAAAAAGACCAACGCCACCTCACAAAGCACACCTACAAGAATCATCTCTTTCAGAACTTTATTCACAATAACTGCAATCACGATGAATCTCCGCAGCAAGGTAATCTCTTCGGTCACCGTGGGACTCATCGCTGGACTCTACTTCAGCCCTATCATTTTGAAGTCCTTTGGTCTAGGGCTTCACAGCAACAAATTCTCCGGCCTCGCGTGCGTAAATGACTGCATTTCACGTATTTGGTGGCAATTTGTTATGTTCGTGGTCGTGCCTTGACCTCCACGATGTAATCACTGGCCACAACAGCCTGTCAGCCTATACAAAATCATCGCACATGCCCTTGCTAGTCATTGCCATCATATACAAGATTGCTGCAGCCGCGTCGACCTCTTCTTGGCATCGTCTATTCGCACAATGGCTGGCCCTCTATTCTACGGCTCGGGGCTCTCTCCATCATTTATGCTCAAATATATCGAGAGACACATCCTCTTTCACGTGGTCTTAGCTGCGACTTATTACATCAACATCGTCGCCATAAGGTCGACAGAATTCCTTTGCTTTTCGGTACACGTCGCTGTCGACTCTTCAAACCCATCGTTGATAATTAGCCACAAACTTTAAACTCTACTTGCGACTCTCAATGGAAAAAGGTTCAGTTGTAGTTTGGGGCTCCCTCAAATCTATTCCTGCTGTTGGCTGCAAACATGAACCTTTGTGTGGTCGGTTCTAGCCAAAGTATCCCTGATTGCTACATCAGCGTGGCTGGCCAAACAGCCGTAGTCTAGGTGTCCATCATTTCAGCTTACCCTGCAATAATTGGTCAGGCGCTTTGGTCTGATGCTCAAATTATAGGCCGTGACTCGTGGCTGAGAGCTTAACTCCGCACAGAGAACTTAAAATCACTTTGCCTTGGGGCAGTAAAGTCCAAGAACCAGATATGTTTTCATTGTTATGTACTTAACAACTAACTAGACCCCAAGAAATGCTTGCCAAGAAGCGTGTGGATGGTAACGTTCGAGGGCAGCTTGGCCAGAGCCATCCCCTACCAGAACCGGCAGAAGCGAATCATTCCAAATCCCATATCAATCTCAAATTCATTCATCCATCGCGTAGTAATGATCGTAAAGGTTTCGTGTGTCAAATGATCGTAGATCTTCGTAAGTATCGATGTATCATAGTCAGTGACTCTCAAGTGCGGAGGCCCCCATGATCGATAGAGGGGTAAAACCCTTTACCAGCCGAAGTTCTTGACAGTCTTCTTGATGGTGATGGTGCCACCGCCAACGTTGAAGTTGCAGCCCTGATTGCCGTTCTATATCTAAGTTAGCAAGTTGCAGCCAAGTCTGGGATGTTAGTGTACTCACGTTGTTGTTGCAGCACATCTGGATACCGTTGCAGACGCCTCCAAGACCACCGTTGGTGAAAGAAACACACTCAACGTCGGCCTTGTTGCCAGCGGAGGTGCAGCAGTAGAGAGACTGTCCGTTACCGCACTGGTTCTGCTGGTTGTTGTTGTTGTTGTTCTTGGGGGCTGGAGGAGGGGGAGGGGGAGGGGGAAGGGGGGCCGTGAGGAGAGGCGAGAGCGCCAGTGGCGACGGCGAGGAGAGTAAGAACGGAGGCGGTGAACTTCATGTTGAAAGTTTGTAAGAAGTGATTGTCTCGAAAGAGAGTGTTGAAGAGTTGATTTGGGATCTGAGTTGATTGTTGAGTGAGTGAGTGATGAGGAAAAGATGAGTTTAGGGGGAGAATAATCGTCCTTATATAGATATTCTTGCCTCAGAGAGATACATGTCTTGTTCAACTCGAGACCTCACGATGCCCTCTCTTGACGCCCGAGTGACCTTGTGTCAGCTGAACTTGAAGCTATCGAACTCTTTTCCTCCCTCTTAGACCATAATGAGCGCCGAATTCATGCAAAAGCAAACGCTATGAGAGGTTGGCTAACTCCACAACTGAGCAAACATCGTGAAATCGTTGGAGGGACGGACAAGAGGCTGGATCCAGACCCAGGTCTGGATTGAGCCTCATGCGATAGTCCGTGTGAGCTGAGTCCAATGCCTCATGTTAAGTCGGCACCGAGGTTCCGAATGATCCGGCGAGGAAAGGGTTGGACATAAGCAAGCATGGCTTCTCAGCCGCAATGACAGCCAGTGAGTATAGCACATGCAATGCATGAAGATAGGTAGCCAACAAAGACGAGGATGCATCGGCGAATTAGGCTTCAATGACAGAGTAGTTCATTCATTGGCTATTGATGGAATCGGAGGCCGAGACCCGGATCAGCAGGGGAAGATGGACCAACAGATTCGAGGGCTTGACGCATGTAACAGCACAGATGTTGCAGTACGCCTTAGATTCTCGGGCCTCACAACATAAGCAGTAGTCTCTCTACCAAGAAAACACAAAGACTTGATCTACTAGTCTTAGACTCGGGAACAATCAGGATGCAGTGACTTGTAATCACGTGTAAGACACCAGACGTTTAAAACGGTCTCAACTAGGAGAATTGAGAGATCCTAGAAACAAAGTTCAATAGATCTCGTCACAGAGTCCGAAGTCTCAAAACTAAAAGGCTTATTCAGTGGCTCATATTATGGCTGGCTGAATATTGGTTATTACCGTATACCCCGGATCGCTCTGCATATGCGCATTGACCCAACGCCGACATCCGCAAGCCCCCAACACGAGAAAACAAACCTTAGCACAGACGGCCCTTATGTCATTTATTGTCATTATAACCGTCCACAGTAGTAACGGGTGCGAATTTGGAATTTCAGCTTACGGGACATGTACTTTAAGACATCTGCACAAATACCAGTCTCTGTCTCCCTCAAACTTTCTCCGGTATCACTACTCCACTCGTTCACATTACTCGAGCACACACACTCACTCTCACCCTTCTGTCTTGAGCTATCATGCAATTCCAACTCTCCGCCATCTTCTACGGCCTCGCCGTTTTGCAGGGCGCTATTGCCTCGCCTGTTGCCGAGCCGGCTGTTGAGGTTGAGGCTCGAGACATTGAGCCTAGAGGACCTACTATGGGAGACATTCCATGGCCTAGACTCCCAGCTCTTCGTCGTAAGTTCACCGAAACATGGTGCAGTGGTGAATCTAACTTGATCTGCATGAAGGAGCCAAGAAGGGTAGTGACAAGAACTGTCCTGCTCCAACTAACAACCAGGGCAACGCTTGTTCTTCTGGAACTCAGTACTGCTGCACCACTGCCGCTGATGGAAGTAAGTCTTCATCTTTTCTCCTACTGTGCGAGTAACCTGACAACTTCAAGCTCAAACCTGCTCCAACTCGGAGGTCTGCAACGCGAAGATCATCTGCTGCAACAACAACAGCGGCGTAAGTACCTTATCCCCAGTCCCCACGCGTCGCTCACAGTAATCAGTTCCAAATGTGCATTGGCGAAATTGACTTCAATGCGCCCGTGACCATCAACATCAACATCTACAAGGGCGGAAAGGGAGGCAAGGGCGGCGGCTACAAGGCCATCAAGGAGTAAGAGGCTGTCTTATACATACTACCCAGAGTCTTGTATCTACGCTTATTAGCTGTACCTACTTTCGTTTCTCACACTCCTTTGATGATGGATTGGGATGATGACCTTGGCCGATGGGACAGAAGAGGGTCGTACATAGTAATTAGTAAACCTTAGCTGTCCAAAAGAGGCGATTTAAAACCTGCAGATACTCTTGTTTGCTCCATACTCTTGTCAGATCTGTGAAAAACTCGGGGTACTGTGGATCGCGAGCTGTGTAGCGTAGGCCCAACACGGTAATGTTTGGTGAGAAATTCCACCAGCGCCAAAGACGAGAATGGCACTCAAACGGTCGAGAGCCTCTCGTCGCACTAGCACAGGCCATTATGGTAATAAGCATGGCTTGCGCTAAAATCGAGACTAGCTGTAACACTTCTCTGGTGATACCACGTTGAGCCGCCTTGCCACGTAGGATAAAGCCACTTTGTAAAAAGCATCGGCCTCTCGGCATTGCGCTTTGAGACACGTTTGTTGTTTGTGCCTGAACCTGGTACCTGGGCTGGAGATCCTTGATCGTTGTCAGCCTTGACAGGGGGGTGAGATCTTAGTGTCCAGTTAATCGATTGACGACACTTGGCGAGTCTGGGGATTATCAATGCGTAGATGGATCCGCGCACTAGTCTCAGATCGATCTTCAAGTCAAGACTGGAGTCAAGATGTATTATGACGTTTATCTCAAATCACGCGATTATTAGTTCCGAGAGAAGCAGAACGCCATAAAGAATAACCTATTCCCAAAAACCCAGTTCATCTGAGAAAGCGGCCCAAATGGGTCGTCGCTGTGGATCTAAAAATACCTCAACTGTAGGTTCAACAACGACGTTGACGGTAGTGGAAAGGAACACCCGCTCTTAGTACGCCCAACGGCGACCATTTCGGGTATGATCAGGGCCCTTATAGAGCGCCACAGAAGAAAAAATGACCATTGATTCCTCGCCACAGATTTTGGTGGCGGGTGGTTGGTGCGACAAGGTTTCTGCTACTGCAAGCCATGCCAATAGCTCCTCGATAGACCGGTCAATAGCTTTGTAGCTGACAGTTCCCAGAACCAATGATTTGGAGGACATAGACAGGGTGTCAGAGTTTAAGATGGAGACAGGACCGCTGAATTGGATTTGATATCGTCATGGTCTGATCATCAGTTACTGCATCTGTTGTAGGATAGCAATGCGAAGTTATGCGGGTGAAGAAAATATTTCCGAGGCAGTTGAAACCTCGCGTAGACTTGGGTGTTTGCGTTTTGTTATTGTAGCACCAGCCTCGTATACTGAACCGGGCTGACGGGTTTGTGCCGTATTACCGTATGATCGACCCAGTAACCCGTTTAATGCACCGTGATCAGGCATGCAGTGAGACGTGGCTATGATCCGATGGCAGTAAATACCATTGACGACCCTGAACGCACTACATTGTCAATTTGTCATGCATGTCCATTGTTTGCTCGTAACGCCTCATCGGGACCGTTTCGGCACAAACACTAGCGACAATCACAACTCGGATGTCCTGGATCAATTAGGAAACATCCAAATGATACTAGCAGTTAGTTTAGGCGAGGGGGGGAGAATAAACTATCACTAGACTCTCAACTAGACCTTACAGGTTCAACTAAGGGTCCAAAACTTCGTGATGATACCCCTGTAGCTTGCTTCCACCGACACCCGGTGCTGCATTACCCCGCAACATGGCTTCAGCATCTCGCTGCAGCAAGACCATACTGTGACTAATTTATTGGTATCTTGGTATCACTGCATTGCATGAGGTACAAGATTAGACGAAGAAGAGGCTGGTCGACCAACTCCAGAAAGCTATTGTCTAAAGCTGAAATGTTCACCGAGAGCCTTCGGATCCACAGCAGTTGGTAATCCCTGCAATTCAAGTCCTAGAGCCTCATTTCATAACTCAACCACCGCTCGCGAACGGAGGTCTTGATGAGGCCATACCCATTTCACTCTTATTGAGGCCTAGATGAGAGAGTAGTGCCCTGCCTGAGGTCTTGAAAGAGAAAGGACTAAAGTTTCCCGACCGGGAGTCGACGCGACGGCCCAACACTTGCCCTTCGGGCTCATATGGATATCTATTATGGCCTACACGTGTTGGTTGGTTTCCCCTCTTCAGCCTTCAGGTGAGGCTGGTCTAAAATCTCACTGTGATCAGGTTGTTGAGGCAAGGGTGCTGGGATCCGAGTCTACTGGGCGCGAAGGTACCTAATATGACAGGACTGGAGCGAAGATCTCTTTAGTTTCATACAGAGATTGTTATTCAAGAAACGGGGTTATTTGATACATGCGAGTGTCGTTAGTCAGTAAAGGCCTCGGAAACTTTGGGTTACATCGCAGGGTGTCGCAGTTGAACCGTATTGCAAGTACTGCAGTCCGGCTTAACATCAAGGACATGCAGAACAAGACCGGTAAGGACAGAATGGCAATGTCTAGCAACAGTGAATAGAGGATGCGAACTCAGCTATAGCGCAGTTGGGAATTAGGCCCTCTGGCGTGATGTGTACCTACTTGTAAACCCGGATCAACATTCAAATTATGTCTTATTTCCGTCTCCCGCCTACCCTACATTGAGCAACCGGCCCCGAATTGCAGAGCTGAATTTTATGTCTTTTGGATACTTAGAAAACATGATTCTAATTTTTCTCTATATTGGATTATCTCAATCTCGAAACTGCCGCTTTTTAACAACCGTCTTTGTATTTGACCAGATAATAAGTGAAACTCCTACTTAGTTGGCACCAATGGAATTATCTCCGGAAGTCATCATTCAGCAAGAAACCGCATTCTGATTTGTTTTTCATCTCAGCTGACTTTAAAAGACAGAAGCCCGAAAGGGCGAGTGCGGTGCCCATATCCTCGATTAATCCAGCTTAACAACCGTGTACTGTGTCCAGACATTGCCTTTGATAGCCCTGCTATAGGGACAAACATTCTTAGTCTTCTCAACAATACCCTCTATCTGCTCCTTCTCTAACCCCCTGACCATAATCTTCATATCCACACGAAGCCCCAAATCAAGATTCTGCATATCTCCGATAAGATGCACCGTCGTCTCAACAATACTGTCCTCGGGCGCAGTGGGCATGGTGATGCCGTCCTTGGCGGCTACGGCGTTCATAGCAGACTGGAAGCAAGCGCCGTAGCCAGCGGCGAACATCTCCTCAGGATTGGTCTTGCCTGCGTCGCCGGGGCCGCCGAGGGCCTTGGACATGGTGAGGTCGACGTTGAGAGACTCTGCTTCGACGTGGCCCTTGCGGGCGCCGACGACTTTGGCATGGGCGGAGTAGAGGACCGGCCCGTCTTTTTTCTGCAGGGCGCTTTGGAAGCGGCGGGGAATGATTGGGGTTCTGAGGATGGTTGATGGGCTGGGGCGCAGGGCTGCGCGGCGGAGGGATTGGGAGATGCGAAGAGACATGGTGATTGATTTGAATGGCGTGAGTTGTGTGAACTATGGAGGGATGATTATGTGGTGTTGACTTTGGTTTTATGAGCGTAAAAGTCATGAGTCAACCACGTCACTATTAGCCTTAGAGTCGAGTTTCTGTAGCAACGCCCTACGTCATTGATCTGGCCCCAGCAATGTAAGACAATAAGGGATTATTGATTTATTAAATAAAAACTATAACTATTACTCCTTATATGTAAGTATGATTGGAAAGGCAAAAAGGAGCATATAGAGAGACAAGGTATACTCTGTCGAACGAAGTCAGAGTATGTCAAAAGGCTGCTTCAGTATTTGGAAATAAAACTAAAGCAGCACGTGACCTGATACGGCTCTTTGACTGACCTGATAACATTGCCCAGCTTTAACTATTAGCCGGATTGTCCCATGTAGGTACTTGGAATTGATAGAACTCGTGGTTAGCTATGCTGATTTGTAGATAGATGCTTCTCTTCTTGTATACTTGGGTGTCCAAACATGATGACAGAGAGACAGCTACCTTACCATAAACAGTAAAGCCTCAAACTGATCGTCGAACCTTGGCTCATTCAGGTAAGGTGAGGGTCACCAACCCTTTGATTGGACAGAGCGTTCATTCGGTTCACAAATCCCCGGACAACGCTCCAGGGTAGTTTCATCGGATGTTAGAAAGTCCCGAATACTTCAGCCGGATGATACGAAACTGACTAAATAGCGAAATTATAATAGAAGGCCCCTTACCGGAAGATATATAAATACTGAGAAGATAATTTATGGAAATTTTTCTCAGTAACATCTCACTAAAACTTCCCCCCAAGATTTAATTACTAAGTCGAACCAAAATCCCATTACACCATTTACTTTGAAAATGTCATCCACTGGCCAAAACAGAGTCTTGATTGTAGGAGGAGGACTTGGAGGCCTGGCCCTCGCTCAAGGACTCAAACGTGCAAGGCCACCTGTACCATTCCACATCTTTGAACGCGATTCATCCGCAGACTTCCGTCCCCAAGGTTATCGCATTCGCATAAACCCCGACGGCGCAAATGCACTCCGGGAACTGCTCCCAGACCATCTCTGGAAGGCCTACGAAGATACCTGCGCCCTCTTCAACCCAGCCATGAGCGGCCTAGATGCTCTTACCGGCCAGGCAACAGTACCATCTGGTGAGCGACGTGGTCCGCCTCCGATGCTGGAGGGGAAGTATTATAACGCCGATCGCGTTGTTCTTCGAAATGTGCTTTTAGAGGGGTTGGAAGATGATATCAGCTTTGGAAAGAATTTCGAAAGCTATCGTGTCACCAGTGGTGGTGTCGAGGTGACGTTTACAGATGGCACTAAGGAAACAGGAGCTATCTTGGTCGGCGCCGACGGGACCAGATCTCATATTCGTCGGCAGCTGATGCCGAATTACACTGTCTTGGACACTGAGTGCGGAGCTATCTATGGAAAAACATTCACCAATCCCGAAACCCGAGCTTCTATGGCCAAAGAATTCTTCGGAGGAATATGTCTTGCTGGAGATAGCAGCAAGCCTGGGCTCAAGCTCTTCACTGATACAATGGAGTTTCCACAAGCACTAAGCGCCGACGAAAGGACCAAGTACAGAGCGCCAGACGACTACGTGTACTGGGTCCTATGCATCAACAGAACCCTACTGGGAATCGCAGCAGAAGATCTCCACGGCCTCGATGCTACGCAGTCTGTTGAGACGACAGTTGAGATGACCAAGAACTGGCATCCAACCGTCCGATCACTGCTGCAGAGCCAGGACCCATCTGCATCGTCCACGCTTGCATTCTTCGCATCCTCTCCAGAGACATTCAAGGGGGAGTGGGATGGGCTGCTCAGAAGCCCTGATGTTGCGGCAGTGACTTTGCTAGGCGATGCAGCACATCCCATGACACCTGTTGGAGGCGTTGGAGCCAACTCTGCGTTCCAGGGAGCAGCAGACTTGTGCAGTAGCATTAACCGTGCCTCTCTTGGTGCTGAAGCGCTTAAAGACTATGCTAAGTTGATGATGGAGCGTGGTGAGAAGACGGTGGGACTTAGTGGTGGTGGCGCAGAGCATATGTTCCAGATGAAGCCTTTCTCTGAGCTGAAGGTGGCATCTCTATAACTATATCAGATTCACTATCAACTCTCCCTGTACTTCCATTAATAAGGTACCGAGCTGATAGCTATTAAACACTCAAAGCCCTTGTCTATAGATTGGTTTATTTTAGTCTGATACTATCTTCAAAGGCCTCCCAACAAAGACACTTCTTATCAGTTCTGTGCTACAAGTTCCTAGAATACTCAAACATGGCGTCAACTGCTGCTTCAGTCCCCGTGGATTTTAAAATGATTGAGGGTGAGCCAAGTGGCACCCGTCGTGCTGTCTTACGAACCACGGCTGCGACGCCAAACAAGCTTCCACCAAAGAAAGGCTCGCGACAAAAGCGAATGAGCATGCTAAGCCCGCATGCCGAGTTGATGACTAAATCGATCGTGCCCACTTACAGAGTCGGAATTAAAAGACAATCGAGAACAATCAGAGACTTAGTGAGCTTAATTTGGCTGTTGGTGGTCGGCAAACCCCGCCACCAAAAAGAACAATGTCTAGTGCTGTGACATTAAGAGGAACAATATCTAGCGTCCGACGTAAAGCAAACAATTTCTGAATTCACATGAAAATGTGATAATTAAATAACAGAAATTTAACCCAGCATCAGCTTAAAGCTTATTGAGTTATTCACTTCAGTAATTCTATGCAATGGCAAGCAATTTCAATATGAGTACCAAATCGACTGGCGAGCGCCTCCAATTTCCAAGCCTTGTAGCTGCTGGAGTCGTGGCATTCACTTCCATCGTCTTGGTCGCTTTCAGATTCTGGAGCTTCAGCACAACACCAAAGGTAAAGATTCTGCTTCAGGATGAGATCAAGAGTGCGAGACAGCGGGCGCTGGAGTACTGCTTCAATCCTAGAGCTGTGATGGCAAAGGGTTATGCAAAGGTATTGGAACACCCTTTGTGGAGAAGGCGAAACACTGACGGAATAGTTCAAAAATGAGGTCTTTGGTCTGGATACCCAGGATGGTGAGGCGAGCGACGGACAACTCTTATATCTTAGCTGACTGTGCATAGGTGTGAAGCTTGTGATCCCGCCTAGCTTTCTCGATGAACTAAAAAGTCATCCGGCGCTCAGCTTCAAAGTCTCTATTGACAATGTTCGCCCCCACTTGCCATCATTCTTCTGATGTTTACTGACTCTTCAAGGATATGCAAATCGAGTATACGCATTTCGGCGGTCCAGCGGAATATGTGATTCATGCTATTAAAGCCAAGCTGACCGGGTCACTCTGTGAGTAACTCCCCTGCTGGCACTTGTCGCAGGCTTAGACTAATGACACCAGCGGCCTTCACACCACTGCTGCATCGCATGGTTCAAAAGAACATGCCAAACATCCTTGGAAAGTACAAAGGCTCGTCTCATCACATCCTCGTCCGAAACTCCGCTGACTAGCTCCAAGACTGGACCCCTGTCAAAGTCCACGACAGAGTCCTCCGCCTCATCGCCACCAACAACGCCCGCGTCTTCCAAGGCACAGCCGCCAGCATCGACGAAGAATGGCTCGCCGCCTCAACCGGCTACGTCCTAGCATGCTTCGACTGCATCCGCGCCCTCAAACAATGGCACCCCTGGCTCCGACCGCTCGTCTACCGAATCATCCCCGAACGCGCCGCCATCAAAGATCAATGGCTCAAGGGTCGTAAACGAGTAATGGCTTCTATGCGCGAGAGGCACGAAAAGGGAGGCAATCTTGAAGATCCGCCTACGATGCTGGATCATTTGAGTAATGGGAGGAATGAGCATATTGCGGATGATGTTGAGCTGCAGTTGTTGCATCAGATGACGTTGATTGCTGTCGGGACTGTAACGACGTTTTCGTCGACGACGCAGGCTATTTATGATCTTGTGGCGCATCCAGAGTATATCCCTATTCTTCGGGAGGAAGTTGAGTCTGTGCCTAGGGATCAGAATGGTAATTTCACTAAAGACTCCACGGTGGCGATGGATAAGCTTGACAGCTTTCTCAAAGAGAGTCAGCGCTTCAATTCACCTGATCTCAGTAAGTCCAACCAAAATAATGACAAGCTTCAAGAAGTGCTAACAGGTTATAGCAACTTTCCAACGCGCAGCTATCGCCGACATGAAACTCCCAGACGGCACATTCGTCCCCAAAGGCACCAAACTCGAGATCAACACTTGCTCAATCCATAAAGACCACGAGTTATATGAGAATCCAGAGGAGTTTGATGGTCTGCGCTTTCATAAATGGCGCAAAGCTCCTGGCAAGGAAAAGAAGTACATGTACTCCAGCAGCGGGACGGATGATTTGTCTTGGGGATATGGGCGACATGCGTGCCCGGGGAGATATCTCAGCGCCATCAATATCAAGCTCATCATGGCGGAGCTGTTGATGAACTACGATATTAAGCTACCTGATGGAGTGAGTCGGCCTAAGAATATTGAGTTTGAAGTATTGGTGAGTCTGAATGCCAAGGTGATGTTTGGGGGTGATACTGACGTTGATAGTGCTCTCCTGAACCGGACTTTGAGATCCTTCTTAAGGACAGGATCATTGGATAGTATGGAAAAGGACGGGGGCCAGAGGAGGTCAATAACCTAGATCTGTAGTGGCCTTGGTATTTAAGGTTATTGTACGTTAGTGTGTCTCAGATGATAATGCTGTTGAATCGTAGGGGCTGCCACGCTGAATCATACTGACACCTGATGACGACGCCAAGACCTCAGCAAACAGTACTGTGCGGGTAGTTATTCGGCATCTCTTGTCTGGTGCGGGTCGACTTAGCATAAGAGAGTTTTGAAATGAAAATGAAGGGGCAGAAAATAGGGCTTGCTGCAATTATTTTCGCCCTTAGGCACTATTAAAAGCCAATATTGATACCATCCAGTGGTATAAAAATGCTATCCGCTCTAGATGGCTAGTCTCTTTGCTTCTCAGCCTTTCTATCATGCTGCTTGTTAACATGCTCAACAGCCAGATCCTTCCCAACGGCAAGTAAATCCCTCCTGATGATAGCTCGAATATGAAAAGCCGCGCAGATGAACCACACAATAACTAACACAACCGTCAACGCTGATCCAAAAATCTTGATTCCTCTCGATGACAGGGTATTTCCAACGTTGATACTTGCAAGAGCGAGACCGACGTTGGGGAAGACAAGTGCCCACCAGGACAAACTGAACTCCATTCTTCGAGCGACGCGGAGGACTGATATCGCGGATAGGGCTGAGAACCAGATCGCCATGAGCCAAATGAAGAGTCCTGCGGCTACTGACATGCCGGACCAGAGTTCGCCGGCTGGGATGCTGTGGGTGCTGAGGAAGTCATCTGGAAGGGCAGACTTGGCCTGTGTACCGAGTGCAATCAAACCGCCGCACGTAAAGGCTGCCAGAGTTAGTATGCGAATTAGGATAAGCGATTGGGGCGACATTACCTGTTGGTCCAACGGCGATAAACATGCCCGGCCTGTTGGACGCATCCGGCAACTTGTGCTGAATCAGTCTTGAGAGATAAACAGCGTAAATGAACAGCGCAAGCATCCATCCAAGTCCCTGGCCCATCAAACCAGCAACTATAATCTGCACCGCACTCCACTGCGGTTGACTCCCCGCTATCTTAGCCGCCAACATGCCCGTCACCAAAAACGGATACGCAGGCAGTATCCAACCGGGCAACGCCTCCGAAATATCCAGCCTCTCCGTCTCAAAGATAATATGATACTGCGTCACCGCCACCACCATTTCACAAGCATAATAAATCCAAAAAACCACCCTCATAGCAGTCGTAAACCACGGTCCCGTTTCTGGCCCACCGTACGACTGCGCGCCCGTAAGTATCAACGCGATAGAAACCCAGAAAGCACCAAAGAAGAACGATTCAGACGGATGATGCAGACTCGTTGAGAAGGCGCGCGGTTTCATGGTGAAGCGCGCGATGATGAGAGCTGTGAAGGTCAGGAAGAGGATGATGTTGAGGATGAAGAATATTTTGCCGATGGTTTTGAGGCCGGTGAATGTGTATGGCTGTTCGTTGAGGAGGTTGGCGAGACCGCCTGTTGACATTGTGCAGGGGAACCAACTCCATGTTATTCTGACGACGCGGTCTTTTAGACGGAGAGGACGAGGTGCGTTTTTGGGGAATGCTCTGTCGCGTGCTGATGAGCCTGATTCGATGTCTACGGGGCGGCCATTCATGTCGCGTGTGTAGCCGTCCCCTGCATTGTACTGGGGGTCACTTGGTTGTGACATTGTGATCGCGATGATTTTCGTATAGTCGCGCGATCAGATCTGATGTACTAGGGGCATTGAATTTATTTATTTTATACCCAAACATTATCTTCCTTGATTTGTGATTCTTGGCTTCGTGACGAAAGCCAAGATGTCGTCACTCGATCAGAGTTTTGGACTAAAATCCACTAGAACTCCACTGAAAAATTAAGTTGTAGGGCGAGCCAAGGCTGAGAACCGGCAATCGGCACGATGAGATATAGAAGGCGACGAGTCATGCATTTGTTGTTCTGACTTCTATAAAGTATTTAGGGTGAATTGCGTTACTACGAGATGACTGCAGTCTATAAGGTTATGCTTTAGGCTTCGAACACAGATAATGAATGACATGACGGTAGTGAAATACGTTACAAAAGCATCATGCCGCTGCATTAATCAAGTTAGAGATTTTTAACTCGATGCGCTTAATGGTATATACTAGTACATATTTCAGGATGCATTCCACCAGCAACAACAACGTAAGGATAAGCTACTTTCTAGTCTTGTACCTAAAGAAACACAATTGCCTTTTCCACAAGAACTAGAGATTCCGTCTCCTTATATGATGCTTCTGTTAAAGCCTTGCTGTAGTGTTCGCTAAGACCCAACTCCCCCCCGACTTTAATCTCATTGCTTGCCTCTGGGATAGTGAAAAGAGCGGGTAATAGGCAGATCTTAACCGCCTTACCCAAAAGTGTCATGTCTCCCGCTTGAGATTGACCGACCTCCATTTTGCTCGCGTCGAATACTGTACCAGGCCTGAAGAAGTGATACTTAAGCCGTTTTACAGACAACAAAAGGTTAATCTTGAATTTCAACGCATGCTGCAAAGTTATGTCCACGTCCCCAATAGCCTCCTCTTCTGGATCGCTGGGAGATAAACGTTGGGTTATATCACGACTTTCGAGGGGCAGAAAATAGCTTAGAGTTTCCAGCATTAAGCTAGAAAGCCACTCGGACTTTTCAGAAAAAATCCTGTCTTTAAGGTCCTTGTCAGAAAAGAGAGACTTTATAGACATAAAATCAAGTCGATGGAGTGCGTTCCATCCCCCTAGTCTTGTTAGCTTGGTGTCTTGGGAATACGCAGGATTGGGTGTGAAGGGGATAGTATGCTTACTTTCAGTTTCGATGTGCCTTCTATACTGATCTAAGAGTGGAGAATCAGCAGCCAGGAAGGCTGGAAACGCATCTTCAAGGACTAGTTCGAAGATGCCTGCTGCTACTAGAGCTGCCAGAATGAATCTCTTCGGGATTTGTGCTGCCTCAGAGCGATCGAGAAGAGGGCCGAGATCGCACCCGCTAATGCGTTTAGCCCAGTTATTTGCTAGGGAAGAGAAATCTGGCCGTCCTTCCGGGAGGGCATCGTCCAAACTCAGATGACAAATCGTCGAACAAGTATTGCGGATGTTTGAGTTGAGACTCTCATACTCTGCCCGGAGAGAGGTGTTCAGGAACCCAAGCCTATCTGCTTCCAGATCATCGTGGTTCCTCTCAAGAAGTCGTTTTCGGTCAAGCTTTTCTTTCAAACTAGATATTTCCTTTCGAAGCTGAGTTACCTCCCCATATTCAAGGCGCATGCAATCTTCCAAGTCGTAGTTTCTTCTTTTGAGCTCAGATATTCGGTTTTCTAAAGTGATAGAATAGCCTTTCTGTTTAAGGAGATCTGCCTCCGACTGCCTTAATCTGACCTCCGTGGGTGAGCGCGACTCTTCTTGCGAGATAACAGTCATAGTTTCTTCTTGGGAGTCGGGAATGGTAGGGGCGATCTGGCGTTCAATGGCTTTGAGTACCGGTGTGGCAATTGTGCTTAGTTCGGATTGGTCTTCGCTTTTAACCCTCTCTGTGTTATCATCCCTGGCGAGCTCATCATCACTAAGATCGTTGTTGAAGGCCAGTCTTCTTGACGCTAAAGAGGACCTTGTCTTGTTCTATACGTGTGTTAGATCAAAGCCCATTCTTTATCAGGTCACGTCTCTAACCTTTTGTCTTGGACGTTCGGGTACCACGCTTGGGTTGCCAGCTTGTGGAATAGACAATTCATTGGGTCCTCTGGAGCTGCTGATTGAATATATAGAACGATGTGCAGAGAGCGTACCCGACCGGGTAGCAAGACCCAAAGATCTGCTTCGTGTGCAACGCGCTCCTTGGAGAGGGTTTATGCTGCTGAACATTTTCTGGAAAGTCTCCTGCTCCTCGCCAACAAGAGGCTCTAGGCCTGTTGTACCTAGCTCGAATAGATCGTTGAACTTTTTGCATGTTCCCCAGTCTTGCCATTCCTGGTATAGCTTTCGTCAGATGCGCTCTTTTGAAAAGTGCTTTCCCGTCACCTTTTCAAGGTAACCAGGAGCTGTCACCTCGAACTTGATACAGTATTGCACGCACCAGCTCAAGTATGCTAGAAGTTGAAGTCGTTCGGTGTTGCTCCATGAGATACGCTCCGTCGGTTTGGACCTGGCACGCCGCTTGGATTTTCGATTGTTCTTTCTTGCCATGATGCAGTTGTTTGGGGAGAAAACGGAGGCCGTCGTAGCCGCTGGAACTGATGTTGGTTTGACCCCTGTCGCCTTGTATGCAGGCTGCGCACAGGTGATACGTAAATTGTCCAATAGTATTGACTCAACTGTGACATGATACATGTTCATCGAACCAACAGCACGTTATTATTGGCCATCGCGAAATCTACGCGCTCCCTTGACAGTTAGGTTTCTGCCTTGCTGCCTAGAGAAATGGTCCGCTGTCGAATCGTGGGGCTCAGCTGTAGAGATAAGGAGATTAAATAGGATGGTTTCTGGCCTACGATGCGCGAATTATCCATTTTTCTATCTGCGCTTATAATATGTCGTTCTCAAGGTCATCGACGGTGACTCTGGGTCGAGAAAATGCACCCAATCACCAACATCAACTTGAAGAGGACCATGTAAGACCTGAACCAATCAACCTTGAACTATTAGATGAGGACCGTGGAGATCCCTTTCCAAAGCGACTCATCATTGCGGTAGACTTTGGTACCACTTACTCAGCAGTTTCATATGTCGACGTGCCCCAAGGATGTCCCTCCGATTCTGTCGACTCGAGGTCTATTCGTTCGATCGGAAACTACCCCGAGAACTATAACTACCACTACAATGATCCAATGGGTATGGAAGTTCCCACTGAGGTGATATATCCCTTGGATCGCCACTTTCGCGACCACTTCAATCTCGATAATCCCGATGAACATTTGGAAAACGGCGATAGCATTGATTTGACTGTTCCCGACGAAGACGGCGACATCTCCATGCTGTCGGACGTGTCGGAAGAATTTCGATAGGGTTACCGAGTACATGAAGTCTGGAATCGCCCATCTACACATTCCAACACAACCAACCAGCCTTTGTCTCGATTCAAACTCCTCCTTGACAACAGTGAGATGACTGAAACAGTAAGGCGAGATGTCAGTAAGACTATCAACACACTCAAGAAAAAGAATATAATCCAAGGTCCCCTTCAAGTCATCGCTGATTTCCTTACCTACCTTTTGGAGCACACTCGCTCCCAGTTGCGTCGTCAAGGCTTTGACGACAGTTACGAGAAGGAGATGATACTTTGTGTGCCTGCTATCTGGACGCAGAAAGCATGTCGGGACATGCAGGCCTGCCTGGCAGTAGCGATGAAAAGAGCCAACTTCACAAGGGCCGATTACAGAACAAGAGCATTGATAACCTCTTCATCGTGTCGGAGCCAGAAGCAGCAGCTGTACATATGCTTTCCACTTCGGCTGAAATAAAGGTACAAATGTCTCCCTTTCTCTCATCGTAATACGGTGTTAATATAATTCTCCAGTCTGGGGATTGTTTTGTTCTGCTAGATGCAGGTATGGCTTCACCCCAATTGCGCGTTTCCATCTAACAAAATGAACAAGGTGGCGGGACCGTCGATGCGAACACATACCGAGTCAGCAGGGAAGAGCCATTGAGACTAGAGACCGAGATAGTGGCTCCTGGAGGTATGTTTTGTGATAGAAATGCGTTGCATCTATAGCTGATTATTGCTTGCAAGGTGGTCTGCATGGATCGAGTTATCTCAATGAGGGCTTCCGGGAGTATCTCAACGATCTCCTTGCTGGGGAAACGTACCTCAATGATGGCATCGAGACCATTCATGGAATCGTTGAGAGGATAACATTCGAAGAATTTGAAAAGAGGATCAAGCGGGGCTATGACTATAACCAGCAAACAGCAAGGAAGGAGATATACATTAAAGGGCTTCGTGACAATCCTGCCAAGGGATTCCGAAATGAATGCATCTACGTTCCAAGGTAAGTTCAACTCAGAAGCCCAACGGAGAAATCTCTTAACCTTGTGGCCATAGACTCAAGATTCGAGAGATTTTCTTTAGACATCTAGATGCTATAGCTGAAATCGTGAAGAGCCAACTCGATGAAGCAAGGGGGAAGGGATACACTGTGGGGGTAAGTTAAATTCGGTCAAACAGCCGGATCACTCTGACATAGGATGCTGCAGAAAGTTGTTCTCATTGGAGGATTTGGAACGTCAATCTCACTTAGCCAAAGGCTCCAGGAATTCTTGCTGGAATACGGTCGGGAATATAATTGTCGCGTCACGTTGATGGAGCCCCAGCAAGGGTTTGTCTCCTAACTTCAAGCATGTTGACACCGCTGACTAAGCTTCGATATAGAACTTCTATCATCAATGCGGTAGCATCAGGAGCTGTCCTGAGAGCTCTCAACAAGGCGAATGGGCCGGAGAGGGTAGCTCGTTCAAGTTATGGCATATTGCGAACTGAGCCTTTTGGACAGTACCCTGAGCACGCAGGTCTAAAGCCGTCTTATGACCGTCATGATGGGATGCCGTATATCAAACAAACGATCGACTGGGTTTTGAAGCTCGTAAGTCTTTTTCAACAGACTTTTCTCCGCTAGAGGACTGAATGAAATACAGGGAGAAAGCGTTCCATCTGTATGGCAGTGTGAGCCGTTCGCTTGCAGTCATACATTCGATGTCTGGCCTGTCCGTCCCTTTATCTGCCGAGAGATGCTCTACGTGTCAGACCATGTCACAAAATCGCACTATAGGAAAACCCATCCCAATAACGAAGGTGAGCTCGAGGATCCTGATGGAAGACATGCCTAACCTTTTCTTGAAAGGTGCCGAGTATGTTGGTGAAATCGAGGTCGACTTCTCTTCTCTTCGAGATCGGTTAGTCCCAATCGAGCCTATTGTCAATAAGAATCAACAAAAGGTTGGGAAAAGACATTATAGAATCGACTTTACGATGGCCATCAAGGTTGTGGATCGTGACTTGGAATGTAAGTTCTGACAGATAGGAATCCTGTCTTTTGAAGGCACATCCTAATGTTCGCGTCAAAGCTCTGATCCGCGAGGAGAAGTATGCTAAAGAACTCCAATCGGTCTATCCAAATCTCACCCCCATCATCGGCGACCTTTCCTCGCTTTCTCTCCTCACGTCCACGGCAGCGGAAGCCGACTTCGTCATCCATGCTGGAGGTGACGATGTCCCTGCTGTTTGTGCGATGATAGATGGATTATCATCCCGTGTCACCAATGGATCGCCCATGCCACGGCTCATCAGCCTAACCGGCCCGCGAAGTCTTATTGACTTCTCAAGTCCCATCACTGGAAATCTGAATGAAAGCAGCTCTCCTTGGAGCGATATCTCAGACGGGCATGCAATACTGAACGTGCCGAAGGATCGCATTCACGCTGGTGCTGACCAAGCCATCATCGCTCATAGTGCTGATAAAGGAGTGGGCACAATGCTCATCTCGCCTGGCCAGTTGTGGGGACGGGGCAAGGGCCATCTGAAGAAGGAGAGCAATTCAGCGTTCTATTATGCCGCTGTTAAGAGCCGTGGACGGGCTTTCGTAATCGGTGAGGGTACCGCAACATGGTCGTGGGTCTCCATTAGTGATTTAGGAGATGCAGTCGTGTTCCTTATGGATCAGGCACTGAGCAAGAGACAAGGACAAGTAGGAATAAATCAAGACGGCTACTACTTTGTTAGTACCGGAGACCTAAGTATGGTGGAAAGGGCCAAAGCTGTCAGTGAGCGCTTGGGTCTTGGAGAAGTAGAAAGCGTGTCAGTTGATACCGCAAGAGAGATCCATCCATTCGGTCCCATCATGTGGGGTTGTGGTGAAAGAATAAGATCTGACAAGCTGGTCGAGCTTGGTTGGAGGCCGAAACAGACCGAATGGAAGGCTTTGATGGAAGAGGAAGGCGGAGGGAGGGCATAATTGCAGGGATAAGACAGGGTTCCTAGTAACTACTAAAGCAGAAAGTAGAGAGTATATATTATATTTTCTTTTTTGCCTGGGCTGGAAACCGTAATGGGCCGAAGGTCGACTTTGACTCTGTATATCACCAGTACCGAAGCTTTATAGAGTTTTAAGCAATTACATCAGCCCTAAGGTTAAAAGATCAGGTGCAATAAAGAGTTAATGTCATGTCGGAGTCTCTTACAGTCGGTGTATGTGTGTTTGTCTATGTCCATGCTTTTCAGATACTGTACAGCGTTAAACCTTTGATACCTATTCTGTAGAACAGTTCCACGATACTCAAAATCCTCAGATAGAGATCCCAAGAGAGAGCTTGAGAAATGCATGCCATATACAATCAAACCGTTCTAGGAACCCAGATTTGACTAATCTTCCGGACCTTGCCACCGTTGGTGCTGGTAAGGCCCGAGTAGGTAGCACCTTGAGCAGTAGCAATGGTCTTGCCAAAGCTAGTATCAGCGCCGGCGAGCGTGATCTCAATGTTGATGTACATCTGCTCGGTCATAATAGGACTGCAGTTGTTGTTACTCAGTACCACTTCCAGTTTAATAGCCATGCATGTAAGGACCAGACTTGTATTCGAAGGTGCTCAGTTGCTTATCAGTGTCGGCATCGGTGACATCCTAGCGCCAGGTATCATTCTCTAAGAGAAGGGTGTATGCAATCTTGACTTTGATAGAATGGGCGCATTTCCAACTGCGTTTTCGCGTAATAAATCTTTATCAGCATGGGCTCTACTTGAGCTTGCCGCCGACCTCGGATGTCATGCAAAGTTATGCTGAAAAAACAGATGCTTGAAGAGGTGGATAAGTATAATGAAACGATACTTGCTTAGGTCGTATACGGAGAGCGAGAAGATGATGCATTGAAACTGATTGAGCGAGGAGCCCACGTAAATTTAGAGTATAAGCGGAACGGGAGGAACTTGTTGCATTATGCGATGGAGTGTAATCTGCATGGGCTCCAAAGGGTACTGAGACAGACAGCTGAGAATTGGGAGGACATTCAAAACAAAATGGACATACGGGGAGACATGCCAAAAGGAATACGCGGAAGACGAAGATATTAAATCCTCTCGATAGGGAATCTCATTATCATTACGGCGAAGTACAGTCCTATATATCCCTAAAATCACATAAAGGCGTCGCTCGGTGTATATCCATTTCTATTATAACCTCATAAATCAATTCGTCTTTTATCCTCATCGTCCTTGGAAGGCTTTTATGCCCGTAGTCGTCAGTCATTTATGTTGCACCTCCATTTAAGACGTGGCTTACCTCCGCAGCATCCGAAAAATCAGGAATACCCATGAGCACTATCCGATCTCAATAATGCTATCCCCGTCGCCATCATGAGTGCAAAAACCACACAAACAGCGACGATGATTATCACGGCATATTTCGTCCAGTCGTCCCCATCGAGATGCCGCATGTCTTTGGTCCATTCTGGCATGTCAATCGTACCACCCTGAACCAACCACGCAATGGCGAAAATGGCAATCACGATGACGGTGAAGATGAGTTGTCTAGCGTTACGAACAGCCTCTAAGAAGGGCTGAATTCTAGATTTTGTCTTTGCCATGGCTGTTATTCTAGGCCCGTTTGCAAGTGGGAAAAAAGACGTTGGGGCTAGATGAAAGGTGGAAAAGTGGCATCATCGACGGGCTGGATTAGACTGCGGCGTCTCCCCGCATATTATAGAGAGTCAATGAGATCACAAGACATTCAGCTGATGGACTGCCATTCGCGCGTTGGGTTGTTTATGGCGAATCATGTTGGGTTTCGGATGCTTCGGAGCGTTGTTCAGCCACCAGGAAACGTATGTTTGACCCCACCTCGATCAGAATCAAGGCAGTCATTCAATCTTGCTGACATTGATTTGGGTGCCTGAACAAGGAAAAAACGTTAGCCTTGTCAGATGTCTTATTCCCCGAGAGTCCGTTAGTGCGTGGCACACGATCTACAAGTCAATCAGATCGGCATATCTTCGCGTATCAGTCTCTGGGTCCAAGACTCTCGTTTTACATTCACTAAAGGAGATGAGAGGTAAACAATTTCGCTGCTATACATCTACACAAGTTCAATTTTACTGTTGGCGTTATAACTCTGCGCTGAATCCCTGTGAGCATCGTCGGCATTTCACCCTGCAAGGCAAGGGATGATTTAAAGCCGGGGCCGCCAGTGGCAGATCAAAGCACTGGTCATGACGTCAGGAGAGATTTCATGAACTAATCTATGGAGTGGTTGACTCACCATCACCAAGCAGGTTCAACAACATTTCGCCATAACCTTCATCTACATCACTTAGAGAATTAACCAGTAGAGTAGTCCGAAAAGTCCTAAGTTGAGGTTTTACATCGCCACTTGGTTTAAAACGACCGTTGCTCAGGATTATCCCAGTAACCTGCGACTGACGAACAAATATTCATAGAGTTTGACTTGTCACGAATATGCACATTGCCACCAGAGGCTTATTACTGATTTACTATCAAACATTCTGATGCCATCTTCCTATTAATGCGAGCGATTGCACTGGCCGATAGGTCTTTCTCTGAATCCTCAAGGGCTGACTTTCATTCTTCCTTGACTTGGCCAATCGGAGACATTTCATCGTTATCAAGTAGTTTGATTCAATTTAGCTTTATTCTTATAACAAACAGTCTAGGCGGGATCATGTACCCGGGCGAGATTAAACAGAGGCTTGGCAAGTGGATCCTAGCCAGAATAAGATAGCTCCTCTCTTGATCATAGGTGCAAGGTATGCACTTCATCAACTGACGTCGCTGGGTGCTAGTCAGAACCGCCATGCCAAGATCAGACTACCTTAGACTGTCCGGCCGCTGAAAATCATGCCCTGACATGTAGACCTCTTGAGTGTCCTTTTGACGCGAGATCTGTATTAAATTTGGGTCTCACCGAAAACCTTCCCTAACACAATAGTTACTTGGCACTAGAGACTAGTCTGCAGGCATGACAATAGAAAGACTAAGTATGTTGCTCTTCGTTTGTGGACCCGTCAGACCGCAGTCAACTCAGCTGAAGAGTGAAAAAACTGAAACCATCACATCCGCAATTAGCCTGGTGTGCCCCGCGTTCTTGGCTAGCTCCCCCACAAACAGCGGGACCATTATCCAGATCCCTCGGCCTGTTGACCGCTAGCTCCAGGGACAACAGGTATAAAGAGGCTGTCAAGGACGCAATTAGGTCCCGAAAAAATCAAGCAAATCCCAACACAACCTTAACACAATTTCGCATCAAACATGACTGAGATTCACGGTACATGTGACCCAAAATTCCAGGGAGTCCGCTCTCTTCTTGAGAAGTACATAAAGTCGGGCGAAGAGGTTGGTGCCTCGATCACAATTGACATCGATGGCAAAGAAGTAGTAGACATCTGGGGCGGTTACGCCGACAAGGAACAAACCAAGCCATGGGAAAAGGATACTATCGTCAATGTGTTTTCGTGCACAAAGACAATCACCAGTCTTGCAGTCCTCATGCTCGTCGACAGAGGATTGATCGATGTCAACGAGCGCGTGTCACACTACTGGCCTGAGTTTGGGCAAAATGGCAAACAGGACGTTCTGGTCAGGCATTTGCTGAGTCATACGTCTGGCGTCTCAGGCTGGGAAGAGCCGATATCACCTGAAGACATGTATGATGTTGACAAGGCGGCTGCAATGTTAGCCCGCCAGGCACCGTGGTGGACTCCCGGGACGGCGTCGGGATATCAGGCTGTGTGTTTCGGCCATCTTCTCGGAGAATTGATCAAGCGTGTTTCTGGGAAATCGCTACGCGAGTTTGTGGACACTGAGATCGCAGGAGTTTTGGATGTCGACTTTCAGATCGGCGCAGCGGAGACGACCTGGGACCGCATTTCTCCTCTGATTCCCCCGCCCTCGACAGGACTTATGCCAGAGTTTGAAGAGGGATCTGTTCGAGCCAAGACGCTACTCAACCCGCCCTTCGACCCCAGCTTTGCGAACACGGGGCCCTGGAGACAGGCTGAGCTAGGCGGCTCCAACGGCCATGGCAACTCCCGCTCTATGGCGCGTATCCTCTCTGCAATCACCCTAGGTGGCTCGAGCCAAGGCAAGAAACTGCTGTCAGAAGATACGATCAAGTTGATTTTCCAGGAACAGGCCAATGGAAAGGACTTGGTTCTTGGGTCGTCGTTAAGATTTGGCATTGGTTTTGGACTGGCGCCTTCACCGGCACTACCGTGGGTTCCAGAGGGCAATGTCTGTTACTGGTCCGGTTGGGGCGGTTCGATTATCATTATGGATTTGGATAGGCGTATGACGATTGCTTATGCTATGAATAAGATGGGGGGTGGACTTGACAGTAGTGATCGGGCTGAGGCTTACGGAAAGACAATTTATCAAGCATTTGAGAAGGCATAAATCTCGAGGGCTACATTGCACCATCCATGGCATCAGGCTCACTTCTGGATCAGACTTTATCAGATAGGTTTAGAAGTTCATCTTAGGTACTAATCAAGGCAAAGACACTAAAGCCACACAGGCACAGAAGAAGCCAATACAGAAAACAAATTTACATGTCATAATTACTTTATTATTCCAGACTGTCCTATATCTCGTTAAGAATCTATTAAACGGAGAGCTCCAATATAGTCGCCCAAGTTAAATAAAAAGGGTAAAGACAGACAGACGAGAATACAAACATACGGATGCCCAAAGAACTCAGCTATAGTCACAAGATAGACGCTCATACCAACTATATTGAACGGGCTGTTAGTAAATGTTGAGTAGCGAATGGGGATGAAATTATATCCAGAGAATGAGAGCAATGAAAGTGTCACTTACAAATCTCTGGCAAGGCCATTTTGGACCTCGTCCCCATCAGTGCAATCAACGAAAGTAGTTTGCGAAGCTTTGGGCGCAGCTGTGCACTTTGCGGTGAGTCCATCATCACATACCACGCTGCCAACCGTCGCCGTGTTTGGTCCCTGGTAAGAGCAAGACGCATGGCCGTGGAGGCTAAAGGTAGCCAACGACGTCGGATACAGCGCTGGTGAAGCTCGCCCAACGGCGGTACTATAAGCTATTGGGTTATCCTTGATGGCACAGACATCAATATCTGGCTGGTCGCCCTTGTTGAAAGGCCTGCAGTCCCACCACCACGTATCGGTCACGCCTCCGTGTCCTGCGACCTCGATCTCTCTAGTGTAAATAACCAGGACGTAAGGCGATGGCGATGGGGATGGAGTTGAATCAGTAGGGCCGGTGGGGAGCTGGGAGACCGAGATTGTCGTCTTGGGCAGAGGTGACGTGTAGGCACATCTGTTAGCAGGCGTGACATTGCTATCAGTTGAGAGTGCAAAGGTTGAGCCTGAGCAGACGCAGTAGCCTCTGGCTATACCCCCGTCAGGGTCAGCGTTGTGCGTGCTGCAAGAGACATACGATGGAGCCGTTGTTGTGCGATGAGGCTGCAGCGTGACGGGGCGGGTGGTGACGCCCGAGGCGGGAAGAGGATCGAGGCTTGGGTCTGCATCATCGGGGAAATCCACATCATCATCTCCACAAGGGTTGCTGTCGTCATCGCAAGGGTCGCCGTCTGCGTCATCCTCCTCCCCGTCGTCACCATCTTGACTACAGCCCAACCATTTGTAGACATTCGCATCTAGGAAGCCTCCGGACGAACCTTGTCTGCCAGCCAAGTCCCGAGCATGCGTCCGTTCTTGAATATTTGCTCTGGCCTGAATATGACTGTCGTTGCGCTTTACAAGAGCTCCATCGTCGTCAGCAGTATTGGCTGGCGGGTCAGTACACCTCTGATTTGCCACGATGTTATCCTGTCTGCCTAGGGCTTGATAATCAGAGTCCAAATTCCATGAATTTGTACCCTGGTCCCAGTCATACTTTCCTGGTGAAGGATAACGGCAATATGTTGGAGGTACGAGCGCGTAGACTGCATAATCATCGTCTGTAGGGTTCTTCACCATCTTGTCCTTAGAGTCGAGGTAGTACATGAGCTCCGGTTTCTTGCGGTCGGTGTCAGGCACGTCGAACCACGGATCCCATGTGCGGACTTTGTTGACCACGAGGTTATTGACCAAGGTGAACTCTGGCCCGTACCTGGCGGCACAGAAGTTTTCATCCACCAAGTCTTCCGGCAGGTACTTGGTAAAGCTGGGATCGAACTCAACGCAATACACGATGCCATCAGTATCGATCTTTGGGTTTGTCCCTGTCTCTTTCTCCTGGAAAGTGTTGTACTTCTTCGCCACTGACTCGAGCCATTGTCTCAGATGATCACCGGCGAGCTGATTTTCCAACTTCTCATTCCAAGGGCCACCAGGGATCAGCCGAAGTACGGCTTCAGCGTCTTTTGAGCGATCGGGATTACCAGAACCAAAAGGGTATTCTTCCACTTCGCATCCCTGGAGCTTCCAACCGCCTTTTGGCCTATCTTTGCTCTTAGCAGTGTAATGACCTTTGTACCTGTTGTCATGGAGAAGATTCGTCAATAAAAAGGAACAGTGGAAAACCATGGCGTCTTTCAACGAGACAACTCACCAGCGCTTTGTGATATGGACCTTCGATCCCTTTGCATGGGTCAGAATAGATGTCGCCCCCCGAACTTCAATGGCTGATTTCGCATTGCCGCAGACGTTCGGATAGATATCATGCGGACATGTATAAGTAGCGAGGCATTTGCCTTCATCTGGTTTCCTAGGGTCTTCATTTTTGGCGGGACAGAAGTCACTTCCACGTCTGTCCCGTCTGAAGCCTAATGAATCTAGGCCTCGGTTGATTAAGGATGGGAAATACCCCTCCGAGTCTTGACGCTTGGCTTTGGAAGATATCGGACAACACGACGTCTCGCCCTTCAAGTACCTCTTGACTGCATCCATCTTGCTGTCAATCTTCCGTTGGCAAGAAGTGATCTTGGAGCCAATTTCATCGCTTGGAACATCACAGTTGATTGTATTTGAGCTTGCATCATAGACAGGATAGTTCCCGTTATCGCACATACCGGAACTGGAGTCAAAATCACAAGGATCTGCCTCGGTATCAGGGGGGTTACCGGAGGGTCTTGGGTGTGGAGGAGGATCATCGTTTACAGGCGCCGGCCCTTCAGGCTTGGGACACTGGCCCGCAACCTTGACACCAAAGACCTTGACGCATGGCAAATGGAAGGTAGGCAATTCCGGAAACTTGGGCCACCTGAACTTCACCCGTGGAATCTCGGGTGTGTCCCAGACTACCACTGGCTCACAGGTGGGACAAGGCAAAATGACAGGTACGACTGTTGTCGATGAGTCGCTTCCGGTTGTTGTGATCCAGATGTTAGTAGTGACTGGAAAATCAGTGAAATCTTCAAGGGAGACCCCAGGCGGAACTGTTGTCATTGTTGAAGTCACATCGTCGTCTGTGGAAGTTGGTAAAGAGGTGATAGTGAGCGTCATGCCGTTGGTGGTGACGGTCTGGATAACTGTTGTGGGCGGAAGTGTGCCACTCTGGCCAGGCGGAACCGAGACGCCGCCTCCACCAGGACACCAAGCTGCCGCCGCAGGACACGTTGGACCAGGACTATCTTTATCGCCTGAAGCAACAGATGGTGCGAGCTTGGCTGGCCCTTGTTGTGATTCCTCATTTCCGTTGTAAGCAGAAACACACCACTCATAGTTCCATGTGCCCGGGAAGAGTAGAAAGTCGTCAAGACAGGTCGAACCGGTAACGTTGGCAACGATTGCAAACTTGCTATCTTTTTCGTTGACGTTCCGGTTCCAGACATGATAACCTCCAGCGGAGTCGGACCCGGTCCAAGTAATGCTATGAAAATGTCAATGCTTACCATACTAGAGAGAATTTTAACGCTAGTGGGGGCTTACTGAACAGTGGTGGGGTCTGTAGACAGAATCTTGAGATCAGAAGGAACCGGTGGTGTTCCAGCACCTGGCACAACGTTGTTGGCGAAAAAGGGTAGACCTTGGCCGTTTTCGTTCCAAGTCACGGGGGCGATCAGATAGTTCCGACCAGGAGTAAGCCCCTTGATAACTGCAGGTGAGCTCGTGAAAGCTGCACCGGTAATTATCTCGCAGTCGTCTGGGCTCCAATCCCAATACAAGATGTTGTATTCGACAATCGAGTCTGGATTTGGAAAATTAAATGTCTTCATTAATCATTGTGATTTATAACTTTGACCAAATTAGACATACCAGTATTTGATCCAGTTGGAGGATCCCATGTTACAGTGAACCCATCATCACCAGGCTCTACTTTGACGTTCTGCGGCGGATCGGAAAGTTTCGGAGTGGCCTTCGCCGATAGCTTTGAAGTATACGGGCCTACGGAGTAGTCCCCGTAGCGAGCTCGCACAGAAACGGTGTATGTCCAGCCTTCAAGCGGCCACTGCGAGTCCCATCTGTTGGATAGGGTGGTTGTTGGAGAGTATGTGTTGGCGCCACCATTAATGGAAACTGTAACATCGTAACTATAAGCACCATAGACTACCCATTATTTAGTCAGTAAAAGCGAAGATACAGATTACAGGACTGAGTGTCGTTGAGGTAAGAACACATGACCAGGGTTGGTGTTACTTGCCTGGATCCCAGGTGGCGGTGACACCCTGGGGAGAAGAAAAGACACGGAAGTTGGATGGTTGCGGTAAGGCTCGGGCCAAAGCTGAGTCGCCCTGGCCAGGAACCTGAACAGGATCCTTGCCAAGATTGAAATCCTTCACTAACGTTTTGGAGAAAATGCTAGCGATCTGGAACTCGCCCTCAGCATTGGGGTGCAAGCCATCAGTACCTACTGGTGTTAGCGAAGTGAGCACAAAACAGCAAATTCGACCACAAGTGTTAATAGTACATACCTGCAGGGCAGCCACTGGGTTGACAGTCCTAATGACAAAGAAATCAGAATTTTTAGCATGGTTCAACCACCAGCGGACGGCCTGTAGATAAGATATACTCACATAGTTCTCCGCAAGTGGTACTAAATGAATTGGGGATTGCTTAGTGGACCACTTAGATATATAATCTGGAAGCAGCTTGTTGTATATCTCTGTGTTCTTCACGAGGTCATTGCGACCCTGAATGAAACTCCTCTGAGGAACGTCAGCCATGGCAATCTTGACGTTAGGATTCGAAGCTCGGGCGTTAGTGACAAATGCATCGACACTATCCAGTGTGCCGGCAGCGTCGCTGTAGAACCAGCCCATGTCATTAAAGCCGAGCATAAAGAGAATGAGATCTGCGGGTGTTGACTGAAGAACACTCTCGATTAATCCTTTGTCGACCGCAACAGGCCTACCTGAATGTCCTATTAGCACCATAGAAGACCTTACTAAACAGGTTGGAGATCTCCGAATATTACATACCCCTGGACCAAGTAAATTAGCAAGTGCTTCAGATAGGCGTATACGAAGGGAAAGTTCGACTCAAGGGAAGGGTTGGGCAAGAGAAGATCATCGATGTTTCTTACCATGCAGAAAAGTGGTTGCAGTTTGACAAGAATGCTTCGTCTACGTCTGCAGCATAGCCACCGGATGTTTTAGGTGCACTAAAAGGAACTGGTTTTCCATAGAGAGCTGGAGGGGAGGGTGCTGTCGGTGGATCCGGCGGTACCTGATAAAGTTTGATCCTTAGCATGATCATAGTGATTAAGGGTAAGGGCTCGGTCTCCTTCCATTAATACATACCGTGCCTTTATAGGGTCCAACCATTTCAACGTCGATACCATTCTGGTTGAAGAACTGCCAGATTCTATAACGCCAGGTATAGTCACCCTCGCGACCAATTGTGAGGAGCCGTTAGTAGACGCCCTTTAAGGGGAGCCTTTGAAATCTATTGAGCAGTGGTATTGAAGCATCGTACCTTGGGACATGGAGTCACCGACAATCATGACTCTCAGAGTTGACTGACGTGCAACCACTGACAGGCCTGGGCTGGACACATTTGTTGAGGCGATCATGCCGGCAATCATGTCATTGACTGGGCCAAAGCTAACCCCGGCTTGTACAGGCGGCAGGGCAGGAGCAAGTCTACTGACGATCTCATACTCAGGGACAGCACTGATGTTAGTTGGCAAGGGGAGTGCCGGAATAGTTGAAAGCTGATGCAAGCTCCATGAAATGGAGGACGCCAAATGCACCGCCGAGGAGAAGTCGATACGACTGGGGGCATTGGCTGTGCTTGTTGCCGGAGATGAGATGATATCGGTCTCTTGACCCAAAACGAGACCGGGCCGGAGGAGGCCACAACTGAAGGCAGCAAATACAGCCAGGCGGAGAGCTTCACTAGTTCGCCGCATGGTTAAAGATGTTTCCAAGATTATCGTCAACTCAAGAAAGATGTCCTTGGTGTCAAATTCAATTATCCCCTTCTAAGGCAATTCTGATCACTTTATATTCCAAATTTCCGCCTGATTTAAGCCCAGAGAGCCTTTGCAGGAGGCGGCCGGGCGTGACATGCTTTCAACCTGTATCAACCAACATGCATATAGCACAGAGCTTAGAGCCAACAACGCAGTCTTGTTGTACAGCATCTCTTGAGGTTGAGGTCTTCACGTATCTTTCAAGACTGCAAACGGTAATTGGTTAGAGACTAAGGCGCGGAGTTCCCCACCGCCTACAGTCGACCCTCTTTCGAGTCTGGACCAACTTTGTCACATCAAACCCTACAACTCGCCTACCCCTCAATTCCCTTAATTCCCTCAGTTTTCCGAGTTTATAGTTAGTGGTAAGGTTAAACGGCTACGTCGGCAACTTGACGTCGGGCACTTCTCCATATGACTTAGTACTTTTCGAAGTGCAAAAGTACCCTTCTAACCGACCTAGAATTAGACAGGGATTAATATCACCAACAACACTTTCACATGAAAATAAGTGACCCTAGGCAGTTGATGCCGAAAGTATCCTTCCCATGCTATCTCCCGGGGATAAGAACCAAGCCAGTGACACTGACGAGGGAACGATCAGACATCCACCCAACATGAATGAAGAGAGACGCGAGCAGATCGCGGCCGCGCTTCGCCGGTACCGTGAGACAGTATTGCAGCACAATCTATTCTTGCTCCGTACTTTAGTGGAGAAAGTCGAAGCTGAGCCTACTCCGTCAAACTGCACAGAACCGGCCGCACAGAGCCTACGAATGCAAGCAATCCAAGAGCTCATTGAAGTTCCCGAGTCCATTGAAGCGCCGCAAGACGTCCTTCATGAAAGCGTCATTTCTTCATTGATCTCGTCAGCCTCGCTTGAGGGCGTGGACGATGATCCAGTGGACCCCTCACTGAGACGAGAATACTTCGCCGGCATCCAGGCAAGCATTGCAGAGAGGGGCGCGGAGGTTGCTGAATTTCCCCCCTCGGACCTAGAGTACCTCTGTACTCTTGTCAGTGGCATTACGGGTCCGGGTCTTCCATTTCACAGGGAAACATCTCAGTTCGACTTCATCACACCTCTCCGACCCGGCAAGATCAAAGCCATGATTCAAGCTGTCGTTGTGCCAGTACGGCGCGATGCAGAAGAGGAACGTAATCAACTCACTGGGATTTGGGAGGACTGGAAAATTTCCATAGCGTTCAAGATTGGCGCTGGCCCTCGTGGTTGGGGTGGCTCATACGCTCTATACTGCCGCAATGAGGACAAGGAGCCGTGGAAATGGAGATATGGAGTTCATGATGAAGAGTGGCATAGCGATGTCTATGATAATGTGGACGACTTCCTTGGATTCTATGCTCATTTCAATGAACAAACTGAGGAGGACCTCGAGGATGACATAACTAGTTTGGAAGCATTGGCATGATTATAGAAGTAGTTCGTGTTTGACGTGTCTAGCACCGTGTTCTGTTGCCTCTATAACAGGTTCTCCGCCAAGCAATACAGGCTTATCAGTCCGGCAACCCGAGATGAGTGCACCATTCTGATTCCAAACACGTAGTAGCCACAAAAGTGCCACAATACAAAACTCCCTGCTGATCCAAATCCTTTCCACAAATCGCTCAGGATCAATCGACCGGCTGTGTTGGGCAGCCAGCGCTTTACGAGCCCGGCAACTATACACATGGCCAAATACCAGCTAGATATAGCTATCTCTGGTCTTGAAATATCCAATGCCCGTCGCGATCCATCAAGCTCGTATATTTCAGTTCCAACTGATTCTTCCTGGAGATGGCTATGAAGTCTTCGAAAGTGAAAAAGTTCTCGACGTGCCATCCCATACTCTATACCTCTTCGAAACACCCCGACACTGTTAACAATAGGCGTTCCGCCCTTTGGAGCTTTTGATAGTGTAGTGCCAGCTATACTTTCGATTAGAAATATCCGTGAGCTCGATCTACTGGCGTTGATCGTGCAACTTGCCTCAAGCTTGAGATCAAGAACACGAATAACGGTGTCGTTGCTTGGAGTAGTCTCAGAGCTGGGTATCGAGCGATACGTGGTAGCTAAATTACATTCATGCTTGGGGTTATACAGACCGATGCCATCTCGAGCATTATTATAGTGTACCATCCACTCACAGTTCCCGGAGGAAGTGTCAGAGCTGGTTCTACAATAAGGCTTAAGTATAACTCTGGGTCAAGTTGTTGAGTGGACTTACCCTATCCGTTTCCTGGTGAGATAATGTTGCATGCTGCTATTTCCGCCAAAATAGCCTGCTTCACTCACGACTCGTTCCCCAGGTATCACGCAAAGATAACGGGCAGTTGCCGGGTCATACAAACGGATGTTATCGTCGGAAGAAATCCACCGCGACCGTCGCGACTTTTTTCTGGACTGAGGATATTTTTGAATTTCCCAGGGATAGCGAGTCATAAACTTGTCCTGGAAGAATACGCGATATGAACCTTCACTGGACCAGCGTTCCCCGTCTTCATCAACATGGCCATTCAAGGAGTCGAGTATCTCTTCTGGTAGGCTTTGCAACCAGATCATACTGTCGGTCCAGAGAAAGCCTGCCATTGGAAGGTACATAGTATAAGCTGTTGAGTCCATGATCCTGGATCCAATTTCGCCTGACATCTGGAGTCTATCGAGTGCAGGGAATGGGGTTAGGTGCCTCCGCATCGAGGCTGAGAGATAGGACAGGTTATAGTTCCCCCCAGCTGCTGATTCGGACATTGGGATAAGAGAACCAACCATCAACATGGCTAATACTGGCCAAACAATAAACGCAATGACAATATTGGCGCCGCCCTCTAGAGCAAGGCGGATCTATAGTTGTTCAACGTCAAGAGTCGCGTACTTAGCAAGGTGTATAGGCAAGACTCACAGGCGAGTATCCAAGGTCTGCAATTTTCCCGGCCAGTTTTCTGGCTCGAGCAACAGTCCATAGAAGATATGCCACAACAGCGTCAAGTTCATTACAACCTAACACATAGCTAATAAACACCAAAGCTTCCCCAAGACCGAGGCAAAACAGTGCTTGTAACCATCGGGGATGGTTTTGCCAGGAAATTGATGCTACTATAGCCAGAATTAAACAGCCATCTGACAGATTGTTTAACTATTGAATTGTGAGTCTCCTGTGATGTCATACCAAGTGAGAGGAGTTGCATACCAGCGCAAGAAAATGTTCAGGTCTAAACAAGCTAGACCAGAACGTGGCTGTACCGACAATCAGACAACACAGCACAGACCCTTTGAAAAGGCTGCCTCCCTTCAAGGTTCCGTCGGCATTTGACAACTGGAAGAATGCAAAGGCGATCAAGGCCCATAGAAAGTGACACGTGCCAGTCAGAAATTTCAGTTTTGGTTTAGACGGTCCAAGGGTAGCGGATAGAGGAGCAAAGAGTTCCAGCGTCAGTTGACCTCTAGCGCTAAACTCGGTCAAAGTATCATGCAGATGTACTAGAAAGGGGCTGTAGTCGGGGGCTGCGCGGCTTATGGCGAGGAAGGCGATAATGAGTATAGGTAAGATGATAATCTGCCGAATCACGCTGGGACGTGCAGGCTTGATCTCCATTGCGTTGATGTCTTAGGCAACTGAGTTATTGGCAGAATTGATAGGGAAGGAAATGAAATGTGAGAATAAACCGAGAGGGTGGCTCATGCTGACTTGAGGCTAGTTCATCCTATGTTTGTTGGTCCTATGCCTGTTGGTTGTACCCTGGCAATAAGATAATTAGCCATTATAGGAATCTGCAGGATAATTCCTGCGGTTTTAGCCGAGGTTCTCAAATCAAATGCCGCGGCCGGAATTGACTGGTACTCCTTGTAGGTCTTGCTGTGGTTCGTGGTTGATGTATCCCTTGTCCTTTTATTTGATGTGCATACCATACTCACTTTTTGTTTCCATACGCAGATGAGTCATAAATACCCCGTGGTTTATTGTACTTTGAGCCTTTTACCGTTTATACAACGAAGGTGAAATAATTCACGTTACACAACCATGAATGCTAAACTGAACTATACAGGATGCGGTTCAGCGTCATCTGTTGACTTGCTGGGAATACCGCATGAAACCCCACTGTTCCTTAACTCTTCGTTGTAAGCCCTAACCTTTGCTCTATCCTCCTCTGTAGGCTTCCTGGGGATGTCCTCCGGATTGGGGTAGAACCTATCCTTAACAGACAGATTACGGCAGTACTGCTTTGTTTTGCAAATAAGATCCAGCTTCCGAGGTGCAAGTGAGGCATATAGTGAAAGTAGAAGTACCCTATAGATAAGGGATACCTATGCCGGACTAGCTTGATAACTCTATCTAGAAGTCGCCGAGTCAGAATGCGGCGCGGGGGTTATCACGGGCCCCGTCGGCCCGTCCCAAGCGCAGTCAACCGATTCAGCTATAGCGCTGACCTATGTAGGTGAGAAGTGTAGGGGGTCCCCTTATGGCATATCGCAGGCGTTCAATACGAGAACCTTATACAATATTGACAATATTCTGGAAGTATCCTCATATATGTGGCTTGTTTATATGCTGCTATAACCTTACTGCAAAGAGGTGCAATGGTATTCTGAGGAGGTAATCAATAAACTTAGCTCAAACCAGACTGCTGCTATGCTTCGTGAGAGAGTCTCCATGATGAGGTTCTAGTGGTAAAATAGAAGCAGGATCACGAATAGAAAACGTTATGGGCTTCGGTTTGGGATGATTTACCATGTAGGCGACCAGTGCACTTGCCTCTTAGAAGCTGTCCGATCTCAATTCCGCTAATTTAAAGGCTATCATTAGTTCACAGCTTCGCTCCATCCATAGAAGTAGTTTGCTGCGGATTGTAGTCCCAAAACTGAAAATCCGTTACTGGATTATCCGTATAAGGATATTGAGTGTGGAAAAGCTGCGTTCCAGGGAAGCTGAGCTCCGATGTTTGATAGGAGATTTCGGAAACCTCTGACGGTGCAGCTGAGAAATCAAAGGACAAGGGTGTAGTGTCATAGAGCGCTACCAGGGGATGACTATCAGCTCCCTCCGCAATATAATGCGAAACAGTATCCAATTGCGCTCCAGCAGATTCCTCGGGGCTCAGTTCAGAAATAACAGATGCATTCCCGGAGGCCTTTCCGGAAGGCTTTGCTTCGAAGCGAGCCTCAACCTCATCGAGCAGCCGCGCCAGGAGTTTATATAACTCGTCAGTATAGTCAGGCGGCTGGTCACTCGCTTCCACGAACTCAGAGATCAATTGTCGTCCTTCATCCAGCCAAATCCCTCGCAGGATCCCAATGACCTCTTTGACGACTCCGTCCAGATGCGGCTTCGGCATGGTACCACGCGGTGCCCCAAACAGAATCTTCCAAATCCCGTACCACTGTGCTTCTGGCGAAAGGCCCTTCGCAAAGCGGGCCTGTAGGGATCTCTGCGAAGCTAATGAAACACTATCCCAGTTCGCCCCAGATCCTGGTGAGCAGTTCTGCTGCAGTATATGCTCCTCTTGCAGGTTCAAAGATAAAAATCCCTCAGAGCATCTCGGACAGGGGTACGGGGCCATATGTCTTCTCTTCAAATGCTGCTTTACGTCAGAGATGCGAACCATCTTGAGATTGATACATTCAAGATGACGTTCCGGATTATTTCTGAAATACGGGCAGGCGAATCTCTTGACGCTCTCGTTAGGGCTCTGATAACCATCTTCGTCAACGTCGTAAAGATCTTCGGCAAATCCACTCGCGCGCCTCTTTTTGTTGGGTGTTGTACTGCGGGCTGGAAAGAGCGGACCTTGCTTCTCTTCTTCCTTCGGTAGCTGATTGTTGGTAATATTTGGAGGGACTCGAAGAGCATTTAATATTGATCCAGCTCTTGATGCTGTATTTCGTGTAATCGGGATGGGAGTGTCTGGCCGCCGCGAGAGTTTACCTCGGTGGAGGACCATTCCATCTAAAGATGCAGCTTGTGATGAGTCGGCATTGTCTTTCAAAGTCCTTGTCAGGTATTCATCCAATAGGTCTCTGGTAGGTACTAAGAAAGACAGATTAGTTTTGTATCGATGATGGATCTAAAGGATTGTTTCACATGTATTTTGTGTATAAACATCGTTGTTTCCTGATCTCGGTGGCGCTGGTGAAATAGGTCTTCCATAAGTGCATTGCGAGGCGCGTTTCTGGTATTGTAAGCTTGATTTTGGACGTGTCGCGTAATTCTCGGGTGTTGTTTTCCCCCGTATGTACTCATGTATAGACGCTTCCTGCATCAAAGACATTGTCTAGAAATAGCATGAACTTGGTTGCTTGGAGAGGCATTAATTCGTCATCATTCAAGTTGCAGATTCAGAGTGGGATGCTGGAGCTTTAAAGCATGTGCTTCAAAGAGCCGGTGAAACATTTCAGCGTGAGGCGAAGCAACGACATCTGAGTGCTCCTTCTCCAGGAGGGACACTGGAACCAGATTGGCCGATTGGTACTTAATCGTGTGAGAGGCCATAGTATAAAATAGATGTCACTTTTCTCGATAGGTTTGGAGATCAATAATCTGGCCATCCGGGTCACATTGATTGGCTCATCTCGCCTTGCTTTCATTGGCACTGTCAACTGTGTGTGTGAGCATGGGGGGCATGTCACACAAATGTGGCCGATGTGCTGGCAGTCGGTGACAGAACTGCGGGCAGAAATACGCCAAATCAATTAAGCTGGAGCGATGGCTTTTCAAGGTTTGTACTTTTTACATGGGTTGAGGCGATCAAAGAGAGCGACCCCTCAGTAAGCACGAAGCCCTTCTTGGTCCATTGATCCCTCACCATGAAACTAAATCTCTGACACTCAAGGCGACCACCTAGACTAAAGGTGCGCGTTGGGTGGTGGGTTTGTTGGCACGTCCTTTGGCGGCTGGGGCTGCAGGCTGAGGTGGCCCAACAGCCTACCCTGGATATTCAAGCCCGGGTCCAGCAGCCAGTCTCGAATGCGGTCATTGTACTCTGTGACGGTACCTGATTGGTGCAATGGGCTGCAGGAACGGTTTTATTAGCATGCCGTAGCTATCCACGATCGACGATCGAAACAGACCTTTGGGGAGTTGTCTTTGGAGAGGTCATGGTAGCATCATGATTAACGTCACATAATGTCCAGCGAAAGCGGGAAATAGCATGAAATCATACAGCATATATAAACCTGAGGTTTTACGCAATTGTGTCGATTTTCTCACAGTTAATGGCTCAATACACAATCGTGTACATGACGTTTTAATAATTGGCCATATGCTGTAAAAATTGGCTCCTGGAAGACAGCTCAGCCGGAACAGCAAACGGCGACGTGAAGGTGCGTGCGCAACTGACATTGCAAGTTAGTTTCCCCAAATGAGATTTACAAAATGCATCGCAGCCTCGCTAAAGCAAACCCATCATATCCAAAGTTAGCATATCAGATTCGAGAGTACCTTTCTAGGACTACACAATTGTGGACGAGGCCTGACGGGGGGCCCTCGCTGGACTTGACGTGGCCCACACCCTCCCCTCGACGCTGCGTTGTCAACTGCAGGCGTTTAAAGTGGAGCTCATTGAAGAACAGCTGGCCCTGACAAAGCAAGACAGCGGCTAATTTCTGGACGCTCCAGTGCCAATCACTAACTAACGGCCTTAAATTCAATCCTATTATCTCCAACCAGAAGAACGTTTAATTGCCCGTTCGCATTTGTGTTGGAACATGCAGCTAGGTGCATTCAGAACCTAACTATTAGGAAGACGAGGAAATGCCTTGATACCTGACTCAATTAAATCTGTGCCCAAAGAACAAATGGCAATGTTTGTTAAAACATGGCCTCAAGGATAAGGTAGCCAGCCACTCTCCTCCTCGTCCGTCCTTGTATTAGTAGTTGTGGCTCCTGCACTTACGGATTGAGTGCACCAGGAGTTGACCTCACCTTTCACTCAATGGTCAAGCTTGACTTGGCCCTTATCACCCGTTTTTACATCATTGAATTATTGACACTCCATCCTCAAGTCCAGATGTACTACTCCAAAAATTGGCGCCAAGATGAACCCGGGGAACAATGAGCCCCGCCCCGTCGCCGGCGAATCATCTCTTCAAACCAGCCGCAGGGCTAACAAGCGTCGTCGCCACGATCAGAACGGTAGGGGAGATGAACGCGACGGTCAGAAATGGCCCCAAGGAAAGATGGAAATAAGGTCATTCGAATGCCCATTCTGCAAACTAGACCCTCACCGATATGCTGTGTGTAAGGGCTACCAGTTGTCCCGGTTATCCGATGTCATGCAACATATCAGCCGCCAACACCGGATACTCGAGGTCACACTAGGGTCTGATGAGGCAGTAAGAGAACAGGATATTGTTCTCTATTGTACAAGGTGTCGGTATCTTTTCCATGGTGTGGGTGCTTCGCATAAGCGCGATATCCACATGAATCAGGACATTGAATGTCAGCCTGCGAATATCGAACACACAGGCGTCATGCTGGACGGAGAATTGGAAGGGCTAAGAAGCAAACTTCGATCATATCCGCGACATGAGGAAACCTTTAGATGGAATATCATCTGGAAATGGTGCTTCCCTGGGAGGCCCTGCCCAGCGTCACCCTACGTCGAAATTAGTGCTCCACGTCTAGAGGTGGAGTCGATACTTCAAAACGGGCTTGCATCTATACCAGGCCTTGAGCAAGAACAAGTCCATTCGATGGCTAGAGGATTTGCAGATAGAATCTTCAACACTTTGCGGGAACCGGGAAATACAAAAGCACAGTCGGATAGTGTGCAGACAGCACCAGCATCAAACTACCATGCCCCAATCTGCTCGCCTTCGCATCCGACACTTACCTCACAGCCTTTGCAAATCCAAACGCAAGGTTACAACTCTCGCCTCCCCCACATTGGTATTTATGGAATGCCGACTGGAGGTCAGAGAGACAATTCCTTTGATTGGAATAATACGTTGACTAATTACAGTGCCCCAAGTCCAGTTCGTGGCTCTGGGGCACATACGAATTCTGTGAATAGCTTTGTCCACTCTGGATATTTCACTGGTCATGACTCTGGATATCCTCTAGGCTCTTATGTTGGATATCCTACTGATTCTTTTGAGTCGGCAAATCAAGACGACGAATACTTGAACACACGCGCGAACACTACCGGTCGCCGCGACTTGGAGTATTGACTATAGGTGGCCTATTACATTTTACTACCTGGGGAGGCTCTGAACTCTGAAAAGCCTAGATAGACTGAATTCATATTGGAGCCGCAAGGCTCAACTGCGATTGAAAAATATACTTTCTCTCTTATTTTCTCTTGGTATTTCTTTTATTTATTAATTATTATCAAAGGAGGAAACCATATATCGTTAAAGACGGAGCTATTTCTTGGGTATTAGGGCTAGTTTTTCATCTTTCCGTGTTTGCAAAGTTTAATCAACATGATTTCTTAGAAAGTTGTTCATAAATGTAATAAAAAGGTGTTTATTTTTCTGGCCCTATTCATCGAAGCCTGTTCAAATAGCCATCGATCGTGAGAACCTTGGATCTAGTAACCGTCGTCGAGAAAACACACCCCAGGAAGAACTCTAGCTTTTGTCTATGCCTCATGTCGATCAATCCTTTTTGAAGCCATCTACTCCCCCTAAATACACTCTCTATTCATACCCTGATATCTAACACATGCTCTTCATAGTCCTACTCTTGAATAACCATGTTCAAGAGATCTTGTAGCCCCAGTCCATAGAGTACACTATGAGGGTTAATCTCTTTAATGGAGCGTACAGTCTGATTCTCGAGAATCTCCGAGACAAGTTGCACACCGTATAAATCCCAAAAGTCTCTTACCATCGATGTCTTGAGCCCTTGGCCGTGATCCAGATATGGAGACCGGGGCCACTCCGTAGCTGGGAATATAATTGACCACATTCGATCCCAGCGCCTCTTTTCACTTAAGTACTGATCATTGGCTCTTATCATACAAGCCTTTTGGTCTTCATTGACTCCATCTGATGGGTCTGGGTAACGCCTTTTGCATCTACCGGTCAGAACGTGATCATCGCGATCAATCAGCGAGTTGAACTTTTGATAGCATCTTGAACAATACGGTGATCGGGAATGGTGTTTCATGACGTGCTCAACAACACCTTCGATTGACTTTAGGCCGACTGTGAGAAGGCATTGTTGGTGTTTTTCTGGTTCGTAGATGTAGAAGGGACAAGCAAAGTGAAAGAATGCCTTGGCGCGGGGTGCATACGAGACAAAAACAAACTCGTCATCGTCTTCCTGCTTCACTTGTCGGGTGCTTGAATAGCGGCGTGGCGTCCTGAATCGTTCCTGTGGCTGCGCCCTGTCTTCCAGTGGCGCGCTGTACTCTACGCCAGGTGCCCATCGCTTGAAAGAGTCCATCGAAAGCTGCAGTAGGTCCAGTTTCAGGTGATGGTATGCAAATGCAGAACGCCGGGATGGATACTGGTGGTAAAGATTGGCCTCAGTAGATGAGCCCTGCCATTCGTTTGTTCCAAGTGTGGCACACTCGCCGACCGCTTCACTATATCGATTGGCGACAGGGCTTTGGTAATCGCCCGCCCTGGAGCTTCTAGCGCCTCTGAAAGGCAGGGCGAGATTTGGGTGGTGAGATTGAGGCCTCTGATTCATGGAAGGCCTGTAATAAGATCGATCGTCGCACATAGTTTGTTTTGTTGGAATAAATCTTGATATAAATGTCGCAGTAGTCTCCGGACACTGACAAGGCATAAAAAGGCAAAACAATACCTTTTGCCACAAGATATATAAATTAAACTGCTTTTACAACGAATTTCCCTTCATTGTACCCGAGTGAAGCCCAAACAGCACAGCTGTGTATACCATCTCTCATTGGCCGCTTAGCTGAGCTTAGTGAAATCTCATTGGCCTGGCTAGGAGTGGCAGGCCTCAAAATTGGTGGTCCTATGACAAAATAGCTGCTGCATCAACAGGCCACGAAACTAGGACACGTAGAGATTTATTCCTTCATCATTACGCAAGGTGTTTTTGGAGATCTCAGTGGTTCGGCAACCGTTGAATTAACGATCTACTGTTGAAATGATTCTAAACCATCATCGATATATATTTTTCCTTTCTCCTGGATAAACTATCCGCTCTCTTTGATATAGGTACTGAGCAGTCGCTCGTCTCTCAGGCTGCTAAGCTGGCAAGTCTGTGTGCACATTGGAGCAGCGACTTATCTAGGTGTTTGGTTAGGCAAACAAAGTGGTACCCGACATGACGATATTGACATATGTCATCAGCACATTGCCATCGATGGTTTCTCCTTAGACATCAATCTTGGTGCCTTGCACTCGAAGATTAGGCTGATAATCCATGTTACGCCGCGGAAAGCTAATTACTGAAACCATAGCATTCCCGTATATGAACACGTCAGTGTCGCATGTAAGCTTCGGTCAACTCCTCTTGCTCGCCCAACATGCACTTTCCAGAAGCCCATTCTATCGGGAACAGACTCATCAATTCTTGGGCTGGGGCACTATGCATTCTAACTCTATCACTCTGCTAAGTCCCCTTATTTAGTTGCTTCCTTCTCCATCTCCCCCATCTTCTATACATCAGCGGTAATCCGGCCTTTACTGAGAACTACAACCTCATGAATGAGACTCACGACACTGCCTCCAAGAATCCTTTTCGCTCTGCCTTTTGTATTGGTCCTATTAGCTCACTTATGTATAAATGAATGCGCAGAGAGAGTCAGAATAATTGTCATCTTCTATCTATACATTAACTCTAGTTCTGACCGATGACGCGAAATATCGCCAATCGCGCGAGTAAATGTGTCTGGAATGTGATTCAGTTCCGAGGTCACTATCCAAAGACAGCGGGCTTTGTTGAATTACGGATGAATTCGATGGTTTGGCAGCCGTCGTCTACCTAACTAACCAAACATTGCCTGGCTATGAGCCGGCCAAAGCAGCGATTCTACTAATGTAATGTTGCGATATAATACGCAAGAGGATAGCGATGGATACGTTCGCAAATATGTCTCCCAACTGGCCCATAGCTGCCGGTCCGTGAAACTCAAACACACCAAGTGCTGCGTTATCCTCAAAGGTGTTACCTCCAGATGCATGTAAGGTAGCGATGGGCCAGCCCTGACCTGACACAGGTATCAGCTCCCAGCTTCCAAGGTCGCTCTCGGAAAAGGCTTCAACTATCTGTCTCAGTGTTGATGTTTGTTGTGTCTTCTTCTTTCTCCACTGCCATCTCTGAGAGGTACCATTGACATCAACATTAAATGGCCAGGTAGCGCCATCATTAAACATGCTCGTCTCCACAAAGTTGGCTTGAAAGCCATTGAAGCTGATGGTGCTCTTACTGCTGAAAGTATGCCGACTCTCTATGGTGCAGATAGGTAGATTCTCAGATGAATATGGACCGTCTTTGATCTTGAGTCTGCTGCTAGAGAACATCTTTGCAGAGTAGGCCACTGGGCCTTTGAGGTGAGGGCCAAGTTCGAGAAAGCTGGTGCCGCCGCTGGTCATGACATTCCAGATGTGGAACTTGGCAGAAAGTCTGGTGAAGCCGATGCGAGGGTAGTAACTTGGTGGTCCTCGTAGGCCAGAAGGTCCTGACGCAGGTGGATAGATGGGTTGCTGATGACCGGATGGAGGTGGATTAAGAGGTGTCTGATAGTAGGACGGATAAGTTGACGGTGACTGGTTCGTATTGGTACCGGGTGGAGGACCAGGTGGAGGATAGTAGTAGTTGGGATAGTTTGACATGTTGGTTGAAACTATTGGCACCGTAAATATATCTAAATCATTTAAGGGGAGACACAGGGAAAAATCCTCAAGTCTCAGTTCGGAGCAATATAATAACAAGTGCATTATTGACTCAGGGAGGATGTTGACCTAAATAGTTTTCTCAGTTTCTCTTGGCTTTCACCATTGATCGCGGGATGATCCTTCTTCAAGGTTTAAGTGGGGTTAACTCAAACTTGAAGCTTACCCTTTTAGGTGAAATCGTGCGCCGTAAGTCAGCCTGGGAAACCTCAAATCGGGCTGATGAATCATGGCTGATCGCCGCTTTATTAATCCATAGCAACTCTGACTACCATGCCAATCCGAGAAAACGACGTAAAGAAAAATGTATTTAGATCTATGGGTTTTATAGACCGTTACTGATATATGTTGAGGCACATCTTAAGTTCAGTAACTTCAATTGTAGCGGGAAATGAACCGAGAAAATGTTTCCCATGTGTTCACTTGTTATTGTAATAGGGAGTAAGCGTAACCGGGCTGGTCGGCGAGTATAATAACGGTTAAGTCTATTGTGGAAAACAAAAATCGGGAATCGTTCCATTTCTGGAAGTTATAGCATCCTCCCAGAATATCTCAGCTTCTTTGTCCAATTCACGGAATCTCTTGATGGGCTTTCCGACTCCTCCTACTTGATAGCACAAAACCGATACCCACAAGACTCAAGTTTCAAGGCTTGTACTGGTATTATGTCCAAGAAGCTAAGGGTTCGACCCCTTTGGAAGCCAAGAGGAATCAGTGACACAAACTTGAGCTGTGTTCATGGCGGGCCCATTCTTATTGTTTGACCCGTCATTAAGGGCTGCGGTCACTGCAGCCTCCACGGCAGCTTTGGCGTAGGCTGGAGTCTTATCAGCCGGCGTCTGAACCTTGACGGTCTGAAGTGTGCCAGTGACGTTGGAAACGGCGAGATTGAGGACAGAGTTCTGCTTGGTGAAGATTTCCGTGAACCTTTTCTGCACATCCGGTGATGCAGCGATGGGAGCACTGGCCCAGGTGATGTTCATTGTCACCACCCATGAGTCTTGGTCACTCAGCGGATTATTGACTGTCAGATGGTCTTTGACTGTAGCCATGGTTGCCGTGTCTGCATTTGTGGTGTACCTGATGTGTATAGCACTATGCAGCGAGAACTCCTCTCCGGCTTTACCCATTGGGATCGGGTAGTATACATGACAGGCATGAATGAAACCACTTTGAGTCGGAACTTCTGCCATAATTCTCACAATAGGGTTGTCACTGCGGGCGACAGCTGCGAGACTCTGAGGTCCACTGTTTGCAAACAATATCTGGCCGATTTCGTGGACTGTATCATGAACATCACCAGAGCTATCCGTCCAGGAGACTGGGATATTCATAGTTCCCATAAAAGCCGAAAGATCTTGATACATCGATATGGAAGGGCTCCCGTCGAATGATAGGCCATTGGGATCTGTCCACAAGCCAACAAGGCCGTCCTCAGTGATGGTGGTCTTGCTACCCATTTCTAGATCGGCCTGGACTCCCTCTTTTGCGGTGGCAGCTAGCTGATGACTGACGTAGGCAAACATCTGAGGATACTTGGCCAACTGTTGTGAGCCCGTCTCATTGGCTAGGCTTTCGGGAGCAGCAGCTGCTGCAAAGCCAGGGCTGCTATTATCCATGAGGAGGAGGTGACTTGCTGCATCGCCAACAGCCTTGACAACGGGAGCAATATTGGCTGAGTGGTCAAGGGCCCATTGACCTGCCGACTTGACACCGTCCCAGAGGTTTCCAAAGAGACCCATGATGATAAAGTGAAGTATAAGGGTGTAAGAATAGGATAAATGGGTTTGTATAATACATCTGTATGAAGAAACAAGAAGCAGTTGATGGTGAGTAGTGGCAGGGGATTGGGATGGCTTTATAACTCTTGGATCCTCTCCAACATGTGTGTGCACGGGCAGGCTTACTTTACAGCATCTGCTTTCTTCTTGCTCATCTCTCAGTCCTACAAAACAAGATGGAAAGATCCCCTCGAAATTCTGTGCGGACACTACTATCTATATAAACAGCATGTTTCATCCACTTCTTCCGGACAGACCGCTCCGTGCCGATTAAAGTGGCGGCAGGGATATCTTGACCGTTGAGTGTTGACTTACAATACTGATTAACTAGAATTCGCGACTGGTTACTTGACGCTCGCAACTCGGTGTGCGCGTGGCTTGGTGGTGGGGAGCTGAAAGCAGCCACCCCGCTTTGAAACCACTAACTGTCTTGGTCTTAGCATCGCATATCTCCCCCATGATGGTTCCTCTTTCAATCCCCATCGGCGCTGCTTAGTGGCAGAACATACGATTGTAGACAAGGGCTAACACTAGACGCTTTGACCTTGGCTGCACGAGGTGAATAGACAATTGCGCTATTGAAGAGTCGATACGGCTGCAGCCGTTCAGCTCAATATTCTTAGAAACTATCTCTAAAATAAGCAAAGAGAACCCCTGTAGTCATGTTGTGGCTGAATACTGTGCCATTCCTCGCTCATCCGTTCCGCCGAGCAGCCCGGTGGCGGAACCAATTATCCATACCATATCAACAAAACAAGGAGCTTAGGCCTTGATATCTATACTTCACAAATACCTATGTATAGAATAAAACTTACAGTTGCAATACGAAGATTAAGTGCCACCCAATATGACAAATCTTCAACAATGCATTCTCTTATACTAGGCATCATTTGTCCCATCCCGCCTGAAGCTATTCCAAGTATAGCACAAGGTCTTGTTCAGAATCAAAATGAGAAACTGGCTCGGAAAATAGACCTACCCTAAGTCATTTTCAAAACATGATCTGAGAAACTACCAGGCGGGCCGGGCCACCCCGCCCTTATGCACAACAAGCTGTAGCCAAGACACGGCTCGCAATCCCACCATTCAGCAACTAACAACCAGCGCCTGAAAACAGGATAATTCGTCTATCCTTTTAGAGGGACCAATCGAAAGTGTTTGATTGACCTTCCGATGTCTTATCTTGGAATTGTTGACCAAGTTCAAACGAACTAGCATCGTGCTAACAACTGCGACATTGTTTTACTTTTCTAGTGCATGTTACTGGTGGCGATCGTTGTATTGGAACTTGTAAAGAGTTCAAAAGCTCATATTACCCTGAACTAAATCAAAAATTACCTGAAAATCCAACTGTGCAACGCGGGCCTCGGCATTTCCGGCAAAGCTTACAAAACCTCAACTGCTGTATTACACTGCAGTTGCGACTTACTCAAGCAGCCAAAGTGCGGCTGAAAAAATGGGTGTGCTCTCGAGAGGGGAACCCTGCCTTTGAGGCCATGTGAGGAACAATCAATCGCATACAGGCTACCCCAGAGCCCTGTATCAGACTGACATGAAGTATAACAATCTCATGCACTGGGAATACTCATCGCTGCTAGCACAGCTACTAACTAGGCTCGGGCTTCAGCGGCGCCACGTAGAAGGATCTACACTTTGGCGGAACTATTTTACTTGTTCTTGGCTTGCTATTTTGTGGCCATGTCGTTGAAAACAGCACTCAGGAGGAGCAGTACAAAGCTAATTCTAAGTTCCGGATGGGCATCTACTGGCTGCAGCAAAACCAAAAAGTGGCCGATCAAGTCTTCAAGCCATATGCGACTTTCTCACACATACCTCATTCTGTCATTACAATTTCCCGTCGCAACAGCGCCCTGTCAACTTCGCCATCGACCAATTTTCTTGAAACAAGGACTGTTTCTGGAGCAATCATCAGTATTGTCGGGTTTATTCTTCAATTCATTGGTCTTAGGGCCATGAACTCGGCAGCGACTCTGGCGCAGTTGGGAGCAGTTTTGATCATGACGATGTGCCGTGCATTAGTTCGTCCCGGATTTCCCAGATACTTCATCAAGGCCAAGCTTCTAGAAGGCTATGAGATTGACTGGCTTGCGTGGAAATTGGTAGTTTCACATCCCAATAAAAGATTTCCGAGCGACTCCAAAAACAACGTTGACGGTCCGGAGGAACACGCAAGCCTGGGCTCATGGGCCATTGGTGTTGGTGGAGAGCAGAAATATCCCCCTTTTGGACCCCCCGATACACAGCTAGAATCTGAAGCGCAGAGACTCTTGACTACAAGTCGGGGGCTTTACAAGCTTGCTGGATTTCACCGCTCGACTACTCCCATAGCCATCAACCTTGCATTAGCAATCGAAGCGACCTTGAACGCCTTGTTTCCACCAGCAGAAAACGAACGCACAACATATAGGTGGTACGTCAATGTTGACTTTAAAGTGGCCACGACTCAAGAGGAAACTGAGCAAAATACGGAGAAAGTTTGGTTTGACTTGGTTAACGATGGCTCGTCCTGGAGGGCGCCAGCAGACTGCCTTAATGCCGCATTATCACTTTGGACTTACACAGCTCAACAAAGAAAGGGAAATTCTGCTCAGTTTGAAGCTCAAGAATGTACCCCATTGGGGAAATATCATGACGATAGCTGGCTCCGAAGCAGACTCCCACCCAGTGGCTTGCGACTACTTGGCCCAACCAATGATAGGCTTTTCCAAGATCTCAAATGGTGGGCACCTGAGAGCTTGGTATTCGAAGTCCAACAGAACGTGGGAAACACCGCAGACCCAGGAACAAAGCAAGAAACACCGAAGGAAGCAAATTTGAAAGAAGGAAGCGATGCTAGCGTTAGGTTCAAGGAAATCGAGAAGGCCAGAGTTGTTGGCCAGGGCGAATATATGAACAAGAGTGATCTGAACAGCAGCATATGGAAGATTTCGACGATTGACAGGGAGGTTCACGTGGACGAACTTACTCCTGCTAGTCGCTCTAACGCCAGGAAACATTTGGCAGCGAAGGGAAAACATCCATCTACTCTTGCAATAGAGACAAGCGACCCCATGGAAGTCCTCTACGTCAAAGACTTACTATTCTGTTTCTTTTATTCTGCGGCAAAGACTCTCCGGAACCCTATTTCAGGCATTACCAGGTTACGGCCATCGGACACCAAAGTCAATTCAGCAGCAGAACGATCCTTTTCGAATGATAGCCTGACTAAACTTGTACAAACCTACACTGCATTGGGTTTCGGCCACGAGAATGAGGTGTTACCGAGCATCGTAACACCTCTGAGCATGGCTGAGATGTTACCTTTCCCCAAGGTTATGTTTGACTTAGTGTCTTCGGAAGCTGTTAAACCAAAAGATCGATATTCAGGAGATCATCAAGTCAAAGCTCTCCACGCACTAGTTCGACAAGCATCCAGCCACGCGTATGATTCTACAGGTATCTGGGAGTCATGTCTAGCCTTTGTAGCGGAAGCCGCTCATATCTTTGAGACGGACTTTAAATCCGGCAGGTGGTGGAGTTCTTATGACACTCCTGAAGAGCCCGACCTATTCCGTCGTCTTTTGTCATTCGTGCCCAGTGATTTGCTGGATACTAGGTTACTGGCCCATCTACGAACTATGTACCTGAAACAAGGGCGACAAGAGATGGCTGTGGTGTCTCACGGCATGACATTTGATCATCCTCCATATGACTTATGGCTACGAGCCACAGCGCTCCACGAACTTGCGATCAGGGACCCAAAAAATGACCCAGGCAGTTCTGCTGAATGTCACTTCGAGCTTATCAATGAACAAGACGCTTCTAACTGGACCCCTCTACACTGTGCTGCAGCCTCAGGCAATTTGTGGTTCGTGGAGCTGCTGCGCGATAGTGGCGCCAGCGTTGATCCGGAACTCAAAGACTACCGAGGCTACACAGCACTCCACTGTGCATTCGAACAAGGAAATCTTGAAATTATCCAATTTCTCATTGATTTTGGCTTCGGAATCGACGTCCAAGGATTTGATGGCGCGACACCGATACATTTGGCCGCCAAGAGGGGAAACACTCAAGCATTGAATTGTGTTTTTGACGATGATTGGAAGCATCGTAAATATGACTCCGCGAGGCAACAGATGAAATCGGCAAAGAGACTTGAAGACGCAAATGGCCGCGTACCATTGCACTGGGCTGCGATGGCTGGTGAGGCAGAATCCCTGGCTAAGTCTGGAGAGGATATAAACGCGACAGACTATAGGGGTCGTACTCCGCTTCATCTAGCTACCATGTTTCATCAACCTGAAGCTATTCGCAGCTTATGCGACCTTTCAGCGGACACTAACAAAATCGATCATGCCTTTGAGACGGCTCTCTCCATCGCATGCGCTGAGAACCAATTAGAAGCAGTCAAGATACTTCTTGGAGCAGGAGCAAACCCAGAGGTTCCAACGTGGGTTGGCCATCGTTCTTTACACATGGCAGCTGTCTCCGGCCGTACAAGCATCATGAGAGAACTTCTAGACGCAAATGCGGATGTATCTGCTGAAAGTAATAGTGGCGCAACTCCATTGCATGAAGCTGCTCAAGGTCTACATCCAGAGGCTACGAAATTGATACTGGAGCTGAAGGCAAACCCGGATGCGAAAACTAAAAAAGGGGAAACTCCAATCATATACATGCTTCGCCGGACTACTCAATATGATGAAGCTGAAGTGCTAGAGACTCTAAGGTGTTTAGTGGATGCTGGCGCGAATCCTTCTCTTGAGGATAAGAATGGGATAAAGCCGATTAGTATAGCTAAGGAGAAAGGGTTTTCTAGAGTGGTAGAGTATCTCAGGGACTATAAGAAAGAATAATTAAAGTATATATTTATATTTTAAAAATAATATTAAATTTATATTTATAGTTATTTATATTTATATTTAGTAACTAATACTGTATTTAAATTACTTAAATATAATTAGGTCTTTAATTGGTACTGTGTCTAATATTACTATTTTGCTAAAGGCTATAGGCCCAGGTTTCTATTAGCTTACGCGGTGATTAAAGGTGAAGGCGGGATGTATGAGCCGTAAATCGAGGCCAACGGGGAGGTAAGTGGGAGCACACATCAAGCTTCCGAGCTAAAAGAAGGACCGAGTGCCCAACGGTTTCTTGTATATTAGCCGTGATCCTTTGCATCTCCCACGTCCAAGCGCACCAATATTCAAGTTCTGGTAATTTCCATAAGCTTTGTAACCCTGACAGACGTAACCAACAGACTCAACACCTGCTGATCCTGACCTCACACTTCAATGTATTATGCTTTTATTAAAGGTTTTGCTATTAGCCTATTTATAGTGTTACATCGATCCGTATTCTGCCTGAAACTGCACATGTACTCCCCGCATGCCCGCGGCTCCCCGCACTCAGTGATAATATCCGTTAGCTTCAACTGCGGTTAGACAATTGCCGATCGTTCCATATGCCGCTGTGAGAACACTGCGTCATTGAGTTTTCATTTGCTCGGCTATGGTGAGCCGCAAACGAGCATATGCACGACTCCGCAGTAACCGGCTAACACAAAGGTTATGAAGTAATGAAGCGAGAAGTATAAAAGCAGTCGGCAAGGACTGTGTTTTCGGGCAAGATAAGGTTGATTGTGTAGCTGAGTAACACCATGTTGCTCAATCTTCAGGCCGCTGCTGGCGCTTTGTCGCTTTCTCTACTAAATGGATTGGCTGAAGCTGCTACTCCTTACACATTGCCCGACTGTAACAAAGGACCTCTGAGCAAGAATGGGATTTGCGACATATCGCTATCTCCGGCTAAAAGAGCTGCTGCTTTGGTCGCTGCGCTGACGCCTGGAGAGAAAGTGGGCAATCTGGTCAGGTAAGGCACACACCCTGAATCACCGTTTGGAGGCTGGAACTGACCTCGAACAGTAATGCAACTGGTGCACCAAGAATTGGACTTCCAAGGTACAACTGGTGGAACGAAGCCCTACATGGCCTCGCTGGATCTCCAGGTGGTCGCTTTGCCGACACCCCTCCCTACAACGCTGCCACGTCGTTCCCCATGCCCCTTCTGCTGGCTGCTGCTTTTGACGATGATCTAATTCATGATATCGGCAATGTCGTCGGCACCGAGGCCCGCGCCTTCACCAACGGCGGCTGGCGCGGAGTTGACTTCTGGACCCCCAATGTCAATCCCTTCAAGGATCCTCGATGGGGTCGTGGCTCCGAAACTCCCGGTGAAGATGCTCTTCATGTCAGCCGCTATGCTCGAAACATCGTCAGAGGCCTTGAGGGTGATAAGGAGCAGCGACGTATTGTTGCTACCTGCAAGCACTATGCTGGAAACGACTTTGAGGACTGGGGAGGTTTCACGCGTCACGACTTCGATGCCAAAATTACCCCTCAAGACTTGGCTGAGTACTACGTCAGACCGTTCCAGGAGTGTACTCGTGATGCAAAGGTTGGCTCCATCATGTGCGCTTACAATGCCGTCAATGGCATCCCCTCGTGCGCAAACTCTTATCTGCAGGAGACTATCCTCAGAGGGCACTGGAACTGGACGCGCGATAACAACTGGATCACCAGTGACTGTGGAGCTATGCAGGATATCTGGCAGAACCACAAGTATGTCAAGACCAACGCCGAAGGCGCCCAGGTGGCGTTTGAGAACGGAATGGATTCTAGCTGTGAGTATACTACTACCAGCGACGTCTCCGATTCCTACAAGCAAGGCCTCTTGACTGAGAAGCTCATGGATCGTTCATTGAAACGTCTCTTCGAAGGTCTTGTTCATACTGGTTTCTTTGACGGTGCCAAAGCGCAATGGAACTCGCTCACCTTTGCGGATGTCAACACCAAGGAGGCACAGGACCTTGCACTCAGGTCTGCTGTCGAGGGTGCAGTTCTTCTTAAGAACGATGATACTTTGCCTCTGAAGCTCAAGAAGAAGGATAGCGTCGCGATGATCGGATTCTGGGCCAACGATACATCCAAGCTTCAGGGTGGTTACAGTGGACGTGCTCCTTTCCTTCACAGCCCGCTTTACGCAGCTGAGAAGCTTGGTCTTGACACTAACGTGGCTTGGGGCCCGACACTTCAGAACAGTTCGTCCCACGATAACTGGACCGCCAATGCTGTTGCTGTTGCCAAGAAGTCTGATTACATCCTGTACTTCGGTGGTCTTGATTCCTCAGCTGCTGGCGAGGACAGAGACCGGGAGGACCTTGACTGGCCTGAGAGCCAGCTGACTCTTCTCCAGAAGCTCTCTAGTCTCGGCAAGCCACTGGTTGTTGTCCAGCTTGGTGATCAAGTCGATGATACTGCTCTTTTGAAGAACAAGAAGATCAACAGTATTCTTTGGGTCAACTACCCTGGTCAGGATGGCGGTACTGCAGTGATGGACTTGCTTACTGGACGTAATGGTCCTGCTGGTAGACTACCCGTCACGCAATATCCCAGTAAATACACTGAGCAGATTGGTATGACCGACATGGACCTGAGACCTACCAAGTCGCTTCCTGGAAGGACCTACCGCTGGTATTCGACTCCAGTTCTACCCTACGGCTTTGGACTTCACTACACTACCTTCAAAGCCAAGTTCAATTCCAACAAGTTGACCTTCAATATCCAGAAGCTTCTCAAGGGCTGCAGTGCTCAGTACTCTGATACATGCGCTCTTCCCCCCATTCAAGTCAGCGTCAAGAACACTGGTCGTACTACCTCTGACTTTGTCTCTCTCGTCTTTATCAAGAGTGAAGTTGGACCCAAGCCATATCCTCTCAAGACTGTTGCAGCTTATGGTCGCTTACATGATGTCGCGCCTTCTTCGACGAAGGATATCTCACTTGAGTGGACGATGGATAACATTGCGCGAAGGGGAGAGAATGGTGACTTGGTTGTTTACCCTGGGACTTATACTCTACTGTTGGATGAGCCTACGCAAGCTAAGGTCCAGGTTACGTTGACTGGAAAGCAGGTTACTTTGGATAAGTGGCCTCAAGACCCCAAGTCAGTCTGATTCACCTAGGGGATCGATTTGACAGAGTTATGTGGTCTTATAAATATTCTATCTATAGTTTGAATCCGATGCTCGGTCTTTCATGTCCACAGTAACAGGTTTCGCTCCTTGTCCACTGCATTAATAAATGTGTACTATGAAATGTTTGTCAGTGGAATTGCACATAAGCTGAAGCTGGGTTGATTTAGACGCACCTCCATGAATCTAGGCATTCCATACACCCTGTCGCCGATCCAATTGTCCTCATTGCTTACAGGTCTCAAGCCCATCTCCTCTAGCGAATACCACCACTCCAACCATGATCGAAGGTCATTTGGAACCGTCACGCCTTCTGGTGGTTGCTTAAGATGCATCTCGACCAGCAACTGACCAAAAGGCAACGTCGCGTTGCGGTTCTGCCTCTGCTCTTTAACCGACTCAATCAACGAGGTGAGAACGTCGAACTCTGCGCCTTCGATGTCCATCTTGATGAGATCAACATAAGAATGCCCATTCGCCTTCATAAGATCCTGTATCGAAAACACGGGCGGTCTAGCCTTGCTATCTGATACCATTCCAATCATCGCCCTCTGGAATTTGGCTCGCGACCATATCCACTCAGGAACTTGCTGCGCCCACTTATCAACAGTGCCATCGTATCCCCATATCCGAGCATTCGTACGCTGGAGCAGCTCTGCCTCGAAAGAAGAGTCGACACTCACACCAAATGAGTAGACGATGAATTCCCTTGCTTTATTTGAGTCTGAGGATGGGCCAGGACATTCCTTCTCGTAGCGTGACATGCCGCAGATTATCTTGCCGCCATCGCTGATTGACCCGACGCGTTCAAGATCGTGAGGACAGAAGAAGCTTGGACGGGCAAAGTCCCAGACGTTGAAGGGGTTCATGTATCCATCGGGAAATTTTTTATCGTAGCCGACCACTTCCACCATTTCTTCGCGAGCCTTGATAGAGCGTTTCCATAGTTTTTCGGCATGAGTGAGTCTTGAGTTTAGATGGGGATCATTACTAAAAACATCTGCATGATTCTGTAATGATGGTGATCTTGAGAAGTGAGGGGATGTCCTTGTGAACAGTACAGTGAAGAGGAGTATTGTCGCGAAGAGGAAGCTAATTGTGACCAGTCTTTGAGACATGGCCATCATGAAATGGGCCTAAGAGCTAATTAGATTTTCAGGATGAATTTTGAAATTGATATAGGGTAGCGCGAAGTATAAAGAACAGGGACTCGCATCAAAATACTCAACTCAACTGATATTGACCATGAGATCACTCATAATGAATTGAGGTAATTATCCCCTTTTCACTGTTTGTTTTGAGTTTCACCTGAAGTGGCTGGCACGGAATGTCCACAGAGCAGACGCGGACTCAAGATAAATAGGGCTAGTCCTACACGTAAAGCTCGGATCAACTTGCCGAGACGGGATAAACGGCACCGTGGATCACTCCAATAGCACGGAGTAAGTAAACTGTCTTCGCTCACTGAACCAATTTACCTGGCAGCATCACCAGCTCGACATGCTGTCTTGCTAGTTATAGTCCAGTAGAGGCCTATTCATACCTTAGTACTGATTAGTTGTCCTCTTCTCTTTTTTCCCACTCAGGATACGGAGTAGAATTCCTACGTCAGCAATAAGATAGCGTCAATCCTTCTGACCCACAGTCTAAACCTCTTCTGCCGGATTCCCGGGAGCCACTTCGGTGTTTTACGATAGAGACCAATAAGGGCTCGGCTTCGATACCAGGGGCACGGCGCGAAACGTCAACGCCTCAGCACGGCCCCCGTCTCGTATCTCCACGATACCATCGTCCATTTTTCGTAGCATTTTCCTCCAAGCCTTTCCCAGAACATACGACTTTTTTGGTGTTAAGGTCCTTGTTTCATAATACATCCCGAGATGTCAGCCAAACATGGATCACTACACCATCACGCTCATCATTGTTATAATACCGCTCATTTTTGCTTCTTTTTGGCATCACAGACATGTGACATTGAAGGTGGTACGAGCTTCTGCGGCCGAGTCTAGTCGTCTTGATATGATCGACGATGAGATACATGATATTGATCATGAGTCCACTGGTGAAAGATATTATAAGTTTCGCAGCAAGTTTCTGTCGGTTTACGGTCTGGCGATGGCTGCAGAATGGCTTCAGGTGCGTTTTAAATGACAATAAAAACACAAAATAGAGTTATATCTAACTTGCAATGGTCGAGTGTAGGCATCTTATCTATACAGCTGTCTGAAGAACACCCATAAACTATTAGAGCCCGCCATCGCAACTCTCTTTGCCACCGGCTTTATCTCTGCTGGAATCAGCGCTCTATTCGTAGAGTCGCTGTCAAATAAGCATGGCAAAAAGTTCATGTGCCAATGCTACTGTGTGCTTTACTCGTTTTCCTGCCTTACTCTGCTCGCAGGTAACATAGTCTTACTATTTATGGGCAGAGTCATAGCCGGACTTTGCACAACCTTGCTTTACTCAGTGTTTGAGAGTTGGATGACGGCTGAGTATAAGCGACAAGGATTTGGGGACCGTGGGACTGCTTTGAGCACGATATATAGCATGATGGCTATGACGAGTGGCCTTATTGCTGTTGGAAGTGGCATTGGTGCTCAAGCGGCTGTGAATGCCTTGAGTTCACATACCGCCCCTTTCTTGCTCAGTATCGTCTGTCTTGGCCTGGCCCTGGTGGTCATAACTCGATCTTGGGTAGAGTCTGCCTTATGTCCATTTCATATCAATTGCTAACGGTATTCCAGGCCGAGAATCTTGAAATATATAGCAGGTCCCCAATTGCCGAAACCTCCTGGAAATCCAGCGCCATCTCTCTTCTGAGTATGCAGCTAAACCCACCACCATTGACTGCAGCTGACAACATAGTAGATGACCCGAATATGGTTATCGTGGCACTAACCATGTCCTTCTTCGAGGGCTCCGTCTACGTTGTGCTTTACTCCTGGCCCCAGTCAATCATGTCAGCACGGGCTCATGAGAGGATCTGGGCAAATCCTCCTTTCGGCACCATATTTTCGAGTCTCATGGGCGCAATGTCACTGGGCTCTTTCATATTTCTTCATACCTCGCGCGAGGCAAACTCGATACAGCTGTCATCCCGCACAGTTCAGCTTGCGTCATCTATGTCGGCCTCGGCCCTTTTGCTGACGGTTATACTCCAAGATGAGTCGAGTCGTTTCTGGGCATTGTGCCTGTTTGAGATATGTGTCGGACTGTACTATCCAAGCATGGCCTACTTAAAGGGCCGGATGTTTCAGGAGGAGCGAACAGGCCGATTACACGGATTGTTGAGGGTTCCCCTCAGTATCTTTACCGTGCTATGTCTGAGTACGGTTAGTGAAGGTATGTTGAATCTCCCATCCCGAGATTGGACGTGCAGGCATAGTTGCTCACCCTGATCCCAGGCGACGAAAGCCGTGAGAACAGACTTATAGTGTGCAGTAGCCTTCTCTTGCTCGGCGTCTTGTTAATGTCTCGATATGCTCCTAAGCAAAGCAGGTCTTATTAAATAGACAGCTATTATGTATAGAACCTTGAGCAAGAGTAATCCAATGAATATTAATCTGAAACATTCAAGTCTATAAGTATCTATCTAGACCTCCTCAACGGTCATGCTTTTATGTTCACCCTGCATTATAGCCGATACCAACCCAGTGATCTCGGAAGCAAACTGCTCAGCCAAGCCATGGTCAAACACCTTCTCATCATACATAACCTTCAATATCGATGTATCACCAAAAGACTTCGACACCTCCACTACCAGCGCATATGGCTGATACATCCGCACCTTTGACTTGGCCATGACGAGCCAGCGGTTGCGTGTTGTTACATCATCCAAGGGAACAGGATCGAATGGCTGCGACAGAAACAAAACCTTGTTCCCGTGAGTCGCGCGAACAACATTCAGCGTCTGGTAGATATCGTCAAGTCCAACTAAGCCATTCTCCGTGACAGCCCAAAAGTCCTCTTGTAGTCTCATGAGAAGATCTGAGATCCTCTCAGTGGAGTTGGTAGCTGTCCAGATTGGCAAAAAGTTGGCTAGTGTTCCGTTGATGGACTGAGGATCAGGAAGTGCCACGTTTCGTCCACTGAGGAGATAATCGTAGCGAACATGATCACTCTTGGTCACCTTAGCCAACCAAAGTGTGAAGGCAGCCTGGAAGATGATACTAGGAGTGACGCCATAGTTCCTTGCCACTTGATCGATGCCGCGTGTATCCATTTTCATCTTGAAACTGGCGGTGACGCGGGGTTCACTAACACCACCGAGATCTCGCCCCTTGAGAACCTGAGATGATTGCCCAGCATGGCTGAATTTGTTCTTCCAGTACTCAAGCGCCTGGGACTTGTCTTGCTCAAAGACATGTTGAGCAAAGTCACGGAACTCGACACGAGGAGGCAAAGGCTTGTCTTGTAGAATGTTCTCGAAATGCTGATCAAAGACACGTAGAAGAGTTCCGTCGTATACGGCATGGTCCATCTTAATGACCAAGTCCCAAGATGCGTCTCCATGGGTGATGATGGCGTACTTGATAAAGGGGCGGCCGACCTCGAAACGTGTTCGCCAGAAGTCTTCGAGAAAGTGAGAGACTTCTTCATCCGACTCACGGGCGACAGTTGTGATGTCGAGCTGCGCATCGCGGAGGACAACTCCTACCCAGTTCCCGGGAGAAGCCTCTAGCCAAGTCGTGCGTAAGATGTCGTTGGCTTCGGTGAGTTTCGTGGTGGCTTTGATCCAGGCATCAGGCTCGATGACACCAGTCATGCGTCGCACAGTCTGAAGAACCCACATCTGAGAGTCGCGAGCGCCTTGCTTCAAGAACTCTGCTTGGCCGGGTGGACAAGGGTATGCTGTTGAGTTGAAGGTCAGCATTCTGTGTTCTATGCGTTAACTCATTGGAGAGGGCAACTTACCATACTCAACGTGATCATGCCATGTCAGCCCAGTGCTTTCAATGGCCTTCTTGACACTCCCGGGAACATTAAAGACCATCTTCTTGCCCAGTGCCTCAGGTTCCAGCTTCCGCATGGTAGCGGCCATGTCTTTGAGCTTTGGAGATTGGAGAATATCGAGTACTGTGAAATGATAGCCCAGCTTGCGAAGATGGCCAGTGAGACTAATTGCCGAGATCGAATCACCTCCCAAGGCCAAGAAGTTTGCCTCACGTCCGATCTGATCAGTTGGTAGGCCAAAGATATCCGCCCAGACCGACTCCAAAGCAGCCTCAGAGGCAGTCTCTACAGGCACGGTTGCGTGGCCCTGGCTGGGAGACTCAAGCACGCATTGCGCTAAGAAGTCTCGATCGAGGTCTTCCAGCATCTTCTTCAATGCTTTTCTATCAACCTTTCGTGAAGGCAACTTCGGGAAATCGGCCATGGGAATGACAAACTTGGGGATCATGTAAGTCGCCAACGATCCCAGCTTCTCGTGTAGACTCGCAAATTTATCTCGCATGGTGGAAGGTTCGAGAATAGCAGTGCCGTCCATTCCAGTAGCCTCATTGAAGGTACAGAATGCGAACAGGTGGACCTTATCATGAACCTTGGCAGCCACAGCAATCGCATCCTTGACAAGGCCCGAGTTCCGAATGGCGTTCTCAACTTCTCCAAGCTCAATGCGATGGCCGTGAATCTTGACCTGGTTATCTTTGCGGCCAAGACACTCAATCTCGCCATCAGGGAGCCATCGCGCCAAGTCACCGGTTCTATAGATACGAACCCCAAGTTGAGCGCTATCAACATATGCCGCGGTCGTCAAGTCGGATCGATTGATGTAACCGTCTGTTACCTGAGGGCCAGCTATGCACAGTTCTCCAATGGCACCATAAGGCTGCAGTGTCTCTCCATTCGGATCGAGGATAAAGGCCATGACGGTATCAAACGGAGCACCAATATTACCCACGACAGGGTTGTCTGAGAACGACTCAATTTGCTTGGTGGTAACCACCATGGATGTTTCGGTTGGTCCGTAGACGTTCAAGATCTTACAGTGAGGGGCCCAATTCTTGACGACGTCGGAGGTTAGCGGCTCACCTCCAACAATGAGTGTCTCGAATCGCGGGACATCAGCTGGGTTGAGCAATTTGGCAACCGTTGGTGTGATGATAGCCTGGCGAACATCCATTCGGTTGATGCAGCCTGCAATATCAGAAAGCAGGACGTCTGTCGGGGCCATGCATAGTGTGCCGCCACTACTAAGTGTGTTGAAGAAATCTTGGACTGATGCGTCGAATACGTAGTTGGCGAACTGCAGAGTTCTCCATACGCCTTGGTTGCGGCCTTCGACTTGTATCATGCTCGAGACGGCAGCGGCAGCGGTTCTATGCGGAACTTTCACACCCTTGGGGAGTCCTGTGCTGCCGGAAGTGTAAATGAGATATGCGAGGTTGTCTGGAGTATGATTGACAACGGGACAGGAGTCTGCATCCTCACCACGCGAGTTTGTCGAGCTCAAATTCTGGTAGCCCTTCATCACCAGCGTCTCAACACCAAACGACTTCTTCACATAGTCGCCAAACTCCACGTACGCAGGATGAACAACAATGAGTTTTGCAGACGTGTCAGACACAATGTAGGAGTTTCTGTCCTTGGGATTGTCAGGACTCAAAGGGACATACGCTGCTCCGGCAATCATTGTACCAAGAATGACGACCATCATGTCAACTGACTTATCAAGCATGATGGGCACAAGGTCACCCATCTGTACGCCAGCGTCGATAAGGGTGTGAGCAAAGCGATTGGCGAGTTTGTCGAGAACTCCGTAAGAGATGGTGACCTCGTTGTTAAAGTCAATCGCGATAGCATCTGGAGTTTCTTGCGCAATTCTCTTAAATGCACTGTGAAGAAACTCGGGCTCTGGAACGCGAAGTGTCTTCCGATGAGAAAGTTGGTTGAAGATGAAGTCATGTTCAGCAGCACCCATAATGTTCGTAGACGAAAGGATAGAATCAGGCTTCTCGCAGAAAAGATGAAGCACCTTAACCAAGGAGTCCTTGATGAATCCCAAGCGTCGAGGATCTACTTTACTTGAAAGCCGAAGAATGGTAGAGTCACTCTCTCCTTGTGGCTCTTGGACTTCCAGAACAGTCATACCGTGTCCAGACTCCCATTGAGGCCGAGAGCCACGCATCTTGAATACTTCGTGGGACTTTCTCGGCCTCTCCGTCTTGTTGGCATCGATCAGAATGTTTACAAGAGTGTCGATAACTTGTGCACCAATATTGCCCGCTTTGAGCGCTGCAGCGATACCGACTTGAGAATGCTTGAGTAGCTGAGAAAACGAAGCGATTGTCTTCTGGGCGACGTCTCGGAGGGTAGATTCAGTATCGAGCTTGATCCTCTGTGGGACAGTGCTCATGGTAGGTCCATCTAGATCATTGATACCAACAACAGGCACTTCTCTGCCAGAAACAGTGGTTGCGAAAGTGATGTCGTTGGATCCCATCTGCCGCGATAGAACGATGGCCCAGGCGCTGTATACGACTGCGCCGAGAGTCAATCCAGCACTTCTGGCGCGTGTAGTGAGACTGTAGCCAAGATCGAACTCGAGTTTACTGGTCTTGTAGAGCTGATTGCTGTTCAGCTTGAGCACTTCAGCACCTCGGAGGTATTCGGACCAGAATGAGGTGCTGTTCGCAGAAGGCGCTTGTTGCAAGTACCGGATAAACCGGGTCATATTTGGGCGTTGAGGAACTGGATTGCCGGTGTAGACTGCGGCGACGTCGTCATACAGGAAACCATGAGACCAGAAGTCGAATAGTGAATGGTGCATCGTCACTACCAGAGCTCGATCTGACGTCAGGGTTGCTTTCCATAGAGGTTTCTCCATATCCCAGTGTTGGACTTCGCCGCTTTGCTGTAAACCCTCAAGTGTTTTCTGGGGCTGAAACCAAGGGAGTTCTACGTTGGACCTCACTGTTTGCACGAAAGACTGTTTGTATGGAACGAACACGGTGCGCAGGATGTCGCGAGACCTGAACACCTGCTCAAAGCTGTCCCTCAGGCGTAGCAGATCCAGTTGGCTTACATCCCAAGTCCTGGAATAGGTGTATGGATCCGAGGGCGAGTTGACTGATACCAGCATGGATTCTTGGAAAGGCGTGGCAGGATACGCGTCGCTAACATGGCCGTTCGATTGCAACTCTGAAAGCAGTTTCTCGTCCTGAAGGAGTGAGAAGGGTGTCGGGTCTTGCTCATCCTCCACACCGATAGTCTGAGCTCGAGAAGCAACCTCCTTGAGAGGGATGTAGGCCAGCAGGTCACCGAGTTCAGTTGCTAGACCGTGTTCACGTAGCTCTGACACAACCCGGATGGCCTCAATGGAAGTGCCGCCAAGGTCAGTGAAGGAATGAGATCGACGAATAATAGAGCCGTTAATCTTGAGAGATCTTGCCCATACTGATACAATTTTTTCTTCAACATCAGTAAAGACTTCCTCGGTGTTCTCTTCATTTCCCAAGTCCATGAGCTTAGCAAAGCCAGCAAATCCGAGCTCTGTTGCCTTAGTTCGCAGCAAGTGATAGTTGAGTTTCCCGTTCCCATTCCTCGGTACCGACTCAATAGGGATCCAAAGAGTGGGCGTCATGAAAACTGGCAGGTTGGCGCGAAGATGGTTCCTCGCTGCGTTGACGGCATCTCTGAAAGAAGCACCATCATCAAGTACAACACCAGTAGCCAAGACTTGACGATCTTCCATCTTGACAGAAAATGTCACGGCTCCCTTGATCGCGTCAAGCGAGACCAAAAGACGATCGACTTCGGCGGGTTCGACCTTTTGCCCATTGATCTTGACTTGCATATCGACACGTCCTTCAATCTCGATCTGCCCATTAGGAAGCCATCGAGCCTTATCACCGGTTCTGTAAAGCTTTCCAGGACCAAACGGGTTGGTGATGAATGCTTTCTCGGTCAAGCCTGGCTCGTTGATGTAGCCTTGTGCAAGCTGTGGACCGGCGAGACAGAGTTCACCGAATACGAGTAGTGGTGAGAGCTCAGTAGTACCATGACGAAGGATAAAGACGCTCGTCGTGTCAATTGGTGGGTCCAGTATGCGAGGGTTCGGAACAATCCCGTTATTTGCGGTCAACGGCCTTCCAAAGTTAAGCTGTGTGCATTCGCTGAGTCCATACGTGTTTCTCAGTGTAAGGCCCTTGACGGAAGACCAAGTGTTCACAAGCTCTTGAGGAGTCTGCTCACCCACGACGGTGATGCTCTTGAGGGTTGGAACATCCTTGGGCGACAAAAGAGAAAGGGCAGAAGGGGTAATTCCGAGTGAGTCGACCGAAAGCCGGTTGATGACTCCCGCGAGATCCCGAGTGAGTGCTTCTTTTGGTGCCAGCACCAGCGTTCCGCCGTTCACAAGAGTACTTAGGATGGTTCGCTGAGCAGCGCTGAAGCTTGGGTTATAGAAGAGAAGCCACCGGTTCAGCCCGTTCAAAGAGTGGTGCTGCATACCGCTCGTGGCAGCCTCATGGGTGAGTACGGCGCCTTTGGGCTTCCCTGTACTACCGGACGTGTAGATGATGTAGCAGCGGTCTTGAGGCTTGACCCGCACGCCAATGCCATCAGTGTTATCAAGTGAGTCCCCGGCATCAGTACTGAGTCGTGTATAATCTTGTTCAATATCGACAGTGTTGGGAAGCATGTTCATGTATCTGCGAGTAGACAGAACCGCTGCTGCATTGCAATCGTTAACGACTTGCTCGAGACGACTGACCGAGAATTCTGGGTCAAGGACAGTATACGCTGACCCAGCCTTGAGCACCGCCAGGATAGCCACGACCAGATCCAGAGACCTGTCAGCCAAGATAGGATACACAGCACCTTTCTGAAGCCTCAGTCTCCTCGCCAGAATGTTAGAAAGGCTGTTGAGCTGGGTGAACGTGAGGGTAGCCTCGCCCTGAAAGTCAACTGCGACTCTTTTAGGGTATCGAGCCGCAGTCTTCTCGAACAAAGCAGGAATAGTCGTAGGCTGTACTTGGCGGGTACCAACTGAACGAGATAGTATGAGACGCTTTTCAGCCTCCGAGACGAGCTGGATGTCTGATAGAAGGAACTTGTCCGCCGCACTCAAGCCCTGAGCGGCACTGAAGATTGCCGAGACAAAGTGCCTAAACACCAGTTCGACCTTTTCTAGTGGGATCTTGGTTGTGCACTTGATAGCGAGTTGCAACACGCTTGCGTCGTTGATGCACAACACGACGGGGAACTTCCTCAAGCTTGGGGCGATGCAAGGTGTGTTGGTGGTTTGGCTGTAACTGACGGCTGTTTCGATTAGCATGCCATCTGGGGCTTGCTCTTGGATTCCGGTGTAGCCGATGGATGCGTGACGACTGGCTTCCGTGTGGTACTTGTCCAGGGATTCGGAAAGGTCAGAGAAGGTTGCGTCTTCTCCAGTGGGAACGCGCAGCCGGACGGGATATGTTTGGTCAAGACATCCGACGCAAGTGTCTACTCCCACAAAGTTCGAATCTCGACGAACAGTCCCGAAAAGAACTTCTTCAGAGTCAGAGTGAGCACTCAGAACATGGGCCCAGATTGCTTCGAGAAACGTCTGGCGCCATGTCTTCGAGTCCTCGCGAGATTTCTCAAGACTATTCAGCGCTGCTAGCTCTACGCCTTGAATAACAGCACTGACACCATGTCTATCCTGGTTTAACCCATTCAGGGCGTCAGTTTGAAGACTGAAGATAGACTGGGGAGCAATGTCTGAAAAAGTCTTGGACCAGAAGGTTTTGGACGAGTTGATGTCTTTGCGCTGCTGTGCAAGGTATCGCGTGTAGGTGGTAAAACCAGTGCTTTCGATACCAGGAATACCGTGGATTTGAAGAAGACAGTCGAGTCTGAGTGTATGAAGCGAGGTTGTGTCAATCAAGGCGCGGTGGAAGTGAAGTACAAGATTCATCTCGTCAGAACGTTTGTTGGCTTCAACCGTGAGGAACGCTGAGCCTCGGTGACGCTTTTCAAATCCTTTTTCGGGACGGCGCCACTGAACAGGCTCGATGCGCCTCTGGACCACAACTTTTTGCGTTGGCCCATCAGTAATGTAAGATCTAAGACATATGTCTAGTGCAAATGTTAGTAACCACTTCCATACAAACTTTTGTTCAGAAGGTAAAATACTTACAATGATATGCAAGAGATCTCCATACATCAAGGATTTTGTCAGAGCTCAAAGCAGATGTCTTTCCAGAAAAGAGCACTGCCTCAGCCCATTGGACATCCTCCTTGAGAATATCCTTCTGGACTTCAGTCGCAGGAAAAACAGTCTCAACATCGGAGAAGCCCATGTCTTTCTCGTGCTTCACGAGCGCTTCGACGGGCTTGAGGGTGAGACCATCTTGGTAGGGGAGGAAGAAGTCCTCATGCTTTTCAACGTGGTGATAGAGCTTCATGATGAAAGCTGATTAGAATATTAAGGGGGTAAACAAAAGAGGCTGGAGTATTAATGCAGTTGCTTTTTATCTATGAGGATGATATGCTTGTGATACTGAATGAGATATGATAGTTGGTTTACAAGATCGTTCCCTTATTTATATTAGTTATCTTTGACTCTCTCTACGCCAGCTTCTTCGTTCATGTCTTTGAAAAATTCTTTCCCTATCCCGACGTGGTGACACAAGGAGTCGGGCTGAATTGCCTTCTCTGCTGCAAGTATCTGCAAGTAAGCAGAGCGGCAATGCCGAACGCCGTCCCGAAGGATTGGATTCCCTGCCATCCAAGGAGTAGAACACATCTCGTCATACGTTTCCTACTATGCGTTACTCGAAGCGGTTGGGAATAACCTCACAAAACTTGGGTAAGATGCGCACTATGCCTTTTCTAGAGGTGGCGATGTTGCATGTACTGGATGGTGGTATTCGGGTTGAACAGGGCTTTCGCTTACGACCCCCGCGACATATGCAGTCTCACTGACGCCACGTGGGTTACATCGAAGACCAAAAAGGTAGGTATTGAATCAGCGGCTGTAGACTCAATCCTTCCAATTACTCGTGTTCTGATGTCGTAATTGCGGCTCCGTAAGATGTGTTTCACAAGTGGCGATATGCAGCTGCACAATTGCAGACAGCAGTGGGGGGTTACATGTAAAGGATTACAATCCTTCGAAACACTCAGAATCTAGTTCGAACAATGTTTCCTAAATCGTGCATATACATCATGTTTTGCAAGTTTTAAGAATGTGACTGCATTAATTTTATCCCGAGGGTTGTCACATTTTGGCGACATGCAGCTAAGGAATGTGCTAGAAACGGCCCGCTTCCGAGGCGACGCTAATCTTACACAGTATGTTATACTGGGTAGGAAATGTTCCGATGGAGCTGACTGAACCAGGGGGGGGTTGTCGTATGCGGCACAGGCCAAGACGAAACTACGATACTCGAAAATTCAACGATGGCGATATGTTGACCTCGCTATGATTGACGGTGGTAGATGAATGAAACGTTACATTGTGTCTCGCATAGTCGTTTTGTATATATAGGGATTTTCACAGACACTTCTCAAGCCAGTACAGCAGATTCGAATCAAATCGCGAAATCATTTACAGCTCTTAGCAAACTTCATTACCTCTTCTTCACTCAATTGTTAAGCATGGCTTCTTGGGACAACCGTATCGTCACTAACGAGCACCTGCTCCCTTACGTCAACTCCAACACCGCGCCGCCAGACATCAAGGCTGCTCTGCAAACTCTACCATTCGAAAGGAACATCTTCAAGGTAAGTCAAGCCTCCTCTTACAACTCTTCAACATTATAGGCTAACTGGCCCTCAAGCTCCTCGCCAACAGCAATGTTTTCTTCAAACCATTCATGACTCTCCTGTCCTCCAGCTGGAGCGAGAACCGAAAGATTCTCCCTTCTGAATGGCAAACCACTGTTCTGCGTACAGCAGCCACCCTTGATGCCCCTTACGAGTGGGACGTCAACGAGCCTGTTGCTCGCGTCCTCGGTCTTACTGATGAACAATTCGCGGCCCTTCGCAATACTAAAGAACCATTGCCAGAGAGCCTGTTTACTCCGCGTCAGCGCTTGATCGCTCGTATTGTTGAAGAGCTCAGTCGCCAACCTCGGGTCAGCAAGGATATCATGGATGAGGCTTTGAAGGCTTTCAGTCATGAGGAAATTACTGAGATTTTCTTCCTCAATGGTATTTACGGTTTCTTGGCCCGGTTTATGAATAGTGCTAGGATAGATTTTGATGAGCCTATTCCTGGCTTGTTGGACATTCTAAGCAAGTATAATGCGTCCGCCATTGAGCGAGAGAAGCAGGCGAAGAAGTAGACTTGGGTGACTGGTAGCTGTAGATTCAGATACAATAATTGATAAATTCACATACATTCCTTTTTTTCGTGTTTTCTTATCTTTTCGTATTACACCCAGCTGTACACAGTAGACTCTGCACTGCTCCAGAGCAGCATCATTTAATAGTGAAATCCTGTTGATAATGCTCTTGCCAGCATGTAATTATTTTAGTGCGTTGCCTTGATCTCTGGGGCGCCTTATAAGTTTTGCACTTGATCAGTATAGCGTGGTAGATTTGGCGATTATGAGGGTTCCGATGTCTTCACCAGATACATCGAACCCACAAGCTGGAACGTCCCGTATTACTTGGTGCCTTGTGTGTTATGTATTCACAAATCCAGTACAGTTACTACTTCAACAGACAAGTAATATGTAATTGCGACTCATGTTTTGTTTGTAGGCTTATTGTGCTATACAGTCCTGTTACCGAGTTTTAAAGATTAAGTGCTTAGTGTCTTAATATATCTTGTTTATCTTGCATTATTAAGTACTAACTACATTGTAAGAGGATTACCTTCTAGTAACTGTTTGCCCAACATCGTAGTTCAGTTCTTTGGATAGTGAATTTTCTAGTGCTTATCTTACGGATTAGAAACATTAAGCGGAGTCACAAACACCATTTTAGGAATTGCCCAAGCTCCTCCACGAGAGCTGTTAAAGCTAATGCATCCATGTAGCATAGCACATCTCTTCATGATTTCTATGACACATTTGTATTACTCAAATACTATATCAAATTATCTAAGGAGTTGGGTATCGGCAGGCCTTGATACCTCTTTCGGTGTTGGACAATATGTACACTGCATGACGCAATCTCACTGTATGTGACAACTCGTAAAAGCCTTCACCTTGCATGAAACGGTTACATTACTACCTGATCTTACTACCCACCACTTATATTGAGCCTCGCATCACGCATATGCAGCTAGATCCTACCAAACTGCATAACCTGCTTGACCCTTCCCACCTCGTTAGCAGGACCTGCAGTAACGGCCCCCTTCACACGCCTCTCAAACTCATCCCTGCCTTGAACATCCCGAGGCACCTGAACGATCTCCACAGGTGGCGTACGCAAAATTCCTCGAGAAAGCAGGTCCTGGAACCACAGCAAGAGAGATTCCTGCTCTGCTGCAGTCTGAGCCTTTAGCTGTTCAGACAGACGGAAGTTGCGAAACTTGACCTCTGACCAGAACAGCAAACGCTGAGACAGGCCAATAATTCCACTTGCACCGCCGAGAGACCCGTAGTTGACATATGTTCCACCATGAGACAGGGCATTTGCAAGTCTCTCGCCGGATTCACCAAAGACAGCGTCGATGGCAAGCACGATACGGCCCTTGGCAGCCGCGTCCGCGAGTTCTGCCGAAGCCTGCGTGCCGTGCTTAGCAAGATCATCTTCGGTGATGACGATCTCAACGCCCTGGCTCTGCAGATCAGCCTTGAGAGCATCGAAAGCGCTACCCTCTCGATCACGCACGACGCTGCAGGTACGAACACCCTTGAGACGTGCAAACTGCGCTACGAGCCTCGCGATGGTTCCAGAACCTGCGTTCTGTATGATCCAATCACCAGGCTTCAGATCACGCATGTCCTCGACGAGGAGGTAAGCCGGCAAAAAGGCCATGCGCAATAGAGATGCGCCAAGTAGATCCTTTGTAGGCGACAGGGGAATAACATCCGTCACGCTAAGAATGGCTTGGCTTCTCCAGGTTCCCAACCCATGTCGACGCGGAACAACAAAGTCTCCGAGCCGAATGTGGGTCTGTCCCGGGTTGGTCAGGGGACCCACTGCTTCGACGCAAGCCACGCCGTCATAACCCAGGACGGGCTGATTGTCTAGGGTATGCAGCGGCGTGACTGGGTAGCGACCTGCAAGTACGAGGAGGTCTTGGGGGTTGATTGGGGAGAAGAGGAAAGATACCAGAATCTGATCGATGCCGATGGAATCTGGTGGAATTTGTTCTTGTTTGAGGTAACGAAATCCCACAGAGGCTGGTTTGCCGTCAGAGGATTGAACTTGAGTAATGGCAGCCATTTGGCAAAGAGTTATAGGCGGAAGTTGAAGCAGAACTAGAGTTAAATGGTTGAATTGAACTGAGTATTAATTGTGCTCGCTAGTTTCTTGGTCCAAAGACCCAAATTTATATCCCTGATGTACATCACTTTAGTCCACAACCTTCTGGACCATATCCTCAAGAGTGTCAAGAGATCTCGAGATGCAATTGCGGCAGCTAGTGTTAGCTCAATCAGGCGATTTCCCGTCCCTGTTAGCCACTTCGCGTATGCACCCAATCCCTGGTCAATGGGAACAAATTCCATTTCCAGGCTAAACTCCTTGCGAATACCACACAGTGCGCTGTAACGTTACGGCACGACCCGGCCTGTTTCCTTTACCCTATAGGGCCAGACCGGCAGGGTTCTGAATCCCTTCACTTTGCATGTTTTCTATCGTTTTCTATGCAATTTCTAAGCATCGTTTTATGCGTTCCTGAAACTGGTTGTTAGCTGTGATAATTACGAATTTAATTCTGAAAACCTTTATGCTTCCCCACAGCGTCAGAAATACATAACCCCAGATCACGACCTAGCGTTGAAGCTTTTGTCCCAACTATCAACAATATCTTCTAGCGTTAAAACCTTAAAAACTTTAATCTTGCATAAATCTTAATACCTTTCTTTACTATGTCTTTCTCTCAGGAGAGACAGTCCGGTCACAGCTCGGACGAGTCTCGTTTATCACCATCTCCGGGTCCTGACTCCTCAGGCAACGAAGCCCTCAGGGAACCCCAGGTTGAGAAACCAGCACCAGACCCTTCCCCTCGTAACGTTCATGGTGTCAAGGTATGTACCAAAAGAACCCATTGCGAGTTTGTTGCAAGTCTGCTAAGTCTTAATAGTGGTTCCTCGTTGTCTGCGCCCTTCTCTCCGCCCTGTTCCTCTACGCCCTCGACAACACCGTAGTCGCCAATGTTCAAGCCAAAGTCGTAGAGACGTACCAACGCGTTGATCTTGTCCCCTGGCTTGGTGTCTCCTTCGCCCTCGCATCGGCCGCAACAACACTTCCCTGGTCCAAAGCCTATGGCACATTCTCGGCGAAAAAGCTCTTCATTGGCTCAACTACCGTCTTCATGGGTGCATCTGCCCTCTGCGGTGGTGCTCCCGATATCAACTCCTTCATCGTCGGTCGCGCCATCGCTGGAGCGGGAGGTTGCGGCATGTACATGGGCCTTTTGACACTCTTGTCAGTCACCACTACGAACGCCGAGAGACCAAAGTATCTCAGCCTTACGGGCTTTATTTGGGGTATCGGTACTGTTCTTGGCCCTGTAGTTGGAGGATCGCTGGGCGACAGTAGTGCGACTTGGCGATGGGCCTTTTACCTGAACCTCTTAGTCGGTGTTGTCATTGGACCAATTTACGTCCTTCTCCTCCCTGACTTTAAGCCTCAAGCTGGTGTCCCGTTGACTAGCCGCCTGGCTCAGATCGACTACCTCGGCACGGCTCTATCCATTGGTTCCGTCCTATGCCTCATCATGGCGATGAACTTTGGTGGAGTCCTTTGGAGCTGGGATGCAGGCAGGAGCATTGGTCTGTTTGTGACCGCTGGTGTCTTGCTCATCCTGTTTGTCCTCCAGCAGATCTTCCAGATTGGCACCACGTTTGAGAACAGATTGTTTCCCATGCATTTCTGGAAGAGCCGTACTATGATTTGTCTCTTCTTTACAATGAGTAAGTCATGCATTCTAAAAGTCTCTTGTATTAGTTCACTCAAGCTAACTACCCTTTTAGTGCTGGCAACGTTTGGTAGCTTTATCGGCATTTTCTACCTGCCACTGTACTATCAGTTCACTCGCGGAATCACGGCTGTAGAGACATCGGTCCATCTGTTACCTTTCATCCTCTTCCTCGTCGCCTTCAACTTGTTGAACGGCCAATTCATGGGCCGAACAGGATATTACTATCCTTGGTACATTGTAGGCTCCTTGATGGAGCTCATTGGTGGAGTTTTAATGTGTAAGTAATATCCATTCTCTCTCTCAATACCTGAACTGCAGTACTGACTGTGCACGAGATACCGTCGATGAACATACATCCAATGCCAAGATCTACGGCTACACTATAATCCTCGGTACTGGCGTTGGCTGTTTCTGTCAAGCTGGCTTTGCAGTCGCCCAGATGAAAGTCAAGCCCACCGAGATCCCTTACAGTGTTGGCTTCATGACAGTCGGACAGATGCTCGGTATCGTATTTGGCACTGGCATGTCCGGTGCCCTGTTTGTCAACTATGGTCAGCAAGCTCTCCAACGCGTCTTTCCCCACGTCCCCAAGACTGAGATTGCGGACGCTCTCGCCGGTGTTGGTAGCGGACTCATCGACTCTGCAAAACCTGACGTAAAGGCAGAGGCTATCCACGGCATCACGAGAGCGATCCAACTCGCATACGTACCTATCATCGCGGCCGGGTCTATTTGTCTAATCTGCAGTCTTGCGATGAGGAGGGAGAAGGTGTTCCATTAAGAGGGGTACTTAGGAGTCGGCAGACTATTAGGACTCCTGTCGACTTTTGACCGCGATAGTCTCTAGTGCCGGGCGCAATAGGCAGCTCAAGATCGGGGTTTACCAAAAGCGGGTGTTATTCTGCTAACGGGGTAGAACGGTTGTCTTTAACCCGTCGACTAGCTATGTTAGGAATACGAGACTAGTCTTGAGGGATAGTTACTGTATAGCAAGCATACAGCAGAAGAAGAGTCATATACCGAAGAACAGCATTAATTTAGTATCAAGATCAATACATAATAAACTTAACATTAAAACCTAAAAGCCCACCCACGTTCTGACAGCCAGTACCTGCTGTAAAGCTTTGCTGCCCATTTCCAGACCTCTTGCCACTTTCCCTTAACCTGTTTACTAGCAGAGATCGCTGTAGTAGCAGGACTATAACTATGCTGTAAAATAGGTCCTAGAGTAAGCTCAAGACACTTAGCAAACAAGAGGTACTATACGGTCTGTCTGGCAAATCCTCTCACTAGGATATAGGAGTTAGACTAATTAGCTTACCGAAGAACAACACATGGAGTTGTTAAACCTTCGCTGGATCGGTAGAAACTAACCCGGATCTCTCAGTAGAGACTGCAAAAAGAACAAAGTGCGCTTGCCCCGTACTGGAATCGAACCAGTGATCTTATCATTACTAGTGATACGCTTTACCACTGAGCCAACGGGGCTTGTTTAGCGACTTGAACACGCTTGAAAAAGTTCTCTAGGATTGCACTATATATAGCTTCAATGATTCTAGGTAGCTATCCCACTAAAATAATTAGCTAGTTATACTATATCATTCTTCCCTAAGATATAGAGAACCTTCTCGGCGTATGCCATGGTGATTCTGAGGACATGAGCTTATTCCCACTTCGTTACAACGACCTTCAGGCACCACACTCTAACACAAATGACAAAATCACACCTTGACCACGGGTAGTACGTAGCTCGAGGAGATATGAATCCACTGTATTATCATATTTGTGAAACCCATATAAAGACAGAATCATGTTCGATGGATATCACATCCAAGGCGCCTGTTTATTCTCTGTTTGCTTCTGTTAATAGCTTTAAAGATCGAGCTTTTTAAGTTCTGATCTTTTCCTGATTTAGTAAGGTTTATGCGGGGTGAACGACACTTTGATGTACTGGTAATGAAGCGTACCTATGAGCTCGTACTCTTGGGCTCAATTTTCAGCGCTATTCTTTAGTGCGGCAGGTTAGTTAAAGGAGCCAGTACTTATTTAGTATCCTTCACCCATTCTAGTGCTGGTAATTTCACTTCTGCTAGGATTCATGCAGCTCTTACTTACATGGAAGCACGAATGGCAGATACGACTTCTGTTGAGCCGCTGGAAATACGAGATGATCAAGAAGAGTCCTTGTTCAGATGCGATACATGCAATCGACAGTTTTCACGATATGAGCATCTGAAGCGACACACCCAGACGCATGCTCAAACAAAGACTATCGAATGCACCTACTGCAATAAGAGATTCAGTCGCAAGTGAGTACCATCTCTCATCAGGAACAAGCACCTCATTTGAGCCATGTCGATAAATGACTTACCTCTGATGAATCTCCAGGGACGCGGCACAGCGACATGAACGGCTACATGGACGAGAAACACATGGAGGCGCACAAACCTCAACTGCTTCGTCACTACGGAGAACGTGTACACCTTGTTTCAAATCACGCATCAAGTGCTCAGGAGGAACACCATGCACCTACTGCGCCGTGAGGAACTTTGTATGCTCCTACCTGCCCCGGAAACGAAGGGGACGTCAAATCATGCTCAGTACCTCTGAAGAGCAGGATTCTTCAGGTAGAAGAGCGGCATCAACGGTACAGTCGCCTGGTACCCTAGCTACGCCCGGGACCGCGATCGATTGGCTTGAAACTTCGACGCGCCAACAAGACATGACTGCTATTGTTCAAGTCCAGGCAAATATGGTACAAAGTAATCAAATTACCGCTAACGACGACCAAGGTTCGTCAGTGGATAGCCATCTGAGGCGTGAGCCAGAAGTGCCGACAAATATCGTTGGTATTATTCCAGACACCTATTCATTGCCAACAAACTGGCTTCCATTTGACGATGTCCCACTAGTTAAACAGCACATTGCTGGACAGTCTCAACGAATTGCCCCGCATGGCATCCGAAATCGATGATGGCTCTGCAATTGCTGCACAGAGCCTCGAGACGCAAGCACCATTTTCAATTCTCCCAGAAATGCACGAGCAAAGCATACAGCAAGACCATGTTTCTGCCTTGATTGCTTCGATAGCCTCAAACAACCAAAGAAAAACACTCTCTTCGGACATTAGTAACGATCCTGCGCTCCCCTGCACTAGAGCCACGCATTATTCAGACGGAGCGGGATTCAGAGAAAGCCGAGCAGAGAGATACATGCGTCAACGACGCGCTGCTTATGGCGAAGACCATGGGCCAAGTCCGAGCCAGCAGGTCCATATCTCATGGGTAGCCGACCTAGATGCTAGAGTCGAGGCAGCGAGTAAGCGGTTCGGGGCATCCAGAGACGTTCCAGATGGTATATTCGAGGAACTCATGTCAAGATTGGAATCTCATGCGACCAGCTCCCATAGACTTGCCGACTTTGCCGCACACAAAGACACTCTGCTCGCGAAAGGCACCTTTCAACTATTCATCAGTCTCTACTTCGAGCACTTTCATCCTGTGAACCCCTTTGTTGACAGATCGCATTTGTCTATCCCCCTCTGGGGATGGAGCCTGTGCCTAGCTACCGCAGCAATTGGTCCTAAGTACTTTGGTTCTGAAGAAGTCAATCGCTTTGGAGATTGCTTATGCTGCATCCTGCACGAGGTCATGACAAGAGAAGTATATCAATCGCCACCCCATTATCTGGCAAGAGTACAGCTGATTTTGCATAGCTCGATTTTGTCAATTCCCAGGAGCCGCTGCCTTACATACAAGCCCGGATTCTAGCATCAGTTGGACTGTGTCAAAGTCGTCAGCCGGAGCTACTCAGATGCGGGTACAACGCCTTAGCGATCTCCAAGTCGTCTCGCTGTATCCGAATCGATTGTGATTTCCTGGTCGCGGAGATCAACAATGACAAAATCGTCACCATTGGCATGCATTTTCTCGAATTTAATAGTAGACATTTCTGGGACTTTGGAAATATTGGAAATATCCATATAATTCTGCCTGTTGAAATCTACAAATCATGGAGGGTACTTAACAAGAGAACGCATACTTTCCTTTACTAACAAGGGTCACCTGAGTCATACCCTTCCGGTATCGGCTAGGGCTACAAACACGACTTGGAAAAAGCCATCATTCGGTCAATTGAAGTCTTGCATGGGGTCGGCTTATAAAGAATTCTGAGACCGGGCAGGTGACACATCGCTCAGTTATTCGTCATTACAGGGATAGAAGTGTGACAACACCACCCATGAGAAACTTGAGCCGGATTATCCGAGGTCCTTAAGTGGCATTGAAGGTCTACAGTTATCTGATGTCAGAAAGACCCAGCATAATTGCCTTCATGCTGACAAATCCAGCACCTTTTGCAACGCTACCCAGTCTCTCAAGCGCCATATTTACTCACAGTATAGCCTCATACCCTTCCTATTCGCAAGCCATCCATACAGGAGTTATCCACACCAATACTGACAGCTGGATTCCCGCTTAAATATACCATCATCTCATCTTGATTTGATTCAATACTACCCATAACCCTGGCTACCTTGTCGCTGAGAAGCCCCTGTACTCGTCATCGCGACGGCTCTGGTCTGCGCATTGGTCTTGTCCACGGCCGCTGGAACTCAACACTTGTTCACCCGCTCATTACAGGGGCCAAGAAGAAGCTCCTTACTGGTGGTTTCAAGGGGTCTGATACTATTATTCAATCTTGCCCAGGCGCCTGAGAGCTTCCGATTGCCACTAGCGGTAATACTCTTCCATACCTCACTCAGTTCCACTGCGTTGCTGGCATGCCATGGAACTTTAGCCACCTTTTCCCCTCCTAGGTTCAGAACAAACCCGCCACTGACCTCTCCTCACCGCCAGTTCCTTCTTCTTTCTTTGATGCCATTGATGTGGTATTGAAACTCTACACGCGGAACACCTTTACGAATTCGATTTTAAGGGCTTGATGCATGTGCAGCTTGATACTAGTATACTTGTTATCCTTGACCTCCTCACTGTTCTAACACCGGACGAAGCCAAAGCCCGGGCTGGTATTGATGGCAATGGCTACAACCATGGCGAGGATTGGGGTTTAGCTGCCTTCGAGATGGCTAATGACTTGTCAAGCCTCTTCAAGGCAAATTAAAGAGCATTCCTAAAGAGTTTCATTTACAAAAACCTACAGGTTGCTCAGAGGTACTCGCACGGTCACCACCATCACTTTCAATTATCCTTCATCATATTTCACATTTCGCAAAGCATATTAGTATTCCGGGCATAACCTGACGAGATAGAATGAGTAACATACCTTCCAAGACTGATGTATAGAAAATTAGATTGAATCTAACCTATTACCATGTGTATTCTAGGATTGTGGTCCTTTGCTTTACATCTCCCTGTATGCTAGCACATAATCAGGTCCATGACCTCGACCAGGGTCCATTTACAGGGGTGCGGTCCCAAAAGTGGGCTTAGCCTGCAGTTAAGCGCCAGTTTGCGCGAGGTCAGCCTAAGCCCCGTGGCTTTGACAGTGATGCGAGTGGTCCCCACAGGCCCTTGGCCACTAAAATTGATTCTTCTTTTGTCGCCGGGCTGTACTCCGTTTGGCTTTAGCCCTTATATGCGGCTTATATTTAGAAAACAGCATTTTTGGATGAGTATTGATAACTTTCTGACTTTCGCGACCACTAACCGCCAGCCTGATTCAACATACCCCAGCCGAATCTGCAGCCACTATCGAGAACATGAGGTGAGCTGGGTAGTTTTAAGATTTAAAAAGGTAGAAGTGGCCACCACTGTTCCTATTACACAAGCTCAGACCCCTTGGTTCTCATTTGAATTTTCGTCGACAAACTCTGATTCTCTCCCTCGCCGGCACCATGGCTGAATGGAAATTCGAAGTCATCCACAACATCACCAGCGATAGGAAGCTGCTTGGCACCATCATCCCGCCAGAATGGCAGATGTGGGACGAGGCCTATTTCAAACGGGTATCTGATACGCTCGCGGACCCGACACACACAGCAAAGCTTATGGCAGAGGGCTGCAACAATGGAGATTTTGGAGACCTCAACTGCACCAAAACATGCGACAGCGCCGAGTATATGTTCAGATCTCCGCAGAATCTCTGGAACTGCATGACCCTTTCGACTGTGGCCATGAAGGTGATTCCAGAGCCAACCAACGACACGGTCAACGAGAGCAGTGAGAAGGATATGAATGACTTGTTCCACTTTGGTTCCCTGCGCGACTTTGATAAACTTTTCGCCTTCAGAAAGGTTCGTGAGTGTCTGTGGCAGTCCTGCTCTGACTCCAAATACGGGAAATGTACAGAGGATCTTTTCGGCTACCAATGTAGCCCTATACACCAATTTAGTATCGGTAACTTTGGCACGGTTCTCTCAGAACGCTATTGTAGCGTTGCAGACCCTGGGTTCGACTTTGATCTGGTTGGACAGGGAGTGAGTACCAATGTGCACGCCACTATCTCCATGTTCTGACAGTAACTGGGCAGGTACTCATATCGTACATCATGCAGTACGTTCTAGTTTTGTTCTTTTGTCTTTCTTTCGCATTGACGCGTAAGTGGACGAAGAAGCACATTTGGGGACGCGCTGGGAGGCTCATGAACCAAGGTAGTTCATTCCCCTCTGCTACCAGACAAAATACCTTTCCGCCAGTGAAGTGGTTCATTCAGCTCTACCGACAGTTCCCCAGCGCCATAACATCGACCCTGATAGACCTTCAGGAGACGCAGACTCTCTTTGCAGCAACCATTTCTGTAGCCACTATTGTGGCGTTCCATTGCTACACGGGCTTAGCCAACGTTGCTTCCATATCCTCCTACGTCCTCAACAACGAGATCGCTCACGGCGTGATTATCATCGGCATGAGCCCTCTCCTTTTGTTACAGCTCGCTCTTCACGCGTCTGGACACACATCGATATACACTCTTGGCTTTGTATTCCTCAACTGGCTTTTCATCGTCATCAAGTCTGCACTTCAGAAGGGGGGTGCTGCTGGATTCGAGAAAACCCTCCAAAGGCAGTCATCAATGTCAGTATGCGGCGACAATCCTGGGGCCATGTCGTACTGTATGAACTACAACATAACAACGGGCTTCACTCACATCAAGTCTAGTCTGATATTCGTGCATGTACTGACATTCTTGCTTCTCGTGGACTGGACGCTAGCCACGCTATATGGTTTCTATAAGAAGGACTGGTCCCCAAACAGGAGCTCTTTTGTGCGAAATCTAATCAAGACGAGGGCCTTGGCAGTTCTGACGGCATTCTTGGCAATCGTGCCCATGGCCTTCGGGCTCGCTGACCTAGTCCGATTTTACATGGGGTTGCACGATCGGTATACCCCTGAGGGCGGACTGCCTTGGTCATTTGGACAGGTTACAGCAGTGGCAGTCTGGTTCCCGGTGGTCTTCAAGTTCTTACACTATTGTGAGTCCTGGCTAATCGATCCTTCCCTGCGCGTATGCTGTTACTGACGTATCTTGTATAGGCGCAGTGGAAGATGGTGTCCAGGCCCGCATCGACAAGGACGAATATGTCGTATCACGCCGCGAAACCGCCATTTTAGAGGTAAAGACTTCTGAAGAATCCAGGCTGGATAAAACTCCCTTGATCGGGGCTGCTGTTCCGGTTAGCATGGTTGGGGCGGAGCCGATCGAGATGCGAGCCTCGCTGGATGCTTCGGTGGAGGACTTGCTCATGAGACCACATGCAGGTTGGAATCCAGACATAAAGACACCATGAGCCGACTTTGTCTAGATTTTCCGGGCTTGAAATGTGTTTGGGTTCCGTTTCTGGGTTTGTTGGCATTGACGCATCAAGGAAGACGCTACTGTAGCTAACCAGATCCATGTCAATTTCCGCACTCTATTCTTTGTGCCCCTGAGGCATGTCCTTAAGTTCCATCCATGACTGTTTTTGGATCTCTAGACCCACTACATGTTTCATTTCCCCGATATACTCCACGAGCCACTGCTCCGTCGCCAGAAGCTGCTTGTCTGGAGCTACGAGAGATAGTGCAGGGTACCATGTCGATCGGCCCTTCACCAGTTGGACCATTTCTTTCACATATCTCATTCCTCCTTAATATACTTTACTATAATTTAGTATACTTTATCGTAATTACCTACTATAGCTTTTCTTTTATCCCAGCGTACTATTTAAAAATATCTTATAATATAACATGTGAGTATTAGTGAGTTCTGGAGAATCCTTGTTCAGCCTAGGAGTTATACAGCATGTTTACAGCCCCCAAAGAACAAGGATGTAAATATGTTATTCCGAAAAATAGAGTTTGACTGTCCTTTTCTACCGAATGTGCCGAGCGAAAAGCAGCAATGCCACGTTGTTTGATTTCACCTTGATTACCACGTTACTAAACTTATATAACAGTTTATGCTACAGGCGGCTACAAACTTGAGAACATCCATTGGACTATTTGCGATACGATGCTTTCCTCCATGCTCCTTCTTTCAGCTTTGATTGCCGCAACGCAAGCTATCGACGTTGATGTTGCGGTCGTAGGCGGCGGCGGATCTGGTGGTTATGCTGCTGTCCAGCTCCGAGAGAACTACGGCAAGAAGATTGTAGTCATTGAAAAACAAAAGCAGTTGGTACGTAAATTGTGTCACCTCTTGATGGCAGAACGACTGAGATATTGCAGGGTGGCCATGCGCAGTCATGGTACGATCCAGTCACTGGAAAGGCATATAACTATGGCGTTGATGCGTTTACGAACATCACCGTCTCAATTGACTTCTTCAGACAGCTCAAAGTGCCCATCGGACCACTCCAGTCTGTACCAGCAGAGAACTTATACGTCGACTTGGAAGATGGGAAAACAGTCGACTATACGCCTCCGACCACGAAAGAGGCCGCTGATGCCATGGGAAATTATCGTGAACAGTGGCTTAAATACGCAGATATCTTGCTGCCTACCAGCAAGCATTTTCCACGAGGAGACAAGGTTCCGTCAGATCTTCTACTGTCTTGGTACGAGTTTGCACGCAAGTACAAAGCAGAGGCTGCTAGCCCGAGTATCTGGGAAACTGTCGTCGTCGATCTCAACACTGCACTGATGATTGACGTTTGGAAGGCATGGAATCCTAGTGTAGGGTCTTTTCAGCCAGCATCAGGTGACAACACGGAGATCTGGCAGAAGGCTGCTAAGCTTCTGGGAAAGGATGTCTTCTACGAGAGCGAGGTGGTCTCTGCTAAGCGAACCAAGAGCGGAGTGAAGCTTGAGGTCAGAGATAAAGACGGGCATATCACCAAGATCAACGCCAAGCGACTTTTGATTACTATCGGGCCAGAGACCATAAACCCAAAGGACTTTGACCTGAGTAGCGAAGAAGTAGAGGTCTTCCATTCCGCTGCTGGCAACCGCTATTTCACTGGCATAGTATCTCACCCTTCCCTTCCCGCAGCTGGAATCACCAATGTTATTCCAGCTACCATTAACGCAAACTATCTCGCCTATCCAACCGTCCCTTTCCAAGCCTACTTCCAGTATAAAGGAAACTCTTCCACCGGCCCCATCCACCGCGCTCTAGCTGTCGTCCCGAGAGAGACTTCAATTGGGGATGTCAAAGACCTTATCCGGAAATCAGTTCAGAATCTCATTGATGCGGGAACAATTCCGGCTGGAAATTCTAGCGATCTCGATTTTAGAACTTTCTCAGATCATGGGCTCTTGTATAGGCGCTGGTCTGCAGATCAGCTGCGCGGTGGTATCTTTGCTAAGGCAAATGCTCTTCAGGGTCAGCGATCGACTTGGTACACTGGGGCTTTCTGGATGAACAATGATTGCGTCATGTTGTGGAACACTACTAATGCTATCCTGCAGGATATGGTGAAGGATTCTTAGATTAGACTCTTGTTTATCCAATGTCTTGAGGAGTCGAGGCATCTTGACTATCTTCTTTTCACTTCTTGACAGCGACAAGTATACCGACCAAAATCCGCTGCCTGTCATACATAGTTCGAATATCAGCTTAGTGTAGCTACTTTCGCAGCTCAGACCATTCATGTAGTGGAGAAACTGACCCAACCACTTCTTATAGCTCGTTAGAGGTACACACTACTCGTTGCCACTGTTTTGACCCCAAACCCAGTGCAAATTAGTCCCCACCTCGATTCCGTCCTCAGTTTCCTCGGTGAGCGTTTCTACCAGTGACTTTATCCCGCTCTCAGTCAGCCCCAAGGTTTCGTCCTGATCCAACAGCTGAATGCCATGGAGACTCTGTGCCATGTACTCCAAAGCCACCCTGGTAATGGTTGGTGTAAGATCAGGTCTTCCCAGTGTCACGAAGACCTTTTCGTCGACTTGCTCCAGACCAGCCGCCTGGAATTGAGTCGGCAAGAGGACAGGACACCTTGCGCGTGTCAATTAACATCCCACGAAAACACACCAGGAGATAAGGGTTTTGGGCACTTACTTGGGATCACGTCCAAACTTGACGGCCGCTGTGGACTCGATCCTCTTCCACTCATGAAGGGCAGCAGAATATGGGTTGCTGGCATATCCGTAGGCTCCGATCTCGGACCAGAACAGATACCCATTCGGTTTGAGAAGTGTCTTGAGATTCTTCACAGCTTGTAGCCACTCGTCCTTCTTCAGCGCTGCATAGAGTAACTTTACGTGTAATAAATCATATGTACCTAAATACTCTTTCGGAAATGGCTCCAGCACATTTCCATATTGTAATTTGACATTCGCCGGCAAAGATACGGGATCGTGAAACTTCCTGGTATCAATGTCGAAGCCATCTAGCTGTGCTTCTTTGACGACTCTAGGTGCGAGGTCCTTTAGGAAGATTCCGGTGCCGGTATTTGCGTCTGCAATTTTGGGCGCAGAGAGTGAGTTCAGGTGCTGCCAGATGACGCGAGGAAGGTCATCGCGTGTGACAGCTTTGAAGATGTCATGTTGAAAGTCAAGACGCTGCTGTTCCTTGTCCGCGTCGCCATGATCAAGGGTGTAGATCGAGGGCATTTTGTATTAACGAAGTGACGATGATTGATAGTTAAAGATTATGTCTTGAGTGACAATGACAGGCGAGGTAACGATTCATGGGGGATTCAAAGATGCTTTTCGTTATATACTTGTTCAAGGACTTGGTAACACAGGATTACTTACACGTGATGATAATAAGCGTTGATTATTGTCCGTGGCACTACCGGCATCTTCGGAATCCGAACCACAAACTAGTGGAGGGATGCTAGCCTCCGCTTACAGGGATCAGGCTAAGAGATGAAGTAACAAATTAGAGTATTAGACCATGAGCCAAATTGAGTGATATTCGACTAGAATAGTGTTTCTCCGTAAGAAAGAATCCCCAGAGAAAGGATCCATTATTTCGCCAACTATACCCAAGAGGAGGCATGAATTCAACGGCCGGGCTTACTAAGCGTATTGCCAAGAATGTACGAAGGCTTCTTTGCTGATTTTAAGTTATCATGCACAAGTCTCAACTGCGAATAACGCATCTGCCGGGAATGGACACCACGGTCACATACCTGTAGCCCGCATTGCTGATAAGCGGGGATCCATGTCCTTGTCTTTCCCCCCCTCTTTGCAACGTGCCATCTCACTTGCGTCGGCATATTACTAACTAGGTTGTAATTTTGTCCAATGAGTAGTGTTGTTATTTGCTACCGCCACGTAATCTGGGATACACCACCCTGCCCAATCTGATTAACTTCAGATTGGAATGATTCCATGATCACGGTGTGCTCCCAGATGATTCAAGATTCGAAGGCGTCCATCGCTTGCTTCATGGCCAAATTGTCATCGAGACCCCCAGATTGGCCAACTTCCAGATTGCATGAAGCAGCCCAAGGTTAGTCGTCTTCTCTGTTGTCGTTTCCACCTCTGGGCTAATGTCGAGCTGGATGCCGACAAAGGTTATTGTCTTGTTCGGGTCCCTATTACGGAATACTAAGAGCTGAAGGCTGTTAATATTATATTCTTTTGTACTTAGCTCTCTTATTATCCATCTTCTTTTTATTTAGTAAGCTGTAGTATTTTTCTTACTTAGATAGATTATATTACTTTTAGCTACACTTAGGTTTATACTTAATTAGGTTTATCTAGATTTATCTATATATCCTTAATGCTTAGCTATAAAATATAATAAAACATAGTATTACTATATTTAATAGTATAATATATAATTTTATTATACCTATTTAATGTTACAGGTACTATTATAAACTTTAGATAATTTCTCCCCTTATGATACAGTATAGCAAAAACTAGGACTTTATATAAGAATGAGTTTAATTTATACTCCTTCTAGTCTATTCAATCCACTCTGGAATGGTTTAAAATAACTTTTACAATTCATCCTTGCCATGTCATCACTCATAATTTAGCAACACTGTCATATCTTCTCCTTCAGCTTCGCCTGCATAGCACCTCTCATAGCCTCTACAGGAGCTTCTTTTCCAGTCCACAACTCAAACTGGGCATATGCCTGCTCCTCCAGTACATCAACGCCCCTGTACACTTTCCAACCAGAATATCGCTCAGCAACTGTCATCATTCCTGTCACTTGCGGTCTGTACGCCATCTCTACCAGCACTCCATCTCCAGCTACTGAGAACAAGGCACTGGGAATCTTCTCAGCCCCCAGGTCATCGGCTGGCACGCAGGCCACTATCACCCTGATCCGGGCATCCTTGGCATCAGCAGCTTCGTCCAATGTCGCAAATGACCGGGTCTTGATGTCGGAAAACCTCGATGCTAGATCCTCGGCTTTGCTCAGAGTCCTGTTGACGACGATGAGCTCCCCAAAGCCTAGAGTCTGGACAGCGTAGCATGCCGCTCTAGCGGCGCCTCCAGCACCCAGCACTAGAGCTGACGATGAAGCAAAGTCTCGAGATCCAGACTTCTCAACACATCTCTTGATGCCAAGCCAGTCGGTGTTATCGCCATAAAGCACTCTTCTCCCGTTGACCTCTTTGACAACAACGGTATTGATTGCCCCAATGCTCTCTCCTCTTGGAGAGACTGAGTCCAAGACCTTGCCGATCTGCAGCTTGTGCGGAAACGTGACAGATGCACCGCCAAAGTTAGGTCGATGAATTATGCTCTCGACTGACTCATCAACATTCTCGCTTTCGTGAATCTGGTAGTGATGCGGGAGGTTGAGAGCCTTGAACCCGGCGTTGTGGAGTGTTGGTGATAGGGAGTGCGAGATGTTATGACCAAAGATGTAGAATTGCTTCTGATCATCTCTTTGAGCACCCCGCGTCACAGTGTCAGAGGAATGAGTCATTGTATTTCTTATAAAGGTGGCGAGGCTAGTGAGACGTTGTTGTGATGGACTGCTATCGTCGGCAACCATATTGAAGGGATGAGGGAGTATCAAGGAGAGATGAATGATGTTGAGAGCACTGATCCATCTAAAAACAGAACAGAACATTAAATCACCTGTCTTCTTCCACAAACAAGAAATGGAGCACCTATTGTTGCGGTAGACCGGTCACCAAGGGAGTGGGAAAGAACTTTGCCGGCTGGAGCAACATCCACTTCTAGGTGACTTTAGTGCATTCTTCCTTGTCAAATAGGTTAGCAGTTCTTTCAGAGGCACAGTGATACTGAAAGGCCTATTTCTGGCCACACTTCAGGGCTGATTCTCTAGGTTGTAGTCATAGCGCATGATCCGTACGAGTCGTTGACGTTTCGCGGACATGGCTGGCAACAGAATCTATCAACAGGATGCTGAACAATCCAACATGATCTCTCCTTCGGATTAGAATCCCATGTCGAAGAGGTGTTCAAGATTATTAGGGGCATCATCAAGCATTCCAAGATGCTGCATGAACTCTGGTGGGTTGGCCAGCCTGTCTTCTCGTTAGTTGCGAAGTCGGTCCATACTCTCTGTAAACTTACCAATCAATTGAGTCCAACGTGGCGAGACTATCAAAAAGGCCATCGTCTTCAATATTTGAGACCAAATCTGGGTCTATTGGGAATGAGATTCCGCCTGCAGGGTGTGCATCTGTTTCATTGTGCTGCAGTGAATTGCCCACCTTATTCGACCGCAGTGTTGATGGAGTGGACGGAAGATCGAACTGGGATGGTACTGGTTCCTTGCCGACTGCAAGGTACATTGGGAGAAGCGAATGATTGACGTTGCCGGCAGATATCAACTGTGAATCGTTCGAGGCATCGTCCTGGGACGTTCCTCCCAACGACTCTTGTAAGGTATCCAAACATTTCGCAACGGCTTCTTTGGCGCAATGGAGATCGTCGCCGATATTACTAGCAGTATAATGCCCTTCTTGGTGACGCAGAGACCTCTTAACTGATTCCATGCAAGCCTTGACGACAGGAGAGATAGCACAACGACCTATGCTCCGAACGCGTTTCTCCGTGAGGCTAGCTAAGTATGAGACATTCCCCCAATAGCCACTTGGGCGTTCGAGGATAGGAAGGTTGGAGATCAAAGACTCCGCTGCTGCTAGTTCAAATACCGCTATTGAAGCTGTCCAGAGACTGAGAGCTTGGGGCGATAAGTTGGTAGCGTCCAAGTTGCCCATAGTGCTCAAGTTCTCTTTGCATAAACTCATGAGTTCGCCAAAGTTTCGAGCTGCCGGCAAGTCTTTCTTGTGGTGGATCAGACCGTTCAATGATAGAATGGTCTGGAGTGATCTGTTAAAAGTACTTATCACATGCCCTGGAACATGTGAGTTTGTGTTCTCCTGGTCTTGCTGAGATTGGGGTTCAACGAGGATCTTGAGGTTCCAAGGCTCCCATTCCTCGTTCCCATCAGCTAACAAGCCGCCTTGAAGCAATACATTGGAGGATGTGAGATATGGAAGAGTATCGAGACGTGCTGCAACCATGGTCTCTAGTATTGTGCAGCCCATAATGGTCCGTTTTACGCCATCCTGGCTTGAAGGATTAGTCATGTTGCCTTGAGAAAGTAACCCAAGGGATATCGCTGTATATATAGCCCGGCCTATTGTAGTCCATGCTAAAGGCCAGCGCTTCTGATCCATCTCAAAGAGGCATATAATGAGCAGAGCTCGAACGTGGCCGAGATCAAAGGCAGTTGGGTTCGCGAACAAACTTGTCTCGAGTAGACTTTGTGGCGACTTGAAGTCATGTATATCATCGGGTTTCCTGCTGGAGTTACTTGATAAGGTAGTCGACTGGTATGAGGCGTATGTAAGCACAGCATGAAGAAAGGCTAGTTCTTCAGCTGATAGTGAACTAATAGATGTCTTCGATGGTTCGTTGGATAGTGTATACGCAGCACGCAAGAGTTCGTGCTTTTGCGATATTGGAAACCAACAATGCGTCGTCTCGAAATAGAGGTCAAGGAGATATGACCAGTTCTTCGGAAGGTCGGGGATAGGTGATGGTGTGGATTTAAGAGGCCGTGGGGCGGGTTCTGGTTCGCGACCGACGGTGGTATGAAACAATTCTCCTGCTTGTGGTCGAAGGGGCAAATCATTGGGAATAGGTAGAGGAGAATAGTCAAAGCTTGGTAGGTCTAATTGTGCTGTACTGGTATCCATCGGTGTCATATGACCCCCTGTCCCATTCTTTGTTGCTACCAAAAGCGTAAGAGCCTCAACCACCTTTGTGTCGAAAACCTGGCTCGATTCGGTACCTTCTTCATCAAACTCACTCTCAGCAGAGAGAAGACTTCCCATTTTCTTAGACACGGAGGACTTGTGCCATGTTTCGAGTAGGAGATCGACAGTGACATTTGTGTCATGTAGACCTGAGGCAGGACAGAAGGACGATTCTTGAATGACCCCCTCGAGAAGTGCACATATCCACTCTTCACTCCCCTGGATGGACGTGAATATCAATCCCAGCAATGTTTCGATACCTCTCACGTAGCCTGGTCGCAAACCCCGTTTCTTTGAGGGTCCATAGCTGCATGTCCGGTTGTTATCGATGCATGACTTGCACGACGGTCGTTGGCCACCACATCGGTCTTTTCGTCTCCTACACTCGTTGCATGCTCGCGTAATTCGATGCCGATGACGCCCGCTGGGCCCCTTTTCTAAAGTTTCCGTATCGGTCCTCGCCCGTTTTGAAGCTCGTGGACTGGGTTCTGGCTGACCTCTGCTTCTTGTTTCCGGTGAAGCCGTCGACATTGTGGGCCATCTAGCTGAGATTATCTTATCGTCTGGACATTGTTTCGTTCCTCTCAACTGCCGATGGTTGACGGCAGCCAGATTTCATCGACACTCGAATTCATCAGACTCACTCATCGTAAACATCTTGCTTGATCCTTTCCTGATTCAGTAAGCGCTGTGTGGGGTGTCTGGGGTCTGGCTGGAGCGGCAGAAGTTTCTACCGCCCATCTTCGATTGGCTAGGAATATGCCGCGGCCACTGACCTACCCTGGGCAGTATCAAGGGTCGGCTATACGATTAAACACGCTCGAGGTAAAGGCATGGTTGGGCCGCTCAGAGAACAGCATCATGGCTACTTGTATACCCATGACTCTGGCGACTGGAAACCACACACCTTGGATTTAGGCCTGATGCTTCGACGGGCCTAATCATTCCCTTCATACAGAGGACCATCGTCAGCTCTAGCAAAAGACTGGCTAAATCATGGCAGCTTCACCTACGACGACGCCTTCGGGGCCTTCGAGGGTGCCAACTCCCCAAACGCCGTACACAAGGACATGTACCCCCGATCACTCTCAAACTAGAAACAACTATGCACCAAACGCCTCTATCGCACTAGTTGGTATGCGAGGCAGTGGCATGTCAACCCTAGCGGTCATGGCTTCAAGCGCCTTAGGCTTCCGCATTCTGGATGCAGATCAGTATTTTTACAGAGCCACGGGTCTTTCCAGAGCAGTTTACAAGGCCACCAATGGTATCGCACAATATCGACAAGAAGAGTTGAGACTAATGAGATCTATGCTCTTCGACAACCCGACCGGTGCAGTTATTGTGTGCGGTCCTGGTGTTGTCGAAGGTACTGGAAAGGAATGGCTTGCAGAGTATGCCAAGGACCATCTCATTATTTACATCTTGCGTGATGCAGAAGAGATACAACGGCATCTGAGAGTATTTGACGTGGAAACTATTCGGGATCTCACACGTCGTGCAGCCCCAGCTTACAGGAAACTGTCAAGTTTTGAGTTCTACAACATCTCAGATATGTCGCTTTGCAAACTTGATACTGCAACCTCAAGTGGAGATATATCCCCCAGGGCTCTTGCACTGAAGAAGGTTGAAGAAGACTTTCTGCAGTTGATATACAACATCACACGGCGAGACGACTGCTATAGCAAGTATGAAGCGAAGAACAGTCTCTCATCTATACCACTCGAGACCAGAAAGTTCACCTATTCCTTGTCTCTGCCGCTATCGACACTAAGCACGCTTGTTACCGAGTTTCGCGGACTGGACACTGAAGCAGATGCCCTTGAACTTACAATACCTACTTCAAGCCTTTGCAATGAGGTTGGCGCCGACGAAACAGCGACAGATCAAATCAGCAGACAGTTTTCCGTCGTTAGGAGGAATGTCCGGCTTCCAATCATATATCACATCGACATATACGGGAGCGAACAGAGCATCTCTGAAGACGAGTATTTTGAGCTTCTGCGTCATGGGCTTCGCCTTGCTCCAGAGTACCTCTGCGTCGATCTCAAATGCGATATAGCCAAGATCCAGAATCTCATTGCTTCCAAAGGCCAAACAAAGATCTTCGCACACTATGTCGTTTCTGATCCAGCAGAATGTGGTTGGAACTTGCCAAAGCAATGGGCCATGATCGAACGAGCTCAAAGTCTCGGATGTGACATCATCCGCATCTGTCAAGAGGCAAGGTCCGTGGAAGACAACTTCGCCGCCCAGCACTTTATCCATCGAGTCAAATCGTCGCCAGATCACACCATCCCATTAATAGCATACAACACTGGCCGTCTTGGACGCATGTCATGCTATCTCAACCCCATCCTCAGCCCAGTCACACATCCACTGGTCCGAAGATTGGCCCCGGACTGCCCATCGAATGCTCTGCTTACAGTGCAAGAAGCACAGAAAGCAGTCTTTTCCTCCTTCCTACTCGACGGTCAGTATTTCGGCATCTACGGGAATTGCACGTTGAAGAGTTTATCACCAGCGATGCATAATGCGGCTTTTAAGCTTCTGGGCATGCCGCATCAATACAACATCTTTCTTCACGAGTCAATGGACCAGCTTTTTGAACTTGTTAAAGACAACACCTTCGGAGGTGCGAGTATAACTTCACCTTTCAAGACGGCTATAATACCCAAGCTGGACTTCTTGAGTGAAGAGGCAAGGGCCATTGGAGCTGTCAACACCCTTTTATGTCTGAAGGAGTCTACCATGGACTCTTTACTTGACAGAAATACAGCTGGGCCAACGGTAGCTCTTTTTGGCGAGAATACTGATTGGATCGGCATTCATACTTGCGTTCAACGAAATCTATCTCCTATCAACGCTGTCAGAAGACGGACGACAGGGCTTATTATTGGCGCTGGAGGCATGGCGCGCGCTGCTGCGTATGCCCTTATTCGCCTCGGCGTGAAGAATATTCTGATTCATAACCGAACTCGCACGAGGGCAGAAGAGCTCATCAAGCAATTTGATAGGCAGTATAAACACGAAAGTGAGAAGCCTTCTATGGATGGAGTTGACACACAGAGCGGAAGCCTTGATCAACCTTCGTTTAGAGTCATCGGTTCAAAAGAGGACGCATGGCCTGAGGATCTAAGCCTACCAACAATTGTCATTTCATGCGTGGCAACGCGAGAGATTGACGGGCAGTGCTCAGCAGACACAAGTCTGCCGGATCATTGGCTTTCAAGTCCAACTGGCGGCGTCGCAATTGAGGTAAGCTTTGACACCCAGAATAACATGATGTAATTTGGAATTAAGCTAACATGTGGTTATAGCTTTCTTACACACCGCTAGAGACTCCCCTCCTGAAGCAAATAAAGTCGCTATCAGAGAAGGGATGGATACCCGTTGATGGTCTGCAGGTCCTACCGGAGCAGGGAATGATGCAGTTTGAGTTGTTTACTACCAGGCGAGCACCATCTAATCTCATGCGAGAAGAAGTGTTTAGAGCATATAAGGAGCGCATGGAAAGAGCAGCGGATACATAGGTACCTAAAGAAAGTAATCAATGACATTTAGCGAGACCATACTACTAATGTTATGGCTGGGAACGCTCTAGATGCGTCTGACTTCGCTTAAAGCATCAAGCTCCTTTTCTCAGACCTTGAGATGTGTCACGTGCGGAGATAACGGAAGACTAACTCCTAGCTAAAGGTACGTTGCCTATGAGATGTACGATTTGAGATGATGTAATTAAGAAAATGACTATTACACATTGAAAGCAGCAATTGTCTTCACCCTCTATGCAGTGAGGCACCGGATGAAGAAATTGGATAATCACTTAGCCATTGAACCTCGGGGGTCGCATCTCGGGCCCGATTCCGCCGGAACAGTATTTTGCCGTCTCAATTTCGTCATTCTAGTCTTGGGCAGCATCAAGCATCGCCGGTTAATACACGAGATCTGGGAAGATCCGAATTCAACAACGTCAATCGTCACTGCAAATCTGTTAAGGCAGCCCATTATACAAAATGAGTTCTTTCCAGCCTGCCATTTTATCAGCCTCCCTTGGCCGAGCATGGCTCCATGACTTCGCCATCAAGGCCAAGCAGGCCTCAGAGCATGGCTTTCAAGGTATTGAAGTCTTTTACGAGGATCTTGAATATGAGGCAAAAAGACTGCACAGTGTCGAAACTCCCCGCAATGACCAGATTCTCGCTGCGGCATCGCACATTCGAGAGTTGTTGGATGGCTTGAAGCTTACAGTTATTGGTCTCCAGCCATTCTTGTTCTATGAGGGTCTTAAGGACCGGGAGCAACATGCTCGGCTCATCGAAAAGATCAACTTATGGTTCAAGATCGCAAAGATCTTGGGCACCAACACGATTCAGATTCCTGCCAACTTCCTCCCGGCTGATCAGTTGACCGGCGACATGGACGTCATAGTAGGAGATCTCGTCGAGCTAGCTGATCTGGGCATCAAACAAGATCCCCCCATTCGGTTTGCCTACGAAGCTTTGTGTTGGAGTACCCATGTCGACACCTGGGAGAAGTCATGGGAAGTGACCAAGAAGGTCGATAGACCCAACTTTGGCCTGTGTCTCGACACATTCAACATCGCCGGGCGTGTCTGGGGCGATCCAGCTTCTCCAACTGGCAAGACACCCAACGCCGATCAAGATCTCAAGGAATCCCTCGAGAGACTTGCCAAAGAGGTCACTCTCGACAAAGTGTTCTACATACAAGTAGTCGATGCTGAAAGGATGGAAACGCCCCTTGTCAAAGGACATCCCTTCCATGTTGATGGAAACCCGGCGAGGATGAACTGGTCGCGAAATGCCAGAGCTTATATGTATGAGACGGATCGCGGGGCTTATCTCCCTGTTGAGGATATTGCCAAGGTGTTGATTCACGATATGGGGTATAGGGGATATGTTTCGATGGAGTTGTTTTCACGAACTATGGCTGAGGAGGGGGATGATGTACCGAAACAACATGCTGAGAGGGGTATCGCAGCTTGGAAGAAATTTGTTGAGAGGTTAAAGCTTAACGAGATGTAGGTAGATTAGAAACAAGAAGCAATAATGAAACATTCTCACAAGTTGTAAGAAAACACTGCATAATCCGCAATCATAGCCTACAGTCGAAGCCTCGATATCCTGGTGCACTGCTGCCTTTTATGCCCGTTATTTCTCAAAATACTTTTCGTGGATTTCTACACAAGATTTAAAAGTTAATGCCAGGGCTCTTCTCAGCCGAATCAATGAGAACCTTCCACGCTCCCTCCCTATCAAGTTTCTTAACCCTCTCCTCACCAGCCCAAAGTCTCCACTGCTCCTCAATCTGATACCCAATTACATGCGTCCCTTCCACAGTGGGCCAGCCCTTCTGTTCCGCCAACTTGATCATTCTCGTCCGTCTAGGCTTGAAGCACATATCAAGCAGAACTCCTTTCTCAGGACGAGATAGGAACTCCTCCAGATTGGCTCTGACAGCAAGCTCGTCTGGCGTCTGAGGTTCAAAGTCAGGCACAGTACCGACAACGTAGTATGGTGTCTCAAGTTTCTGGGCCTCTCCCTCTTTGACGTGAATGATAGTCGGCACAGGTGAAAGCTTCTGAGAGTCTTGTATGAGATCGATGACTTCCTGCTCATCACGGTTCAACACGTAGATATTTGAGGATTGGAAGTATGAACTGAGCGCATAAACAGCTGCTCGACTAGCTCCTCCAGCACCAACGACCAATGCTGGCTTGTTCAGAACCGGCACACCAGCTTGGTCGGCTTTCTCAAGAAGACAGCCCTTGATGCCGCGCCAATCAGTGTTTGTTCCACGTAGCTTTTTGGGATCTTCCCAGTCTCGGTAGGTGTTGTTGCAAGCGCCGATAGTGGCAGCAAGGTCGTCTAATGCATCGAGACGAGGAATGATGGCGTTCTTGTAAGGCATTGTCACGACCAGACCGGATGTCGTATCTTTGCGAGCAAGGTCCATTAGGTCATCGAGGGTAGCACATTCTGTAGCATACAACGTCCATGGGAGCCCGAGAGACTTAGCAATATGGTTGTGCATTGGTGGAGCGATGGAGTGGCCGACTCCAATGCCAACGAGGTGCAAAGTGCGTTTCTCTTGATCTTCTGAAGCCATTTTGATGATGATTGTCTGATATGATTGAACCTGATTGCTATTCATATTCTGATCCTTAGTTGAGTTTATCTATATCATGGTATTGCCCAGATCTTGGGCGCGGAGTATTCTTCTGCCGCTTTGGCGAGCGACATCTCCGCTGGGCTAACCCCTCTTTACTCCACCTAATACCGAAGCCCGATTGTGCTTGTTTCCATTTTATGCAGAAAGCTCTTAACTACGCAATGATAAAAGCCCTACTAACTTAGTCTGTTCATGGAGCATGGGTTAATGTGCCTCACAGTCAGAATTAGCACTCAGCAGTGCCGAAGTAGATAACATTAGTCTACGGTATAGACAGTTCAAATCTCGTCTGCCGCTTTAGCCGTTGATTACATCTAGTCGCTCAAAACAATAAAGCCTGATTTCAGTATCTTGGCATCACACATAGTTTTACCACCTTGTATAGGAAGTCTCCCTAGCCAGGCCTGAGATATAGTAGCCACACTACTTTAAAGAGAAGGTTCTCTTGGTACCATGTGTGCCTGACGGATGGGAAGGGAATCTAACATCTTACCTACTAAACTAAGATGGTTTTCAAAGCTAAAGACCAATCGAAGTAACTCATCTTTAACATCTTCCGCAGATCCTCTCCCCAGCATCGCATCGACTGCTGGCGGGTCCGGAAGTAACGGCAAAGGAAATGCTGGAATCTCACTCTGCCTAGTAGTCTCCCCACGGGCAGATGGGAGGTCCTGCTGGTAGTTTTGGTTAATATCGAAAAAAAGATTCTGGTTAGATTCGTCGTCCGTATGAGCTATTGTGCTGCTATCGAATTCGCCACTCTCAATAAAGATAGACGGCTCCCTGATAGTTGATGAATGTGAAATGGGCTCAAATGTATGACGCTCAAGGCCAAAAGGCATACGCCAATCCGAAGCTGCTGAAGGAGCGTCCGAATTTGCGGTAGACGGCCGTGTACTGGCAGTGTGTCCTGAACCAACGTGCAGGCTGGCATCCAGATCGATCAAACTTGCTACAGACTCACGGTTATCTGGAGTTGTCACTCCCAAACCAGTGGGAAGACTGTCGTCAAGATCGATCAAGCTCAATGCAGATGCACGATTATCAGAAGCTGTCGGAGCCAAAACGTTTTCGCTGACTGGGTCTGCCCGAGTTGGTACCATTGTAAGTTCTGCTTCACCATGGAAAGATTCTGACGCGTAAGAAAACACGGGGCTTGCCGAGGCAGGCATGTTTGTTGGAAAAGTCCACTCTAGGGTCCGACGCCGATCCGAAGCTGTTTCATCAATCGACAGTGACCGGGTCCTCGGCTTAATTGTCGACAGATCTGGAGATTGAGACATGGTATCGCCCAGAGCAGCGTCCAGATCGATCAACGATTCGCGAACCGTCGGGGGCTCCGAATGGTCACGAAGGGGAAGGTCAGACGCAGTAGGCCCTGGCCTCTGCGACATTTAAAAAGAGCGAGCGTTGTCCTGGTAATTGGTAATGGTATTCGGGTCAAACAGCTTCTCCAATGGAGCCTTGGGCATCTTCATGTTGGGTGGTGGCTGCCGCCGACGATATGGGAGCGGTTTCTGTGGTTGAGCCCATGGTTCGGCAGCGGCATTGTAGGTTTCAACGAAGACAGAATGAAGCGAATCCGAAACGTCCGGCTGATCTAAGCTGCTGATGGTGCTGAAGTTCCACTCATCATCAGCAACTGAGGATAATTCCGAGCCAAGATTCAGGTCTCGTTGCGCTCCACCTGGCGAGAAGAGCGATAACCGACTTCCTCCTTGGGCCTCCCAAACCTTGTAAGCGCTAACAAGCTTGGAGAGCGACACGGCCGGATAGGTGGATTCGGTTTCGAAGATATAAGGATGGCGTTGGATGTCCTTGATAGGTGGCCGTTGAGCAGCATTCTCAACAAGACAACATGCAATCAAATCTTTGAGCCCCGGGGAGTACCGATCACCTTCGAGGCGCGGACAATGATGTTTCAGGTAGGTGCCAAATCGCGAGATGTCTCGAAAATTAGCATTGGGGGGCAGCCCAGAAGCAACCTCGTATGCCATCGACCCAAATGCCCAGATATCAACCTCCGTACCATACTTGACTGTTGGATTGAAGAGCTCGGGAGCCATCCAGTGTAAGGATCCCGTGACAGTACTCCTCTTGTCGAATTTCGTCTCCATGAGACCTGCCACTCCAAAGTCGCATAGTTGTACGCCGCCAGCTTCAGTCACCAGGACATTCGCGCATTTTATGTCTCTGTGGATAATGCCTTGTCTGTGAACCCAGTAGATGGCCTCGGCGACCTCACGTAAGATTGGAATGATCCATTGTTCAGGAAGATATCCACTTGGCTTCATCAAGGTTGAAACACTTCCGCCAGCGCAGTACTCTGTAACCATCCATATAGTATGGCCAACAAGAAGCACATCTAGAACAATATTGACATTCTTTGCGCCGGCACTACCAAGGAGCTTGAGTGTTTCGACCTCTTTCAGAATGTCGCCAAACGTATCTGCACCAGGGTCGAGGGCATCTCCGTTGTCGATGTTGATTATCTTGACAGCAACCAGTTGACCTGATTTAATACCGCGTGCTTTGTAAACACGGCCAAAGCTTCCCTTTCCAATCAGTTCCGAAAGGGAGTAGGGGGCGGTTCTTTTCCAGAGTCTCCACACTCCTTGACCACATAATCTTGCATCTCTCTCGCATCACGGACGGCATTTTGTTTAGTCGCCGAAAGATAGAGGCCGTTTGGGCCAAGAGTAGCCATTGCTAGGATGAAGAAAAAATGATAGATGCGATGCTGATATTTCGCTGAGCTTGAGAAGTACGAGCGCCTGTGTAGATCAGGCTTGATCGAAAGAGGTGGTGTTGAGGCCAGAGTTTGTTGATTGAGTTAGGTTGACATGTAAAGCCCCGCTTGCACTCAAGCCACTGAAACTGCTGACTAACAAACCTGTTACACAAGGTCACTCATACCCGCACAGCCAGTCCTCGGGGAGCAAGAAAACACTAGACCTTAATCTAGGGTGCTAAAATAAACTTATTAAAGATCCCCTAAACTTAGGCTAAATTTACTTAAATATTTTTATTGCTTAGGGTTAAGGTTTTGTATTTTCTTTCCTTCCCTAGCCAGTACAGCGAAATTTAGTAGATGCCTAAGGCCTGTATATACTTTTCCTATAGTAAAATCCCAGGTAGCCAGGTAGCTAATTTTCTTACATTTAATATAAATAAGTAGGTTTATTTAAATAAAAAGAGGTTTATTTTTTTAATTTAAAAGTAAAATTAAAGTTAAAACTATTTATTTAGTTACTAAATAAAATTAACTTTTTAAGTTTTATTTTTAATTTAAATAAATAAATTAATACTAAATTTAAATAGTAATAATTAATATTATTAAAAAGTATAATAATTAATATATTTATAGTTAAGAAAATAAGATTTTTATAAAAAATAGTAAAATATTATATTTAACATATAATAGTTAGGTCTAACTATATTAAACTAAGCTATACTTAGGTTTATTGTTAGTAAATTACGTAGGGTATATACTAAGCGTTATTAAAGTATTACGTCTTTTAATAGTAAATTAATATATATTAGGCTTAGTTAATATAAAGAAGTATTATTAATAGCTAGTAAGCTAAGTTCTATTTAATACTAAATAAATATTCTTATATATTAGCTAAGTAATATATTAGTATATTAAGGATTTAAGGACTAAGATATTTAAGCTTTAGTCCTGGACTATAATAGTAAGTCCTTAGTTCTTATATAATTAGTATTTCTACTATAGACTAAGATAAGAGTTATTAGTTTATAATAATTAGTAAGAAATTTTACAGGTAATATATAATATAACTGCTAGGGTTATAATATAATCTTTCCCTTTCTCTAAGTCTTATTCCTAAAACTATACTTACTTACTTATTTATTAGTCCTGTTAGGTATATACTAACCTAGACTTATAATCTTTTTCTTCTATATATTTTACTAATTATTATATTAGGTTATATTTTTAAAACTAAGTATATTAAAACCTCTAAGTCTAGTTCTCTTGCCTAGTATATCTATACTTTTAGTAATTTTATTATACTATATTTTTATTATTTCTATTATAGCCTTATTTACAAAGCAGACAAGAATCAAGCTAACTATTATAGGAATTATATTAAAGCTAAAGTAGTTTATAATAGTTTAAGTATTATAACTTTTTATAGGTTTTTAGTAATCCTAGTTACTTAGGTTATACTAATTCTTTTTCTAGTTTTTAAAAATATAAAGGAATATAAGAAGTTAGAAGAAGATAAAGCTAAGGCTAAGTAGGCTCTTAAAGAGGCTATAGCTTATCTTGCTTATATACAGAAAATAAACCATTATCTTAAGAAGCAGGGTAATAAGTTATTTTCTTATAGTATATAGTTATTAAAGGAATAGGGTAGTTTTTTTTTTAATTAGGCTAAATCTTTAATTATCTTTAAGGCCTAATCTTAAGGGGCTTTTACTAACATTTTATATTTTAATATTAGTAAAAGTTTTTTAGGAGTTATTAGGCATTAATAAGGTATTTTAGTGGTTTCTATATATTCTTGTTTTTTAAGTAGTTTTTCTATTTTATTAAGTATTCTCTTTAACTATTAATTTTATAGGTATTTTTAATTACTTTTACCTTATAGACTTCTAGTCCTAAGATTTCTTATAGTTTATTGCCTATTCTAACTTATATTATATTTACTGCTAATTTAAATAATAAAATATAAAAGACTAAATAAAGCCTAACTTTTTTTAGTAAGTTTAATTTATAGTTATTTTTTAAGATTTTTTATAGTACTTTATAAGGTCTAATAAATTTATAGTCTAATTTATATATTAGTTAATTTATTTTAATGTTTTTTATAGCTAGGTAGACTATATTTCCCTTTAAAAAGGTTAGTCCTTTTAACTATTTTAGGTTATAGTAATTTTTTATGCATTTTCTAATAAATTCAAGTTCCGTTTTTATTTCTTTATATAGGTTTTTAAGGTCATTGCTTTTAATAATAGTAGCTGGATTGATTAATTTTTCTTATTATACGCTGTAGTATGCGTTTAGCGTAAATCCGAAATTAGTATAAGCTGGTATAAGCTTTATGCTTTCGTTATACGCGGTATTATAGGCAAGTTAGGCTATTAGTAACTTTTTAACCTAATTATCTTGTTTATAGTTAATATAGTACCGTAAGTACTTTATTTAAGTATTTAGTTTATTTATTCTATCTATCTATTAACTTACAGTTAGAATATAGTTATAAGTTAGTAGTTTAGTCTAAGTCGTGCTATAAGTAATTTCTAAAATATTAATATAAATATAGGTCCTTTATTAAAAAGGATTTCTATAGGCAAACTGTATATACTAATGATATATTAGTAAAAAACATAAAAAAGTTATTCTATATCTATTACTTCTTAAAATGGTATATAGTATAAGAACTTTATAAGTTAGTTAACTATAACTATAATACTATTATAGAAGATTCCAGTTAAGAGGTCTTTTATTAAGGGTAGCTTTA